CGGTGCCGACCTGTTGAGGTACATGGCCGAAGCCTATTCGTATCCGACTACGACGGAGGCCAAGGGAGGAATAGACTATTCTCTCCGAGCCTGTCGTGCCGGACCGAAATAGGTACCGAGGCCGACACCAAACCCTCCCTAAGGGGCGCTTAAGCCCCAGAGGGATCCTAGACTTAAGAGTCCGCTTTATCACCGCTGGCGCTTGGCATGCCTCATAGTTACTCCAATGCGCGCTTAGATGCCTTGGCTTCCGGGTCGTTTGACGTCTAGACATGTTGTATTAACTAAGCCTATGGCTCCCAGCAAAGGGTCTACAACTAATAGTAGCGAAAACACCAAAAACGCTCAAGCTGACGCCAGGGACCTTGCCCCTGCAGAAATCCATGCTCTTCTCGTATTGCCTGCGGTCAATTTGCCTCGTTGCCTCATCGTGCCAGCCATTCGGAACAAAAACGCAAAGACGAAATGAATCCGATTGCAGGTGGAATTCAATCCTTCCTTACAGACTCACCACACTCAAATCGTCTTCGAATTCGAGAATTAATGTGAAAAGCCAAAAGTAGCGCTCCAAGGGGCATTTTTTTGTACGTGAAATGAGTAAAAAAAGCCATTTTACCGTTCTTCCGGTTAGGCGTCGAAAACAACCATCTTCCGCCCCTGCAGGGACACCGGTGGGGCCTTTCCGGTGGCGAGGGATGTCAACCGGCCTTGGCAGCAGTCTGCAGTCAACCGGCGGGCCACTGGCACGTCTCCAAATCGAGCGGCGCACTGGTACGAGCCCGAGGTTGTGAACTTTGCGAGCCATTCTGATATACCAAGCCTTTGCCAAGACGGCACATCATGCCGGCAGGAGCATCCGAAGCCGTTCGATTCGCTGAACGCTGGTTCCGCAACGCAGTCTGAGAACGCAACTTCAACGCAACTCTCTTCGAGAAGAGTAAGTCCGACCCTGACGTCGCGACATTCAGGGTCGGCTCGCTTTCCAGACCGGCGCAGGACCAAGACCTGTGATGCTCCTGCAGTCTTCAAGGCTGCGAGCTGTGTCACATGGATCATGCACCCCGACACTGGCGTCGCTTCTCCTCCTCGTCATCGATCGAGACCACGCCCGGTGCGCCACTGCCACAGTGGCGCTTGAAAGCCTCCTGTTGGCAGCTTTCAACGCGTCTTGCTCTCGATCCCGGAGCATGTCCCGTGCAAAAGCCACGTCAAGCATCTCAGCAATCGGCTTGTGATGTTGCGGTCCATACTTGGGCACTCGGCTTACGCTGCGAGATTGAGCATTGATCCAGCATATTCATCATCCGGTTGTGCTGAGAAAGTTGCACGCCAATTCGGCGCAGAAGAGGAGAGGGAGAGTTCAATTGCGCCGCAGGGAATATCATGCTTCCATTCTTACCAGCCAGGATGAACAGATGGTGGTTCTCATCGTGTTCGTCCAAGGCGGAGCGATCGCCCACCCCTCTGTTGCTTCTGCTGTGATCGCGAGTCGACAGACCAGACTCTTTCTTAAAGACTTCCAATGCCCCGTCTCCTACGTGCTGACCAGATTCTTTCTTGAAGTCTTCCCATCACCCGTCTCCTACGTGCTCGACCTGCACGACCGTACCATAATCAGTGCACAAACGAGAAGCACTGCGCTCACTCCTGTATGTTGCGACTCTGCTACACAGGCTTCGCTTCCTCTTCGGGATGAAGACGAGACTGATACCCGACCGACAGTGCATGAGAATTTCTGGCTGCCGATCTGGTACAGCTCGCCTTTGTCCATCTTGGGCTTACTATCCTCTGGAAGAACGCTTTCTGGCCCCTCGGCGCAGGCCTCTGGGACACCAAGCCAAAGACCGACAGACGAGGATGCCTTCGAGCACACAACCACGATGCAAGGCTGAGGCCCCATTCCTGACTGATAATGGCTGTATGGCGGCACTCGCTTCCACCTGGACCCGTCAATCTAGTTGCATTCGATTTCGCAAACTCCTGATTGCCACGGACGCCTGACAAAGGTGTCGGTCTGTCAGAGTTTACCGCTTCTCAAGGCTCGGTCTTGGCCTTGATGCCAAGACCAACTTCGAGGCAATGATGAGAGACTTGTGACCTGCAACGAAACCGTCTGTACACCGGAGACAGAGGATAAGAGGAAGAGGCAAGCATCGCAACGACGTCTGAAGCTTTACTAAACCTCCAGGTTCTCGGTGGCGGAATCGTGGATGTTCAGCAAGGTAGCAGAACTTCATCCTGTAACATGGCATACTTCCACGGTCCCGTACTCATCATCGCAGCGTTTGTGCTCATGGCTTCAGTGACACTGGTCGAGCATGCCGTCCCTCCACTTGGACTCACTGTCCTCATTGAGCATGCTCTTCTTTTTCCGACCGGCCACACCCTGCCGCGCCAAGCGACCGATGAAATCATGGCCAGTTGCTGCGCAAACCGTGAGACGCAGGGAGCTCTGTCAATGACAGCCGATGAGGAGACACCTATCGAACTCTCAGGTACTTGGCGCGCGGTCTGCGTCGGACTGTGGTGTCGGCGGCAATGGCGATTCTGATGAAGCGAAGGCCGACGTTTGGGGACAAGGCCCATCCGAGGGATCCGCTCACGTCAGCCCGAGGTCCCTCCTGGGCAGGCACACATCCGCGACCACAACAAGTTTGAGACAGCAGCAGCCTGATCAGTCTGGCCCAAAATTCACGTTGTACACGTCGGGAATGACGACGGAAGAGCGCTTGGCAGATTTATGCTCTACGGGCAGGGAAGCGGTCATATGGCCCGAGACGTGATCGATAGTCATTTCCGGCGCATAAGGGAGTTTGGCAAGTACAACACTACGACGAAGTATTGGCAAGCCTCTGAGTTGTGGACGGTGGAGCACCTGGGTTCCGCGTCAAGATCATTCCGCTCGTGCTCCAATTGCGTTTCAATGAGACGTGTATTAAGTATGTCGATGTGAACTGAGGTAACATCCTTCAGCATGATGTTGAACACTACCTCAGTTCACATCGACATACTTAATACACGTCTCATCATCTCACCATCTTCCCCTGTAGCCTGCGTTGCCATCCCTCCACCAACAACTCACGCCGCTGCTCTCACCCAGGTTTCTCCACAACTTCCCCTGCTCACTGATGTCCCAACCCTCATCCGAACACTCCACGACGCCTCGTCCAAGGCGATTATTGTGGTCCACCTCTTGCTTGCTAACTCCGCCCTGATCTCGCGGCACCCAGATTCTCGGCGCTGGTGCATACATGCTTGGATGTAGGTAGATGACCTCATAGAGCTCTTTTGAATACTGTGGAGGGTCGAGGTCGCGAAGCTGAGCTATGAGGTCTGGGATGGGAGAGTTGAGTGAGGCGTAGTGAAGTGGTGAGAGGGAAGCAAGCACCTTTCGGAATGACAGGAAGCGGCGGTGGCTGGTAAGTGGAGATAGAGTACTGTTGAAGCTTGTCCGGTAGGGGTGGAACTTGGCCGACATCATCTTTGAGCCGGCAGAGGAGAAGGTTTTGAGAATTGGCATGAGGCCTTCGAGGCGGAAAGGAGAGGACACGGACGGGTCGGTAGTGGGCATGCCACTGCGGATGGCTTCTTGACCCGATCGCCTTTCCTCATCGTCCTCACTGTCCAACCCTTCGAGTTCCGGGTTGTTTTGCGCCAGTGGGCTCCCACCTGACGGCTGCTGAATGCCGTGATCTTCTTTTTGGGAGGCCGAGCCGGCGATAGTATACCTATAAGTGCTGTTGGACGATCTTTTGATCGAATGTCCACCGCCACCACCTCCTCGTGGCGCGCCTGGCAAGTGCTCTGGCCCGTCATCTTCAGCGATGTCAGCGAACAGCGGATGTTCTGACGAGGTCGTCCGCCCGGTCGAAGGGTCGAGATCATGGTGATGCTCAGCAATCGCTTGACTGAAGGGATCGACCGGTTGTCCGTTCAGACCAGCGGTGCCTGACCCGGCAAGTGACTTCGGCAAGTCAAAAAGCAACGGACCTAGCGATTCGAGCAGTGCGCGATGAACGAGTATGGTGACAACGAGAAGGGCGACAGTCATTCCGATTGGGCCAGCAGCAGCTTGAAGGGAGAACAGGCCGATGAGGCATACCTCGGCCAAATACAAACCCCATATCAGCTGCATGAGTGCGGCAGGGTACAGCAATCCTCGGGTGTCGACTTCGGTGTTGTAGACGTGGAGAATATTGTATCTGAATATCATGTAGATAAAGGCGCTGCGAGAGTCGCAAAAGCAAGAATGAGCGGCGCAATGCAAGCATAGCAGATGCCGATGATGCCAAGGTTTGTGAATACAGGGAATACCGCGCCCCAATGTACTTCCGGAAGGTGATGAAAACGCTCGTACCGCTTTCGATGGTCGTGCGGTAGTCTGGGGAATATTTGGTATCGCAGAATATCGAAGAAGCGCACCAGATTCGCGGCACCAAGGACAAGACATTGTACCAGGATGTACGAGATGTAGAAGTTCGAAGATTTCGGTAGATTCTGACTGAGCAGTGTTGTAGCAGACATCGGATTCTCCAAGATCTGGGTGAGCGCTGCTGAAACAGCAGATGTCAGCGTTGTGACGAGGAAGACCTGAACAATTTGGAAGATGATGTATGCCTTCTGTGTATACACCTCGACCATTGAGAGGGTTGGTGTCCCTGCCACCTTGGCACACATGCGCAGGATCCAGGGTACGATGCTCATGACCCAGGCTAGAGCTAGCGCAGGAACGAGACCAGTCAAGACGCCAAGGATCGGACTTGGAAGATCCCGAATCCAGCCCAAGAAAGAGATCTTGTAGGACAGGCTCTCGATATTGGAGACCATGCCGACGAAAGCACAAGGAATGGCCCAGAAGATGACCAGGACCGCGACAAAAGCTTGCATAGCAAATTTGCGGCACATCCTTCCTAATTGACTCAGCGTCAAGGAAGACCAGACAACCTCGTACGGTCTGACGCCGGCAAGTCGTTCAGCCATATACAATGGCTGGTGATAAGAGAGCGTCTGACAAGCAATCTGGGCGTCGGCTTGTGTGGCAAACTCGATAAATGCGGCTGGCATGACGGCCTTGTCGGGCGACTGGAGCAACGCCAGCCGCTCCTTGAGAATTCGTTTCGCAAGCGCCTTGAGTCGATTCCGAGTCCATTTGATTGTGTCGACTCGTCTGGCAGCATTTGCCAGAGGTCGATGTACTGGCCTTGAGCTGTGTGTGATCCACTGCGCAGCAACCGATCCGCTTACATCTGGTAAAGGTATGAGTGACACTGGTGGGGACTCCTCGTCCTTGCCGGAAATGTACAAGCCAGTCGACTGAGCTTGCTTCTCTTCCTTGCTGGGTGCGACCTTGCGATTCGACTTCAGTCCCAACGCTTTAGACCTAGCGGTGTTGGCGATGGTTATCAGTCTGAGCTCTGCTTTCTCGAGACGAGCGGCTGTCTGTTGACGTTCGTTGACCAGATCTTGCAAGTCATCAGTGTGTCGAGGTATCCAAACTCGCTTCACAGTTCCGCCAAATATCTTCTGCAGTGTCGACTCATGCAGGTAATCATGTGGCAGACTAGTAACTAGTACTGTTCGAGCTGAGAGGCGATCCGCATAGAAAGGCGAAGTCAAACACACATGGCGAAGGTGGATGCAAAATATGCTTTCGCGGGTGACGATATACAAGATGAAGCCGAAGTACGCCCAAGCTACGGCAGCATGAGCGTAATAATAGGTCTTGTCCGTGATGTTGCCCATCGTGAGAATGTCGAGACCATTGTTGCCGCCGTTCCCGATCGCGTGGATTGGCAAGAGGACTGGTGAAGCAATGGCGCAGCCCACTCCGAAGATAAGGATGAGTATCTTGAGGAAGCGCAAGAAGAGGAAGCCATCAATACTGCCGTGGTTGAGAATGAAGCTGTCGGGAGTTTGCCGGAGTTGGCGAAACCATTTGAAGATGCCTTTGGATAATGGTGAGCCTCGCTCGTGAGGATCTAGACTTTTCAACGTCGTCCTTGGCGAATATACTCGCTGGCATCTTGCGCGCAGAGTCAGGAATATGAGTATACAGATTGTGGTGAATGCCAAAGTTGGCAGGACTGTTGCGACGAGGGTGGCCAGGGAAGGGGAATTGATGCCGGCGCTCAATCTTGTGGCATTGGGCGCTTGTTCTCCGTCGCGACTCGAACCCACCCGTGGATCGCTGGCGTTCATCGTCGCACACGGTGAGATCCCTCACTGGAAGAGCCGCACCGTCAAGTCCTGGCATGGCGCATGTTTCAATGGATGGCGTCCGTACAGACGCATGTGTTGGTAGACCAAGGCTGATGAACGGACGGGAATCCAGAAGGTTGAGTTTCCCTGAAGCCGTTGCACAAGCCCGGGTTCGGGGGTCGAGACTCGACATCGGATGGCGCTACTGCAAGCTAATCAAGCCAATCTTTTCGAGCCGGCCTGAACCCCGCCTGTCACTGAATGAACTTGCAGGCGTACCGGTGGATAGATAATACGAGCAAAGTCGTGGATGACGTTGATTCGACAAGAAGCACTCTGAAAAGTTTGGAAGAATCTCGAAATCGGGTCAGCAACCCATGGTCAGCTCAGGACGACCATGACGTAAATCAGAGCGAGATCATGTAGGCTATGTGAAATATATTCGAGAAATGCTGATTTTGTGGCTCGCAGCACTGCGTCGATCGTCATTAAGCTGAGCACCGTTATGTTGCATGCCTTTCGCACCATGGAGGGGTGAAGGCAAGGTCAAGTCAATTCTCATGCCGTATCGTAGGCTCGAGCCACCACACCCTCCGGCGCAAGCACCAGAATATCAGGCGCTCTGCGGGTCTACGACGTCGAACCTGTGTTCGAGCACTGATTGCTAGGACCGTCGATTCCGCCGTCGCAGATACGACGTGCAGTCCTTCACGGCGAAGATGAATTGCATCAGTTCCGATAGGGTATCGGAAAATGTGGTATCCCAACTAGGCACCGAGGCCTGTCCGTGCTCGAAGCTGTCGTGACCCTCACTCTGTCTAGATTCTCTGTACCATAAGTTGCTAGACTTGCGCTTCCGTGCAAACCGCCATATTCACAGATCCGGAACACGGAGTCGATAGAGGACAGTACCGAGACAGCCGCATGAGTGGGAGAGCGCCCGTCAGACGGCGAGGCGAACAACGGGATGGGCAGCATGCCCAGAACCAGCAGATTCGGTGGCAGCAGCGAACGACGAGGAGCGCATCGCTGGCATACAAGTTGACTATCCACACTGGCCAATACCAACAAATTTCAGGAGTCTCGCAGCACTGAGCAGTGTCACTGTGATTGAATGGACCTTCAATTAGCCTTCGACGCGATCCACGATAACAGGAAACCCTCAGTAGGACCTGCCAGGCCAAGGCGGTTGCCGTAGTACCGTCTGTTGGAATCGCTCACGAGTCAGACGTTTGGATGTTATCACGGAGAGTGCGGGCCCGTCACATACAACGGCGTCCTGAGTGGTGCCCGGACCGAGGTATCAAAGTGAACGCTCCCGACCGAAAGAGTGCGACACTGATGTAGACTCGTCAGTCCGGTGTCTAAAAGGCCGTCCCTTACCACTATCACTTATGCTGATGGGAAGGGAAGAAGAGGTAGCTGCTCGAATGCTTGAACCCAGCTTAGTCGATCATCACGTCAAGCACATGTCGAATAGCTCACTGGCTGGCGTGATATCCGAACGTTCGCCTCCTTGTGGCCCGACACTCGAGTTTGAAGCAAGGAAACGCAGAATAATTGTGGCACGGTCGATCAATAACGCCACGATCTCGACGGATTTATTGTGATTTGCGAATCTCAAAATACATCACAACAACCGCTGCCATACCACAGCCGTAGCTCGTCTGATTCCGTCTTCGGTCCAGCAGATGCTGCACTGAAATAGTTCGACAGTTGCATGTTGGAGTCCTCATCACCCAATGCAGGCCAGTCTACTCGTGTGCCCGGGCCACCTTTCGCATCCAGCATATCTTTGACGGTTCCCCAACTGAATCTGCACTCATTTCCCCAACCAAACGTCGGGTCCAGTGCCTCCCTTAACCAGGCCACACATCTCGCATCTGATGGATAGCCGCTGCCCCAGCCCGCGGCGTCGTGCTCCTCGCCCTTCATCCGGGCATACTCCTCGTACAGCTTCTCACAGCTGACATCGCGGGTGACTTTGGCGACGACACTGGCGGCACTGACGCACGGATACAGTGAATCGGCCTCTGTTGCACCTGTTAGATTGAACATGCATTGGGAGGGCCCAGAGCCGGAAGATCGATGTCTGGCTCGGCGTAGATATACGTACTCTTTTCGACTGTGATCTTAATTGTAGGGAAGATCCTCTCCAGTTTCTTCTGATATACAGTGGGGATGCCCACCGTGTCAACGTAGATTTCTGTAATGTTGATTCCCTTGTCCAGAACTCCCTGGATGAGGTCGAATGTCGTGTCCATTGCTTGGGCATTCAAGTTGTACGCCCCGCCATTCTTCATCATCCCGGCGGAAATATCTCTCGCGCTGAGCGATCGAATTGCCCAACCGCATGATGCGTAGAGATCTGTTGTCTCGGTGCACACTGCTCTCATGAGGTTGGCCCGGACAGCAGGGGTCAGTGCTTTACTGTCGTCGAAGCGGTAGGTGTTGGTCAGGAGGGACTGCTGAATCTCAACCGGCAAGTAGAAGACGCCGTAGACCATAGGCCCTATGACCGGCCCACGGCCTGCCTCGTCGACACCAAGCACGACGGGCGTACCGGGCTTTCCTATCACGTTCGGCTTGATGTTGATGGGCCTTTCGGAAAAATGTGAGTATGAATCCCCATGAATGAGTTCAAGGTGGTGGATGGCGACCGAACTTGGGACGTGAACATCTGCTGTGGTACTTTCTTCAGACATTGTGTTGCTTGATTGCTGCTTGATTGCTGCTGGAATGCAGGAAGCATGGATTCCCAAGACACGTTCGAAGCACGTATTAGGCTATTCTCGATCAAGGATCCTACAGAAGTTACAGGTTGATAAGTCGGACTCGCGGTGAGAGTGTCACGTGCGTGACGCGTCGCGTCTTTACTCTTTACGGCTTAGCTTGTTTGTTGGAGCCCACCTGGACACGGCAGGATCCACTTTAATCGCGAAGCATTGTCCATTGACGGCATATGAGTTGCTTTGAGAGAGCACAGAGGACGTGGGAGCAGCAAATTTTCACCATAATGATAATTCCATTGCACTCTGGACTCACGAAGCCACCGACAGCGAACGTGCGCTCAAGCTACGGACGGTGCTGCAACGTGGGATGCACTTTTTCTATGTCCCCCTGCCCACCACCAGCGAAACCTCCAGCACACAAGTCGCGACAGCATATTCTCGCACTGTCCCCTGCTACCTCAATGGCCTGAATCTCTGCCAACTGCGTCGTAACTTTATGCGTTCAAATTCTTGTCTGGAGCTTCTCTTGGAGGCGTGGCTGGTTGTTCGCTCCAAGGACGTCCCGACTCAGCGCTTTCGGATGGCTTCTTCTCCCGACCCTCTTCCTTGGCCTCCTCCTGATCCGGAACATATGAGTGCATTCTCTCCTCGAAACCCTGAAGTGAGTTGCCTTGATAAGCAGGTCGAGCCTTGAATCCTGAAAGGGGTCGTGGGTTCGATGATGCCTGGAGTCCTCCACCGTTATTCAACCCTGCTGGCTGCGCAACACTGCCAGCGGCCTCGTCGGCTTCCGCTTGCAGAGGACGTCCGAGCTGACCGTCGCTGGCACCAGCTGCAACACGTGGTTGCTGCATGTTTCGGTCGCCTGTAGCGGGTGGACGAGTATGTTGATGAACATCTCGAGTGTCGACTCTAGGTTCAGTCGAAATCATGTAGTCAACCAATTCACGTAAGTTGCCGCGCTGAGGGTGCGCATCGCGCGGTTCATAACGCGGACGGCCAGGTCGAAATCTTGCTTTGACCTTCTCCTTGGCTCCTTCGGCGGTGTTGGCGACCATCGCAGCAAGGCTGGCAGAAGTCAGCTTGATTTTCTTGCGTTTCGAAGCCGACTTCTCCCGGGAGTCCGTTGGGCTGTCGGCAGCCGGGCGCTTGTCAGGATTTGGCATCTGATTCTTCGGAGCCAGTGCGGTGCCGATGGGCTGCGGGTGACTTGATGGCTGTTCGTTGGATGCGTCTCTCCGTGATCCAGGCAGTCGAGCTTTAAGCTTAGTCCGCAGACTTTTGTCGTCCGCGGGCTTGCTAGGCTCGCATTTGCAACTGTTGATTTTGTCAAGTTGATCTCGTAGAACACCCAGCCTGCAGTGTGCAATGCGGAGTTATGGTTGACCTCCCCTTCCAGACGGGCAAGCTGATCACGGTGCTTTACCATGCTATTTCTGATTGCGTCGGTCAATTCGCCTTGGGTGTCGAGACGGATCTCCCATGCCTTCCGTACCGCTTGGGCGTCCTCCTTCTCGCTCTCACGTTGTGTTTCGAGATTCTTCTGATAGGCCTCAAACGTTGCTTGAGAAGTTCTCTGACGTGCGTCAAACTCCGCTGAGATCGTCTTCTTCAGTTCTTCAACCGTAGCTGAGACTATCTTCGAAATGTCGGCTTCCCGGAGGAGGACGTACTGAGTAGAAGACGTTGGAACTTCCTTGCCAGGATCCTTCTGGACAGCCGCAGAGTCCGCCTCAGCGTCTTCCGCGTCAGAACCAGCAGTCACGCCTTCAGTAGACTTGGAAGCAGACGCATTGGGGACTGCAGAGACTGCTAGCGGCAAGTGACTTGAAATAGATTTGATGTGGTTCCGTAGTCTCTCGTTGTCTGCTTCCAGAGTCCTCAGTCGCGCATTCTCTGCTTCCACGCGTCTCAGTCGCGCATTCTCTGCTTCCAGGGGCCTCAAACGTGCAACATCTGCTTGCAGCTGCTGTATCTGCCGGTGCAGTTCCGGGTATGGCTGACTTGATTGCATTGTCGCAGGAGCAGAATTTTGCGAGTAACGTTCCAGAAGCAGCCCACTCATGCCGATACTTGAGTGAGGTGTTCGATGCTGATGGCTGTGTGCTTGCGGCCACGGCTGCAACTGAAGGAAATCGACGCCGGTTGACTGGAAGTCGTTGTCCGAACCCGTAGGTTGATCTGCTGATGTTGCGAACATGGACTGTGGTTCCTCCATGGCGTGAGATGAGGTCAACGCAGGAGGCGCTTGCAGAGTAGCGTCCTTCTTTCCCTCAGAGTACATGCCGAGTAAACCGTCGATGGCCGCCTGGTTGTGGTCTCCTACCTTCTCTGTTGCACCCGAATGAACTTGAACATTGGGCTGGATGGCACCGGACAAGATCTCCGCCACAAAAGTTGCGCCAGGTGAAAAAGGTGCTGCCATCCCGACATCCGAATCGGTAGAAGCAACCTGTGAGCTGGGCTGCGGTACGGGTGAGCTAAGAGGAGAGAAGTTGGGACGGATGGGTGACTTGGGCCGATGTGTCAATGAGCTTATACCGGGGCGATTGGGAGCTTTGTCGTGTCCGGCAACATCCTGCATATGCTGATCTTGATCATGGTCACCGGGATCTATGATCCTTCATGGTCATCCTCGATAGAGCCAATCACTGGTGGATCAGGCTCTGGTTGTGGTTCTTCTTCCAGTCGATAGACGATCAGTGTCTCACAAAAGCCCGGGCAACGGTCTTCAATATCTTCCATGATAATCTCCTCCGCACGGCCTTTGCGGAAGTCATCGAACAGTAGCCAGGACTCCGTCGATTCGCGGCGAACTAGACCAACGTAATGGTTTCCGCCTACGCTAGCCACGACACTGACTCTTCGGTACTTGGTTGGGGTGTTGAGAGGATACGTATCGTCTGATGGCAAACGTCCCGTCATGAAGTGTTCCAGGTCAATTGTGTCGTCAGGGTCCACCAGGCGGTTCTGCTTCAAGACGCTTCCGTAGGAGCGATCTACTCTTACAACCAAGAACTTCGGGGTATTCAAAAAAGCCCAACCAATCTCACTGGTTCCAGGCGTGACATGACTTTGACATATGTCACACACGGATTCGTAGATATGGTCCTCTGTCTCTTCAGCCCATCGTCTCATGTTGAACGCCTGGTTGGGCGGAATGTCGCCAGGAACTGACAGCGTTTGGATATGAGAAGTGCTGTATTCTCGGCGAATACCGCACTTGGGACATGCATACTCGAAAACCCTATGTAGGTCGAAATCCCGTGCCAGCTTCGAGTCGCGACCAGTTTTGTGCCAAGCAGCCATGTAGTTGCGCGCTTCCGTTGTGATGCTGTCGAGAGACTTAGTCTCGTTCTCGTAGAGACGCTTCAGTTGGAGGAACCGTGTGAGAAAGGTTTCACCGGCCCCTATGTTAAACACGATCGCGTTATCAGATCTATCGTGAACGTGTACGATCTGTTGCAAGGTGAAGCCGAGGAATTCGGCGGCATCGTTGTATCCGGCAGTCGCCTTGCTGAAGTCTTTGGATGGTCTGAAGGACGGATTCATATCCATCGCAGCATCACGAATTACTTTAGTGAAGCTAGATGGTACAGAAGAACCGTCCTTGAGTAGCTCTTCGTACAGGGCTTGGATGGATTTGTAGTACTTGGAAAGCTTTGGAAAACCATTCTTCTCATCTTCGCGTATCACCTCATCGTCCAGGGAACGCCCAGTGATCAAAATATCTGCTGGTAGCTGTACACTCTCCTGTACAGAGGGGAGTCGAAGAGCAACTTGTAGTGCAGCGGAAATGAAGCACGAATCCCCTACTCGCTGCATGTTGCGCGGCTTGAGAGCTTGGTCCTCGGAGAAGATTGGATTGTTGTTCAGCGGGCCGCCACTCGTAGCTGGCAGGGCGCTTGAATTGGCGTCACCTGAGCCTCTAATGGGTCTGAAATTCGGATTGTTCGAGCCTGGCAGGACATTCGAATCGCCGTCCTTTGACGCTGGCGCGTCGCTCTCATCATCGTCCATGAAAGGCTTACATCCAGCGCAAAAGTACTCCTCGCGATCTCCCACTTCAGCACATTCGACATGCTGATAGTCGCCGCATAGATTGCAGCGGACGAGGTCTGGATTGTCTTCGAGGGCAAGACCGACTTCAGTAGGAGTGCCGCAGGAGCAGTGCACCCGGGAGATGGACGTTTCGAGCTGTGGTCCTTCATCGTCATCATCGTCGTCGGAGTGGTCATTGTCGTCGACGGAAGTGGGCCAACCGGGGTCGCCAGGGTATAATCGATCAATTTCGTTGATGTAGGCTGGCTGAGACAGGTTTTCGGGTGGGAACGGGCATGGTGCATTGCGTAGGGGCTTGTCCCTGACTTTGTCGATCTGGCCGCTGATACCGTCATAGTCTGATCGCGGATAATCCCATTTCATCCCATTCCAAAGGTAGGTTTCAAGCAGCATGTTGCAGTCCGCCCGAACAAAGGAAGTCGGTGTCCGCTTCGCTGGATTGTAACCACTTAGACCCGTAGTCATCGCCTCGCCAGGAGTATTATGGCCCACTGACCAGCACAGAAGAGTCAGAATGTTGGCGAGCGGTACCCAGCCGCCACCGTCACGCCCACACATCTGAGGTGGGAAACCCAAATCGAGGTCTGTCCGAAGCATGCCGAACCACAGATGAGCAATAGTCAAAATGAATTCTCCGAGACCCACGTCAGGCCGGTCGATTGTGTTCTTCTCTTTGCGATCACAGTCGTTCCGCATCATGTGCAATTTTGCGGCGAGCAGTCGGAGCATACTTGTATTGTCATATCCGACCAAGACGCTGAACACAGAGAAAGGCGCGAAGACGCCGTCTCTCAGCCACAGCTTTGTGAGGTCGAATCCATCCGAATGCTCTCCGGTCAATCGATACTTCGGCAATGCAGCAATGCGATGAAGTTCCTCATAAAGGTATTTGAAGTCGAAGTCTGAGTCTTTGATGTATGCCGAGCCCCTGGATCCTTTGCCGGTCAATCTCCAGACTTCTGCTCGGGGTTTGCAGCGAATGCGATCAGGCAAGAGAGCTCCATTGACGCAAGCTTGCTGGTAAATTTCTGTAACGTTGTTGACTGGCTGACCAGCTCGATCACCGAGTCTGTCTGATGTCAGCTTTCCCATTTCGGCCATGTTGATGCGGGTCTCGAGGACAAGAGCGAGTGCTGCTTTGTATTGATCAAGCCGCTGGCAGGTGGTGCATCATAAGCGTCTCTCAAGGCTTTGAAGCAGATGAGCAAATACTTTGGATACGGTCCCAATGGGATATTGAGCGACCCTGAGATGAGATTGATGTTTCCACGCATGTGGTTGCGTGTGAACAACACTCCCTCTTTCTTGTCGATCACGAAAGGATGATGTCCGTCAACTGTGGCACGAAGGTAGTTTCTAAGCTGTCCGGAGTGGGTCATGTTCCCCTTCCCAAAATTGATGGTCTGATCGATGAGTCCGTCGAGAAATACACATCCTTCTGCATCGTAGACTAGCGGGAGTAACTCGCCCTGGACAATTGATATATTCTCCGTCATCATGTCGTTGAGTTCGATGGGCAGTCTAAATTCGCAGGCCATCTTCTCATCCCGAGAGCGCCTATGGAGTCGTTTTAGAACCTCGCGCACCCATCGTTGTGGATACAGTTTTGCTGAGGGCTCGAGCTTCCTATCACACTTGATACAGATATCGTGGTGACTTGCTTGGTCGACCGCGAGCTCGCTGCAAGGCGTACCACGCCAGCACACAAAGCAGAGATGTACCTCCGCCGTGCATCCATTAGGGCCAGAGCAGGAAGCACTTGGAGTTGGTGGTAGAAGCTCAGCAGCTCGCCGGTACTGCTCATCAATCTGATACAGTGTGAGCATATGAACAGTTTCTCTATCGTGACCCACGCGCGTAGCATCAAAGGCGCTACTGGCAACAGCGAACAACTGATCGGTGTCTAGGCCTGTGCACGGTATCTGAAACTGCTTATGTTGGTGAAGGTGAACCGCCTGCAAAAAGTTGACCATGATGCCTTTCCTCGACAACCTCTTGTACGATCTTATCAGGCTTGTGCGGCCGGCCAGTACTTCATTACGAGTCTGAGGCCAGGAGGAATCAGCCTTCGATAAGTGAGACACCAAGACTGAAGTCCATCGAGGCCATGAGTTTATCGAAAGGGTCGGAAATGAAGCATCTTCCGCATGAGCTAGTATTCTGGCAGCAGCGACAAGCCAGGGGTGGAGATCTCGCGGGAGCAGCAGAACCCAGTAGGGCACTCGCTCAAGAAGCCATCGAATTTTGTTTCCCAGAAGAGCGTAGTGCTCTTGCAAGAGACGTAGGTGCGTTACCTTGAGCGACAGCATCAGAAGGTCTTGCTCTCGGAAGTTCATGGTATGTGCTTCAACACTGCTCATCTCCCACAGTACCTGACGAATGCTTGGACCAGCCGCAAGGCGGAGAATGGACTGGATCAAGCCGTCAATCTCTCTATGAGAGAGATATTTGCTTGTCTGCCCATGACGGGCACCGTCGGGCAGAGCATGTATGCTGTCTCTGAATGCCATCAACTTGGCTCCTGCTATAAACTGCTGTTCGATGGCTGGCTGGACCGCGGTCGGACATGGAACTGCGTCGGCTCCATTTGAAGCTGGCGCCGCGCTTTGATCGACATCATTTGTGACTGGCAGGGCGCTCTCACCGACGTCATTCGAGTCTGGTTGGTCGGTGTGATCAGCTGCACCGAGACGCGATGACAATGTCTCTGCTGCCTCATCTGAGGGCTCTGCTGTCATGTCGATCGAGCTGTCTTCGGGATCAGACGTCCGTCGTGCCACATGCCGCACAATCGTACGTAGTAGATCAACGCGTTCCTGCGTCACTAGCTCAGCCCGCACAGTCATTGGCAACGGCGGCTTCAATGTCGTAGGTAGAGGCGGAGGCACAGCAGGAGGCGTGTGGTCGTACTTCATGTGGAGTTCACCATGTTCCGACCTCCGAATCAGCAGGCTATGCAAGTCTCCTGGGTAGCAAATATCTAGCAGATGCTTCGCCGCGGAATCAAGATCGTCCATCTCGAAGTCACATTCTGCACAGAGGCAAAGCTCGTGAGTGTGATTGTCATATACGTGTGCTGAGGCTTGATGAGCGGTAGGGAAGGTCCGACTGCATAGGTAGCATATGCTATGTTTGTGAACATTCTTCTCGTGCTCGAGTAATTCTTCCTGCGATGAAAACCTATCGTCACACAACTTCGCGCTGCAACAAAACTGGGCTCCATCATGACGCTTATGGTGTTCCTTCAGCTTCTTTGCGGTACCGAAGATGGCACTGCAAGCCTCCCGATCACAGTGATGAGATCTTGGATGCTTTTTGGGATTCTCTGCATGCGCCAAGGCTTTTTGCTCGTTGTGGAATCTCTCATCGCAGTCTGTGTACCTACAAGGCACACGGTGATGGGCTTCGCTGTGTTTCCATAAGGCGGTGGAGCGGTCGAAACGTATACCGCACGACGAGCATCGATACGGGAGCAACTCGGGGTGGTAGTCGCGGTAATGCGTGACCCGAGACCGATTCTTGAGAGCACCCTTTGCGGACATGAGAAATCCGCACTCCCCACATGGCGTCAGCTTCTCTTGTTCAGAGCGCTGCTTGCGTTGCTTGAGTGTGTTTGTTCTCTTGCTTGCGACTTTCTTCGATCCTTTCTTACGTTTCGCCTTAGGCTTTTTCTCCGAGGCTTCTTCGTCAGAGTCCACCCGATCAACAGACGAAGAGTCTATGATATCAAGATCGTCGACAGACAATTCTGAATCATTTGGTACGTAGTCGTCATTCTGACCGACGGGCTTGCTCTTGGCGGATCTTGCCGGTTGTGTGCGCTTAGCTTGCCTAGGAGGCATGTCGTTGATTGTGTGGCGGAGAGGGCATGGAAAACACTAAGACGGCTGGCGAAGTAGTGACGGCGATCAGCCGCGAACATGCATGTTGAATTGAGTTCGGTCGCAGGCGTTGATGAGCGAGCAGCGCATGTGGTTGAAGCCTAATCGAAGCGATGAGTGACCAAAAATCCAAGCGCCAAAGGCTCAAGATCGAAGGCACCAGTGACGATTGGGTAACAGGTACCAAGTTTCGATTGTGGTCGATCGGAAGGAGTCCACGGCAGGCTGGAGAACAAGAGTTGTGGAAGGCTGGTGGCGATATGATCAAGCCTCAATCGCATTCATCAAGTCGATCTGTGAGTAGCATGGCCTGAAGTGGTAGCGATTGAAATGATGGTTGAGAAAAAGCGGCACAAGATAATGATGGTGTGTTTGTTAGCAAGAGTGGCTTGGCATCTCGGAGGGAATTCGATATCACGGCTTCACTTGCGCAAGCAGGCAAGCCTGGAGAAACAAAGACACCCTTTGAGTCGTTGTTGTCCATTGTCTGTCACTTGCTTGCTGTATGGACCCCGTGCACTGCGCCTGCCTGAGATCGACTTGGTCTTCCGCCATCGATACTGTCGTACACGCAACACACCCGCAATGGAAGGCCTCGACATTATTCAGCAATGGTATTGGCAGCGAATCCTGCAAGTAAGCACCATTCCCCGTGCCCTTTACACCTCTTGCCGGTCGTGCTGATCCATGGCATTGACTGACTTAATTCGCAGGCTACGCAATACTGTCTCCATGATAATGTTGACGCAGGACTCGAGATCCTCCTTCAACTACAATCCCAGCCTGATTTGTCCAAAGTCCTCAGAATCATGGTCAACCAGTCAATCATTCGCGAGACTGACCAGGCGTTGCAGCGAGAGCGCCACGACTTACTACGTAAGGCTGATGAATTGATTCTGGATGTGGTCGAAGAGCTGGGCGAAGGACATGATCTCTCGATACATGTGAAGAACCAACAAGCGCTTGCCAAGGCACAGATCGAAGGAGACGAGGGAAAGCCGGTTACCCATTCGCGTCATATACGGATCCAAGTTGTGCCCGCCGGAGACGCTATTGACGAGTCCGAAGGCGAGCATGAGGAGGTTGATGATGCATGGGAAACGGTCGACGAAGATGGCGACGACGAGGAGGACGAAGCTGATGAACGCGCAAGTCAGTCAGGGAAAGCCATTGATGCAGTTATGGGCGCAGCTGCAGTTGCTGATGACGCAGCTTCAAGCAGCGGAGATGTCCAGATGACAAACGTCCCTCACCCCCTGGTTGCGGCCGTGCAAGATCAACGCACCGTTCGCGAGGCCAGCGTCTTCAGCGAAATGTCCTTGCCACCCCTACCGCCGCAGGTCAAGAAAATCGCTAGCAAGCAATATCCAACACCTCAGCCATCGTCTGATCCCGCGAAGCACGACAATCTTGACGAGAACATCTCCTGATTGGCGAAAATCTTACCAAAAAGGGCCTTGGTAAGGACAGCAAGGTCGTCTGGAAGGGTGACTGGCTGAAACAGAGCAGCAGCATTCACACATGAATACGGTACAGAATGTCAAGGACAGAGTTCCTCGACTTGTGCTACGCCAGTAAGAAGACTGGGGGTGAAGTGAATTCAGTGTGTGAGCACTGTCAGATCAAAGTTCCGGAGTTATGATAGCAACTCCGATGCTAGGCCAGAGATAGCTTAGACGCGAAAAATAAGCTTTACAACGAAGACGCGACCGCGATCTCAATCTCAATTCGTCTCTCTCAGTAAACAATACAATCCCACTGAATATTCAAACATGGCTCGACGCAACGCGCAAATTCGCACTGGAGACTTCGTGAGTGTAGGGCGCGTTGGCCGAAGGACTGGCCTGGAGCTCCCGGTTCAAGTCACAGGTGAAGACGGCTTAGAGCAGATCGACAACATCTTTTCTAGCCCCGCGAAGCCCTCTCCTTTGAGACAGGCTCACTCTGTGGAAGACTTCGAGCGCGATGGTGAGATGAGATCCAGTCACTCATGAACGAGACTGACTTGCACAAGCCCTTCCTGCTCCGAAATCCATACGCCGAAGTCTGCCTCGCTCGGTCTCTCCCAGGAAGACAAATATTTCTGGCCGAGCGCGCCGCAGCAACGGTGGCTTCCGGACCGTCCACTCAGACGACGAGGCAGACGAAGTGCCGGACGATGCGCCTGTCTCAAGCCCATCGAGGGCGAACACAGCGGCCTTACGCTCAAGCGTGGCCTTCCCACTCCGCGATATTACGAACGAAACAACAGTGTCGCCACGTGCGAAGAGGAAGTCCATCATACAGAGCATTGAGGAAGATTATCAGAGCTCAGACAGCGAGCAGCCGCAGGTTTTCGTCGATGATGCGCCCGCTGAAATTGACGACTACCAGGGCGAGCCTGAAGATCAGATCGAGGCAGACATCCCAATTCAAGAGCCTATTGATGATGAGGAAGTCGATGGTACCTTCAGCATCACGACCGCGGCCAATTCCCGCAGGAAGCGCAAATCCGACAGCAACCCGCCCCTCCCGCAAAAAAGGCCAAATCAAAAGCTCTCACTCGCACGAAGACCACAAAAAGAGGCCGTCCTCCGCTCAAAGCCAAAGACAACAACCAAAAAATGTCCAAACGACAAGAAAAGGAGCTCGACGAAGTTGTTGAGCGCGTCAAAGCCAGACCAGACCCACCTCGCTCTCTCTATGTCCTCCGCAAGGAGACTCCTGCAGATCCCAACGTTCACCTCACCCGCAGTGGCCGCATGACTGTCAAGCCTCTTGCATACTGGCGCAACGAGCGATGTGTCTGGGGTGGCAGTCCGAATACCGAACTCAAAGAAGGCGCACGCTTCCCCATGAATAGCATCAAGGAAATCATCCGCACCGAAGACCACAACACCCCCATCCGCAAAGGCAAGAAGTCTCGCAAGGGCAAACAGAAGAAGAAAGCCGCCACCGCTGAAGACGACTCCTCATCCGACGAAGAAGCCACCTACGTCGAGCCATGGGAAGTCGATACCGGCACAATTCACGGTACGGTCTCTGAATGGGACAGCCTTGAAGGACTGCCACTCAACACCCTGCAACAAATCGAGATTGCGCACTCAAGCCAAGCGATTCAGACGTATGTCCCTCAACCTAAGAACGGCCAGGAACCTGCACAGTTTCGCTACAGCAAACTTTTCAGCAACAACTTCATGTCCGTAGGATTGGTCGACCTGCCTCCAGGTGGGATCAAAAAGCCCAAGAATTCGCAAAAGATGCAGATGACATTCTATGTGCTGAAGGGCAGGGTCACTGTTAGTGTTGGGCCAATCTTGGGCACGATGACAACTTTTGGCATTGGGAAGGGAGGTTTCTGGCAGGTACCGCGAGGTAAGTGCTCGACAGTGGCAGAGGAGGATCTCACTGACATGCAATTCCAGGCAACCAATATTCGATCGAGAACGAGCACGGTACTGAGGCAAGATTGGTCTTCTGTCAGGGTTGTATGGTCGACATTGCTGAAGAGGAAGAAGCAGAAGAGGAGTGATTGTATCATTCGTGTGCGAGCAATGGCATTGTGATGCTGAGTTGTGACAGGATAACGCAGGTTTACGACCATGATCACGAACTATGTATCTCCTTTCGAAGGATTGACGCTTCGCCATGGCCGAGCCCATGATCTCTCTGATGCTACTGCGTCTTTTTCCCGAGAGCACCAATTTCCGATAGGCCACTGTATTCTACCCAAGTATCAAGTCACGATATGAGAAGACAACCTGCCTGCCTGGACAGACCGGACTTCAAGCTTATCGTCTATTGTACTTCGAACTGTGATGCAGCGTAGAGTTTGTACATCCGCATGCCCGACTCCTTCACAATTCCTCCATATCGTCATCAACGCCTAGATCATCCAGCACAGTCCACTGCTCGCCTACCTCAACCTTCTCCGGACGTGCAAAGACGCCAAACTTGTCCTCGCATTCGAACACTCGCCTCATCTGCGTCCTCTTCTCCTCCACCTTCTCGTTGCCCTCCCCTGTCTCGACCACGACCTCCACCTTCACGCTGCCGTCGTTCCTTCCCACCGGCTCGTCCAGCTGTACGCCCACCCACACGCACCCAGCCTCCCTCTCGCCGCCCAATCCTGGGATCTCACCTGTGAACCTCACGAGCCCACGTCGTCCATCATCGCCACCGACACGGCAGCGGACGCCGGCAGAGATGCCGCGGGAGGAGATGATTGAGCGGTCGTGCTCGCGACGCTCGATGGCTAAGGAAGCGGGCGTGGCGGCGTTGGGATCGAAGCGACCGAGTTTCTGCTGCTTCTTCCAGGAGAGGACTGTGTTCGGAGGGTGGAATAGGTAGTTTCGGGCATGGTGTATTTCTCGACGGTGGGGTCGTTGAATGCGGTGGTGTTGCCTCGGAGGTGAGAAGGGCGGATGTCCAGGACCTGGCCCGGCATTAGTATAGACCGTCCTTGAAATGCTCATTGGCGATGGGCCATCGGTCATGCTGGCTGGCCCGCTCTGCAGAGTGTCTGAGATCCACAATCAACTCACCTCAATTTCGGCGCCTTTCCGCAGACCGTAGCGGGCATCGCCGACCTGGGCCTCGTCGTCCGCCAGCGGGATCCATGTTCCGTCGATCCCTCGCGTGCGTAGTGATTGTGACGATGACGGTATGCCGGTGATAGGCTCGAGCTTGGTCTTCAACTGTGATATCGTCCATGATGGAGTGATACGGCGCTCCGAGGAGACAAGTGGAGGTGCCGAAGGCGTGTCTGATGGTACCGTGATCTGCAATGGTAGATCTTGAGTGGCTGTGAAAGCCATGCTCGGCGTGCTGCGGGACTCAGCTACGAGCAGAAGCGGATGTGAGGAGGTATTTTAGCAACTGATCAGCCTTTCGGGAGGAGACGACGGTTCTGCGTATAGGCTGATGTGATATAGAAATGAAGCAGCTTTATGAAGAACAAACTTCGGCGAGGTTGCCTGAAAAATTAGGCAACGCCTTGGCGTCTCAGCAGATTGATGTACCTAGTATTCATGCCTGAAGGAGGTCGTATCTGTTCATGCTACGCTGGAATTTAAGAAACGCTTCCGCTGCTCGAAAATCCTATTTGGTTCCGATATAGACTTCCCGTAGCTATACCGCGTTTGTGCATGGCTGCCAGGGTCGAGCGGAATATAAATGTTGCGGGGTGCATACCTATACCGACCGGGGGAGTAGTATAGAAGTCAGAACGACAGATGAAGAATGCTAGTCTCCGGCCGTCTGCTACCTATGTAGCGTCTGTGAATTCGCACTAACGCTCCTGCAGCAATCGACGAAGGATCTTCCCGGTCGTATTGCGTGGAATTTCGTCCACAAAAACCACTCCTCCAGTCAAGCGCTTGTACGCAATCATCTTCGACGCGACGAAGTCCACAATCTCCTGCTCACCGACCGCTTCCTTGCCCGGCTTCGAAGCTCGCACCACGTACGCTCTTGGTTTGTCCACCTCCAAGCCATCACTGCCAATGTGTTTGCTTCCGACAACTGCTGCATCCAAGACATCCTGGTGGCTCAGAAGGACAGTCTCGATTTCGGCTGGAGCGACTTGCCAGCCATTGACCTTCATAATCTCCTTGATGCGGCCTTGCATGTAGACTTTGCCGTCGCGGATGGAAACAAAATCACCAGTTCTGTAGAATGAATCGGAATCGAAGCACTCTGCAGTGGCTGCTTCGTTGTCAAGATAGCCTGTGAACACAGATGGTGACTTGATGAGTGCTTCACCACTACTCACTCCATCTAGCTCAGAAGCTTCTGCAAGCCTCATCTGCACTCCAGGAAGCAAAGTGCCAACGCTTCCGCTCTCGTCCTTCTCGTTGATGTCGAAAGTCGTGGCCCAGCCCACTTCTGTGGCTCCCCAGACCTGGGCAATGGTCGCGTCGGGATGCAAGTAGGCATACAGCTTGCTCTGTATTGCAGCGGTAATCGGAGCTCCGGCACAAAGCACGTGGCGCACGGATCTGAGCGACGCGCTTGCCTCTGGTGATCGCCAGAGTGTCGTCAGGATGGGCGGGACCAGCGCGAAGTCTGTAATTTGGAAAGCGGCAACGGATCTGGTGAAGGCATCAAGGCTGAAGCGAGACAGATAATATGTCGTGGTTCCTGACCGAAGCGGGAGCAGCAATGCAATTGGAGCCGCAAAGGCGTGGAACATGGGCAGACAGACCAGCTGCCGAGGCTATCATACCGTCAGCGTTGGACACAGCGTGTTGATGGGCAGAATCTTGCGTTACCTGGTACGTTCTGGCAGCTAAACGTTGCTCAATCATCGCGGATTGTTTCACCAAAAAGCTGTGGGGGATCTTGGCGATCTTGGGCAGTCCCGTCGTCCCGCTGGTCAGGCAATAAGCGCGGTAGACGATGAGGAGAAGGCCTGATCATGGTCCGCCCGCCGCCAGTCATCTTCGCCATATTTCAGCAGTTCCTCGATACTTCTCTGACCACGGTCGCTTGTACCCTCGCCCACGACGAACAGCGCTCCATCTCCAATGCCGCACGATGCTGCAACTTGGCGAACGTCATCACATGACCCAGCCTCGGTGATGATTATTCTAGCCTTGGTGGGAGCAATGTAGTGTCTCAATTCTGAGTCTGGAGTCGAAGGTTGATGCCAAAAACGATGCCCTCCGCACCGATAATGGCCTAGTTGAACGCGTCAGAGTCTCGCCTCAGACCAATCAGAAGAGCTTACCAGTGATAGTAGTGGATACCAAATCTATGTAGGAACCTTGCGTCAACTTCGCGTTCTTTCCAGATCGCGTGGAAGGGGAGAAGGGTGATACAGCATGACTTTACATCAATTTTGACAGCGGGGGTAGCGCGGCACTTACAGAATCGAAGGCATGTAGGCAGACGCAGTCACCCTTCTTCAGACCGTGGGCTTTGAACCCTGCTATCAGTTTTCGAACCGCAAGCTCGGCTGCTTGTGCGGAAAAGAACCTGCTGGGGTCGATCGCATCGACGAAGATCCGTGAACAGGTCAGTCATACTCTCTGCAGGATAGCGAGGGTCTTACAGGAAGATCTCGCTCGTACTGACCCAGGTTTGCGAACGCAAACGATAGGACGTCGGTCTCGGCAGTGATCGAGATTGTGTCCTGCGACTCCCAGATCTTCTCGATCGGCGCGATCACTTTGCTTGTGGCACTATCATCGCGGACGCGCGGTTCAGACGAAGGAATGGCGCTCGCCATAGTCGCGTGGTCTGGAACGCACGGGTAGCGGCAGATTTAAGTGGCGCTTAATACTAACGACGACCGACTTTGCTGACAATAATCGAATCGGTTCTTGGGAGACATACCTGTGCAGGGAGGTACTCGTTCTTGTCGCGGCAATGGACGGAGGTGAAGGACTACACAGCCCTGGTCTGCCAGCTCGGCTTGCATCATTGCTCAAACGCTGCGCCCAAACAGTGCGTTCAAGTGAATCACTGCTTGCCTCTGGTCATGGCTTCCACTGGTGGTATGTCTGGTCTCCAGTTTCCTGTGTCTACAGAAGAGCTTGTTAAATTTGCAGTCTACTTGACGGGAGCATGTGTGAAGTCTTAGCTCATCGAATCACATGTATCCTCTGCGCGCTTTCTACGTGCTGGACGCCACTGATTAAGTACGTGGATGTGCAAACACATGAGGGCCAGACAGGCGCCTCGGAACATCATCGCCATGCGTGCTAGGTCGCTTCCAGATCGAATACAGCGGAAGGAAGTATACGGATCTTGTTCCGCTGGAATTTCTGGAGCCCATCAGCCTCAGGCACAAACGGGGCGCTGCTTTCTCTGGATATTACGGTCTCGATGGTTCGCTCAGCCTTGATGTGCCGTCCCGAGCCGATGCATACAGAACTCTCTTCTTCAGCTCATGACCGCAATCCCTGCTCAGCTCTTCGGGTGCATGAGTGATCCGCACACGCGTTGCATTCAATCTGATCTGGGTGCAGGGACCATAAGGCCGGATCGTTGCTGGAGACTAGACAGGTTCTGCCATGATTGCGTGGCATGTTCCCGTTCACAATGCTCAGTGCGAGGTGTTGTATACCTGGTACCCGGAACCTGACAACGTCGTGGCGGGGACCCAGGGCGGTGCTCTCGGAAGTGGCTGATTCTCGTCCTTGCCATGACTGTCCATGCTTCGCCACAATGTGCGATTGGTGGGATAGCCATGGCTTTCCCGCTGTAGCCTCGAATCTGACAGGTTTGGCCATGGGTGAGTGATTTCCGTCGCCTTGTCTTACCGTTGCACCTCGCCGTTGCTTGCACACCTGTCAATCACTTGTATTCGAAGCCTTCGAGAACAACTAAATCGATCACATACAGAACATTTTCGTGCGGAATGGACGGAACCACATCTATCTTGCCTTCTTATCAGGTCACCAACCGACACCAAGCATCCTGCCAAGCATTGAGTCCACGTACATAGGACTGTATGCTATGCATCTGACACACATGCTACTATACCTAGATACTGGCCTTACAAGCATCAAGGACAGCACAAGACTGATATGTGGCGCGTGTCTTTCTCAGAGTTCTCCTTGGTTCGCAAAGACATGCCACTGTTGTACGGGCCTGGGCAGGAAGCAGATAGCAGGGAAGACTGGCGTGATCAAGACGTTGAGCCTGGATATGAGCCTGGATACAAGTCACAAACCTCCAGTACATCATCTGACAAGAATGCTTTATCATCAAGGAATGGATGTAGGACAAACACACAAGATAATTCACGGACTGTGCAATCATCTGGAAGGCCAGGGAATAGTGTTTGTCTCGGCGTTGAAGGGAAGGAAATAGTGGGCACACTGGATACCAAGAGCACCTTCCCATCAGCAGCAACACCTCATACTGGCAGTCTCGATCATCCCACAGGAGCCGCCGGCATCGATCGAGAAGAGCTCGTCCGGAAGTCCTGCACGAGCTCGAATACCACTCTCATGGACACGCCACACCATGCTATCCCACTGCCCGTGAAGAAGTACTCTTCTCGTTTCTATCGCAACCTACGCTATACCTGGCTGATAACATATCACCGCCTCAACATCCTGTGCCTACTACCTAGTTTATTGTCGATGATCCTGCTCGGTACTGTCGGAAACCCTCGACTCCTCCAACGACCGCTGTCGACCCTAGCCGCCGCCAGCAGCGCCAACTTCCTCGCCGCAATACTCGTCCGACAAGAGCTCGTGATCAATGCTCTTTTCATCACTGCTGGAAAATGCCCTCAATGGTGGCCGCTTCGGCTCAGAAGGCTCGTGGCGAAGATATACCACCTCGGAGGTGTGCATAGCGGTGCAGCCATTGCCGGTACTGTCTGGTTTGCAGTCCTATCTGTTGCCATCTTCAAGAGCTCGGATCTACCGACTGGAACAACACGAAACGTTCTGCTGTCGATTACTGCGATCTTGGACACTCTCCTGGTCTTGATAGTGGCTACGGCAGAACCACACTTCCGGCAGCGCTTCCACGACTACTTTGAGTGGTGCCAGTAAGTACAGCCGCTCAGACCCATTTTCCGCCCCGAGGAATGTCGCTGACGTGCACAGTCGATTTGCGGGATGGGCTGCCATTGCTCTATTCTGGGCTCTTTTCGTTCTCCTTACCATAGTATCCAGCGAAGCACCGAACTCCGAGTCGCTTCGACATTTACTGAAGAGCTCTCCGACCTTCTATATGCTCATAGCCATCACGGTATGCCTCATTGCGCCATGGCTGAATCTGCGACGGGTGCCGGTAACGGTTGAGAAGCTTTCGGACCACGCCGCTCGTCTACACTTCACCTATACCAATGTACCAATGTGTTCGGCGCCGCGAATTACGGACAAGCCTTTGCGGGAATGGCATGCGTTCGCGTCAATACCAGAAGACAGCGGCAAGGGATTCTCTTTGCTCGTGTCCAGAGCCGGCGACTGGACCGGAAGGATCATCGAAGAGCAGCCCGCGTACCTCTACAAGCGCGGCTGGCTAGCACACGGCATACTGGTGAGTCGTCTTCGGTCGATCCACGGCAGCTTCTGCATGTCTTGTGTGCAGAAGCTGCCGCCAGGGTGTGCTCTAGTAAACAGCTAACATTCTTCCTGTAGCATATCGCCCCAATCTTTAAATCCACCGTCATAATATGCACAGGCTCCGGCATTGGTCCAGTTCTTAGTCTGCTCGTGGGCGCGCCACATCTCGAGTCTCCTCGACTCATTTGGAGCACGAAAAATCCTCTCGCAACTTACCAGAAAGAGATCGTCGACATGGTATACTCTCGAGATCCTCAAGCGATAGTCATCGATACCGGTATCAACAAGCGCCCAGACCTCGCGCAGCTGGGCTATCATCTCTACAAGGAGACCAAAGCAGAAGCGGTCTTCGTCATCTCGAACAAGAAAGTCACTCGGAAAGTGGTATATGCGCTAGAGACGCGCGGAGTTGCCGTCTTTGCGCCCATCTTCGATTCATGACCTCGAAACAGTGACGATCGCTTTACGATTTTTCCCATTCTCCTGTACATTCTGCTCGACGAGCTCATTTTATCACATCGCCCTGGCATTCGGAACCTGTCGCGATTGGCGAACGTCACAGCTGGACGGCCTCGAGAGCAGGCCGTTCGATTATACCCTAAGGACAGCATTGTTTGGATTATACGAGTGTCGATGTATCTGTGATCAAAGCGCATATCCTCCAGCGTCAGATGCGTAGCAGAGAAGGCACGTAGAAGAGTAAGAGAAGAGCTCAGAGCATACCATGTTGTGGCAGACATATCCTGGCGAGGAGAATATTATCATTTCGGCACTTTCTGCGATTCCCTGAGTCTTTGTCCATCCGTGCCCACTACGACCGGGGTGAGCACCATCCGAGTCGTCGCGAACTTTGTAGAGAGTGGTGATTTGCAAGGAAGATGCCATTCGAGGAGGTTTCAGCACGGGCAAGCATGACTCTCGCTGATCGTAGGGCTGGAAAAGGAAGATGTTATTCATTGGGATTGCTTGCTGCTTTTCTCTGAGCTGCTGACTGCGCTTCTGGCATTTGGCAAAGCCGCAGATTCAATACTCTGCATGGTCTCCCTATCTGGTTCTCACATTTGAGCAATGCAGCAGCGCTGCGGTGTGCGGCCCTCCTGAGCAACCTTTCATCTCACTCGAAGTCTGCTCTTCGCCTTGCGGAGTCAGGCCCATCACACCTGCCTTCATCAACTGACTTCGCTCCTTGCTGCGCAATGTCAGAGGATGCTTGAGGACGAGACTCCGCAGGCTCGACTTACCTGTAAAAATTCCGCCCGAGCTCCGCGAATGCATTACCGTGTCACCGTACAAACGCAGGAGGAACCCATCGGGTTGAGAACATGACGACGGGCACGAACATGCTTCGCGCTGTGCTCAATTCTGGCAGACAACCTGCTACGCATTAGTATTGCGACAGAAGAGGACGGAAAGCACAAACCTCTTTCTGCCGTTTATCATCCCTGAGTTCTGGCACGGAGCTGCGCCATCGCCTTGACGGCTTTATAGGCGTTGTCCGGTGTACTTCCCTCCTCTACTCTGACGACCATCTCCTCGATATCCTCGGCAGTGAGGTAGCGTGATTGGGACTGCAAGATCGACCGGACAATGCCATCACTCTTCTGCAACTTGTCTCTCTTGTTACGCATCTTCTTCAGATCAGCACGCAGTTCTTCCTTTTCTTCCTGCTCGGTTTGCTTGAGCCGATCGAGAACCTTGGTGCGCATGACACGTTGAGTCTTGAGCTTCGGGCTGCTCGTTGCCTGGCTTGCGGACGATGGCACAGCATCTTCTACCCGAGCAGCCGTGGACTCTTCTCGTGTTTCGGACTTGATGCTGGGGCTTAGTGTCAGATCGATCGTGGGAGGTGTTGTAGTCTGCTGCGCTGGAGCAATTGAGGTTGTGCCACTTGGTTTCGAACCCGTAGTGGCAGGCTTCTCGATTCGGTCTTCGAGCGGCCTGGATTCGGCAAGTCTTTCAACAGATGCTCCATCGTCTGAAGAGTTGCTCACGCGTTCGAGTCCTTGAGTGAATTGGGCAGGATCGACCTCCTGTGGGCGTTCAATTCGTGCTTCAAGTCCAGCTGAGATGTCCTTGTCTTGGTCGGCGTGCTTGTTCAATCTCTTGCCGCCCCTCCGATTTTTCTTCTTTTTTCTCTCCAGCCTGAGTTCCTCTCTACCATACATGTCGTCGTCCTGTTCTGCATGGTCATCTCCTCTAAGCGGCTCGGCGCCAACCTTCGGTCTCACAGGCAATTGAGCGTCGCTATCTGCTGCAGATGTGACGTTACCACTGCTGTGACTGCTACGGGAGACAGTCTTCTTGCCCTTGGTAGATGCGCTTGGTCTGCTGCGCGTAGATGTTTGCGAAATGCCATGCTGTGTGCTGGAACTATGTGTAGCAGTGGAAGCCTTTGGCGTAGGCTGGATGTTGGTAGAAGAACTCGAAGCTTTCTTGGCTACCTTCGAGCGTTTCTCAGGGCGAGCTTGATCGTCATCGGAATCGCTGTCGACATGGCCCTTCCTCTTGCTGCTTGTCGCAGCAGGGGTCGACTTGGCAGAGCTGGGTTTGACGATGGCGGTTGTCTTCTCGATAGGCTCTTCGTATTTACCAAGGGCTTTTGCGAGAAAATCGTCATCATCCCAGCTACTCAGACTGCTGTCATCGTCATCACTGGAATCATATTTGGTGGGCGCAGTTGGGCTGGTCTGAGTCGTCAAAGAATTGCGTGACGCGGTCTGTCGATCTTTGGAGCTGTCCGTGGGTGCACTAGGAAGTCCAAGAAGGCGACCATCGGGAGCGCTGGCATAGACTGGAGGGATACCGTCGTATCTTGCCGACTGTTGTTGATCATTACTCGGGGCTGCGCGTGGCTGCGGTGTTGCGGGCGAAGATGGAAATGGTTCAGAAGGAATCATGTACTTTCCCCAGCACGATCTGCCCTGGCTCAGGTATCCCCAGAGGAATCTGATGGCTCCAGTCACGGTCTGGACGATCACGTTCGTGGCAGGCATGTCGAAGAACTCGCTTGGAATCATGGTACTCAGAAATGCCAAGAGTTCGCCAGTGGTCCACCTGCGCGATGTCTGGGGCATCAAGCTGAAATCGGGGCGAAGGTATACTGGACCAATCAAGTATGCGATGGAAATGGACCGATGAAGTGTCACATTGAACCCATGTCTGTTCGGGTGCGTGAGCTCGAAACCCGGTAGCACTGAAGCGAGCGCCGGTACCAGGCGTTGCCACTTCCAGTACTCAATTGATGGGATATCCTGCCACGCAACATCCAGGACGGCAGCGCCGCTGAGACCCGGAGTGGAAGTGGCGTCTGCAGAAAGTCAGACTGCGTTGAGCATGAGGACAGCTTAACGAATCTATGATCTTGATCTTTACTTTCGTCGGCACAAAGTCGCCATGTATGCCGGCTGCCTCGAGCTGCACATTCTGTATGACTGGCAGAGCGCGGGAGAGATCGAAGGTCTTCTCGACTTCCTCGAAGCGTTCCCTGAACGACGCCATGTTGCGCAGGTAGCGGAGAGAAGACTGGTCTGAAGACGGTTTGATCTGCTCTGGAAAGGCAGACACTTGGATGAAGAAGTTGTGTACAGCGTTCGCTGAATGTTCGGGCAGAGACTCGAAGTGCGAGAAGTTGTTTGTGCAGAAGTGCCAAGACCCAAGTAAGATTGGTATCAATTCACCTCGTCGCGAAAGTGCCAGCGACCATTGCCTCGGAGAGCCTCCTGATATCTCCGAACTACCTCCTCCCGCACCTTCACTGCCACAGCAGCTCTACTCTTCTGGTCCTCCTGAGAGGGCGGAAATTCCGTGCTCCAGTAGTTTGGCTGCAACGGTGCTCCAGTCTCAACTCCCTGCTGCTTTGAGTGCGCGAATCCTTCTGCTATCTTCCTCAGTCTAGCGTCATGTATCAAATTGATCCTGGCAGCTTCTGTCATTGCAGCTATCCTCTCATCCGCACCTTGTCCAAGAACCTCTCGCAGTAGGTCATCATCTGACAGCTCGTCTCCCAATATTGCACCTAGTGGTTTACGTCTTTGTCCACCAGGTCTATCCCATTCCTCCACGTACTCCGGATTCAGCTTGAAATCCGATATCGACAACTCCCCCACCGGTCTCTCCCTCAGTGACACCTTGCCATCCTGTGGTTTTGGCGCCTTGAACCTCGACCTCTTCGCACCCTGAGCCTGCTCACTGACATCACTTGAGCTTTTGCGCATTGCCGGTATTGCTCTTGTTGTTGGTAGGCCTGTTGTTGGCCGTCTTGATTGAAGTGCGTTGGTTGTTGGTGCGGGCGCAGCAAGGAGCCCGCCGAGTCGTGAATGAGCGTCTTTGCTGGCCGCTGACGCATTGGTAGGCGACTTCGTGCTTTTCAGCTTAGGTGTCGTGTGCTCGCCATCTTCCGTCAGAGAAGGAATGGCCGCAATAGCCTTTCCAACACGAGTCAGAGCAGATTTGGTGTTGTGAACCTCTCGCAGTGGAGCAACCTCTGTGCTTTGCACTTCTCGTAATGGTGTAGATTCGCGAGTGCGCTGCCGCTTCCTAGGCGGCGGTGACGACTCGACCTGGACATGCGGAGTTGGCGAAGACTGACGTGCGGGCGAAACTGGTGTGGCCGGACGCGGTGTATGCTCGATCTCATCCGAGAGGATCACGGGCGAGGAAATATGTGGATTTTGCAGTCGCCATTTCCGTTCCTTGGTCTGGACAGTCCGCAGTTCCCGCTTCAACACGTCAATTTCTGCTTGCTTGGATGCGAGCTCTGTGAACAGTTTCTCGATGTGCTCCTGCTGATCCTCCAGTTGCTTTTGCTGATCTTCCAATCGCTTGGCGACAACTTGTCCTTGAGACAGAGCCGTAACAAGTGTGTTCTGTAGGTGTGCACCGGTCACTGCTGGCGTGACATCACCCATAATTCGTTATACCCTCTCAGGAAGCCAGCAGTGCCAGCCAGGAACCTGCCTTAGTGATCAGGTCAGGGACGACGGCACTCGCTGGTTGTCAATTGTACTGAACTTAAGCCTTCCAAACGCGTAAAAGTGGCCGCCTCGCGGGCCTCCACCCGAGGTTTCATTGAAACGCAGAAGTGGTCGCCGTTCTCCACCGTAGTTTCAACGCTCGAGATGATAATCAGCGGCGACAATCTTCGCCATCCTTAGCATTTGCAGTCAGTCGGCCACAATGAAGAGGAGAAGATCAGATGAAGACGATGCAGCCTCTCCGCCGGCCAAGCGCTCACGTAGCCGGGGTATACGGTCTCTAGCAGACCTCAGCCCCGAAATCCTTCTACGGATCCTATCATCCTTGCCGATAAAGCAACTCACCACCCTCGAACTCGTGTCGAGAGACTTGAGGCGTCTCGCCCTGGATTCACACCTATGGAGGGTCAAGTACTACGAGGACTTTGTCGAGTCGCGAGCGAAGAGAATACCAGCCGGAGCCAGGCCTAGTCCGACGAAGCTTGCAAGGTGGTTGGAGCACGGCGAGGCACTGAGAGATGGAGAGAAGGTGGACTGGAAGAAGCGGTACAAGCTCAGACAGAACTGGACGAGAGGTGACGCCCGCTTGCACGAGGTCGAACTGGCGAAACCTTCCGCCCCAGCTGTGCTGGCTCGAGTTCGCAAAGGCTTGGTCGTCACAGCCGACGCCGAACATGGGCTAAGGCTATGGTCTCAGGCTCGCAGTGGGGAGAAGCCTGACGCTCAGATCGACCTCGTAGATGAGCCGACATCACTTGCTGTCGACGAGGACCGCATCGCTGTTGGCTTCTGCGACCACGTTGGCATCTTCGAGGCGGGCCCTGACCGGAATGTTCGCCACCTCTTTGATCTGGAGGAGCCATCTATGGTGACTTCTGTTGCCTTCGCCAAGCCCTATCTGGTCACGATGACCGAGCACAGGAAAATCGAGCTCTACCAAGTCAACGAGGAGGCAGGCTCGACTACGTCTCTGGCTGTCCTACATGCGGATGCAACATTGCAGCCGGCAGCATTGTCGTTGCGGAGCACGACGAGGAGTGTGGTTGCGACAATTGCCTACGCTTTCAGCAGACTGGGTGAAGGCTGGTGTCTGGGTTTGCAGGAGATCAAGCTTTCGAAGCAGGATGGTGTCGTTGAAAGCAGGCTCGCATCTAATATTGACACACCACTGGATTCCCTGTACAGAGGATCGAAGCAGTGGGAAATCACATCACGGTCTGCTTTCTCAACACCACTCACAATGCCATTCTCGCTGAATCCCGAAGTCAAGCATCCGCCAACATCACTGTCATACTCCCATCCCTTCCTGCTTGCAAGCTTGACGGACAACACCATTATGTCCTACATTGTACAGTCTGACGACGAAAGGCTAGATCTCAGCTCCGGCAAGCGGCTCTTTGGCCATACCTCCGCCATTACGGCAGCCGAAGTATCGAATCGTGGGAAGCAGTCTCCGTCAGTGCTCGCGGCGATGAGATTCGAGTATGGGAGCTGGAAGAAGTGCTGACAACTGCCCGTGGTCGTCCAAGTACCCAAGTGAAACCACGCAATGGCGCGTTGGATGTCGCGATGGCATTAGCAAGGAGGGGCCAAGGACTGGGTCTGGTGCTGCAGGAAATGAAGAAGGAGCTGGCTATGACGAGACGATGGGTATCGTTCGATGATGAACAGGTGGTCGTGCTGGGGGAGCGAGACCAGAGACAGATTATGGCTTGCTACGACTTCTCATGATGAACGTTTAGAATCTATGATGAGCGACATTCTGGTACATACGATCTGGGTAGCAATATACGAGAATCGCAGGTCAGCAAGACTGCTGCAAGTGAGCAACGTTCAGCCATCCTCCAGGGTAGGGTACTTAACCACCAGAGCTGCTTCTAGTCGGACCTTTTGCAGTAGAAACCCGCAAATCGCGGGGCATGGCAAAATTGCCGAGTCCCACTTTTCCGCATATTCACTGCACCGCAAGAATTCTTGCTGCCCTTCGCTTTTACCATTTCTCGTCCACAAATATTTGGCAATAGTATTATTGTCGCCGACGAGTTTCCGCACGACGAAGGAGAGACATCGAGACTTCTCACCCTCGACATTCCCTAAGACTCAACCTCAAAGCAACCTCACATCGAATCTTCGAATTCGCCTCCAAGAACACCCTCCCAAGATGGATCGCGGTTGCTACACCTGCGGTGCCTCCGACCACCAGGCTCGCCAGTGCCCCAAGAAGGGACCACCCAAGTGGTGAGACCCTCTTATCTCTCCATGTCAACGATTTATCCTCGCGCAATGCCGCCGACGAGAACTCGTGGACCATGCGAAAAGATACCGCAAGAATGAAAGACTGATAATGGTGACTGCAGCTACAACTGCGGCAACGAGGGTCACATGGCGTCCGAGTGCACTGAGCCTCGCGCTGAGCGCCCAGCTCGTTCATGCTACAAGTGTGAGTCGTTGCTTCCGTCATTGAAACTGTGAATATGCAAGTGCTGATTTGTGGGCAGGTGGCAAGGAAGGTCATATCTCAAGGCAAGCGCAATGAAACTCCGTCTACATGTCTAACCCATAATAGAGACTGCCCTGATGCTGGTGGCGCGTCCGGCGGCTACGGCGGCGGCTGGGGTGGCAGCGGTGGCCAAGGCGGCGGTGGCGGTCAAGGTTGCTTCAAGTACGCTTTTCAGTCCCCCAATGCTGACTACTGCTAACGTCTTCGCAGGTGTGGTGGTAAGTGACGCCTCTTTCTGCGATCTCCCAATATCCGAAACGACATCGGCACATCCGCGTACCAGAAGGTTTAGTTTTGGTCTGGATGCTGATTGCTTTACAGGTCAGGGTCACTATGCCAGAGACTGCACATCAGCCCGGCGGCGGCGGTAGCTTCGGCGGGGGTGGCTATGGCGGTGGCCGTGGCGGTGGGTACGGTGGAGGCGGCGGCGGCGGCGCATGGACCTGCTACTCATGTGGTGGCGTTGGTCATCGGGCCAGGTAAGAAGTCGTCATGCATGATGCTTCACATTTGCTGACTCGAGGACAGAGACTGCACTTCCGGCGGCGGCGATGGAGGTCGTGGTGGTGGCGGGTTCGGCGGGTCAGGTGGAGCTAAGTGCTACAACTGGTATGAGATCTCGACTACCTTGAATCGAGGATCGTGTACTGACGTTCTCCAAAGCGGCCAACCCGGTCACATCTCACGCGAGGTAAGTCGCACCTGACTTCGTTCCGAAGGCTATTCCAACTAACCTGTTATGCAGTGCCCAATGGAGCAATCCGGCGAGAGACTCTGCTACAGATGCCACCAACCTGGTCATCTGTCCAGCCAGTGCACCCAGGCCTAGACACCCACCGATACCCTCGCATGACGAACAGGCAATGTCTCACACCACACCATGACTCTGGCACTCATCCTCAACACCTTCGGCGCAGCGAGTATCACGCTGCGACCACCCCGTCATCCCAGCAGACCTCCAAAAGTCCAGAGTTGCGGCACGTGAGAAGTAGGCGAACGATCTGAACGAGAGCGAAACGACTTGCTCCCCACACACACGACAGGCGCGAGCAAAAAGTCGACACAAAAATTATTTCAAGTTGCGGGCGAAGCCACCTTTATTATGGCCATTGCCTCCGAGCGCGAATGGCGGCAGCGAATGAAGTTTCAGCGAACGAACTGACGAAAGGGAGGTGGCGAGAGCTATCTGAGAAAAACGAATGGGACACGTTTTGATGGACGAGATCTCTCTTCTTGACAGCGAAAGGAGGGAACATCTTGTTCATTGCAAAATCACGATTGATAAGGACTGACATCGAGCGATCAGATGAGAATAGTGAATGATATGAAACTGACCTCACGGACATTTCCCTGCTGGCCATCTAGCCTAAATATTTTCTGCGTTGTGCTTGTTTGTTAGCTTCTCTACCCTTGGGGAGCTTTGCGTCAGCAGAACCGGTATGCAAGTTCATTGTACTCGTCTCAGGCAAAAAAGACGGAGCGCAAAGTCACGAAGTGCTCGCATTGCTAATCGTTGCGAGCAGCTCGACGGGGTGGTCAATTGCTTGGACAATTAGCGGAAAGAGCTGTGCAGACAGGCATCTTCTACAGTAGACGCCAGGACACAAAACAGGAGGAGAACGACGCTGGGCTTGGGCGTGCGCCTCGTTTCTTGACCGGCCAGGAGACGGCGCATTTGGGGAATATATATGTCCAGTGCAGCGTCGTAACATTAAGCACGATCCTCGCTGAAGTTCCTGGTCTGAGCTACAATGCCACATTTGACCAGACGTCTGCTCCTCCAACACCACCATGCAAGAGGCGAGGAATACCTGAAGCACCGCTATTGCAGCCGCCTCCTCGCTCAGACTACTTGTACATGGGCAACGGCAATCTGTGTATCTTCATAAGACGCACACCGGCGCCATCCAAAGCATATCGAACTTTTCGCTTCGTGAGGTAGCAGGTCGGAATAAGCTCACCGGAGACCCAGCCTGCCAAGAACACCTCCGCTACCAGCTGCAGGAGCGCTCTTGCCTTCTAGCACGCCAAGGATGTTCTTCCACACCAGACCAGGTTCTTGGCTGGCGTCGATGCCGCTCCAGATGTTCTTCGATTTGTAGTATGCCACGACGGGTGTTGTCTGCTGGTGGTACGTGGCTAATCGTTTCTTGAGCGTGTCTGCGTTGTCGTCACTTCGTTGGATGAGAGGCTCGCCGGTGATGTCGTCCTTCATCGATTCCTTGGGAGGGTTGAAGACCTTGTGGTAAGATCGGCCCGAGGCTGGGTGGATGAGGCGGCCAGTGATGCGGGAGACCAGGAGACCATCGTCGATCTCGAGCTCTACGGCGTGCTTGAGTGGTTTGCTCGTCTCCTCCAACATCTTGTCGAGTCCTTCAGCTTGCGCGACTGTTCGAGGGAAACCATCGAGGATGAATCTGTCCATATTAGTTTATTGCACCTTTTGTGTGGCTGGAAACCTACCCGTTCCGGCAGTCGCTGTTGTTGTTGAGCTCGTTCTTGATCATGTCAATCATGATGTTGTCCGACACTATTGCACTTGTTAGACTAAAGATGAACCGGGAAGACCCAGAACCGGGCAGTTGATTTCTTGCCCGATCCAGGTTCATAGGTATATATACCAAGACCACCCTGATCCATTATCTTCTTTGCCGCCTTGCCGAGATCTGTTTTCTTCGCTACCTGGCTGCGAAGCATGTCACCTGTTGCCTGTACCCGTTAGTCTCGGTCGCCTGCGCACGCGGATTCGACTTACCAAGTGGCACACGCAGTATTTGTCCTTGATATTGGGCGCTTGCTGCGGGTCTAATTAGCTTCTATGCTCCGAGCAGCGCTCATCCTGATGCTCACAGTTCCCTTGCCAGCGCCCGGCGGTCCGATCAGGACTAAGCGGGCGCCATCTGTTGAGGCCGGTTCGACTTTGCCGGAGATCTTTTGTTCGAGAGAGTGGACGCGGCGCTCGAGAGCTCTGACGAGCTCTTTGAGGTCGTCTGCCTTTGTGTCTATCGGCGCTACGCCATCTGTTAGCGTCTGGTTGCGATACAAGAGGGCTGTCGAGTGAGAGTCGCAGTCGGATGTGGCAGCAGATGCGCCGAACGGAGTCCACGCGAACTCTGACAGATTCGATCACAACGATCACGGAAGGACATTTACTCACCCATGATCAACTGCTTCCAGCGCACGCGAAATAGAAAGCAAAAATGTGAAGTTCCAAGTTTGGATACCGTGAGTGAGCTGCAGTGCCGTTACTCCGAGTCCGAGGCAAGCTGCAAGCAAGCTTGGCACCGGAAGCCGGAGAAGATATCCGCAGACGCATCACCTCGCGACGCCTTGATGAAGTTTCCAAAGGCTGAGAGACTCAGCCTTTGATCTTGCATTCTGACGGACACCTCAAAACTCTGATATATCGATTCACAGTGGAAACCTCCGGCGACTCCCAGACGAAGCTGACATTCACAACTTCCCGTTCTTCTCAAATTGTCAGTTGAGCAACAATTAAAGATGCCCACCACGACCAGCGATGCTCTCAGTCTGGTCGGGCAGGTCGTTGTGATCGCCCCACTCGTCCTCCTCTCCGCAGCAGATCACTACCACAGATCGGCCAAAGGAACGAGACGGCGAGTCGTAGGATGTCTGCTCGGGTCGAAGGAGGGAAACCGTGTGAGAGTCACGAACAGTTTCGCCATACCATTCGAGGAAGATGAGCGGGACAGCGCCGTCTTCTTCGCAGATCACACATACATTGAGAACTTCGCCGAGATGGCCCGCAAGGTCAATGCCAGAGGTGAGCCCGCTTTCACCTCCTGCTTGTGTGCAAGGCTGACCAAGATACAGAACGAATACTAGGCTGGTACCACTCCGGTCCACGGCTTCGCTCCAACGATCTCTTCATCAACGAACTCTTCAAGAAGTATACGCCAAATCCGCTCCTCGTTATCATCGACGTGCAACCCAAAGAGGTCGGCGTTCCCACGGACGCATACTTCGCCGTCGACGAGATCAAAGACGATGGCACCAGCACAAGCAAGACCTTCGTCCACACTCCATCCACAATCGAAGCCGAAGAGGCAGAAGAAATCGGCGTCGAGCACCTCCTCCGAGATATCAGAGACGTCGCAGTCGGCACGTTATCCACACGCATCACCGCACAACTACAGTCTTTGCAAGGGCTACATCTACGGTTACGAGAGATCGGCGCATATCTTCAGAAAGTCCTCGATGGCGACCTCCCTGTGAATCACGACATCCTTGGCAATCTGCAGGACATCTTCAACCTCCTCCCAAACATCTCTACCCCACCCGCGTCGAAGCCCGGCGCAGCTGGCAGCGTTGAGAACAGTGAACTGGCACGTGCCATGCGTGTCAAAACAAACGATCAGCTCATGACCATCTACCTCAGCTCGCTTGTCCGAGCCATCACGGCGTTCCACGACTTGATCGACAACAAGATCCAGAACCGGCAGCAGGCGGAGGAGAAGGAGGGCAAGAAGGACGAGAAGAAGGTCGAGGACGGCAAGAAGGAAGAGGGCGAGAAGGAGAAGACGAATGGTGCCGTCAACGGTGAAGCGAAGAAAGACGGAGCCGCGGCGGAGGACTCGTCGAAGACACCCAAGAAATAGATGCCTCTACCATGAGACACTGCAGAACGTGAATTGTACTGGACTGCTTCGAGCATTAGCATTGGCGTTCATCAGCTCGGCCGGGAGTCGGACGGACCTCCAAAAACGAGATAGAACGGAAAGGTCGTAGACTGTGTACTAAGTAGACGACGAGCAATCAGGATCATGCATACTGATCAGCCTGACTACCTCAGCATCCCTTCCACGTTTATCGATCTCCCCATCCACCGCCCCAACCCGCCATCTCCTCCCTGTCACTAACTTCCCTCCTCCAGCCCTCACTGCCATCCCATGCCCACTCCGGCAGGCTCCTCGCCACGCATGCCGCCAGGATATGCTTGCACACCGGCGCCGGCGAATGCGGCTGCGTGATTGTCCCTCCGAAGCGGAACACTGGTCCCTCTACTGGTCCAACTGGTGACTCCGTAGGAGGCTCTCCCAACTTGGCTGAAGGTCCATCGTCATCCCCTTCACCACCGTCATCAATCGACAACAAGTTCAGCGCATTGAACGCAAACGCCGCGCAACTGCAGTTCCAGCTGTCGAGGTGGACCTCGTAGAAGGTGTCGGTCGGTTTGGGCCGGAGGGCGTTGCGGTAGCGGCCTGTTGATGTTGATGGGGCCGCTCGGCTGGTTGCGAAGTCGTTGGTGCCTGGCGATGAAGTGATCTGGTTGGGGTTGATGCTGGTGGGGTGGTCGGTGACGGCCGAGGCGGATTGGATGTAGTAGACTTCCTTGGCCGAGTTCTTCTTGGGTGCGGACGGGTTGTCGACTGCTTCGGCTTCGGTGGTGGGATGGTGATCAGAATTGGTATTCGTGTAGAGTAGACAGCGTACTAGCCCACGATCAAGTAGATCTAACGCCGGCAGCAGGTCGTGCGGGAAGAGGAAATGTAGTGTCAAGAAGATGTGCTTGGCCAGCGAAGAATGTGGTTGTGTCAGAAGTTTGAGGACGTTCGGTTTGCGCTCCGGAATCACGAATGATCGTCTCTCATTCGAGTCGGGGACAGGCTGCTCGAGTGTGCTTAGAGCGTCGAAGAGTGATGTGATGTTTTTCGAGAAGTCCATATACTGAGGAGGAATGCAAGAGTGCTGAGCAATGGTGAGGGGAACACTTGATCTGATTACCGTGAAAGAGTGAGGTGCGAGAACGTGGAGGTCTGCCGAAGTGTTGTACAGCGACCACGATCATCTCGATGTCCGTGGAAGAGAGTTATTAATGGATAGTCAAGGAGTAGCATCAGATCATGGCAAGAATTAGAATCTAGATTGTCCGCTCAAGAAGTACCTAATAATCAACATATTATAAAATGTCCTGTACATCCAGATCACTACATTTTTATTCACATGACGTCCACAACCCTGTCCGTAACGTGCACAGCGTTGTCCACGACATTGTCGTTGAGATTGCGAAGCAGCTCAAATACGCCCGCACTCCTGAGCATCAAGGCCAACCCAATGGCGAGTATAGGTATCTAATGAAGAGTTAGCAACAGGTAGAATCTGCGAGGAGAGTGTACTCACCCAGATGAAAAACAACTTTCTATCCTGACTCAATTCGACGCGTTTGATGTTCCTCCTAATCAACATATCGCCCATTTCATCGCTCTGCATTCGAGATTGACCGGACGACTGGGCTTCAAAATGCTGGTCTGCCATATTATCTGCTTCAGCAGTCTCCTCGGACAACTTCTTCAGGCTCAGATCATCCGCTGATGGCCCGTCCGCTGGAAACAATGATTCGTATGCTGGCGGCTGTTGGGTCGGAGAAGGTGATCGATTGCCAGTCAAGGTGTCCCACCACCCATCAGTTCGACGCGAATGCGACCGCGAAGAGCCAGGCCGTTGCGGGAAAAGCTGGCTCACACGGCGAACCATGTTGGCTTGATACTCAGCCGGGAAGCTGGGCATGATAGACTGTAGCGCCTGCGTTGCTTCATTGTATCTTTGAATGTGATTCTGCAGCTGGTCGCGCCAGGCCGCCATGCTGAAAGTATCATTGGCCTGCGGAGGAGGCGACTCGATCTTGAGAGGCGTGAGTTGACGACTTCCACGTCTTGACGAAGGGCTGCTTCTTGACCTGGTCGGTAGGAGCTCTTGAGGCCAAGCCTCGTCCTCGCTATCTGAATCCGTACTGTAGTTCGTGTCATGCTCCCAGAAGGAATGAAGCGAGGAAGAGCTGCCATTTCGACTGTGGAGTCTCATGGGCGTCCCACCCAGACTTCTAGACCGGTAGTGGGCAGATGGAACAGTGACAGCCTGATATGCGTGGAGTGAGGTCGCCATATCTGCTGGCGTGAAGTTCTTCAGACTCCGGACACGATGACTTGCTCCCGACATCCGCAGACGATGAATGATATGTGTATGGCCGTACGACGCGGCGTGATGCATTGCCGTGTGTCCATTGTTATCGAGCAGATGAGGATTGGCGCCACGTGCCAGAAGACCGGCGACGAAACGAGTAAGTCCCAACGACGATGCGAGATGCAGCATTGTCAATCCTGTAGGACGGCGCATATCTAGTCGCTCGTCAACGCTGTCGGTGCTCTTAGATCCATAAAATCCAAAAGTTGAACCATGGTGTTCTCGAGCTCGAGCGTGTCCATTGGAGCGCCGCCCCCACCCCTTTGCTGACCCATATAGCCAGATGGCGCGCCCCACATTGATTGCTGAGATCCCTGGAGAAGCTGTTGCGCAGCTGAGTATGGATCATCAGTCGGATGCGACATCTGCTTGCCAATTGTTCTCAGAGCCAGCCTGAACATCTCCAACTCCCGATCATCGGTGTAGGTGAAGAGCATCGGCCTAGCTTGTGGGCTTTGTTGCACGTAATTGCGATGCTCATGCTTAAACACGACACTGACCGTGCCTGGCTGTAATGCAGGCGGAGCAATACAGTTCAGACACTTCTCGCCCCAAAAAGTCGTGGTCGTAGCCTCAGTATCGCCAAACATGACCTCCAATCCTTGGTAGAAGCCGTTGCCAAGTAGCGTGACTTCAGTACCTCCTGTGACCGAACCTTCCGCAGGTACGAGCTTGTGAATGAGCGGAGGCGCCCGTCTTGTTTGGTTCATGAGCTGATTATTGACGCCGCTCAGTGTCTGCTCGGGGCCGCTGAAGCTATTCCTGCCAGATCCTGGGCTTCCGGGTCTGCTTGGTTGTCGAGATGGTGGGGCTGAGATCATGACTTGTCTTGGGAGATTTTCGAGCGAGAAAGATCTGTTGATGTAATCGATTCCGTTCGGAGTTGGAGGACTGGTTCCCGTGCCAAGTGGCCGCATAGGCGCAGGGGCTGGGAACGCGGATTGAGGTGGTGGCATGTAGGCACTGATATTCTGGGCATACGGAGAGTTTGCGGCGGACATCGATAGGGGCTGCTGTGGTGGTTGAGCTGGCGCTGTATCAAGCCTGGTCATTGTCAAGCCTGTAGGTAGCTTCCCCGATCCACTCTGCTTCCGCTTCTTCGCCGTGGGACCTTGCGGTCCGCTCGGCGAGGCAGGCCTCGACAAGGCATTTCGAGGCGTTATTGTGCCTGATGTTGTGTTCGATATCGCAAAGGGATTGCTCGACGTCCCCATAGGAAAGTTCGGGTTGAAATTGTTCTGCAACCCATTTAGATCAGTGGTCGAAAATGACTGCTTGAACATCTTCGGCACTTTTGGAGCAGGCGCGGGTGTCTCGCCAGTCGTCTGGAAAACGCCTGCACCTGGGACAGCAGGTGCATTCGGAAGCGGAATCGACGTAGGTGGAACAGCTGGCGCAGTGTGCGTCTTGTGATCGTCCGTAATCATGATTGGATTTGTCAAGCCTTGCGAAATGACACGTCCTCGATAGTCCTTGATAGTGAAGATGACTTGGAAGCCGAGCTTTTCGTTCTGATGCCGACAATAACAGGCGATGCGCATAGGTAATTCCACCTGCATGGACCCGGGCGGAGCTGAGTGACCTCTCGGAGCGGCGGACGCCGTGTCTTCAGGCGGTTCTCGGGGGACCTCAACCCAGTCCTTGATTTGGCTGGTGTTGAAGACCACAACTCGCTTCTCCTCGTCACGCGCAAAAGCCTCCTCTTCCTCAGGTTTCTTCTGCTTCTTGCGACCAGCCCGCTTGCGCTCACGCTGGATGCAGCCGGAGCAGATCCTCACCTCGCCACCATTAAGTGGCTTATCTTCGTCATCTTTGGAGGATGTAGAGGATGCGGAAGAATCTGGGCTGGGTCTGCTATATGCCGCAAGATCCTCTCCACGAGCTCTTGCGAGGGCTCTTTGCATCTTCACATTGTCTTGCATCGCACTCGTACAGACCAGGGACGTGTGCAACTCCAATGTCTCCACGCTGGGCTCATGTTCGCCCTTGATCAGGAACTTCGGCTTCGATACAGTGTTGCGTGGGAGCATCAGCCTTTTGGCTCCTGGCGGCATGGGCGACAAAGTCAGCGTGATCGGAATCTGAGTTTCGACGCGCGACTTGAGGGAAGTGGGTTGGATGATCAGTTGCGGTCTGCCATCATTCGCGGAAGGCACAGTCGACGGCGGTGAAGATATTCCTAGTGACGACGGCGTCGCGCTGGAGTCTGGTTCGAAAGAGAAGCCACCATTGAATTGCATGTTCGGTGAGAAAGTGGGATTATTAGGGGAGTCGCCATTCATGTTGATGGTGTTGAATGTCTCCTCAAGTCCAGCCGACGGAGAGTGTTTGCTCCATGGCGATTGACCTTGTGGGCCAGGAAGCATGGCATTGAGTGGCGACGCTTCTCGCGAATTCGCTATATAGAAACCAGGCCGCTGGCTAGTCATTCGCGGGGACGGTTGCTGGCCCTTGCCAAACCTGGTCACGTTGACATTTCTCTTCAGAGCTTGCGGCGTTGGGGAGTAGGACATTTGGGCATCGAGCCCACTCGGCGTGCTCGCGGCTGTATCGAAGTCGAAGTCGGTTGCCATCTGACGGTTACTGGCCTCGAACTCGCCGTCTACGCCGCCCATAGGGGAATCATTGAACATCTGGTTTGCGGGCATGGTGTAGCCGTTGATACCGGTGTCCCAATTGTGCGCAAAGGCACTGGACGCAGCCGACACAGCCGAGTCATTTCGCCGGTGCTGAACCGATTCATCCGAAGAGGAACTCGAAGAGCCTCTGTGGTTTTGCTGTGTATTGAAGGGACTGTCGTTGTTCGTCTCTTTCTTGATAAGATCGGATGGTTTGATCACGGCTTGAGTGTCGACCTCTTGTTCGGCATCGTTGAGGAAGGTATCGAAATCGTTCGGGGTGGCTGCCAGACTACCGTCAAAGAGATAGAAGTCATCGTCCTGCGTGGTCGTCATCGTTGAATCGGCCACCGCTGTGGGCCTGTCGAATTGTTTCAGGTCATGCTCGTGCAGTTCGCAGATGTGGTTAAACACTCGTGGGGCAGGATCGTTCGATTGAGAAACTGGAACCGGAACTCTCGAGTCGATGAGATCGTCTACTCTGTGGCTAAAGAGATGACAGCGTGGCCCGAAAATGAGACCATCGGTATCGACGACGATGTTACGACGTGTGTACGATATACGGCGATGAGTCTAGAACTGAAGTGCTAGACTCGACGGCCTGAGCTCAAACAGTGGGGGTCTTGGCAGACTCGTTGCAATCTTCAATGTTTGCTCTCTTTCCCAGTTTGAGCTGCTTACGCTAACTGAAGACTTTTCAGCATCAAGCACTGACTAGACGAGCATGCGTTACACCCTAACACGCCCGAAAGGACCGATCACGAAAAGTCGCTTCATTTTGCGGTGCGTGAATTGATGTGTTCTGCAGAACGCCTCTGGCCACCGGCCCGACTTTGCTGCAGGTCATCAGGGCCAGTGGCTCCCTCCCATTTCCCCAGCTTCCCCGATTCGCGTCGCTTAAATTTCCCTAGCACCGTCGTGGTCGCAGATAACCGCCACGACGGCAGCATCTTCCAACGATGTCAGCATTTGCGTCGAGGACTCTCCCTTACGCACATCGTTGATCTATGCTGCTGGGAGAATTGCAGCGCGTTGATGAACAATTTCTCCTCACAAGCAGACAATCAACATCGTAAAAGAGCTTCACGCCTCAAGCTGCTGTAACGTGGGAGGATTTGGCCACCACGGACTGGGCCGGCATATTTCCCCGGATGGGATGATCACATATTCCATCTGACGGCCATTGCCTCAAACCGGATAACAGCAGTCAATAATTCATGATTGGTGCGGTTGCATGCCCTGTGCTTCTCTTCATGTATGTTCCATAATGCCCTCCCAGTATATGTGGATGAAGCCTGTAAGCAGTTGCTCAACCCTTCACGAGTACCGGGGCGCTCCTGCCCCCGCCTGTGGTGTGACAGCAGGGGGAGCGTTGTTCTGTCCGGTGGTCTGCCTCGACGCCACACTTGTGGCAGAACTCTCACTCTCCTCGTACGTTGGCAGCCTCTTTGTCTGCTGATAAGCTGTTGGTGCTGGTGCTGGTGCTGGTGTTGCCGCCGAAGCTTTATGCTGAGCGCGCCTGCGACGAACCTCGAAAAGCACGACTAGGAACGCATAAAGTGCGAACATGGCCCCAGAAATGGCGCCGTAAACGATGGCAGAAGTCTGAGTCTGTGAGTCTGTGCGGAATGGCGAGAAGCTCGACAGCCGAATGCCTAGGCCTCCGTTGACGATCTGCCAGGTATCAGTAACCCCATCATTTGACACTTCACGACCACCAGAACTTACACCGAGCACAATCAGGCTCCGTCCAACCCAGAGATGTATTCTCCCTACAACAGTTCTGCCAGGAGCCTTGGTCGCGGTACCTTCATTTGCAGCCGCAGCGCGCTTCTTAAACGTCCGATGATGGACGAAGCCAAAGATGGGCTGAAAAAAGGCAATGGCTAATATGGCCAGTCCAAGTTGAGGATGAACATCGTCCCAGATGCCAAATGCGGATGTCTGCTGAGCGAGCCAAATTCCCATGCCTGCTGCAACGATGTAAAGCAGATACGCCAGGATCTGGAAGAATGCATGAAGTTTCAGGCTAAGGACCATTAGCATTGTCGAGTCATGCATACGCGGCGTTCGCACTCACACTATGGGACTCTTCAGATTGATGCGCAGCAACAGCGCCGCCCAAGGAACAAAGAGAACCCAGACAGCACTGGCAATGACGGCATGGGCGATGAGTATGGCGTTGGCCCGATCAAAGGATGCCGCACTGCCCAAGCCAAAGCCATTCTGCTCATTGCCATAGTAGTCGTTACTGTCGTCTCCGTCGTCATCGTTGCCGCCGCGATTTCCTCCCCAACCCCAACGACCACTTCCGCCATCTCCATTGCTTCCCCTTCCCCAAGGAGGATCCGCTCTGGCGGTTGCTACAACCAGAGCGCCAGCAATAGCATTTACAAGAGTGATTCGCAAGACCATTTTTCAATGTTGTCCTGGTAGTGCTGATGCCGATGAACTGAGACCGGTGCAAAGGACAGAAAGCAGAGCCTCTGCAGAAGAACGGAGGTAAAGCATCTTGTTATACAAGGACTCCGACCTGGCACGGAGGCTTCGCAGCGCCCTCACCTATTTCGAGGACAGATGAGCGCCCCCAACCAATCGGATTCACGGCAAATCGACGCCCAGCATTCTGAGGAACTGCCACGCGTCTTATCACCTTGCAGATCGCGGCGAAAGACCTCTGCCAAGCCCGACCCCCTCCTGCGAGGGACCAGGGTCTTCCGCGTACCTGAACGACATAAATCCTGGCCCGTCCCTTATTTAGTAGTAAGACGCATTTTTCTGATACAGCGACTTTCGCAAATGCACGAGCATGACGCGCGTTCCATGCAGCGGTCAGTGGCAGATGGTCAAGTTGACCTGATGGCAGAACATCGTATGTGCTTGAGAACGGTAAGTCACAACAGCGCCTGCCGATGATAACTAGGTGCAGTCGGTCATACCTGCCACAAAGTCCCGACTTGCAGAACGAGCACCCGCTTTCGCGACTAGCATGAGGCCATCATTCGGGACCAATTCCTTCTTTCACGAGTACGGCAGTCTGGCTCGGAGTCGGTAACTGTTGAGCATTCGGCAGCAGAAATCTCGAACTTGTTCTACTCCCTAGTCGATGCCTGGTGAGAGTGAGGTAATGTTCGCGACCGGCGATGTTGAGTCGACCAAATCTGGTAGCCGCTGGTAGCACCAGCATGTTACTCGCGACCGTGAGTCATATCGGTATTCTTCGATGGATTAAGGACAACAACCATTTCGATGACATTTGCGGACGAGATGTACCATACAGTAACTATTCGATGCTTTGACACACTTCCCTTCTCCTCCGATTCACAATCCAGGCCAGATGTTCTTTATGCTTCCTCAATTTCGGTCATACTGCTCCCTTTGTGCTGGTTAGCAGACTGAACGTCTTCAGCCTGCCAGCTGCTGTTCCACTTTCGTGCATTGGACACAACATTGAGGGTGCCAGAACTCTCGAAGAGCTCGTCGATGTCTTCCAGCGATCTGCCATTGGTCTCAGGAAAAAAGAAGTATATGATCGGAATGAAGCTCGCATTGAAGACGGCCCAAATGATCCAGTATCGGCTACCGAGATTCGTCAAGCCAGGAGGAGTGATTTGTCCAACCACGAATTGACCCAACCACTGTCCCGTGACAGAGATGGCCGAGATTGGCACACGAAGGCGTATCGGGGCGATCTCGCTCGCGTAGAGAAATGGCAGCCCTAGAAATCCAATGGCGTACGACACAGCATACAGGAACATGAAGGTCAGTGCGACAGGCGCGTACTCTGAACGACCTGCTGTTCCAGCCAACACAGCCATTGAGACACAGACCCCGAAAGCGGCCACAAGGAACAGCTTGCGACGACCGACTCTGTCCACGAGGAATAGTGGTAGGATCGCAGCCACGGTGAAGGTCGTCGTGAAGCCAGCGCCAAGCAGATGTCCTTGCGTACCCTCGAAACCAAGGTCCGCGAAAACGATGCCAGTGTATGATATCATGGCAGAACACCCGTTCCACTGTGTCATGCTCTGCGCCGCAAATGCGATGAGCGCTCGATGTAGTGGCCTCTCGGGCCTCCGTGTGAAGAATGACTTCACGTTGCCTGTGGTCAGCTCGAGCTGGCTTTGGATATGAGCTACCTCGGCGGAGACGTTCTCGTGATCCTGCGGTTTGTCCATGATGGCAGCAATGACATTGCGAGCGTCATTGACTCTGCCCTTTAACATCAGCCACCGCGGGCTCTCCGGCATCCAGAACAGGAAAGGCAAAGCACATATTGCCAGCACGGCTGGCAGTACCATCGTGACTCGCCACTGCGTTGATCCGTGCAGCGCAGGGAATGTGCCGAAGCTGATCCAGTTGGGAAATGTGATCCCGGCTGAGATGAAAATCCCCTCCATGATCACAAACGCGCCTCTGTGTTTTGTGGTTGCGCACTCGGTCTGCCAGACTGGGATACTGGCGGAAAGTATACCGATAGACCCTCCCACGAGCAGCCTCCCCACTATGAGCTGACCGAGGCTGTACGAAGAGGTCTCAACGGCTAGACCGATCAGAGACAACACCAATCCAATGCCGATTGACCTCAGACGCCCGAACACGTTGCCATATGCGATTGTTGACAAGGCTCCTGAGATACATCCAAGGTTATAGCATGCGACCACGATACCTGGGACATCAGTGTCTTGCACATTGCGGACCTCTCATGGTGAAAACATACCCAGAATCAAGGCATTGTAGGATTTTTCTTCTCCTTTTGTGGTGACCACATCGATTCTTGGGAATTGCTGACTCTGTCAGCGCTGCACACACAGCAAGACTGTTCGACTCACCTTAGCGAAAGATTCGAGATTGGTGATAGGCCCCATGGACCCATTATTGTATCCAAACAAGAGGAAGCTGGGCAATACAGTGAGCACCACCATGGCAATCTTCAACCTCAGCCCGCGCAGGCCGAAGAAGTCGGCCCGCTCGGCTGTGTGGACTCGGTCTTGTTGCATGCCGTGGGATCGTGGTTGGAATGTTCAGGAAGACAAGCATTGCTCTTGCTGAAAAGTTGGTGCCTTCTATATGTCCTCCAGCCTGTGGCAGGCTCTATGGAGCGCGGAATCGCCGAGATCAAGCTCGGACAAAATGGAAGTGGGTGGGTGTATCAAATGCATCTTGCTAAACGAAATCTGACGTGGGACATGGGGCAGGTAGGGGCAACCGACCATCAAGCGTTCACCAAGCTTTTAAGAAATCCGGGGGAGAAGCTTGACAAGACGCCGAGAGGATGTTCAGTGACTTCATAGGCAAGAGCACCCATCTGTCGGACTGCTTTGCGTGCATAATGCCTACTAGGTACCAGTGTGAGAGGGTTGTCAAGAGCAAGGAACGCCGAAAGGCCGAAGCTCCGAGACGCCGAGCACACGGCAGCCCGCCAGCATGTTTGCAGTCCCGTGTACTCCTGTGAAGAACGCCGCAGGCAAAGATGGTACTAGACTGAGCCTAGTTCAAGGTAAGCGAGACGGGTGTGTATGCGGGTGAAAAGAATTCAACGAGTGGACAATACGGATCTCGCTTTGCATCCTCCGAAAGATTGGAAGGAATGAACAAATAACCTCGTGACAGACCTATTCGAGATCAGAGGATAATGCATCCAGATCTACGCTTGCATGTGCAAAGCATTTTGCTATGAGATTGAGTCCTTTTATTTTCACAGTCCGTGATATCTTCTATAGCCTCGCCCGAACAATGCCAGTGTTTGCAGTCTTCTTCCACACCTGAACCTCAGACATCTGTAGGTAGCCTGGACTCGGGATCAATTTTGGGCCAAGGAGCTTCTTTTGAACTTTGCCTGTGGCGGTCTTGGGCAGCTCATTTCTCTCCACCCTCAGGATTGTCGGCAACTTATAGCCAGCAAGTCTACCTCTGAGATCCGATCGCAGCTTTGCGAGTGTCAGGTCCGGTATCGAATGAGCAACGACGATGGCTCCCACACGCTGCCCAAACTCCTCGTCTTCAACGCCAACAACAGCAGCTTCCGAGACGTATGGCAACGTGAGACATTCGCGCTCAATGTCGATGGCAGAGATCTTGTAGCCACCAGATTTTATTATGTCCACGGACGCCCGCCCGACGATGAAATAGTATCCATTTTCTTGCCGAGCGATGTCGCCTGTGCGATACCAGCCTTCGTCATCGTGTGCTTTCAACGTAGCTTCTGGATCAGCCAAGTATCTGCTGAGGTTAGCGAGGGACCGACGTATGAGACCATCGATCACTCACTTCGCAAACATGTTAGGTGACTTCACAAGCAACTCTCCTTCTGGGGAGATCCTCAACTCGACTCCTGGAACAGGCAGTCCAACGGACCCCCTAGGAGTGCTTGTCGGATCATATGGAACTCTCAGACAACCAGGTATCTCCGTGGCACCGTATCGTGTCAAAATAGGCGTTTTGCGGATGCTGCTCCAGTATTCCTGTACGTTGTCTTGCAGAGCGCTAGATCCGCACAAGAAGGCACGAAATTGGCGAGAAGCTTGCTTGTACGGGATCTGCTGCTGCTGTGGAAGTTTCTCAACGAACCATTTGAGGCGTTGGTAAATTGTAGGGACTGCTGAGAATACCGTCAACCCGCCTTGCAGCCAACGATCCATGACCGTCTTTGCGTCAAACTTTCCATGGAACTCGATACACGCACCGGCATTGAGAAACGGGAAGAATGAGGTACCCAGTCCAGTAGTGTGATGCACAGGAAGCGTGTGGAGAACGACGTCAGAAGCACTAATATCGTATCCGTCGCCAATTGCAAGGGCCGCTTCGTGGGTGTAGGTTCGCCGAAGTACCACTCCCTTCGGTTTACCTGTGGTTCCAGAGGTGAAGATGACGACCCCAGGACTGCGAGGATCTCGAGGCGGATCCGATGAGATGGTCATGTCTATAGGCTTAAGCGACGCCCGCGTAGGTAGATGTGGCAGGACCGTGATATGCTTAAGACCGCACTCGGATGCAGCAGCATGAGCCAGATTGGCCGTGGAAGCGCTCGACAAGATCGCTACTTGTTCTGATTTCGTAGCATAATATACGAGCTCCTCAAGTGGTGCCGCGGGAACTATAGCTGTTAGTGCTTGTGGTATAGCAGGACATGAGGTTGACATACACATAGGCACCACCGCCGCACCGAGCGCCAGCACAGCAAGGACGGCAACTGTGAATTCATATCCTCCAGCAGCCAAGACTCCAACGTAAACTTCGCGCCCTTCCTGGAGCCGTTCGAGGCCTTCCACGGGTATTGCTCCTTGCACGACTTCTCTGAACGACAGAACGGCATCAAGCAATTGACCGTAGGTCACAGTGACTCCGGCTGGGGCGTCTGTGATCGCGATTCGTCCACGGCGAGCGTGTCGAAGCAACCTACTGAAGAAAGGATCGTTGGGAAGTACGTGACGTCCCTCATGCCGAGGCACGAAATCCGCACGATCTCTCTTGGTTGAAGAACCCATTTCAGCGCTTGATCTGGCAACAAACTGTTGCATGTACTGACTGTGTGAAGGTTCGATTTGCTCTGTTGCAGCAGAAATGATGCCCAGCTGTGGCACTTGAAGATGCATAAGAGTACTCCCAAAGTGGAGTTGTGCGCAACCCCAATCGAGTTATTCGGGGATCGGAAGTTCGGCGTTTTGTGGTAATCGCAGTCGGCGCCGCGGCATCCCTGCTCCAGAACACCTGGGCACGCAACTCCTGTGGGTGTAGTAATATGATGTCGCACGAACCAGGCAACTGGTGCCATGCAGCATTCTTTAGTTGCCCCTAAGCGGCCGTGACTGTTAACGATCTGTCAGCCTTCGTTGACACCGTCGTAATATTCTAGCCCTGCCAGTGGCTCAGTAGCAAAATGGCGAGCGGAAGGTGCAGAGACGCCGTACCACTTGAGTATCGAGGGAAGATAGCCATCATAACGTTGGACAAGCCTAAGAAACTGAATGCTTTGACCAAGGATGAATTTTATCACCTTTCAAGGACTCTCGCCGAAGTTGCGAGGCAGGACGCTGTTGTTGCAACCGTTCTAACAGGAAATGGAAGATTCTTTTCAGCGTGAGCATTGCTGCAGGTCCAGACTGGCTCGTGCTAATGTGGACAGGGGCGCAGATGTGTCAGTCTCGCGACAAAGCCCTCCTGGCACCGATGTGTATCGGCAGCATCTCACTACGACCGTGGCGAGCAACCTGAATCTAGCGCGAGCGTTCTATACGCATCCAAAGATCCTCGTTGTCGCTCTGAACGGACCAGTTGTTGGGATGTGTGCAGCTGTCATTGCTTTCGCCGACTTCATATATTGTGTGCCGCAAACATACTTGCTGACGCCTTTCGCCAGCCTGGGATTGATAAGTGAGGGCGTTTCGTCGATTGCTTTTGCGGACCGCATGGGCATCTCCAAAGCGAACGAGGCGTTGATTTGGGGCAAACGGATCTCGAGTAGCGAATTGCTGGCCACAGGGTTCGTCAACGAAATCCTAGATTGTGGGCAAGATGCATTCCGAGAGAAAGTCCTTGACGAAGTCACCCAGCGCTTCCACGATGGCCTGAACCACTCAAGCATGCTCCAGATCAAGGATACCATCAGGAAGCGACAGCGTAGAGAGCTGGACGCACAGGCTGTCGATGAAGTGTTCGGTGCACTCGAGCGCAACGTCCAAGGGATTCCTCAGAAAGAGTTTGAGAAGCTGCGGAGAGGTCAAAAGAAACACAAGCTCTGAGCTCATTCCAAGCTCCGTCTCCCATCCCTTGAACTTTGCTTCGGCCTCCGAAGTGAATCTGTTGCGTCTCGCTCGAGCCGCAGTCGTGTCGTTGACCGCCCACACTCGAAGCTCTGTTCAAAGTCATGCGTCGTACTGATCTGGCTGATTCATCGCTTCAAAGATTCCCGCGATCAACCAGAGTCTTCGATTGCTGGAAACGATTCGGTGTACAAGATTTCAACCACAAAGTCCTCGCAAACGATAGATAGAGAATGTAATCAGGGCTGAAACAAATTACCGTCGTTCAAGATCCAGTCCTCAACGTGCTGGAACTGCATGAGGCTCGGATTCAGGCCTTGGGTAGGATCGAAGGCTGCGTTGAACTCCTCCATAGCTGAAAAGCCCTGAACTGGTATGTCGAGCTGTACATGGTGATACGAGTTGGAGTCCGCGCCAAGGAGCTGCTGGTTGATCGGCGTCCACATGCGGCAGTAGTCCAGATCTAAGGTCTCAAAGAAGTCCAGGGTGTGCTGGTCATCCATACGAGCCGGCGGAGCTGCGTTGAGTCCTTTCTGCTGACGCTTGCTGATCGCGTTCTTCAGTGCCTTGGACGCGCCAATTGCTGATCTCCAGCGTTTGGACAGCTCTGTCAGTGATTGCTGAAGCACCATCAAATCGGGCTGACATGAGTCCCACAGTTCATGATGAGGCATCGTTGCAACAAGAGCCATGCTGGATATTAGGCAGAAGCGAGTGAAGATTGGAGCCAGCACCTTGATTTCGTCACGCGCGACGAAGTCTTCGAAAAGGCGTGCAACAAATGACGCTGCCAAAGTCGCCGTGACCGACATGGAGCCAGCCGAATTCTGCATGCGCGAGTATATGATCAAGCTCGTAAAGTAAGGGATATAGAGTTGACGGACCGCAAAATTGTGACCGGCCGGAAAGAAGGTGTTGGCCAATTGGTTCTTGGGGATGATCTGAAGTTCTGCCGGCATGCCCTTGATCCAGCGATAAAGCATACCATCGATGTAAAGCTTCTTGGTTCGGGAAAGATGTTTCCGCATACAGCAGGTCGAGATGTCTCCAAGGACCTGACATATATCTGTCCATGACGAGAACAAATGGAAATTGAACTCCGACTCTGGGAAGTCGGAGCGCAAGGGTCTCTGGACGTTGCTGTCGTCGAGGTTGATGATTCGGGGTCTACCGTGCGCGACGCAGATCAACGAGTCGCGGTTCTGCGAGCGTCAGCACACTGAAGAGAGTGAATGACGTGACGCAGCAGAGACTGTGGGTAAACGTAGTATAGAGACTGATCAGTCGCAGTATAGACCGCTTAGAGGCAGTCTAGAGACTGATTAGAAGCAAGGCAGAGATCGATCTGACGCACTGGGAAGATTTATTCGGCGCAACGAAGAGATGGATCTGACGATAACTTACGGCTAAACTCCACCATAATTTACGGCGAATCGCTCTGGACGGTCCGGGAGAGGGCTCTCTGTGCAGGCCAATCTGGTGAGCCACACCTACACCTATCTTGAGCCAGAAGCCGCTGCTGTCGAAAGAGACGTGTTCGGGAGCCTGCGGATTGTACCACTGTAGCATGAGCGATGCCTTGACAACCGATACAGGCTGCGTTTCCAGACCAGACCAAAAGATTGCCTTTGCTCTGTGATAGAAGATGTCGGGAGTGGCGAAAGCTGCAACAGCGGGACCAGACGTGACACGGCTGCCGGCGAGCCACAGAGATTGTGCCAGCAACATTGACGACGGTGTCTGATCGCGCGAGAACTCTGCCACGTCGTCTGGCTCCAATACGGGCGTCCATACCTGGCAATGGTCCAGAAATGCACTCAAGAGGCTTTGTCGCAAAGCATGTGGTGGAATGTCGTTGCCCTTCCACAACTCCACGGTAGCTTGTTGTGTGCTCGCGTGCACTGTTGAAAACGCAGGCTCGAACGCTCTTGCTCTGCTTTCGTCGATTTCATCTTCATGCGACAAGTAGTGGTCCCTTCCAATGTAGGTAGGTTCCTGGGCCTGCGTGGCACGTCAGATTGGCTCGTGAACGGTTTGTATGAAGTGAAGCGGCGGATGACATTTTCTGTTTCCGTTTTCATAACTATGAAATCGTGGTGATCAGTGGATCGAGTGTGAATGCTCCCGCCTCCTTTCTCCATTGCAGAGACGAGAAGATGTAGTTTCATGCTTGGCATGAAAAGCTCATTCAAGCATATGGCAGAGGTCGTAAATCGATCTTATGGAGTGATCAATGCAGCTCAACACTAGACAAGACCTACTGCTGAACTATGAGAAATAGAGGCTGGTGCTGGCGCTCTTTGCCCAGCGCTTCTTGATTGCGGTGTTGCACCGTTGAGCTTACCGCTGTCATACGAGTTGGCGTTGTAGGTCTTCTGGCGCTGTTGAGGCGGTGCCGCTGATCGACGCTTTCGCGGCCGTGGCCTACAGGATGTGAGCAGGGTAGTATGTTGAATGTCCTGTCTACCTACACGCACGCGACACCTGATGCCTCACAGGCCGTGCACACATTCGATCCCGACTCGGTCACGCAGCGCACCTTACGCTCGTGGCACTGCGTACATGCTAGCAACATTCTATTCCAATTCGTAAGAGGCCTCCCTGCCGAGCACAGTCCGACCCCAACACGCCCGCATCGATGTCACCAGATTACCGAACATCGTGTGCAAGAGCAGCTCTTGAACGAGGAGCTCAGGCAATAGCTTCAAATTTCATTTTCGGAGAAACCTCCACCAAATTGTCGGTTTGGTGCTGGTATTTGAGGATGCGAGGGATGTTTAAAGGGCTTGGCGGGATGAACGCGTCGGGCGCTCTTCGGGGGCCGCTTCCCCCGCGTTGCTTTAGACGGCGCACCTTCTTATGTTTCATCTGAGCGCTCTACGTCTACAACACCTGGCGAGCAGCGGGCCTTTGTATTGCAGGCCTGGCGGCCTTGTCATCAACCGCCAGTCGCTTGTGCCCATGTCTCCCTATGACAGACTGCCGATCACTCGCAAGCGCTCAGCGGGAAGCGCGGTCTTCTCCCGCAAGCGACATAAATATAGACGATCGAACGATAATGACTGACGATGGCAAACCGTCTACACATATCGTACAGGAGCAGGCTGAAAGCTCACAAAAGGTGGCTACACCCAAGGTACGCAGGAGCGCGCGTCTACAGGCCACTACCAAAGCCCAGGACAGGACGTTCAAAGACGACAGGAAGGCTGGTCCAGCGACGACAGCATCAGCGAGTGTAGGGAACTCAACTTCCCTGAAACGGAAGAGGGGCAAGGGAAATGCGTACCTCTCGCCAGACACGCCATCACCGAAACAAACTCGGACGTCGACCCGACACGCGATTCAGGAATCATCCGGAGAAAACCATCCCATCATACCTATCGTCGACCCGGTGCAGAATTGGGTACTCAATGAGCAGTGGCCTCCCCAATACTTCGAGCCGGACGACCAGACGAAGCAAGAACTACTGGAACACGACAGCTGGGCAGAAGCAATGATGGCATGCCCACCTCCTCCAGTTGTCAAATATGTAGAAATAAATGGATTCAGATACCCGTTACCGGTCCCAAAACTGCCTTCAATTCGCCGAAAGCAGTCAGATGCAAGCCTGAGTGGTCCCAGCGGCCAGAACAGGGACAGCAAGAGCGTCCAGTACCGAGATCCCCGGTACATATCGTTGCTCGAAGCCAAAGGCAGCTTCCTACACGACTTCGGCAGGCCCCCGCCATCGGTCACTGATCCGGGTCAGCACTTGCTTGATGCAGAACAAGTGGTGCCTCAGAACACCATGTTTCGTGACGAAACGTTTGAGAGGCTGTGCCAACAAATGGAGCACCGCAATGAAAGCCGAGTCGTTCAAGACGTGGCTCGGCTGCTTGTCCCATCAGCAGAAAATTTGGCTATATGTGGTGCTGCTCATCTCGATATCCTGATCGAGAACGTTAACGAAGCCTGGACAGAGAGTATCCCAGTCGAGGGGCCCCGTCCGCAGCCAGACTATTCTGTGGGATTTAGAAAATCCGCATTCACGAACGAGCAGCTACGAAAGCTTGCTCCCCTTGTTGGCAGCGTCTTCGATACCTCATATTACGTTGCGACCTACCGGATGTACTTCCCATTTCTTACGTGCGAAGTAAAATGTGGCGCATCGGCACTTGAAATTGCCGACCGCCAGAATGCCCACAGCATGACCATCGCTGTGAGAAGCGTCATCGAATTGTACAGAGCTGTGGGCCGGGACAAAGAACTTGACCGGCAGGTGCTGGCGTTTTCAATATCTCACGATCATCAGTCTGTTCGAATCTACGCTCATTACGCCGTCGTCGAGGCTACGGGAACCACGTTCTACCGACATCTAGTCCATTTGTTCAGTTTCACAGTGCTCGGAGGGAAGGACAGGTGGACTGCCTATAAATTCACCAAAACCGTTTACGATCGCTGGATGCCTCTTCATCTAAAACGCATCTGTTCGGCTATTGATCAGCTGCCGTCCGGTCTCGATTTCCAGGTTCATGACGGAACCGAGGCACCATCGGAAGCGGCAACTGGACTATCACAAGGTCTGGAGAGCCTTCATCAGCCGCCAAATACTTCCGGCCTTCTTCCTCAGCAAGATGAGACGCAGCCTATAGCGCAAATTGCCACTCCAGACACTTCTGTTTCCAAAGACAGGAGCCAAGGTGCAGCTAAAAGGGCGAAGATGGCACACACTACCCAAGAGAACAGCGGCAAGCGGAAAGTATGACCCAAGACAGAGCAGCGGTATCAATCGGCATGCCGTACCATCTTACACTCGGAGTCCTCGCTGCCAACATGTTCTGCCATCACTTCCTCCTGAGCTTTGTGGTGCACCGGAGTTGGCGACGAAGCACTACGACTGATGAGACTCGATCAGCGAGCCAAGTACAATGATTGAAAGAAACGTACCCCACATCTACAGAGGCCCCCTTCCGCAAAGGTTGGTCTTGGGGTAAGAATGGGAAACTTGCCGGACTTTTGCCGCGAAAGCAGAACGCATCCGAGAACACCCTCTTCGCGGAAGGAGATCTAGCACAGCAAGCTGCCTAGCCTACACAGACAGCTATTGTCATTCATGTGTCGGCCTGTCAAGCAGACCATTGGCACCTCGGCGAACAGGTCACTTCATCACAGCAATCCGTATTGCTGCACTAACATCTGATCCAAGATGAAGCTACTCAGCACACTGCATGATTGCACACCGAGCACTGATCCACGGGTCAACGAAAGTCTACGAAAAGCATTGCAAGGGAGCTTTGCGATAGTCGTCGGCTCAGGTCGGGGTATCGGCCGAGCATGCTGCGAGTTCTTCGCCCATGCCACAATACAAGCAATCGCTTGCATCGCGCTCGAGGAGAGCGAAGCACAAGCGACGGCGGCACGATGCCGTGAGATCAGTCCTTCATCAGAAGTTGTCGCGGCTGGGGTGGATGTGCGGGATTATGCAGCCACGAAAGACTTATTCGCGAAACTTGAGCAGCAGTTTGGACGGACCTGCGACATCTTGTTGATGAACGCTGGTCTACCAGGCCAGTGGCTGCCGACTTCACGAGCTGATCCGGAGAATTGGTGGGATACCGTTTCGGTGTCACTGAAAGGTGCTTTCAACTGCGCCCGACTTGTGCTTCCTGGAATGCAGGCGAAGAAAGATGGTCGAATTATATTCACCTCGAGTATTGGCGCACACTATGCCCAAGGCATGTCTGGCTATGGCGTCGCAAAGCTTGGACAGGTTCGCTTGGCCGAGATCATACACGAAGAGAACTACAAGCAGTATAATGTCAAGTGCTTTGCTTACCACCCAGGTTGCGTAAAAACCAGATTTTTTACCGACTTTGAAGATGCAGTCCTGGGCAAGGTCAAGAGCGAGCAAACCGGCAACTACGGTTCATTGAGGGACGGAGTCGACCTTGAATCGGCCCGTACGGCATACGAAGCATTGAGAGGCCAGGACTTTGACACAGAATACATGGCAGCCGGTCTGGTCACTGCTGTGGCGGCAGGAAAGCTAGATTTCATGTCTGGAAGGTATCTTGATGCCAGCGTGGACATTGAAGAGTACATCTCGAACGCTCCAAAGATCCAGAAGGAAGACTTGTGTCGCGTCCGATTGAATCAGGGTGACGGAGATCTCCTGCCAAATGAAACGACTCGGCACTGATACTGGCTTGAGAGCTAGCTGGTGGGGCTTCCCATATTCATCACAGCTTAGGCTGAGAAGTACTACCACTCACTTCGGCATTCGCTCTCTTCTTCAACACGTCTCGCATGATCTTCCCATTTGTGTTTCGCGGAATCTCGGCGATGAACACAACGCCACCACGGAGCTGCTTATATCGGCTCACCCGCTTGTTCACGAATTCATGCACGGCGCTGACCGTGCAATTGTTGCTTTCGCTGCGAACGACGTAGGCACGCGGTAGGTCGTTTCCTTCTCCGTCTGGAATGCTGATGACTCCGACGTCTGCGACTCCAGGGCACTCACCAATAACAGCTTCAAGTTCCGTTGGGGAAACTTGATTGCCTTTGTACTTCATCAGCTCCTGTCGGATTTCATGACGCGTCAGTCTATATGCCCAAGTCACGTCACGGCGAGAGCGCAGGCGATATCGCACGTACCTTTGCTCGTCCCTTGATGAACAATTTGCCCGACGCAGACATCATGCCAATATCACCTGTCAGAAACCATCCATCCTTTCCGTATGCCGCTTTGGTTGCCTGCGGATTCTCGAAGTACGTTCTCATGATATTGGGACCTGTGTCGTCATGAGAGTGATGGCATAAGACTGCTGCGCGGCGGCACGTACCTTTCAAGCAAACCTCGCCCAACTGTTCTGGACCCTGATGCCTTCCATCTGCTCCCATGATAGCCAGTTTCATACCCGGCAACAATCTTCCAACGCTACCTTCACTTTCCTTCTCGTTAGGCTCTAGTTGAGTCGCACCACAGGTGGTTTCCGTCATGCCCCAGTTGACGTTCAGATTGACACCGCCGGGCAACATGGCATTGACCTTGCTCTGCAGGTCTGGCGACAGCGGTGAAGCCCCGCTCAATGCCCACCTGATGTTCCGCAGGTCCTGCGCTTGAAAAGTCTGTGTTATCCGCAGAAAGACGGCAGGGACTAGGAAAAGTGCTGATAGCTCATACTCGCGAATCATGTGAACCAGATCATCAAAGTTATACTTGGTCACCAGGAAGACTTGCATGCCTCTTTGCAACGCCATCATACTGTGCACGAGGATGCCGGCCGGTGCAGAGTTCTGGATAATGCCGGGCATTCGGAGGCGCTTGGTTGCCTTCTGCTGCGGAGTTGCGACTCGGTCGAAGATATATCTCATCTGGACAAGGTTTGACACGATATTCCGGTGTGTAAGCTGGACACCTGGATTTTCGTCAGTGCATGCTGTGGGAAGATCGAGCACGAACTCAGCATGTACCTTTTGGGATGCCTGTCGTCCCGCTGGAGAACAGAGTGAGTGCCGTCGTCGAGTCCAAGATGCTCGGATCGGTGATTCGCTCCCAAGCCAGTTCTTTGTGCGGTAGAGAAGAGCCGTCCCTCGTGCTCTTGATGTAACAAGAGCTCGAGTCCATGATCAGGAGGTGGACAGATTTCGACATTCCAGCCTGTTGCAGTGCCTTCTGGGCAGTGTCTTTTGTAAGCTCAGAGCATATCATGACTTTGGGCTTACTGAGCCCTATCTGTCGAGCGACTTCTGCGACAGTGGAGGACATTGGGCAGGCTGAGTGTACGCCACCGGCGCACAGAACCCCAAAACATGCCGGTCCAACAAGTGTCTGATTTTCCACAAAGCACAGGACGAAATCTTTGCCTTGCCCATTCTCGCCGACACCAAGGTTCCGCAGGTACCTGCCAATCCGCCCGGTCAGGGATCTAGCTTGACGCAGGGTAATGTATTCTTTGATGTTGGCTGCATTGAACCAGATTTGGTCATCCTCCTGGAAGAGAGTGTTGCCAAACACATAGGTCAATATGTCCTCGTTCGGAAAATCGACCTTGACAGAGGATGTGAACTCCATGGCCATTGCTGCGTGGCTTCTCAGGACCTCGGACGCAGTTGCTGAGTATCGTGATGCGGTGACATTATGCTGTCCGGCAGAAGCATAGCAGCGATATCATCCATAGGACACCATAGTACGTTGGACAATGTCCGATTCCGACTGGGCAGGGCCTGGGCACAGGCGTTGGGGTAAAGGGCCCCAAAGTCTGGGGTGTGGGGCAGTTTATAGCCTCAAAGGGGTAAAAGAGAAAGTACCCTACTCCTGCATCCTCGTTAATTGATCTGACGAAAACAAACGGATGAAACATCAGCCATCCAAAGCATGACGACGTATCCGACACCTCTGCAAGGTCTGAAAGTGCTCGAACTCGCTGGACTTGCACCGAGTCCTTTCGCCGGCCTGATCCTCGCTGACTATGGGGCGGATGTGTTAAGGGTCGATCGGCCGACCGAGGTGTTCGGCCCTCCAGGAGACGTGCTCTGCCGGTGGAAGCGCTCTGTTGTCATCGACCTCAAATCAGAAAGCTCCAGGAAAGTCTTTTTGAGCCTGGCGCGTTCCGCTGACGTGCTCATCAACCCATATCGACCAGGAGTTCTGGAGCGCCTAGGTCTGGGACCCAAAGATCTCAGTGACCTGAATCCCCGCCTCATCTATGCTCAAATCCATGGGTTCCGACCTGGTGGCTTCTACGGGCAACGAGCAGGACATGACATCAACTACCTCGCAGTCTCAGGTGTATTGTCTCTGCTAGGCCGAAAGAACGAGAACCCTCTGCCTCCAGTCAACATCTTGGCCGACTTCGCCGGAGGAGGGCTTGTTTGTGTCGTTGGCATTCTTATGGCAGTCATACATCGATCAGTGAGCGGTAAAGGTCAAGTCGTCACGGCCAACATGGTTGACGGCTCCTCGTATCTTGCCACGTTCCCCAGGCTGCACCAGGGACGGCGAAACATGGATGCACCGCGTGGTGAGAACCTGCTAGATGGCGCTGCACCATTTTATGAGGTGTACGAGACCAAGGATCAGAGATTCGTCGCCGTGGGAGCACAGGAACCCCAGTTCTACCAGAACCTGATTGCCGGGCTTGAGTTGCCATCCAGTTTCCTTTCAGAGCAATGGAACAAGGAATTGTGGCCGGAAAGGAAGAAGATCATTGCCAACAGATTCAAGCAAAAGACTCGGCACGAATGGCGTACGATATTCGACAGCACTGATGCATGCGTGTCGCCAGTCCTCGAGTTCTCGGAAATCGAAGGCTCCTTCGCACCACTGGTGGAACTATCCGCCACGCCGAGCTTGGATGTGGCGTCTCAAGAATCGCATCCAGATCTCAAGAAGGGCGAAGGGCATAGAGACGCGATTTCTGAATGGTGCGGGGTGGACGTTCTACAGAGTATCTCTGTCGATCCACAGTCAGGAGTCCTTACTCTTGGGAAGTCTTCGAAGCTGTAATGTCTTCCATTAAACCGTTTGAACGGTGAAGACTTTCGGTCTTACAACAATTGCAAATGAGATTCGGCGCAGAGATAAAATGTGACCCGGATAGCTCCTAGTCTGCCACAGACACTGCCACTGGTGTCTTTTCCGATCCCACAGTGATAGGTGCCACATCCTTCTTCACCAAATCCTGTCCTGCCTTATAGTGTTGTGTGAAGTCGTACTTGAGAGCATTTGCACCGTGTTGCATCTGCCGGGCCAGCGCAGGGTCCGACTCAGCCTTCTTGCAAAGCAGGAAGAACTCATCCTTCTCTCCCGCCGTCTCAGGATCCTGATCGAACAAACGGCGAATATTTGCGCTTGAAACAGGGTCGACGATCTCGTTATACTTTGCACGTTGAATCTCGGAGTACTTGTCCAGGATACTGTCGTCGGCGAGCCCTTTGTGGATACCGTTCAGACAGTCGAACAAGCCGCCAATATCAACGATGCCGCCCGTCAGTCCCATACCTCCGAAAGGATTGCACACTGTATTCACATTAGCAAAAAAACCGAGCACAGGATTGGTTACAGCATACAATGAGCAGCATCAGCAGCCAGCAGGAAGCGACCAACTCGCATCGATGCGGCAAGTCTTTGGTGGATTTTGTAAGGACTTATGTTGACGACCTTGTACTGATCAGGGTCTGGGGCGCCGGGCAAAAACTGCTTAAACTTCTGCGGCTGTCGAGCGAGCAGTTCCTGCTGCGTCAGTCCTGGAATGTCGCCGTACGTGACACGCCAAAGACCATCCTTGCCTATGAGCGCCGCCATGAAGAAGTGTTCTGGGTGCACTATGAAATTGGCGTCTTCCCAGCCAAATTTGCGGAAGTCGTAGTAAGTCTACCTCATCTTCATCAGTGGCAGATCGACTCAAGAAACATCGATACATACGTTTGTGGCCACGATCTGTTGGTCCCAAGTGCGGCCTGGGAACTCCCAGTCTCCGAACAAGCTTCTTCGAATCTGGCTATTTGCTCCATCGCAGCCAACAATGTATGAAGCTGAAAGCCGCTGGTCACCGTCCGGCGTTTCTACATCGATCCAGGCATGATCTTCATCTTGGCCAATTCCGACGACTGTGTGATCGAAGGAGATCGTCGCCAGGGGCTGCTTCTTCACATGCTCGTAAAGAATAGCGCCCAACCGATTGAGAGGAAGGCAGGTCATAGTGTCTGGATCCTCGGTCTCACTGGCATTTGACAGGCCAGCGATACGAGTGCCGTCTAACTTGCGCCAGCAGACGCCACGAGGGCAAAAACCCTCAGCACGAACCTCATCGAGTATGCCGGCACGTCGTAGCTCGTGGATCGCAGGGGCACCATAGTGTGTTGCGCGGGGCTGTTTGTCAAGTTCTTTGGTCTGCTCCACGAGTTGCACTCTGATATTCGCCTTGGCTAGCAAAAGAGCGAGAAGGAGGCCGGCTGGGCCTGCGCCGACGATGATCACCCATGGCTTTGAGTCTCCATCGGTCGTCTGCATTTTGAGGTTGCGAACTGCGACAGCGAGAGCGAGAGCGCGAAGGATGTGCTCACGGTTCCCTGTACCTGGGATGCTCACCTACAGTGTTCCGCGTCTCACGAGCATCTGGCCTCATCCGTATTCGGATGATCCGCCAGTCGATATGATGGACGAGCAGTCCTTGCACAACCCCGTCGGTTCGATCCGCCCGCAGGGAACGTTGGGGTAAGATCTGCTGGGTTGGAGTAGGGTGCGCTCCTACACCGTGCTGAGATGCTGGCAGTGTAGTCTGATGATGATGGGTGGGGTTAAATCAGGTTAGCCTGAAGCCTCCACACCCCAGACGAGATTTCGCGGGGTATTGCCCCTTTCCTAGGAGCCTGTTTCTGGTCGTGAAAGCGACCCCAACCTTGGAACCTTGGAAGAAAAGCCTTGGCAGGCAACGTTGTGAACGCGTAGAGGCTACATAATTCTTTCCATCACGCTCGATCATCAATGTGAGATGTTTCATGTATGAACGCGCTCTTCAAGTGATTGGAGCTTTGCGCCAGACGCTTATGCATAGTCCCATCCGAAGTAGCTTCAGTGGTCATAGAAGCCCTTCGGAAATTTCCAGGAATTGCCGATGCCCGGCACCAAATTGACTGTCATCATGCAAGCAGGATGTGATCTGTGTATAAAAGTGCAGAGGCCACTGTTTTTGTCTTGAGCTTGCAACGAAATATCTTTGCTTGCCCCGGAGCTTGCGACAGACCACAATGACGACCTATCCCTTTAACGTGGAACAGCTGACCCGTTTGAAGGGCAAGACACTGTTGATAACAGGTGCAGGGTCCGGAATCGGACGTGAAACTGCCAGAGCTGCATATAGTAAGTATCTCTGGTTCGTCGGAACTTGACCAGGGCCGGACGACGTGACTGACCCTTGCTGCTGCAGAATCGGGTGCGAATGTTGCGCTGGCCGACTGGAACGAAAAAGATACGCAGGCACTCTTATCAGAGCTCAAATCAGCTCAGTGAGTTTGTCGTGGGCTGCACATGGTCCCTCCGACTAATCCTGCGCCTAGAGCTGGGGTTACTGCAGACCGCATTATCTTCCGTAAGACGAACGTGGCCAACTTCGAAGACGTTCTGGAGATCTTTCAGTTGACGTGGAAAACGTTTGGCACGATCGATGCGGTCATCTCGAATGCTGGTGTGAGCTCTGGCGAAGACCTATTCGACGACGAGATCGACCCTGAATCGGGTAAACTCATGGCGCCTAAGCTCCGATCGATCGACATCAACCTCACTGCCCACCTTTTACGTCGTGAAATGTGCTGAGCACTACTTCCGTAAATGGCCGGATAGGAAATGCCAGATCAGCATAACCAGCTCAGCAGCCGGTATCTTAGACACACCCCCAGTGTACCTGTATTGCACCGCCAAAACCGGATTAATCGGTCTAATGCGTGGTTTGCGAACGTCGCTGATCAAACGCAACATAAGCATCAACGTGGTAGCACCGTGGCTAACTGTCACTGCGATGGTGCCACAAGGCCGGCTGGCGCTTTGGGAAGGCCTGCCCCTCAATCAACCGGCGACAGCTGCTCATGCGTTGCTGCTGCCTGTTTTGCAACCAGAAATCAACGGCAAGTGCTTTTTCATCGCGGGTGATGAGATCGTAGAGTTCGAGGACAAACTGCACGAGACGCAGCCACTGTGGATGGGTTCCAAACAGCTCAGTGACAGTGTTGATGAGGGTCAGCGAAGAATGATTGGAGTGATTCAGGAGTCTCGCGCTATCGGATTGTAAGCCCAGTACAGAGATATTGATCATGAACATGGGTGTGCAAGAATTTTTCTACCACGGGTGAGTAACTTCCAGAACATTTCTGGGTGGTTGGGCAGTATCGAATTCGAGATATTGATTTCAACGTGCCCGATTGAGCAGACTGACACGTCCTGTGAGCTTCGGCTTGGACTCGCAGTCGATATGTGGGGTAGTGAAAGGAAACGAAGAACCCAGGCTCAAGCAGCTGAGGATCTGAGGTCATCCGAGGGGCCGAAATAAGTGGGGCCGCTCTCCAACGGGTCCGAACTCCGTACCCTCTCGAGCCTCTGCACCACGCGTCAGTTTCACGCATCTTTCTCACCCGATGCTTGTGCTATAGATCTCTCGATCAGTGGGTCGGGGTCGTCGGTCGAATTGACGGTCGTATGGTGATCATGCTTTCGGAAGTCTTGCTGCCCCACGGCGCCTTCATACCCAGGGTCTGGGGCTTATGAATCCCCAACTTACAGCTCTCGAGACCATCACAGACGACTGGAAGATATGCAGCATCACATGAGCTGCATACCGTTACCGTTGTCTATACACTACTCCATGAACAACGTACATCCAACGCACATCCAACGTGTAAGCTGACGATGTGCATAGCAGCAGCCCGGAACAGTACTTTATTGATACCCAAGGAGTCGAGCTTCAGCGGTGCTCACTTTTGGGAGTACTTCTGTTTCTGTAGTTCATTTTCCCCACATTCTGAAATCGCTACCAGCTCTTTAATAATTAGCTGACTGCAGGTGTACAGTAGCATCTTGCTGCAGCCCCAATAGTCGCATGTTGGACGAACTGTTCTGTAAGTATTAGCAGCTAATAAGCACAGCAACATGGCAACCTCCTCTGCGTTATGGTTAGCTGCCTCAGTGCTTCTCTTGATTGTCTTCCTACCCAGCTTCATTCAGCCTTCAGTGCCAAAGGGACTCAAAGCTATACCTGGTCCAAGAGGCTTGCCAGTGTTTGGCAACACGTTTCAACTCAGTGGCCGCCCGCAAGCCCAATTGAGGCGATGGGCGAAGCAGTATGGTGACCTGTTTCAGCTCCGACTAGGCTATTACAATTGGGTCTATGTCAACGATCCGGCAGCTGTCAAAGACATCTTTGATAAGCAATCAGCAGTCACTTCTGGGCGAATACCTGCACCCGCTCTGTCGGATCTTGTGTCGGGTGGCAAGAGATTCCTTTTGATGGGATACACGCCGGAGTGGAGGAAGTTGCGGGCATTTGTGCATAAGCTGTTCACGCCGAAGGCTTCTCAAGTGTTCCTCCCTAGTCAAGAGTTTGAGGCGAAACAAATGATCAACGATATCTATCGAGACAGCCAACGTGGCGACGAGACTGCATTCTACATGCACGTCCGAAGATATACGACTTCGGTCGTGCTGACTTCGACATATGGCAAACGGACTCCTGTTTGGGTGAGTCTTACTACCTCGCCTCGTATCTTGGAGTGAGACTGACATATAGGCTAGGATTGTGAGATCATTCGGGAGGTTTATGGGATTATGGAAGATTTTGGACGGGCAGCATCACCCGGAGCCTTTCTCGTGGATTCCTTTCCGCCGCTGGCGCAGATCATCCCAAGGCCTTTGCAATGGTGGCGAAGATCGGCATCACGATATCGAAAACGACAGGAAAGACTGTGGATGAAGCTCTTCAAGGAGCTTCAGAGCGCTAGCGCGGCTGGTACGGCTCCTGAGTGCTTCGTGAAACAACTCGTGGAGAACAATTTCGAGAAACACGGGATCGACGAACTGCAGGCAGCCTTCGTTGCGGGAAGTACGTACCGCGATCAGCTCTGACAGTAGCTTCAGGGCAGTATGCTAACATCTTGCTTAGCCATGATCGAGGCGGGATCCGAAACAACCAGCTCGACTCTGAACAGTGCCATCAAATATCTCGCAGCTTTCCCGGATGCTCAATCAAAGGCGCATGCGAGATTAGCAAGATCGTCGGCAACGACAGATCACCAACATTCGACGATGAGAATAACCTGCCTTACATCCGAGCGATGGTCAAAGAAATACTGCGTTTGCGGCCAACGACGAGCATCGGGATCCAGCACTTCACGACAGCGGACGTGCAATACAATGGATACTTCATCCCGAAGAACACTGCTGTCAGTCTCAACCAGTACGCATTGCATTACGATGAGCGACATAAAGACCCGGACAGTTTCATTCCTGATCGGTTCCTCGAACACCAGTTGAAGGCAGGCGCGTATGCAGGCGGAGCGGATCCCTACGAAAGAGATCATTATTCATTCGGGGTCGGACGCAGGATATGCCCTGGATTGCATGTTGCTGAGAATAGTCTATTTATTACTCTTGCTAAGTTGCTGTGGGCATTCGAGATTCGAGCGCCGCTTGACTCCACGGGCAAACAGTCGTACGTTGACGTTTCAGACAATGCCTACGAGGAGGGAGCTGGCACCTCACCCACCCCATACAGGATGCGATTCATTCCCCGCAATGCGAGGCGAGAGCAGACATTGCTCACGGAATGGAAGAATGCCCAAGAGGAGGGCTACTATCTCGGGGATATTAAGGTGTCTGCTGATGGCGTGGTACAGAAAGAGAAGGGCGGTCCATGAGCTGGACGGCCCGCAGCAACCGTGAGACTTTTTACAGTATTGTTGCTGAGAGTCAATTACCTAGGTATGTGAACGAGTCGAAGGAGGTTGCAATAAGTACATAGAACCAGCGCCAGAGTAAGTACCTGGCTGGTCTCATGAGCGACGCACTAGGCACGGGTCGCGGTCAGGCTTGCAAAGGCTTGCCCAGAGTGTCTGATAGCTCTCGGTTTTGTATACCTGATGTGTAGACGGCAGGCTTATGTGTGTTACGATGGAGTTTTGCCACACAGGAATGAGACTTCCACGGTTTTGCTTCAGCCGATCTCAAATGCCCAGTAGCTAGGTAGCACGTGATGTGATCGTCTTCCCCGCTCCTTCGTCTTGACCTCAACTCTGGTTACACTTTGTATACACGTAGCGTAAGGGTCTTATCCCAGACTCTAGGCACTAATTATCCGACTTCTCCACAAGCAAAGCAAGCAGAGCAAGCTCCGGCTCTCCTTGGCTGCCGTCCATTTAGAAATTGCGCGTGGCACTTCTGAATGTCACCGAGTCTGCCTACGCCGTTGTCCATTCCCAGCTCGCCAGTTTGTCGGCTTCGCGCCATCACCTCGTCGTCACGAATCTCAGGTACGGGATCACAGACGAAGACGATACAACAGTTCCAAAAGGTCCACTGATAGACCACGTTAGAGCCATGTCTGCTGGGACGATGCTTCTCATACCCTACGATGGTACAAAAGCCAATTCGCGAATGTACAGCTGCCACGTGTGTTCCAAGTCGTTCAAACGGAGTGAGCACTGTGTTCGCCATCAGCGAGCACATTCGCAGGAGAAGCCGTATTCCTGCAAATATTGTCATCGTCGGTACAGCCGCAAGGACCTGGTAGTTCGGCATGAGCGTACTCTCCACGCCAAAGAACAAGCCGCAGAAAGCGCTGCTGGCACGACTCGCCAAGCGTCACGGCCAACCATGTCGGATAGAGGCTCCAGTTCACGCTCGGCTGTAGTGAGTGATACTGGGATGGCGAGGACGGCCAAGCTTGGCAACTCCCGCTCACGCGATATCTCTGCTGCAGCATCGTCCGCTGGCCCACCGAAAGCTGGAGAAGTAGCCGGGTTGATCAATATCAACGAGGACGGAGCAAAGTTAATATCGGAAGCAGTCAACTTCACTGGAATAACGACACAAGAAGCTCTGCAGCTACCGGTCCCTTTGGTTGCACCACTGCAATCAGCACAACCCAGTGTGACGCGGACGGCACCTTCCGCAGGACCGGGCATAGATCATCAGCACTACGACCATTTATTTGACGCTTTCCATACTAGTGATGGCAGATTGGGTGATTTGGAAGACTTGGGCGACCTAGATTTCTTCGATCCCTTTCTGGGCGACACCTTTGAGCAATTTCAACTGCCAGTCCTCCAAGACACGGTCGACCAGTTCTCGCCACTGGATCATATGTCGCGCTCGTCACATCCCGACATCTTAGATCGGGCTTTGGACACCAATCTTGGGAGCACTGCTTCTGTGGAATCACAAATGGACATCGACGACACTACGACGCTGCCCCAACAGCACTCGCAGCGAAAAAATAGCGATACTGCACGGTCCAGCGTGCAAAGACCACAGTCGGCCGGACCCAATCTTAGAAAGCATTCCCCTATCCTTTTCAGCGACACCATGCGCACCAAGCTGCTGGAGGATATCTGCTCGCGGCAGGCCAAGGCATCACCGAGCGACACCTTCCGGCTTCCGAGCGCTAGCGCTCTGCAAAGCTGCCTTCGTACATATGTTGACGCTTTCCATATTCACCTCCCAATCCTACACCTGCAGTCCTTCGACTTCACGAAGGTTCCAAGCCCACTCGTCCTAGCATTATGCGCGATTGGAGCACTTTATCGGCTCGAAAGGAGGGTCGCAGCTACTCTGTACATCAAAGCTGTCGAAGTGCTTCAGTCTGAAGATGAGGACTCTACTGAGTATGTTAACGTCGAAAGACTGATGTCGCACTGGGACAGTCCTGGTTCTAGTCCGCAAACGTCGACCAATCCATTATGGGCTAGCCAGGCGCGGCTACTTCTGCTCTTTTTCGCAGCATTCAGTGGCGAACCTTCCATGGTCCGGAGATCGCTTGAGAAGCTGGGATACCTCTCAAATGACAATCGTGTTAGACTGACGCGTGTTCAAGGGGACGTATCAGCGACGAGGCTCTCTTGGCATGAGTGGATAGAACGCGAATCTATCAAGCGACTCCTTCTCGGCACCACATTTGTCAACAACCTAGTGACTATTGCTTATGGCATCCTACCTGGATTCTCGATCGTCCATGAAGGCTCCATCGAACTCCCCGACAGTGATGCTCTTTGGAATGCGGGTGATGAAAACCAGTGGCAGCACTGCGTTGCTCTTGTGCACGAAAGTCGCCCGCAAAATCTGAAGGATGCGGTAGCTATGTTGATCAACGGCAGCAAAGACGAGGAGCTCGTTGAGGTTGCTCGAACATGGTCTCCGTTCTCGACCGCTATGATTATGCACGCAGTATCGATCCAGGTTTGGCATAGCATCGATGGCAGCGGTCTCATCTCTTCGGCTCATGATCTCTCGGCCCAATCAGACACTCAGTTGAGCTCTGCGCCAAACAAGATCGAGGCTGCACTCACTCGTTGTCGAAGCATTCTGACTCAAGCCAAACCCGAGACCGATGGCTTGTGGACGGACTCGGACGGGCCATTGCTCTTCAACGCCTTTGCAGTACTTCGTGTCACCTACGGCAGAGCCTTCACAGGAATTCGTCTAGCTGACCGAATGCTCCTATTGCGAGACAATTACAGCGACATTTCGCAAGCTATATCTGACTACATTGCGATGCCCCAGGAAAGAAGCAAACTCGTTGCACAAGCGATTGCGCGCACATTTGAGGGCCTTGTGCTCCCCTTTCGCTCTGGAGCTCCACTCCTTCGCAAGACTGCCGCTCTCACCTGGAGCGTGGAGCACGCATTGGCAGGATGGGATTCTGCATTACTTGTCACGAAATGGGTATACGCCATGGAGGTCCTCCAGGCCGCCGGCAGCATGATCACTGCCGATGAACAGCAAGTCCTATCTGATGTGCACTCGCTCTTAGACGAAGTAGAGCCCTTTCGTGAACAGGGTGTATCTGCCGCTTCAATACTCAGTCGAGTGTGGGCCGGCTTCTACGAGGACACATGGGTTTGGGGAGTCACTCCGCGCATTGGAAGGTCTCTCAGAGCGCTCGCGAATGCTTACGAGGTGGCGCAGCAGAAACTTCCTCCACGGTCTTGACGTCCAGGGCGCACAACTACTACTGGTGCATTATTCCATTGACGCAGATCCATCTTCCCATAAGCGAGACCTAATCTATGATTATTGGACCGCGCCACAGTCGAGTTTACGTGTATCGTCGGAGAAGTGACGAAGTTCTCGACGACTCCACAGATTCATGGCTGCAGTCGATCAAGGTGCCGGTCTCAACGGCCGTGAAGCTACTGAGGGACGCAGTCGCGGATGCACATGGAACCTGCCTACCCGCAATAAAGAACGTTGGAGTTGGAGCTGGGAAAGCAACTCACATTTGCTGAAATCGACGCCTTCCCCAGGATTAATTTCCCCGCGATTTCCCAATATTACCCCACATGGTCTGGCTCCTCCCTGTGGGGAGGTCTAGAATGGCCCGCGATTCGAGGCCGAATCTCATGTGTCCAATGCGGGTGATCCCTCGAACGCCTTAGCTGCACCACGGTGGTAAGATCACAAGACAACATCTTGAAAGCGGAGGCATCTCGGAGCCTCGAGCCTCGCGTAGCGGACTTGAAGCCCGTGAGCCCAGCATCTCGCGTACTTTGCGTTCGTTTGACTACACCACTTCTCTGGTCTTGCTTGTCGTCGAAAGGGAGTCCAAACCCAAGTACGTTTGAATACGCTAGCTACTGGACATCCTTCAACATGACGAGTACTATGCCCATTGGGACCTACGTCGACGTCGAGTACGATCAAGCACATCAGAAAGCTTTTGCAGCGCCACAAATAGCACCCATCACCGCGGTTCTACCAGACGGCGTTTCCCAGAATGACTTCAACACAGCGCTGCTCGATTTTGCGGCCATAGTTGGGCCGGAACAGGTCTTCGTTGGTGATGCCTTAGCCCACTACGTCGACCCTTACGAGCTGCACGAGAACGATGCCACAAAGCGCAAAATGCCTGGAGGTGCAGTCTGCCCGGCTTCCATTGAAGAGCTCAGTCGAATCCTCAAGGTGGCGAATGCTAGAGGTCTTCCAATGTGGACTTTCTCGAGAGGAAAGAATCTGGGATATGGTGGTCCAGCACCGCGTCTCAACGGCTCCATTGCTTTGGATCTACACCGGATGAATCGCATTCTTGAGGTCAACGATGAGCACGCTTACGCAGTTGTCGAGCCTGGTGTGACTTTTCATGACCTTTACAATTATTGTGTCGAGCATAACAAAAAGCTCTGGCCGAGCACGCCATCGCTGGGGTGGGGAAGTGTCATCGGTAACACATTAGACCGAGGAGTTGGCTTCGGCGTGTACGGAAATCATCACGGGTCAATCGCAGGCGCAGAGGTTATGCTAGCCGACGGAGACATTGTGCGCACTGGTCAATGGGGCATTGAGAACTCGCCTTCATCTTTCATTTCCAAATTCACTTTCGGTCCATCTCTGGAAGGACTGTTTCTACAAAGCAACCTTGCGATCGTCACGAAGCTGAGTATGTGGCTGGCACCACGTCCCACCGCATACATGTCGTGCACGTTCAGTGTACCAGAAGATGCCGACGTCGAGGTTATGGTAGACGCCCTAGGCGAACTGCGCAGGAATGGAATCATTCCCAACATGATCTGGGTCGGTAACTTCGTGGAAGGAATCTGTATTCGTGGAAAGCGGAGCAAATTCTGGAAAGGAGAAGGTCCGATCCCGGACTGGCGCCTCAAGGAACTGCAACAGGAGTTTGGGGACGAAGGATTTTGGACAGCAAAATGGGGTCTGTACGGGCCTGCTTCGATCATCAAAGCACAGTACAACGAGATCGAGTCGCAGCTCGCACGATTAGCACCAATTGGCAAACTTGTCAATGGCTTCTACGAGGAAAAGGACGGAACACCGCTGGACGCTAAGACCATATCTCCGGAGCATGGACTAATGTTTGTGGGTTTTCCGACTCTATGGAGTCTGCCGTTGATGGACTGGGCATTGAGCGACGACAAGCCAGGCAAGGCCGCACATGGAGACTACGCCCCTATAATTCCTTCCTCGGGCAAGCACGTTCTCCACTGGGCTCGAGAATGCAAGAAGATCTACGCTCGGAACAATCTTGATCTTATGCTGGACTTCTTCATGCACGAGCGACACGTCGTGTGTATGAGCATGTACGCATATGACCAATTGAATGAGGAGGACTGCGCCAATGTCGACCGCGCCTACTCGGAGATGCATCAGGTCGCAAAGCAAGCCGGGTATGGCATGTATCGGGGGCACGTCAACCATATGGGTAAGTTCAAAGTTCTGTTGAAACATTTTCAGCTGGGTGTGGTGGCTGACATCTGCCCGCATAGACGAAATCGCTGAATCGAACAATTTCAACAACCACGCATACATAAGATTCGTGGAGAAGATCAAGGTAAGTCGCTGCCATCGGTACAGAGCTAATGGAATCGTGTTTCGCTAACATTACACGATGCAGAACGCACTTGATCCAGAGGGCATTCTTTCGCCCGGAAAGCAGGGCATATGGCCGGAAAAGTACCGACACAACCGCCAGTATACCATAGAAGATGGTGGGCCTCCGAGGATCTTGAGGAACGGCACTAGTACTGGCGTGCATCTATAACGTCAAAGCCTGATCCAGACACAGTCTGCATACTTGAGGCAAGCAGTTCTGGCGCGCATTGTGTGCACAGACAGCGTTCGTGTCTTCCGAGGGTCTACGCAGAAGGTAACTCCGCGATTTGTGAGCCCAAGCTAGAACTTCAAAGTCAGCAAGGCGTCTCTGCTGCCTCAGTGCTGAATCGGATGTGCGCAGGCTGCATCAAGGGCACGTGGTTTTGCGCAAGTACGAAAAAGGCAGCATTGCATCATCTCTGATCCTGTCAAGTCCGCAGTCAATGTCTGGTAAACGGCCTGGCAGACCTTGCATCTAGATTGAAGCTCACCTCCAAACAGGTTGGGGTTATAGGCCTCGCGTCCACTCACTTAGCTGGTTTCCCCGGAATTTCCCAACACTACCCCACATGATCTCGAATCGATGGGCGTGGATCGGCAGTGGGTGAATCGTCATTGGCATGAGGTATCACGACTGCATCACAAGAATGGACGCCCCAGGTACTCTGGCCTCGAAAGACTATTGCTCTGGTGAGCATGGCAAAGCTTCAATTGGACAACATAGCGCTCTTAACGGCGGACGGACACGATTCGGGCTTCTTCCAACCGTCTGTCTATCACAGTCCGCAGGTCTTGCATGTTAACGAATGCATCGCTCATAGCCGACTCATACAAGCCTCCAATTCACCACCAACCCGATCCATAGGCATGATTCTCTAACGGACAACAACGCACGTACCTACTTGACATTTCCAAGAGCTGCAACAAGGACTCGCGACACGTGGATCGCCAATTTGTCTCTTGTTGCTACCGCCGTCATGGCTTATACATCCATCTCTACTCCACCAAGTGGTGTAGCTGTGCCTATTGTGCTGATATTCGGGATATCTGTGTGGCTTCTTCGAAGACTGTGCAGCCCCTTGAGAAAAGTCCCAGGCCCTTTCTGGACTCGATGGACTCGTCTGTGGTACCTCGACAAGATCTGGAAAGGAGATTTCCAAAGGACTAACATTGACCTACATAAGAAGTACGGTATGTTCATTTACTGCAACTTAGCAGTCTCCGCCCGCGTGACGTGGTAAAGCGCAAGGCTGACCTCTGTTCCCAGGCCCTATCGTACGGATCGCTCCCAATGAGTGCAGTCTTGATGGCCCTGACGCTATCCGGGCCATCTATGGACACGGGACACACTATGTCAAGGTCAGTCACTGCTGCCTATAGCCTCAAGTGTCAAGTGACTGATCTTTCCCCTCTGCAGGCTCCCTGGTACTTCGCGAGTTCACCTGTTGGATCGGACAACGATAATTTATTCACCGACTTCGACGTCCAACGGCATGCTACGAACCGAAGAAAGGTTGCGTCTCTTTACTCGATGACTAGCATGCTGAAGTGGGAGCATTGTGTAGATGAATCCACCAGAGCACTTCTTCGACAGTTTAGGGAATTTGTACAGTCCCGTCAGCCGATCAACCTCCAGCTTTGGCTCCAGTACTTCGCCTTTGACACCATATCACTCATTACTGTAAGAACTCAGCAGTCGGGTTCTCATGCCCGATGCTTCGACGATCGAGCTAATATTTGTGAAGCTAAACAAATCTTTTGGCCTAGTCGAACAAGGCCGAGATAACCATGGGTTTCTCGATGCCTTGCACGCCTACCTGATCTACTGTGCCAATGTTGGCGTCTACTCCGAGCTACATCCAGTTTTGGGCCGCTTGGTCTCTCTATTACCTTCCAAAGGAATGTCATGGATGGTCGGCTTTGTTCGAGCTCAAGTCCGCGGTCGCATAGAACATATCAAGCCGAAAGAGTATGCCTCGGCAGAAGACAACGATTTCTTGGGCACGATTTTGCGCATGCATGGCCAAAACCCAGACAAGATCAAGCTTGGAGATGTTTATGGCTTTCCTCTGACAAACATTGGGGCGGGATCTGACACGACCTCTGTCTCGCTTGTGGGTATCATATACAATTTGATGATCTGCCCGCAGAAGCTCCAACGGCTGCAGGACGAGATTGATCAAGCCGACAAAGCTGGACAGCTTTCTGAGCTCGTAACGTTCCAGGAAGCGCAGCGGCTGCCATATCTGCAGGCATGTATCAAAGAGGGCTTGCGCATGCATCCAGCGACAGGCCTGCCACTGGCAAGAGTCGTTCCCAAGGAGGGTGCCAACATAATGGGTACGTTCTTCCCAGGCGGTACCGTTGTCGGTGTGAACTCATGGGTTGCGCACGCCAATATCGAGGTCTTCGGCCCTGATGCCGAGTCATTCAGGCCCGAGCGATGGCTCGAAAGCACAGAGAAGACGTCCACAATGGAACGGTCCTTCCTGGCTTTTGGCGCAGGCTCAAGAACCTGCATTGGCAAGAACATCAGCCTTATGGAGATCTCGAAGATTGTGCCAGAACTGATCAGACGATTCAATTTCACTCTGACAGATCCGCACGCGGAAATCAAGATGGAGAATGTTTGGTTTGTGAAGCAGAAGAACATTCACTGTAGTGTCACTAGCCGCTAGCAGCGTAATTGGCGCCTTGTTTCGATACTCACAGAACGAGGAAGCTAGGTAGCCTTCTTGGGAGTGAGTCAGCCACATGGTCGGATCATGATGTGTTCACAGCAAGTCCGCCGGATCAGGTCCACGGGTGTGTACCTGGTACAGGCATGCTGTACAGATCTCGAAACTCAGACTCCATGTTTGCTATATATGCTTTCCACGTGGGGTAGTGGTCTGGACACAGACTCGCGTCCAGCCTCGCTTCCCCAATGAAAGGCGCTTTCCCCACATCCCTTTTCGTCTCGAGTATGGACAGCTCCAGCCTGTATATATGTTGGTGCAAGCAATAGCCAGCATGCCGCCAGGACCCCTGATCGTGCACTTCCAGGCTCGTTTGACAACACCACATCGGCCTCAGCTATACCAGCAACGACTAAACACAGTCTCATCATGGCGTTCGGAATCTTGGAGCCAAAGACTGCCTCACATGTGCCCGGAACGGTCTTGTTAGACCAGCAGGCTGCTCACTCAGAAGCCACCACCGGTCGCCTCAAGCATGGCAAGGGGCGTAACAGTAATATCGTCTTGGCTCCCCAGCCGTCTGAGGATCCCAATGATCCTCTCAATTGGAGTCAGATGAGGAAGTACTTCGTGATCTCCATCATCTTCTTTGGCGTCATCATCGTAGCAGGAGTGCCAGTAAGTCCACATACCACTTCCGCACAAGGTATTTGCTGACTGAAGACTGCAGGGTCCCATACTCAACCCAGGTATTGTCCAAGTGGCTATGTCACTCAACAAGGACTTCACGACCGTTGCTCAGATGTCGGGCTACACCTTACTTGCGACGGGCGCAATGGGTCCCTTCGTCTCAGCGCTCGGTCGCAAGTATGGCAAACGCCCGGTATATGTGTTCTCCTCTGTCATCGGCACTGTGGGCGTAATCGTGTCCGAGACAGCTTCCGGCTACAATACTCTCCTTGCTGGCCGCATTCTGCAGGGCGTAGGCATTCCAGCATATGAGTCGTTGGCAATCAGCAGCATTGGCGACCTCTTTTTCGTACACGAACGAGGTGCTCTGGTTGCGATTGTCATCTTCCTCCTCGCTGCAATCTCCAATGGGGTGTCCATCATTGCAGGCGTCATTACTGCGAACCTGGCTGGCACTGGAACTTTCATATCAGTCTCCCTTTTGCTGCGCTCCAGACGATACTTGTCATATTGTTCGTGGAGGAGACTAGTTACAACCGCCGTGCCATTTACGAGATCGACACGGCAGGTTCGGAAGAGAACCTAGAGAAGCTCGCCGAAGTTGAGGGCCGTGCGGCACAGCACTTGGAGAAGCGGAATGCCGCCACAGCAGACAGAGACGTCGAGCAAGATTTCGGTCCTACCATTACCCACACCTCGACTGTCGAAACCATTCCACCAAGGAAGACCTTCGTCCAGCGTCTTGCTCTGTACAATGGCACCTACACAGAGGACTCAGTCTTCAAGATGGCGCTCGCATCGGTGGCAATTCTGCTCAATGCCGGCGCCGCCTACCAGGTCTTCTCGACAGGATTCATCATTGCTTGGTATGTCGCCGTGGCCATCATCAGCGGCGTTATTTTCGCATCTCCGCCCTACCTCCTGGGATCAGCAGCGATCGGATATCTCTCCGCCGGTCCTCTGATAGGTGGACTATTGGGCTCTGCTGTTCCCTTCTTCGTGACTGAGCCATTCATCAAGGCTCTGACTCGACGCAACAATGGTTACTATGAGCCAGAGTTCTGCTTGATCCCTACCACTATTAGTGGCGTCATCACCGTTGCCGGACTCGTTGGATGGGGCTTCACCGTGCACAATGGACAGAGCATCTACCTCGCGGCGTTCCTGTGGGGTTTGATGCTGTTCGGTATGGCCTGGTTTGCAACCTCTGCCACTTCTTGGGCGCTCGATGCCTACCGCCAGAACAGTACGGAGGTTTTTATCATGAACATGGTATTCAAGAACTTCTTCTATTATGGGTGAGTCTCTTCCTCGTCGTGGTGTTCGAAAAGTCCTGAGCTAACGACATGACTCCAGGTTGACAAACTATGTCATTGACTGGTATCTTGGCTACGGAGCCATCCAGATGGTGGGTATCATGTCTGGAGTCGTTGCCTTCTGGGTCTTGATGGCAATTCCACTATATGTCTTCGGCAAGAGATATCGCCTCTGGTGGCACAAGCACAATGCGCTTAAGGCACTCAAGCTGGAGACCCAGGATAATGGTGGCATGGCGCACTGAAGCCTACTGCTGTCGTTACCATAACAGAACGCATCGGCCGCTTCCCGCAGCTGGACGAGAGCCTTTAGAGATCATAGTGTGACCCTCGCGTCCGCCATGTAGCCAATCTTATCCAACGATGCGTACGCTCCTTGGAGATTGGAGGATATATATTCAAAGCTAGGAGACGCCTATTGCAATGCAGTCTCGGCCACTGTGTCGATCAAATACCTGTATGCCGGAAGTTCATCCATGTGCATTCGACAAAGCAGCGATGACAAGGATAGACGTACGATTCGCAATTGATGACAAGTCTAAGAGGCTACTGCAGCTTCACCTGCTGTCAAATTTTGACTGCCCAGGTGGACCTTGGCAATCAGGCAACCTTGTCATCCGGTTTCATCTGCATACGTGCACTTGCCGACTTCAAGTTCGCAGCACTATTAGCCCACTAAGCCAGAAATTCACCATTAGACTATGGCACTCCTAAGGAGTACGGACTTGTATCGTTTCGCGTGGTTTCCGCCATAATTTAGCCCTTCAGATGGCCGACACGCCTCCCGTTCGACGCTCAGGCCGTAAGCGCAAGGTCAACACTAGGTATGCAGGAGCCGACTGGGATCGCGATGCACTTCGGAGGATTCGTGCAACCTCTACTTCGTCAGGATCTTCACCGAGCGATAGCGGCAACAATCTCGAGCCATCTGACGACGTTGACTTCTACGGAGGCAGGGATGACGGCACTCTGGTCGACTCTTTGGTACACGGACCCAGTCGGGAGGACTCTGCTCCCATAAGGCACGTTCGATCGATCTGGCTGCGAGGGCGAGACGCCACGTTGCCCAGCCGAACAACTCTACTCAATCCGGAAGCGTCCTTTATGCATCTTGTGGAAGCAGATCAGAAGCGAGCAGCAGAAATGGTCCTGGCCGAGCCGGAAGGTTTCGAACTCGAATCGAAGACAGAAGAAGAACGCAGCACGATGGTATCTTATCTCGACCATCAGTGTGATCTCGACGATGCACAATTGTCGCAGCTTGATTCGAGGCAGAGGCTTACAGAGATCGACAAAAACACTGCCACTGGTCGAAGGTACATAGCCGCAGCCAATGCTCATACCGTCATCGCTGGACCGCTGCATTCACAGCGGGCATGTGTTGTCGATGCCCTCGGTTTTCACCCTCTTCAGACGTCAGCAAATCCAGACGAGAACAGCGGTTGGCTCATCAACATCGGAGGAAGTGCTCAATGCGCGGCATGGGCACCCAGACCTGGTAACACTCAGTACCTAGCTTTAGTGGCACGAAGTACACCTCATCAGCGAGAAGCATCCGGCGCGTCAATGTCACGGTCTTTTGGTCAGCCGTCCACAAGCCACCCATGCAGCGTGCAGATGTGGCTTTCCAAGGCAGAGCCGCCACAAAAGATGATCTTCTAGACCTCGACACTGAGAGTCCGCCACGACTTGTACAAGTCATTGGTATTAATGCCGGCGACGTGCAAGAGTTGAAGTGGGCACCCACAAGCAGCCGCATCACAGACGTAGACCTACCACATCTCCTCGCGGTCTTGTCTACAGACTCACATCTCCGGATATTGGCTTGCGATCTCTCTGGCGAAAGTTATGAAACAACATGGCTTGAGCTCTCAACGCCTGTCGTTGACATTTCGCCGCCAACCAGTGTAGGAACTACACCTACGATCACAGGCGAAGATCCCGTCTTCAGCACCTTTGCTTGGCTCTCCTCACACGAGCTCATCCTCGGCACGTCTAACGGCCTAACGCTCAGCTACGATATCCTCCAAATCCTCAATCCAGGCACACAGGCGCCAACAGATCAAGCAGTCACCCACCTCACACCCTACCAAACACTATCTCCCCACCAGACCTACATCACAGCGTAGCGCCCGCCCTCCCACTGTTTCCACCGACCCACCGCTTCAACGCCACCTCGTCCGCCGCCTGCGACCTCAATCTCATCACCCTCACACCCGCCCACCCCTCCGCCACCGTCCATACCCACTACCAACGCCTCCCCTCCCTCCTCCTGACCTACTCTCCCTACACGCGCTCCTTCATCACCATCTACCCAATCGGTCCCATCCGCTCCGCTACCACGAACCACACCATCGACGACCCTCCGGGCGAGAGCACCTCCACGCCGACATTGATCGCACACCACCTCCGCCGCTTCACCAGCACTGCGCAGCAGCTCGCCCATCTGCCGCTGTAGGGTGGCGCAGCGACGGCACTGGCTGAGATGAGCGTGCATCATCCGTGTGTGCTGATGGGGAATGCGGGTGGTGAGGTCTCGGCGACGAATTATCTGAGGAGTGTGTTGGCGACGAAGTCGAGAAATAGGCCGGGCAAAGGGGCTTGGAATTTGAAGGTCGTAAGAGCAGACTGGAGAGAAAATAAGGGCATGAGTTCAGGGAGCACCGAGAAAACTGAGGAACGAGCGGATGGTGATGTTGCGATGACCGAAAATGGGCAGATTGAGGTGCCTTCTACTGCTGCTGGCGCAAATGACGTACCGAACCCGAAATCCGAACACGAACCCAGCACAACTGACCTCTACCACAGCCAGCCAACACGCAAAGGCATAACGCGCCTCGTCTTCGGCTGGCGCGCTACGCCCGTCGAAATCGGAAGACACGAGCAGAAGGACAAGGAACGGGACGCGGCGATCGCGACAAACCGTGGACGGCCTAAGAAGGAATCGCCGCGTCCAGCGGATGGAGAACGGGAGCGTGAAGCAGAACAACGAAAAGGCGCCAATGCCGAGGTTAACACGTCTGTTTCAGATCTTACCGCTGACCCGGCCGTCAGTAACGCCCTGGTGCAGAATGCAAATCAGTCACAAGGACCACAGCCGCCATCAATAGCGCTCACCAACACATCTCCATCGCAGCTAGATCCCAAGCCCGCACAAATCAAAGCAACGACGGAGGCGATCTTCGAGGAAGAGCAAGCAGTCACGGCGCTGGCATGGAGTCAGGACCGACGTACAGCTGGGTGGGCGGCGGTTGGATGGGGAAGTGGGTTGGTCATGGTGCGGGACTTTGCTGTTTGAAGCAGAATGGGAAAACGAGCGGGAAAGCGGGTTGGACACGGGCAGGAGCGAGGGTGGAAAGGCAATGAGCAGTCGAGCAAGGCAGAGCCGACGGGGAAGAGGGCAGCAGCGAAAGAGTGCAGTAGCGAGGCACAGGCTCTGATACAGTATGGCATCAGTCACAGCGCAGGATTCAATCGAGTAGCTGCAGCGAAATGATACGAAAGACATCGTTGCGAATATGTGGTCTGGCAGATATGCACAGCAGACTGACTGCCGCATCCATGACTTTTACATTGCACACCACCATGTCCGCCTATCTTCGATGCGACAATGACCCTCCCGAGTGCCCTGCCTTTGAAGCCATCAGATCATGTCATCAAACCGAAATTTCCTTGTTGTACAATCCCTCCATCCACTCTTTCTTCCATTTTCTTTTTCGTGAACCAGACCGATTCGCTATGCTGCTAAAACATTCACATCGTGACAGAGACGTCGTGACTCCGTGCATGGGTCCCAGACGATGTAGGACATCACGTCAACGTTCAGGGTATCGCTCAAGAAGTGATGTTTGTCGATCGTCACTCGACTTTCGAGCGAGTATTCTGTCTCCCTGGAGACCATGATGGGAGGCGGTTGACGCGGATTGTGAGGACTCCCGATTCGCGACATAAGAGTTGGCACACAAGAATCCCAACCTAGGGTGCTGGGTGTGGTATCCCAGCTACTGGGCGAAGTGGTGAATGGCGGTTGGGACGGAGTGCTAGGTGACAGATGAGAAGGGGAAGGCGGAGTGGGAGGTGGCGTATGAGGCGGACTTGGAGGTGGATCTGGAGTCGGATCGGCTGGAAGATCCCCCGTCGAGTACGAGCGAGCCCTCTATGCCGCCACAGGACGAGGTCCACCGCGGCCACCTCTTCCGCCGCGTCCGCTATTCTCACCTCCACGTCCACCACGTCCGCGGTATCCGTCGCCACGTCCGCCTCGACCTCGGAAGTCACCACGGTGGCCCCCTCGAGCACGTCCGCCACCACCACGGCCGCCTCGGCCCTTAACCTGCTCGAAGCCGTCATCGGTACTTATTGGCTTGACTTCGGGAGCAGCTTCGACCTCTTCAGCCAGGTGCTCTGGCGAGCGGGAGCTGCTGGGGTGGCTTCAAGACCGGTGTCTGTCTCGGCAGGGTCACGCGGCACTTGCACCCATGATGCATCTCCTTGCCATGATCCAGCTGTTTCGGCGACGGCGTTGGCAGCCTCATCGCCAGTGGAAGCTTGCTCGGGAACGGCGGCAGCAGGCTCGGGCTCGGTCTGGCCATTTGTGGCTGACTGCAGTGGGATGGCTGAAGTTTCTTCCAGTTCTGTAAGGCTTGCGTTGGCGATGGTAGGGTCAGTCTCAGGGACTTGCTCAGCCTCTTCCGGCTCGGCCTCGGAGATGTCCAACTTCACAGCGGAAGCAGCCAAGGAGGCTTCTTTGAGTTGAGACCAGGTGAAATCGACGGGCTCGTTGTGAGTATCGAGGACCTTCTCGTCGCTACCTTCAACCAAGCTCTTGAGTGCACTAGTCGAGGCCGAGTTGCCTTGGTAGATCATCAACAAGCCACCTTCGAAAGCGAGCGCTTCTGGAGAGTCTGTGTCGTCGCTGCCTCGCTTGGCAGCAGCAGCATGGAGAAAGCTGGAGACGATTTCGAGAGCTTTGTCAAGATCTTTGCCCTCCGCAGCTTTAGCACTAGCAGCAGCCTCCTCCTTCAAATGAGCGATCTCAGACTCGTGTGACTCAACGAGTGCAGCCTTGTCGCGGCTGTGACGGTCTTCGAGCTCTAGGCCAAAGGACTTGTAGGCGGACAATTGCTCTTCCAGCTGTGTAATCTGAGCCTTGAGGTTGGGTTTGTTGGTGATTTGGGCCTTCTGGTCGTTGTTGATTTTCTTCTCGCGATGAGCTGGTCCAGACTCTTGCCGGCGTTCTCCTCGACAATGGATTCGGTCTTGGCTATGCCTGTGAGCTTCTTGTTGGCGTTGCGGAGTTGTCTGGTGAGACCGTTAGAAATGTGAAGGGCTGGCAGGGCTGTCAATGCTTACTTGGTGAGTTCTCTGACATAGGGACTTTCTGTGGGAGTGTCGGTGCCGTTGACAGCGGGTGCAGATGGAGCTGGATCGGAAGCATGGCTTGCAGTTTCGGTGGTAGGGTCGGTGCTCTTAGCCTTGCGTCGCTTGGATGACTTGGAAGCGTCTGCGGCAGGAGCGGCCATATTGTGCTTGTTTGAGGTTGCGGATGACTTTGGTCGAACGAAAGATGTTTGATTGACGTAAATAGCTGGGCAAAGAGGTATGAGCTAAAGTAATGGCAAACTACTTGTTCAACGAAGAATGTTTGATGGAGAGATCTGAGTCGGAGGCCCTCGCGCGAGTTGCAAATTGGAGAAAAGAAAACAGCAGCGGAAGTCTTGGCGTTCGGCGGAGATCCACAGAATCTAGAAGAACATTGGTCGAGATATCAATGGTGAAGGCAGGATATTCGGTCGAGAGTGTGTTGCCATGTAATGGCAACATTGAAGCCTCGGAGATGGATGCTTGCTCTTACCCATATAACAGCCGGCAGTGCTACACCACCAAAATTGTGTATCCGTGAGCGCAGCTGGACCTAATCAAGCCTAGGCCCTCCAGGACAGCTCAGTTCCTATATCACTGGCGAGCACGCCCAACTTCTTGACTGTGCTGATATGAATTTGAGCAGAAAGATCCGCCAGTCGGCTTTGCAGATTTGCAATAGCGGCCAGTGGCAGGAACACCCTCATACCTTCTGCCTTACTGCGGTGGGAAGCCCTCAAATTGATGCACAGTCCCCTTTCCATCTCCCTCACCGCCGTCAAGGCTCTTGAGCCACGGCACCCGATGCTTAATCCACAGCTCCGCCTCCGGACTCACTTCAGCCACACCTCCCTTCCCACCCTCCGCCTCATTCAAAGTCCCTGCAAAGATAACGACAAATCCTGGCCAACCCTGCTCAGAAGTCTTCCAGCAGACGGACGAGCAGTTGGCGCAAAAATGGGCGGTAAGTTCCACCCCAGTTTCGTGCACAGCGGTGTAGGTCCGGTAGTGTTCCGACGAGGTCGTTGTATCGGGTAAGTTGAATTGAGGTGTTGGCAGCAGGATCGTCATGGCTGAGGTCGACGAGGTGAGTTTGCGGCAGGTGAGGCAGTGGCAGAGCGCCTTGGAGGCAGGGTTGCCAGAGTAGCTGTAGGCGATTGCGCCGCAGAGGCAGCTCCCAGACGGCATGTTCGAGGGGTAAGGTCGGGTCTGTATAGGTGCAGTAGGACTTCCCTTGCTGACCTCGGTACCGCGATATATATCTGACGTGGTAGACTGTCGTACAGCGGACGCCTGATTCGGGTGAGGATCTTAGTCCGACCGTAGCAATATATATATAGCCGTTTGTGAAGGTAAAGTCTCCGTCAGTGCCTGAGTCCTGCTGGTAGAGGGGTTGAAGAACGCCTCAAAACTTTATTCGATTCAGCTCGTCTCTGTCCACCATGGCAGCGGTCAGCACCTGCAATGCTGGCAGCACGTCCAGCCAGCCATAGACGATACCGGAATTGCGTTGTTTACAGTCGTAGCTTGCATACACCAATAACGGGAAGTCAGGGATGCGAAGTGCAAGTCTGGGTAGGCTCCCAGTCTTCCACTAGTATGTATGTTCATCGACTCCGTCTCGCTGACACCATGTCAAGTGCTCTGCAAGCAGGCATCACTGCATCTCCATATCAGGGTCCGTCCCTCTAATCCTCACATCCCACCTCGGTGGTCTCCCCATATCTCTGACCTGACTTCTCCTTCTCCGAGCAGCGCTCTCGCTTCCATGCACTGGCAAGCACGCCAGCAATGTGTCCAAGATCTTCTCAATAATTCCAGCTGTCCTGTCCCTCAGCCTCTCACTGAATGCAAAAGCCAACGCAACGATCGCAATAACGACTGAAACCGGAAATATGATCGCAGCTATCAGCGCCAGATTGAGCTGCGAATTGTCCTCTAGTCCCTTGACGTTCATACCGAACCATGTCGCCATGAACGACAGCGGCAAGAAGATTATCGTGACGACTGTGAACAACAGCATTATCCGTCCGTGTCTCGCGGAGTCCTCAGCTTGGTACCGATTCGACCTTGCTTCAGCAAGACTGCTTTGCTTCTGTTTGATATCCATCTGTGCTTGTATCTCGTTGTATGCCACTTGTGCTGTCTCGGCGATCCGCTTCCAGCTCTCTTTTCGCTCCGATACCATTTCTGATACATTCTTGACGGCGCGTGAGCGGTATGTGCGGGTCAAGGACTTGACGACGTCTTCTTGGCGTGCTAGAATGTAGTCTATGCAGCCAAGCTCGTCGATAATGTCCTTGATCTCCTTGAAGAGACCTGTTTCGAGGGCGATCGAGAAATCGGAAGACTCGAGCTTGCGTGAGAGTTCGATCAGCGAGGCTTGTCGTGCTTGCAGCCTTTCCAGCTCTTGGACGGCAACGCAGAATTTGTTGAATGCAGCTGTCTTATCATCGCGTACCAGGCCGATGGCTGCAGCAAAGAATTCCATAAACCACTTGTCCGATTCCAATTGCCGCTGAAAGAACACACCTGTGCAATGTTCGACGATGAGAGCGACGAGATCGTTGATGGTGCGGAGAGAGGGTTCAAGGCCGCGTTCGAGATGTTGGATGATGCCATGATAGATGTCGGCGGAATTGTATTCGCCATTGAAGCGTTGGGGGAACGCTGTAACGACCAGATCCGGATGTGCCTCAGCAGAGTCGCCGTCGGTGAACGTACCGCCTTTGATGACCCAGAGCCAGAGCTGGTCGACTATGACGAGCTTTGCTTCACCTTCATCCAGCTTAGCAGTGAAGCGATGCATCACCTGATCATAGTCTGGTAGCGGCCTCGTCATGCCAAAGTCATGGTAGTATGCTTGGTGCAGCGTTCTGCGATCGTGCAGAGGGGATGTGTTGTGGTGTAGATAGTCGCGCACGAATTCTGTATCCGCCTGAGGTCGGCAAGAGCGCTTGCCATTAATATCCCCAATAAGCTGTTGCCTTTCGTCCCATGCTTTCACTGACTCCCAATTGAGATATGGCATATACATCACAAGATTGTTTCGCGGGCCGCGGGTCGCACCTGCGTCGGCTTCACTAGATGAGTCAGACTGCTCGTCTTCGACATCGACCGAGAAGGGCGTGCATGCAGGTCCCATGAACCTTGTTTGAATCTGATCGGATGCCTTGCCGTGAAAGAGATGGTACCAAAGATCTTTTCGTAGCATCGGATTGAGTCTCGTAGGACTTCCAGGTCTTTTCGAAGGGTTGTCTGGAACTTGAATGCGGCGCTCCTCACAGACTCTGTCCATCAGCTGCTCGACCCAGAACATGACATTGGAGCGTAAATGGACCCAGCGAATGCTCGGCTTGCGGTGAGCTGCACCATTCATGATAGCAGCCGGGCCACGGTGCAGCAGTTCATCGATCGAGGGCTTCTTGAAAGTCATGTCATAACTGGAGCCTGTAGATGACAGTGATATGTCGAGGATCACGGCATGCTTCTTCGAGGTCTCGTCAGCCTTGCACGCGTCGTTGCGTTCGACCACTATGGTGCTTCCAGACGCTGCAGAGATCGAGTCACGAGGCTGTAGCGAAGACGATGGCTCGTTCGACGACGACGACGAAGTCGGTGAGGTCATTGTCAAGCCTTATGTGCCGGCAGTCATCCGATGCGTTTAGAAATTGTAGCCACGGAAGTTGTCCTGGATTGCACTTTAGGATATTGATAGATGCTGGATACAGGCTTGACTGAAACGTCCATCTTGTTCTAGCGCAAGCATGGACAAGTCGGTAGGCAAGTCATTTGTGTAAAGGACGCCTAGTGTCAACAAGGCCAGTCCTCGCTGCCAGGGGATTTGGTCCTGTATATCTGCTGCAGTGCCTGCAGTGTGACTCTGTGCATCATACTGCGCCACATCATTCCACATGAGACAGGCGCTGAGGCCTGCATCGAAAGGGACTGGGGTTGGGTGATTTGGTCGTTTGGTGGGTGATGATCGACAACGTTAGGCAGCGGTGCGGGGCGAGGTTTCTGTGGGGGCCAAACGTGCCGCTTGGTAGCGAAAGGACTTTGCAGAAGTGCCTGAGACTGCTTGGCTGGGTTTCTTGCGCAGTCGAATCGAATTCTGCTGTTGAGTTCGGAGATCTTGTGACGTGCTTTCGCGTCGCTGATGGTGTGAGGTCGTCAAGGTCGTCGTCGTCGTCGTCGTCTTGGAGCTACTTGCCGTGGCGGCATCGTCATCGAGCCGGCCGGCCTGAGGCTATGCGCCACACCATCTGACAGTCCTCGCCCTCCGTGACACGCCTTCAAACCTCGTACACCCACAAACACCCAGTGCTCAAAGATCTCCGTTCGCGAAGGCCTCGCGTCGCCCTCGCCCAACTCTCAGCCCTTAAATTTCTGCAGTGTACCCATCGTGACCCTTCTTAGGTCCCTCGCAGCAATCTTCTTCGACCCACCCTCCCTCGCCTTCCGCTCCGCCGCCTGCATCAGCTCCGTCATGAAAAGCACGTAGTCCAGGTAAATGAACGCGTCGACATCACGTGTGACGCGCTTGAGCGAGTGCGCCTTCAGCGATTTGCGGATCGTGGCGCGAGGATATTTCTTTGGGATGGCCATGGCGGTATGCTGTTGTTTGTTTCGTGTCAATGTGCTGATAAATGTATTTGGATGCGAGTGCTGTGAGATAGTTCTGACGAACGAAGGCCGGTTCAAGGACCTCGAGTAAAAGTCACAGTGTTTGGATTTCGGTCGATTGGGCATGTTAAGCGAGAGGGCGGGCTTGGCATTTCTACCTACAGCTTCTACTTGAACAGGTGCTCAAGGAACCTAGCTTCCTGCTCTTCGAGATCGATCTGTTGCTTCAACTCGGCAATCTCTCGTTTGCATTCCATAATGTCGAGTGCCTCTTCCATGAACTTTCCCCCAATCCTGATTCTTTGATCCATAGTGAAAACTCGTGCCCATCCGTTCAGATTTTTCTGTACGTGTTCGAAATCCTCATTCATCGTCTTGTTCACGGCAGCCGCGAGTGTCGACTGCGCCGTTGGAAGCTCTGCCGAGGTCTTAAGCCAGTCTCTTATCCTGCTACGGAGTACCTCACGCCCTATGGGAAGGGAGAGTGACTCTCGCAAGGCTCGGTCTCCCAGAGTGAAGTGAAAACCACAGCGATCAACCATCGCGACCTGTGCGACCTGACGAAAGCGACGGGAGACTATTCGCAATGTTGAAACCCAGTCCGGCGACCAACAGATCGATGTCATCTTCCGGTGGAACATATTGCTGATGCAGAGGTCCAAGTTGTCTGGGATCGTGAAGCCAATGATCTTCTCAAAGATTTCCACGGGCATGCTATCGAGCCTAGGGTGGGGTTTGTCCTGATGAGTGTGTCAGTGCAGTCTCGCGACAGCTTTCTGGAAGGACCGGCTTACCCATGTTGGCGCAGAAAGAGTGTCGGACATCTTGACGAGGCTTTAGACGCTAGAAGAGGGTAGTGGTTTCGGTGATGGGCGCAATCGTAGAGCCGGAAAATTGTGCAAGAGTGTTATCAGCAAAGACCAAAGACGATGTGAGACGTTTTGTCAAACAAAGGAGGCTTAACCACGTGAAGTTGAAAATGCCAGGAGGGAATTGAGAGACCTCAGAAATGTTCCAAGCCCATTTTAACCTATCCGAACCAACAGGATAAGCACAGCAAAGAGGATATGATGAATGCGTAGCAGTTCATAAGGACTGCGGATTGAAGTCGATCAATTGGCTCATTGCATGAGGTCGTCTATATCCACGACATCCGTCTGGCCAACCTATGGCTCCAGTAATGCGCCGAACAGATACATCGCAGTCTTAGCACGCTCCCTGACGTTCAAGTCTGCATCGTTCTCCAGCCTAATGATCTTATCTCGGTACCCTTGCCTAATGAGCTCCCGAGCACGCTGTTGACAGAAAACTTTGTCACTAGAATCATCTTCATACATCAGGTTGATAGCCAGCCAGCACACCCCTACTCGCACTCCTGCCTCGCTGTGGCTTGCCAAGCTCAGAATTGCCTTCATCAGGCCCGTCTCGGCAATGACCGCGTGCCTCCAGGTCTGGCTGCTGGCGGCGATGTGGTTAACGACGTATAGGACAGTAGACACCAGGCTAGCACGTGGAGGCGAGTCGACGTTGTCCCTACGCGTCGCGCCGTAGTCTCTCCTAGTATTCAGCCGCTTGCGCAAAGCTTCGAAGAACTCACGGTCCCCAATTTGTTTAAGCACGTATTCGACTATGTCCGCTGCACTGTTGCCGCAGAAGAGATTGCGGAGTAAGTCGAACATCTGCTCCTGAATCAAGTAGTCTTCCTCGAGGCTGTGCTGCGGGAACTGGTTCTGAGGCCCAAACCAATCTGGTGGATCGAGAGGCTCAACGTCGCTCATGTCCACGTCTTCGCCACTTCTGTTCGTCGATCCAAGCCCGATGACCTCGCCAGGTCTGACGTCGTTTGGGTCTGTGCAGATCAATTCCCGAATGAAGTTGCACGAGAGCTCTTTCACAATCTTCATCTTCAGCTCCTTCGATTCATTGACGGCAAGCTGCTTCAGCGTCCACAGAGATTCGTATCGAAGTCGGGCGTGCGCCGAGTGCGCTTGTAGACATAGCCTCGTGGTGACGTGGGTCATATCCATCTCATCCTTAACGGGACTGAAATCCATTGCCAGATTCGTGAGGACCTGGGTGGCTGCAATCGTGACTTCCGGGTCGGTACTGCTGATAAGCATTATTATGCGCTTAGCTACTTCCGCATCGACCAATTTCGTCCTAAGAGCCTTGACCGAGCGAGTGAGGGCTCTAACGCACCCGCATGCGGCCACCACCGTTGAGGGAGCATTACCACAAACGCTGCTCATTTTCGTCAGCGGGTCTTGATCCAACTTCAGAGGGTCCGTCGCCTTTATGATGAGGGGTAGCACGCCCTGCTTGCAGATGTCTTGGCGATACTCATCAACATCAGGCGCAATTGCGGCGAGAGCTTGTAGAATCGCTTCCCGGTGTCGCATGTGCTGACGCACAGTATCAGACGGTCCAGTGGAACCAAGTGTGCAGTCGTCTGGAAGCGTGTCCATGTCAGCATGGGAAGATTTGTACGGCTTCCATTGAATGCTCTTCTGGCTCGGAACGACATCGAAAGACTTCTTCAGATTACTCGACAGTCTGAGAATAGCTTTGCATTCCACAGCCATCTTCTGAAGATCGGGATCGTCAACTATCAGCCTGCCCAGCACCGAGGGTGCGGCCTTGCTGTAGTAGCTTCCGTCCGACAAGTATGACCCGGCATTAGCAAGACCATCTCGTGCGGCAGGCTCGTCGATGTCCAACATCCGAACCAGTAATGGCACCAGTAACGATCCAAACATACGACGTCTGGATTTGTGGACCAGTCCAAGGTCCTGCAGGACTGCCAGCAACTTGCAGGCGACTAGCCGACGACGACCTCGCGACTCACAGACGAGTACAAGCAGATACGGTACGAGCCCCACCTCTTCCTCTGCCGCTTGATTTTGGCTGTCAAAAATGGAGCTTGCTGTCTGAGGAGGCGTAGGATGGAATGAAGACCGTCGTCTCTGAAAAGCACCAGCACCTAGTGGTGGGAAGTTGACATTAGAAGCCGTTGCAGTGTGAGGTCTCGCTGGTACGGCTGGCAGATAGATCTCCATTGCATGGCGACCTTGTGGGATTGCGCCTGTACTGCCCGCCCATGGTGCCTGGCGAGCATTATTTGGCGTGGACATATCCTTTGTTCGAGGCAAAACGGTTTCGAGCTCAGAAATGGAGAAGAACGATCTGGCCCGCTCCGCAGAATTCTCCAGCACCAGAGCGATGGCCTCCATAAGGGGTGAAAGATGGGCATGCACAGATGCTGGCGGCTGTAGAACGGATGCTGCACTTTCTGGGAAATCGATTGCCCCAAGTGAGGGCGCAACATAGCCTTGGCCCACAACGAAAGCTGCCAGCTTCAGCGCAAGGGCTTCCAAAATGAAGTGATCTGCCAGGACAGATTTCTGTTCTTCCGTCGTACATGTCCTGCAAAGCAAGCTAACCGTGAGGTCGCATACCTGGCTTGAAGCCACTGAATCGCAAGCGCTTCTAACGCCATTGACGATGCAACTAATGTATTGGCTGCTGTAAAGCAAGTCTGCGAGCGTTGTATCTTGCTCCCATTCGCCATCAGCTCTGGACGGTAGCTCGCTCGCTATGGTATTCAAGCACTTTAGAATGGCTAGAGCATCTCGGAGAGTGCTGTCCTGCACGAGCCTTTGAAGCAATAGCTCGAGTATGTCGCTCTTCAAGATGGGAAGGACGTAGGAAGCACCTTCGTGCGCAAGAACCGAGACGAGGGAAGCGATCTCTGCGTACAGACTCTCAGAGTATTGGCTGTCTGATTGTGGGTTCTCATTTTGGTAGTGCGTGAGTATCTCGCAGAGGAGTGGTAGAATGCCGGCCTGTACGGAAGACTCCTTGAGCGTTTGCTTTCCGATAAGTTGAGTCCTAAACCTTCGAATTGTACTCGGAACGGGGTCGGATCGTAGGTCGCCTATGTCGATAGCGGTCATCGCGTGGGACGGGCAGCGACGGGTGTCGTGCGAGTCTCAAGAAATGCTGTGTCGTCTGCCGGCGGAAAGAAAGAAGTGATTCTCCGGACCGGGTATAGCCGGAGTTACGATATTGGCAGTAATTGTGGGGAGTTGATGTATGATGTGACATACAAAAATATCATCGTGAGTCTGACTGCATAGACCACGGCCACAATCAAAGAGGACTTTAATGTTGGATCGTTTCGACTACACGACAGGTGGGAAGGGCCGTGGAACCAAATATCGCGCTTACCCTCGTGCGATTTATGGACTTTGGCAGGTGGTAGGCATGGGTGAAGCGGGCTTCGCCTTCTCCAGATCCAAGGAGGGACGGTCAAATCTAGCAACTGCTGCACCGCGATGAAGGCTGCAGAGTGGATCAAACCATTCGTCGAAGAACCACGCCATACCGCGGACGAAGATGTGGGCAAGGCTCGGCGCAGCACGATCGCCTTGATCGCAAGCAACGCTCTTGTCGTGGCCATCGGGTTGGCATGCCAGACGGGCTTGATCATTGCCACGCATGTCACTACGTCCGTGAACATCCTTCTGGTTACTGTATGGGCACTGCTGCTACCGGTGTCCATCTGGCGACCGCGGACAGGTTCACCGGCTCTTTCGATCGCTTTTGCTGGCTTATTACTCGGCCACGCTGGAAAGCTGAGTATTGAAAGTCCCAAATTGGCCTCCTTGCCTGGGATACTGGGGACAATTCCAATAGCACTCTCACTCATTCTTTTGCTAATCGAGATCAATCTCCCGTTGCGCAGTCCAGCATGGCCACGACACGATATCGCCAAGCCCGACTCGGAGCCCACCGCAACACTTCGAACGCCGGAGGACAACCTCACAATCTGGCAGTGGTACACCGTCAGCTGGATGAGGCCCCTCATTCGACTTGGCAAGAAGCGACAGCTGAACAGTTCGGATGTATGGTTTCTGGGCTACGAATTTCAGCATCGGCATTTGCATGATGCTTTCCGTGAGTTGAAGGGGTCCGTCCTCCGTCGCGTATTGCGTGCAAACTGGATGGACCTTGTTCTTCTGACACTCCTGGCATTTGCCGAGTTGGCTGCAGACTTCGCGAGCCCCTTTATACTCCAAGCTATTCTCAAGGCGATGGACAATCTTGCCTACGACAAGGCACCAGCCATCCGATATGCATTGCTTATGCTGGTCGTCCGACTAGTAGATGCACAAGTCGAAGTACTCGCCCTCTGGTTCGGGAGACGAGCCTACGAGAGATCGAGAGGCGAGATGATCACTATGCTCTACGAGAAGACCTTGAAGAGGAAGATCGTGGGCGAAGTTCCCGAGAAAGAGGTGGTCACGATGCCCACACCTTCCGAGCCTGATGTCTCTCTCGACAGCAGCGAGGCAAACACTGAAGTGGCAGATGGCGACAGCGACGGCCTATTGGCCGGTCCAAAGGGACAAGAAACTGTTCCTAAGACGTTTCTTTCACAAGCGATTGCCATCGCCAAGGCATTCCTCTCTCGCAAGAAGCCAGCTCCGACACTTCCTGAAGCACCGCAGTCAGCTTCTGTTGGCAAGATCCTCAATGTTCTTAGAAATGATGTCTATGAGGTCGCACAGCGCTTTTGGGAATTTCAGACTCTCGTCTTTGCACCAGCGGGCTTTATCATATCAGTCGCATTGGTATGGAAGTTACTCGGTTGGGCATCCCTCGTTGGCGCTGCCGTAGTGGTCCTGTCACAGATCCTGAACGCTCTTCTGGCAAGAGGCTTGATCAAATGGGAGAAGCTACGCCGGCAAGCAACAGACGATAAATTCCGTCGAATCACCCAGTACATTGAGGCTATCAGGCATCTTCGCTGGTACGGGTGGCATCCTTCATGGTTGCGGCATGTTCTCGATGCCCGACAAAAGGAACTCAACCTCAAGATCATTACACAGATCTGGAATCTAGCCATCATACTGGTGAACCAGTTCGGTAGCGCTCTTTTGCCTGTTGCAGCATTCTTTGCGTTCACTGCATTAGCTGGCGAAGACCTGCGAGTTGATGTCGCCTTCCCAGCTCTGCAGCTCTTCATCTACCTACAGAAATCCTTGAAAGACATCCCTCGTCTGATCACAGTCCTGCTCAACGCGAAGGTCTCGATAGACCGGATCGAGTCCTTTATGAACGAGCCAGACAAACCCGAGAATCCCTTAGCCGACTCAGATAATCAGCTCGAGCTGAAGGACGCTTCATTCGGTTGGCCGGGTTCGATGCAAAGCGTTCTTCGCAATGTCGATCTGAAGTTCCCTCCAGGCCTCTCGCTTGTTGTAGGACGGGTCGGTGCCGGCAAGACCGCCCTTCTACAAGGTCTGCTGGGTGAGCTTGACCTGCAGCAAGGACACTTGGTCAAGCCAGCGGACACGCCGATAGCGTACTGCCTTCAAACGCCATGGCTCGAAAGCATGACGATCCGCGACAACATCCTGTTCAACACGCCGTACGATGACGATCGCTATAAGCGCACGGTGGATGCTTGTGCGTTGACTCCCGATCTTGCAACGTTCCCACAGGGCGACTTGTCAGCAATCGGAGAGAATGGAATTGGACTATCGGGTGGACAGAAGGCACGCGTGGCTCTAGCTCGTGCGGTCTACAGCAGAGCACCTATTCTATTACTAGACGATCCGATTAGCGCATTGGATCAGCAGACTGCTGAGTGGATCGTGAAGCGATGTCTGATTGGCGATCTGGTGGAAGGTCGCACCATAGTCCTAGCCACACACCGCACCGATTTGTGTCAAAGCGTAGCGGTGCAGACAATTAAAGTCTCTGGCGCAACAGCTGAAGTCGTCGAAGGTGACTTTCAGGCCGAAGACTACGACTTGACCCAGGTTGTCTCGGACCGGAGATCCGACGAGGAGCAGAAGCAAGTTGAGCAGGCCGCGATACGAGACAAATTTGAAGACGAAGAGCATCGTGAGCATGGTGGCGTCCAGTTCTCTGTGTACTGGGTATACGTCAAAGCTGGCAGGTTGAAATGGTGGTATGCTCTCGCAATCTTCGCATCCCTTTTCCAATTCCTCAACGTTGCCGAGTCGTGGTTTCTCAAAGAATGGGGAGAAGCGTACAACAGAGGACGAGAGCAACTCGTGGGCGTTCTCACTTTCCCAGCAAACATTCGTATACTGGAAACACCTCTGTCTGGAATATTCCGACGACTGCCAAACCCGTCCGACAATGTGTATCCTTGGCTCAAGGGATACCTCCTTGTTGTCAGTATCGGACCTCTTGCTCTTATTATCAGCCAAGCCTTCGTGGTTTTGATCACATATCTGGCTGGCAAGAAGCTCTTTCAGGAGATGATGGAGCGTGTGAGTGATGCACCGTTCCGTTACTACGACGTGACTCCCATCGGACGACTTCTCAATCGACTCATATCCGACGTCGGCGTACTCGATGGCGGAATCTCGAATCAGCTTTGGGTCGTTATTTTCCAGGGAGTGGCGTGGCTAGCTTCTGTCTTCGTCTTTGCAGGAGTCACGCCCACGTTCTTGGTCTTCTCGATCCTGCTGACTGCGACGTTTGTCTGGATTTTCTTGCAGTTCCTTCCCTCCTCACAAAGTCTCAGGAGACTCGAGATGGTCTCACTCAGCCCACTCATCTCCAACTTTGGAGCTCTGCTTGGCGGTCTCACCACTGTCAGAGCCTTCTGCGCAGAGCCGGCGTTCTTGTCGAGAGTAATCGGTGTTGTGGATGAATTCCAAAAGAACGACCATTTCTACTGGAGCTTGCAAGGATGGCTAATGTATCGCTTCGACGTTCTGTCATGCTTCTCCACGTTTGCCCTCACGATGCTGGCCGTCTACTCAGACCTCACGCCCGGGCTGACAGCCTTCGTGCTGGTTGCGGCGCAACGATTCGTGGCATCTACACACCAGCTGTGTCGATCGTACGGACAACTTCAACTGGACTTCGTATCGGTCGAACGTGTGGTTGAGCTGCTCCAGCTAGACGTAGAGCCTCCCGGTGACGTCAAGCCGCCTGCCTCATGGCCAAAGTATGGGGCGCAAATCGAGTTCGAGAATGTCACCATTAGATATACCCCAGAAGCTGCACCTGCGGTGTCCGACATCAGCCTAGTACTTGAAGGCGGCAAACACACCGCCATCGTGGGAAGAACCGGCTCTGGCAAATCAACACTTTCACTGGCCCTTTTGGCAACGACGCCTCTCTCCACAGGTCGAATCATGATCGACGGCATTGACATCTCGCGCGTGGACAAGACCACCCTGCGCTCACGCATCACGTTCTTGGCCCAAGATCCAATTCTTTTCCCTGGTAGTCTACGCTTCAACCTCGACCCGCAGTCTGAGTACTCCGACAGTGAATGCCTCAGTGCTCTATCACTGGCATGTCTAGACACTCGCAGATTCACGCTGGAATTCGAAGTCGCAGCACACGGCCACAATTTGTCCCAGGGTCAGCGTCAGCTCGTGTCACTGGCCAGAGCTCTGCTTCGCAAGAGTGCAGTGGTCATCATGGACGAAGCTACCGCAAGTGTAGATCTGGAGACTGCCGAGCGTGTCTACAGCGTGGTCAAGAACGAACTTCAGCGGAATGGTTCGACTGTGGTCAGCGTGGCTCACAGACGAGGTGCGATGGAGGGAGTGGACGGCAGCGTTGTGCTGGTCGGAGGCAAGGTGGACAACGTTGATGGCTGTGTCAGTCAGCCAGTCGTGTAGACAAGGGTGCAGCGAACGTGATAGACTGCGCATCCTTCGATCAGTGCACATAGGTATAGACATCTGGCTCTGAAAACCGTCTAGTTGTGAGCAGAACTCTTAAAGCCATTTCCGACACGAGATCCCATTCATTCACTGCCTGACCTAGCATCCGCTAAGCCCGCTATTTCCGGATCGAGGCGTCATTTACCGAGTGCCTGGGAGCGGTGACAAATCGCTCTGCTTTCTTCTAGAATGATCATCACCGAGCATCAATAGCTCAACACCTTCGCACCACGGACGCGCTCCGACTTTCTCTTACTGACGACACACTCACCAACCACCATGAAGGTCCAGTACCGCTCCGAGACCCTAGAGCTCGACGACATCCCCGACGAGACCCTCTCCCAACTCGCCGCCCGCCTCGCCACACAAATCGAAGCCGACGTCACGCGCGTCTCCCTCTTCATCCTCCCCAAACCCGGCCTCCTCAAACATCCTTTCCCCGACACCCCGCTCTCCACCATCCTCACGCCCAAATCCCGCATAAAGCTCGTCGGCACTCCCGCCACCGAAGCGCAGAAATTCGACGAGCAGGGCGCCGCTGCACGCACTGAAGCCCAACGACGGAGCGCCGCCCGCTCGAGCGCGAAGACAGTCAAATACACACCCAACCACGACTGGCGGAAAGTGCAGGAGGAAGCAACATATACATTCCACGCGATCGAGCCACTGAAATGGCTGCCGAATCCGGCGAAGAGCAAGCGCTTTCTCGAGCGCTTAGCCAATGATCCTGGCATCAAGGCGTCGATGCGGAAACACAAATTCTCAGTGGGCTTGCTCACGGAGATGGACCCCGCCAGCCACACAACGCACGAGAGCCGAACGTTAGGGTTGAACCGTAATGCTGGAGAGGTGATTGAGCTGCGCCTGCGGACGGATGCGTATGATGGGTACAGGGACTACAAGGTGATACGGAAGACGCTGTGTCATGAGCTGAGCCATAATGTGTGGGGCGAGCATGATGCGAATTTCTGGAAGCTGACGAGGGAGATTGAGAAAGAAGTCGATCAGAATGATACGTTGCATGGCGGTCACAAGCTGCAAGCGAACGCGGAATTCTATGTTCCTGACGACGACGGTGGGGACGCCGAAGAGCACTTTGATGGTGGGGGCTGGACTGGAGGGGATTTTGTGTTGGGCAGAGGAAGGGAGGCGCAGAGTGAGGAGGGTCTCAGTCGGAGGGAGATCATTGCTAGGGCAGCAATGGCGAGAGCGAGGAAGGAGCAGGAGGCGAAAGAGGCGGAGGCGGAGGAGCAGAGGCAGCAGCGGTGAGAGATCAGCTCGTCTCTGTTCCTGCTTCTCAGGTCGGCCTCGCAGCTCGGTCGCAGAGACTCTCGCGGCTGGTGTAGAATTTGTAGCGAAGCGTTGTGGCAGCTTTGCCTATTCATCATCAACTAGCCGAGCCTGATCAATGTGAAAGCCGTGTTCAGGTACACAAGGTCCCCAACCTACCTCACTCTGGCACCTGCGAAAGTTCTACTTGGACTTCTGCTTCTTAATCTCAAAGAGTCCATCCGCCAGTTCATTAATGATCATCATGATCTGCTTGCTTTTGGTGTTGCTCCGCCACGTCTGTCCCACCGATCACTTGTCCTTAGACGCCCGGTTTCAGGTCGGCAGACCACTACGAGAGCATCGAATAATGCTAGCAGCTCCAGCAGACTCACCATAATGAGTATGAACACTGGTATTTCGTAGACTTTGCGTTCGGGGTTCAATCGGTTTTGAAGACTGTACCCGTCTTCAAGTTCTCGTACCCGTCGACCCTTGTTCAGTTTGACAGGCCAATCGCTCCACAAACGGAGTCCGTATTCGGTGCAACATGCGAAACAGCCACCAGATTCCGGGGGATGGACGCCTAGCTGCCGCGTGATGGGTCCCTGCGCCGGGATTGGGTCGGTGATGTCGGTGCCCAGAATAGCGTACGTTGTAGGGGCCAGGGCCTGGCATCAAGCAGTTGCTAGGAATTCCATAACTTGTTTGTCCTTTCGCGCAGGCCGTCATCAGGAGTTGTCTGTAATCATCTCGTTCATTCGGTCATTAGTAAAGGCGCGCCGATATTGCCTCATCAGTCATCAGAAGACCTTTGAACTCACGGCTCTGTCGGCTTGACCTTGAGGCGACGGCCCAGCGATCGATTGCGAATCACGGAGGAAGGAGCTCCGGCTCTGCAGGAGTGCTCGATCTTCTAGCAGGAGCGGCAGCAGGAGCGGCTTTAAGAAGCAGGAACGACTACGTTGCCACTGGCAGTGAAGAATAGAAGTCACGAGAGCAGCATCACAAATAGACCTTTGCGCGTTTGTTGTTAAGAGTCACATTGAAGTGCAGTTGCTGGTTCGACCGAGAGAGAGGCGCACCCAGAAGTCTGAGAGTTTGAGCTACTCCAGGCGGCCCTTGTAAGTGCAGTCCCGGGTAGGATGCATTTTCCGCCCGCCGCATTTTTTGACGGCGCATCTCCAACAATATCTCATTCTCAACGTTTTGCACTGAAAGTGCTACCACGGCGTCCTGGTGTAGACACGGTCGCTGACAAGGCATCATGTCTATCACAGAGCCCAGAAAGCCACCACTGGCTCGCCAGTCCTCAAGTGGCATTCCACAACCAGTGCGACAACTCAGCCAACATAGCGATCTTGCGAAGACAGTCATAATGTCGAACGTCCTCCACTCGCCAACAGCACCGACCCAGCCAGATCGTCCAGTGACCGTGCCCCCAGACTATGAGCGTGCCCAAGGCACCGACAAAGTCCCTCCTGTACTCACAAACTCACATCGCGAGTATCAGACCAGTCTGATGCCGCCACCAACCAACACCTGGCTTCCTCTCAATGGCGCCAAACCACTGCCTGCTCAGTCAAGAGCGATGGGCAAGGCTCTGACTGACACTCCGATGCCCTCTCAGCCTGGTAGTCCTCAGATGTAAGCAATGCCGCTCCTCCGAGGCTCCGTCAACTGACAACTTCCTCACAGGGCAGCACGCATTTCTGGTTCATCCACGCCGAAATTGCGAGCCACCACACTCGACATTCCTGGTCTGACTCGGTCTAAGGCCTCTCCTGATGGTCGCATTGCTGAGCGAGACACCGGCGCAAAGTTGATCATTATCATGGTCGGTTTGCCAGCCCGTGGCAAGAGCTACATTGTCAAGAAGATAGCCCGCTACCTCAACTGGCAGCAGCATCCAACCAAGATCTTCAATGTCGGTGACAGAAGACGGGTAGCTGCTGGTCCGCCACTGTCACCAGTGCAGCACCAGTTGACGCGGAGTATCGATGGCGCCTTGAGAGAATCCGTACGCAGCATGACCATATGCAATAACGTTGAAGATGGCGAGCCTCTGCCACCACCAGCCATGCTGGTCAATGGCGAGCTTGCTTCGGCCCCTAGTTCTCCGCCTGCTCTGAGTGAAGGATCCACAACTTCGCCTTCGGCATCGGAAATTCCAGATCGCATGGATCAATCAGCATCATTCTTCGATCCCAACAACAAGCGAGCAAAGATGCTGCGCGAAAAGGTTGCGCACGATACCATGGACGACCTGTTGAAGTACGTGCTCGAGGGAGGAGGCTCTGTTGGCATTTTCGATGCGACCAACCATACTCAGGAGCGCAGACAGTCACTGGTCGATCACATCCGCCGTCGGGATCCAAACATCAACTTGATGTTCCTCGAGTCTCGGTGCGAGGACAAAGGCCTCCTCGAAGCTAACATGCGTCTCAAGCTCTCTGGTCCGGATTACAAAGACAAGGATCCAGCCAGCTCCTTCACCGATTTCCAGGAACGTGTCGCACAGTACGAGAAGTCGTACGAGCCGCTAGGCGACTACGAGGAAGGCAAGAAGTTCCCCTACTGCTCAATGATCGATGTGGGCCGCAAGATCATCAACCACCAGGTCAAGAGCTTTCTTTCCATCCAAATGGCGAATTACCTCCAGAACTTCAACCTAGCTCCACGTCAAATCTGGCTCTCAAGACATGGCGAATCCCAAGACAACGTACTCGGCAAAATCGGCGGTGACAGTGATCTTAGTCCTCAAGGGTGGCGGTATGCTCTTGCGCTGTCCAAATTCATCGGTCAGCAGCGCGTTGCATGGCTGGAGCACCAGAAGGAGAAACACGCCAATACACATTTTCCCCCTCGCGCCGGTGACACGACTCCCCCAAACCCCGAAATCGCTGCTCGAGCCGACGAAGAGAAGAACTTTTGCGTGTGGACCAGTATGCTGAAGCGGAGCATGGAGACCGCGCAGTTCTTTAGTGAAGATGAGTACGACCTCAAGCAGATGCGCATGCTGGACGAGCTGAATTCTGGAGCCATGGAAGGGATGACTTACGCCGACATCAAGAACAAGTTTCCGATCGAGTATGATCAGCGACGACAGAATAAGCTGCAGTATCGCTATCCAGGTGCCGGTGGAGAAAGCTACCTGGACATCATCAGTCGTCTGAGCAGAGTGATTCTCGAAGTTGAGCGCATGACTGACCATGTGTTACTTGTGGCACACCGTAGTATCACTCGGGTGTTGCTGGCTTACTTCATGGCACTCGAACAGGAAGAGATCTCGGATCTGGACGTCCCACTCGGTGTTGCATATCTGCTCGAACCGGTAAGCACCGTCATCAAGCCCCTTCTGCATGTGGTAATGCTAATGATGTTAACAGCGTCCGTATGGAGTCGACTTCAAGGCTTGTAAGTTGATCCCTCGCTTATCAGAAACTCGACTCTGGTGCTGATATTTTGCTCCTAGATCGCTGGAATCCGGACACTGACGAGTTCGACCATGAGCCGAACTACAAATTAAGGCGAGCTCGACACCCTGATGCTTGATCCATCCTTTCCCCATCTCCACTCCGGACCATTCCTTGGCCACCATACCTGTATCATCATCTTTTTACGACTGGACTAATGTTCCGGATAGACCATGGTTTTACTGTCCTGACGACTGCCAAACTGGCGAGGACCAATATGTCGACTGAATCTGGCCACCATCCTGGCTCGGACCTACCACGGACGGAGGAATTCGACATCCACCACAACCTCATGCAATAATCGCCCTAATGTAAGGCGGCATGACCAAAGATAATACGGCGTCTACCAATGGATAGACAGCGACGGAAATCTGTGTACAACAATCAACGAAATCATTTTTAGCAACGGCGCTGGCGGAATGAGAATCGATGCATTTTCGAATCAAAGATACCCACAAAGGCGCACAATTCGAGCGAGCATCGAGAGCATGGCATTCGAGAAGGGCATGGATGAAGGTGTTTGTGTTATTCATACTACGTTTTACGAAAAGGACCGGGCATATGGGAACAGCCGACACGATATCTGCCGAGGTGAAGCGGATATTTCGGTCGAGGGGCAGCATGGAGTTGCGGTCTGATTCTAGCAATGCATGAGCGGGGTTTTCAGTGATCGTAAACCGCACACATACTCATCAGTGAGAGATGTGCTCGAACATGCTTTCTCACATGTCCCATAGAATGCAAATATGGCATTCGCAAATCTGCAGTATTTCTCTCTACCCGAATGCCGTTCTAGATCAACATGACGCGAAGGTAAGTTCCGCACCGGCCGGCTGTCGGCAGACTTTTTCCACATCTCAAAGCCAAGGACCCGCCACCTCCGTCTTGCCGCACATATCTCCTTCGACGGTGAGTGATGATGATGAATAGCGTGGTAGGCACAAGCGGGTGCTATCATTTCTCGCTTGCTTTCGAGTTTTCTTCCTTCGTTCCTGACGTAGTCGTTCTATCCACGCTCAACCAGATTGACGTTCCTTTCCCTTTCCTCGAATTCATACGGTCACTACCTACGAAGGCTTCAGGACTGCATACGCCGTCCATTCGTCATTAAGATACGCGGCAAAGAGTATTGGTCGTGCACGCGATACACTCAATCAGAAAACTCGTCTGATCACGATATCAGAGAGCGAGCGCCAAGCATTCTTCTTGGTAGCTCTTGGGAGAAGTCTTAGCAGTGCTCAAGCTGCTTAGTCCTCATAACCTTCACTTGGCTGGACACGTTGGAAGCTTCGAAAGTGAGGCGCCTATCGACTACGCGAAAGCAACCTTTCGACCTCATACTGCAACAAACACTACTCAAGAGCCTACATCGTCGTCCTCCGGGGCGTCCGTGAGCCAAAATGCCAACACTCTACCTAACCTCCTTCAACATCCTCACTGCAACCCTGGGCGCCTTCATACTGCTCTTCGGCCTCGTCTCCTACCTCCTCAAGGAACGCTTCTACCTCTCCGAGGCCCTCATCTCTTTGTTGTTCGGCGTCGCCATGTCCCCGCACGGCACGGGCTGGTTCAACCCCCTCAAATACTGCTTGGACTCCGAGGAGAACCTTGACGCTGTCAATTTGTACTACACCCGATTGGTGCTGGGCGTGCAACTGGTCATCGCTGGCGTGCAGCTGCCCAGCCGGTACCTCCGCACCGAATGGCGCAGCCTAGCCCTCCTGCTGGGCCCGGGGATGATAGGGATGTGGGTATGCGCTTCCCTTGTGGTGTGGGCGTGTGTGCCGCACTTGATGTTCGTGGAAGCCCTGACGGTGGGTGCGTGCGTCACCCCCACTGATCCGGTGTTGAGTGCGGGGATCGTGAAGGGCAGGTGGGCGGAGAAGCATGTGCCGCGCAAGCTGCAGAGGATTATTGTGGCCGAGAGCGGCGCGAATGATGGGTTGGGGTATCCGTTTTTGTTTCTGGGGTTGTATTTGTTGCGGTATGTGGTTTATGGTTCGGGGGGAAGGGGTGGGAGGGCTGCGGAGCAGTGGTTTGTGGAGACGTGGGTGTATACAATTATCTTGAGCGTGGTGTATGGGGTTGTGGCGGGGTGGTTGGCGAAGGTGATGCTGAAGTGGGCGGAGGATAGGAATTGGGTTGATCGGGAGAGTTTTCTGGTGTTTGTGATTGCGCTGGCGTTGTTTATCACGGGCACGTGTGGGATGATTGGGAGTGATGATGTGTTGGCTTGCTTTATCGCGGGAAATGCGTTTACCTGGGATGATTGGTTCAGGAAGGAGACGGAGGATGATAGTCTGCAGCCGACGATCGATATGCTGCTGAATCTCTCGGTGTTTGCGTGGTTTGGGGCGGTGGCGCCGTGGGTGGATTTTCGGGTCAATGATGTGATTCCGTTGTGGCGGTTGGTGTTATTGGGCATTGGAATACTGGTGTTGAGGCGGATTCCGATTGTGTTGGCTATGCATAAGTGGATTCATCAGATTGAGCATTGGAAGCATGCTGGGTTCGTGGGATTCTTTGGTCCGATCGGGGTCAGTGCGATTTTCTACCTATACATCAGCATTGATTACCTGCGTACGGAGTTCACGGAGGATGATGCAATGAGGGAGGAGGCAGCGCGATTGGAAGAGATCATGAGGGTGGTGATATGGTTCCTGGCGATTTGCAGCATTGTCGTTCACGGCATGAGTATCCCACTGGGTAAGGCTGGCTGGCATCTGCCTCGGACGTTGTCCATGACGATGTCTACGAGCGATGATGGGAGTCGAGCTCCGATCAGTGGAAGGCTGACACAGGCTCTCGACCGAGTTAGGAGGAAGGATCCTGAGCAGAAGCCCAAGAATGAGGTATTCCGGATCGGCAAGCCGACGCCTTTGCAGGACAGAGATGTCGAGGTGGGCAGAGAGCAGCCAGATGAGCCTCTGACGAGCCCGTCCGGCCCATCATCTTTCCAGAGTCAGGCTACAATACTCCGGTGAGGTCGGGCGATCCGTCGAGGGGGAGCTTTGAGGAGCGCCAGAGGCCTCAGACAGTGACTGAAAATGGTCATGCATAGTGTCAGCGGACCAAGTCAGCTATCCTGGGTGCTGAGGTGGGTGGCATTGATAGACTCAGCAATCAAGAGATCTTCATCGTTCGACTGCTCTTTTGGACTCGTCGCGTAAATTGCTTGGCGCGTCATAGTTGGCAGTCGCTTTCGTCACCGACGGCTCCTCACGTCGATGAGATTGCTACCGCGTTTCGTTCGTTGCATTACAACGGCTATGAATCGTTCTTGTTTAAGACGACACAAAGCATCTTAGCAATTGACATCAAATTCTTCTCAGGTACCTGGCACCCCTCTCGGAGCGAATAAGAACAGTGCCTGCCAGGGTCCGCCGCATCCCCCCACCGCACCCCCTACTAGCAGCCACTTGCAGTCCTCCCTCTCTTCAAATTGGGGCTACAACCCCTCCCTGGAAGTGGCCCCTGCTGCCTTACCCACCCTTCTCGGACCACTTGTCTCTGCCATTTTCTCCCAGGTACGTCCGACCGTTCACCGCTCAAACAACAGGTACAAACACAAACCACCAGCAAATAGTACTATCTGTGCAAAAAGCTGCTGCTGCAGCGAATCCCAGTCTACGTCTTCCAGACACCTCAAGAGCGTCAAAACGCCGGCCCGGGCATCATTCACGCTCTCATCAAGCCATCACTCTTTGACTGCAGCCGGGACCCTATACCAATCTGCCTCGACTGCTGCGAGGCTTCCTCCCGAGAGGGCTTCTGCCACTCCGAGTGGCTAGACCACCCATCATGGCAGGTCCCACTACTCCCAACGGCATAGTCGACGCAAGATCCTCCCCTGCTCTGGCACCAAACAATACTGCCGCAGGTACGAAGAGAAAGCGGCCATCAGAGAAGAAGTTCTATGCTGTCCGGGTGGGCAAACAACCAGGCATCTACAACACCTGGGACGAATGCCTCAACCAAGTCCGAGGACATCGAGGCGCAGTCTGTGAGTCCTCGATTCTCGAGTCTAGGTCCTAGCTAACGTATCATCAGTCAAAGCTTTCCACACACAAGCTGAAGCCCAAGCATTCATAGACGGCAAGAACTTACCTTCGGCGAGTACTATCCCCGGTGAGCAGAGATTCTACGCTGTACAGAATGGACACAAGCCTGGCGTCTACACCGACTGGCCATCTGCACAAGCACAGATTCGTGGAGTCAGTCATCCTCGACACAAGAAGTTCAACTCACGAGCTGAGGCTGAAGCATTCGTTGCAGAGGGCAAGCAAAAGAGCAGCATGAACGGGCAGACCACACTCACGCCTGACGAGGAGATCCGCCAGCTCATCATCAAGAAGTCTGCGCCTGGTCTACAGGTCAATGGTACATATCAGCCCCGAGACAAGAATGGTGATCCTTACGAGATCGGCACAGGGCCACTACCTCCTGGAGCAGAAGACGGCTTCGATCCTAATATCCGTATGGACGAGAATGGAGCACTTGTGCACAAAACCGAAGAAGAGAAGGCCAAGACGAAGCTCGTGCCTGTTGAGAAATCACCACCGAGCATGCTACGCATATTCACAGACGGCTCATCATTACGGAACGGTACCGCTGGTGCGCGAGCTGGCGTAGGTGTCTACTTCGGCCCACAAGATCCTAAGTACGATACTTCCGACTCTCCTCCTCCTTCTCCAGGTCCTTTGCAGACGCAAACCGTGTACACTATGAATTGGGCGGAACGGCAGGCTTTGCTGCGAAAGAAGCACGGCGTGAAGGATGAAGAAAGGGCAGAACCAAAGCTAACCAATTGGCGTTATAGAAACGTGTCCGAAGCTCTTAAGGGCAGCAAGCAGACGAATCAGCGAGCTGAGTTGACGGCTATTCAGCGGGCGTTGGATGTTGCACCACGACATCGAGATGTTACGATCTACACCGACAGCAAGTACGCCATCGATTGTGTGACAAATTGGTACCGGAACTGGGTGCGAAATGGATGGGTGAACAGCAAGGGGAAACCTGTGGAGAACAAGGACTTAGTGATGGGTGTACGCGAGAACATCGAAGAGCGAGAGATCCTGGGCAAGAAGACCTACTTCGTCTGGGTGAAGGGCCACGCCAACAACGAGGGCAACATCGCCGCTGACCAACTGGCTGTTGAAGGTGCGAGAATGGGCAGAGGTCTCGAGCATGATGACGATGAGGAGAAAGATGATGATGATGATGAGACTCGCGAAGACGGCACGAACCCAGATGACACAATCACAGCTACGTTGACCAGCGAGGACACCGGCACGAATGGTGTCAGCATTCCTGAAGCAACCTCTGAGGAGCCGGAAGATGTCAAGATGGCGTATCAAGACATGGCTCGAGCATGGAGGAGGACGAGAAGCAGGAGCAACAAAGCACAGAGAACGGTTATCATTGAGGAGCCGCCTTGCTGGGGAACCCATTAACGACATGGACATCATTAACAGGCCACACGACTGGTCTTTTTCGGGCATGGATATAGACAGCACGCATAGAATCATGCATTGCTGCACATCTCGGCGAGAAATCATACTAACTGGGGCCAAACAATCAATGCCTTCTGCTGCAGGCGCGTGTCCCTTCACCTTCCATGTATTCTGGCCGTTCCGAGCACATCCCACGAGTGTTGAGCCCAGCCCAACCGTCGAATTACTGCTGGACGAAGCGGGCACGACGCATGGGATTGGACTTGAATGAATGATCTCATGTGGCAGAGCCTGGAAAATGGTGTTGTCCACAACTATCTGAACGTAGGGAGTCCTGACGCCTGGCAACAGCAGCAAGGAGCTTTTGATACGTCGATGGTGCACTCAAGCTTGATAGACATGGTGCCCAAAATTCTTGAACGTCGGGTCCTCTGCGGGACATTTACGGCCAGAGAAGTAGGCACGGAAACGAGCTGTACGGGCACTAGCGGCGAATGTTCAAGCGAGGCGGTTCGTATTCATGTATGAGATGTGTGAGTGATTCTTTGCGACAAGATTGTGTTCTGGCCGTTCCTTTCCTTGCAAAGCAAAGCAGAGCGGATTATCCCGGAGCACTCAGCACTTTCGAGGCTGGGAAAGCCCGACGAGAGATTGAGGAAGGAGCGACTTCATGTATCACAGGGAACCGGACTTGCCACCGCAGTTCTATCAAGCTTCACCCTCATCAGCCCTTTTTGTTCGTTCGATCACGCGGCTCGCTCGCTCGTCGTCACCGCCTGATCAGTCACAATGACTCCTTCCTCCTGGACAGCTGACGATGATCCTCCGGCTTCGGTGGATCAGCGCCCCAACTCCATCATCGCTCCTCGCACCGACATGGCAGTCTGTCAAAGCGATCAACACGAACAAACCGACGTGGTACCACAAGCGGACCACTCTAAGGCTACATGCTCTACTTTCGAGGAGCGTCGCGGCTTCTTGGACCTCCCCTGCGAGGTCCGCCAGCAGATTTACCACTACATCTTTCGAGGCACGCAGTATGTGCTGGACTCGGAGTGGCTAGGATGGCCGACCCCGATCAGCTACTGCACAAAGCACAGCATTCAAAGAGCTTTGAGAGTCACATGCACCTGCCGGACAGTGCATAACGAAGCGGTGGCTATTCTTGCAAAAGAGGTTCGCTACACGATGTCTCTGAGAGGACTTGCAAATATGGGTGTGCACAACGTTCTTAGGACTGTCTACTTCCCTCATCTTCAGTATCTACGGCTGGGTATTACTCCGGCTGATTTCGACTCGAGCATGTTCCCGAATCTGAAAGAGCTTAGCTTCGCCCAGGACCTTGGTTTGATGGAAGACTTCTTCGAAGTGGTGGATAGCTTTCGCTTATCCGCGAACACATACAAAGGCGGACCATCGCTCTGCGATTTCGTCGCTCCACTGAGCGGTGCCTCTGACGATGCTATCATTGCCCAAGTGGATGGCGGCTGTCTCTGAATGGACCGTATATTATGGTCGACTCACCCCTATGGAGATTGACAAGGAGAAGGATGCAGACCGCCATTTTCACCTGGGATCGGGCCGAAGGCTCTATCAATTGATGCATGAGCGCGGTCGAAAGTTTCAGCTAACTGCTACCATACGGGTCAGATACACCCTCGCTCTCTGGCGCAGTTATGGAACCGTTCCCAAGAGTTGTGAGACTGTCGTTGTGGTGTATCTTGTAAGAATTACGAACCCCTGCAGGTTTTCAGTGCTGATGCGTACAGGACATCCATTTCGATATGGACACCAACCAGGTCATCTCGAGACATCGCTTCGAAGAAGATTTCGATGTCTACAACGCCATGCGTGACGGGGAATCTCAGTTCTTGAATGACGACGTAATTGCATTCGGACCGTTGCCAGATCTGGACATCAACGACGACATCAAAGGTTATCTCGAAGCGCGTTATGCCCGATGGCCGAAGATCCCGGACAAGAGCGGCGATCTCTGGGCAGAAGGATAGGCTCAGCTATGGGGAGACAACGTAGCAGGCAAGCATTCGAGATTTAGGAGGACGAGACGCATGCCCTCGAGTAGTTTGCAACGATGATAGTTTGCAACGATGATAGTTTGCAACGATGATAGTTTGCAACGATGGAATGTCTTACGACACTCACACGCAGACCGAAGGACCGCCGCATTTCTACGTTCGTGAACAGCCACGTTAGCATCATCCAGCGATGGTAGTTAATGGTACGAAAGCAACTTTGATGAGCATGCACATAGCCCAAGCAGTTATGCACCACATATTTCGCACGTCGCTCTTGCCCGCGAATTTTGCCAGGGATTATGGCAAGCTGTGCCCACACCAGTGCGCAGAAGGAGCCAACATTCGCAAGTGCCGTTGTCAGTCTAATCGCACTCTTCAGGCAGCACTCGCTTACGGCAAGTCGACATTGGTAGCTCTCATCCGTGATGGCGTGCAACACTGCAAGCAGTGGCGTTGGGCCTGCAGGTCCCTCAGAGCCTTCCCTAGACCACCAGCAGCCTTCAACATCGACGACCTTGACGGCCACTGGAGCACTACTACCACGGACTGCCACCGAAGGATCTGCCTCCAAGTCGAGATACCGCCCGCGAGCCTTGTTCAAGTACGCGCTAGAGGAACGCGAAGACATCGAACGGCGTAAGAGCTTCATTGCAAAGAGGGCCCGCGCCAGGTGCGCGGTGGCTTCTGTGCCTCCAAGCAATGGAGCCTGTCTCATCCTTGCCTTGCCAGTCGAGGTCCTTCGTCAGATTTGCAGCTACGTATTTGATGGCGCGTGGATCGAGGTCAAGATGATACCCGTGGCTAGTCGCTTTGCAACAGGGCACAGCAAGCGCACAGAACTCGTCGTGCAGCCTCGACGAGGGTTACACACCAGGATGAGCGTCATGATGACTTGTAAGGCATTGTATGATGAGCTTCAACCATATCTGGCCGAGTCGATGCATCTCAAATACAGCGTCTCCAACTCATATGAGCACAACCTCATTCCGGAACGCATCACCGCCATGTATATGCCGTTCATTCAGAGCGTCGAGCTTCACGAGTTTCAGCCAACATTTGATCCGGCACACTTTCCTCAGCTCAAACAGCTTCATTGGACCGGCATTTCCACCATGATCGCACGCCGTCCGCACATTATGCTCGAAGAAGACGATGACAGTCCAGATCCAATTGCAAGTTTTTTGCCGCATCTGAGAGGTGATTTTGATGGGCAACATGTGAGCCGCTGGATCCAGGATTGGCTACACTATGGTTGCTCGGAGTCATCGGGCTCGCAATCCGCTCTCGTAAAGTTCTGGCGCAGACTCAGGCGAGACAGCCATCGCAAGTTCATGCTCACAGCCGACTTGTTCATGGAATTCCGGTTGCGCGTCAATGGGACTGGGCGAAACGATGCAGCTCTCAAGTCTATGAATATCAACCTGGTAAGTCTATTGGATACTTTCGCAAGCACGTTCTGACAAGCATCTCAGCAGCTGTGCTTCAATCTGGACACGGAGGAGATCATCTCTCGCTGGCTAGACGAGGTTGATTTTCAGAGCTCCTTTGACCTTGAAGTTTGGGCGCCGGGATGCTATCCAGAATCGGGCATCAACGACGACCTGGGAGCTTATCTCATAGCACGCTTCCAACCATTGCAACGCATCAACAACGTGGAGCATGATTCTTGGGAGACAGATTGAGCCAAAGGGTAGAGCTGGGTTTCTGCACGCCGCATACAGATTGCCCAAACAAGCTGGCTACGTACCGGGACGACGACATCGGAGTAAGGAAATAACGCATTAGTCCAACTTGATTTTAGGTCCACGTACCATGCAGATAGTTAGCACGCGGAATGAGGACATCATGTAAATGTATTGGTGACTTAATTGACTTAGAATTGCCAAGATACCGAAACACTCCAGGACTGTTTGCCTGGTCAAGGCATCCACCAACTGCCACTGCCACTTTCGAAGTCGCGTTCGCCTTTACCCTTGACCTCTTCTCACTCACTACACCTCTTTGCAGATTCTTCGCTGCGCCTCATGCTCGAGCCACCATGAGTCGGTCCGAGCGGCTTGCGGCCAAGCGCCAGAAGCTTTGCGATAATCCTTTCATGCTCAATCATCCTTCGACACCTCCTGCAAATGGCTCGCCGTTTAGGGACTTACCGGCAGAAATTCGCATCAATATCTACAAGATTCTCTCCAAAGACGCAAAAATCACCATCATGTTCGCCTGTCAGACCTGCCACTGCGGGGACGTTCATGAACCAGCGGCTCTTACATTCACGGAGCATATCGTCGACTTGCTCGGGCTGCTTTCTTGCTGCTCACTCATCCGCAAAGAGGCTTGGCCGGTATTGGCGCAGCAGACGCTTGTCAAATTCGAAGGCCTGACTCAATGGGATGCACTTCCAGATCATCTCAGCACTTCGTTCCTGCCCAACGTTAAAAAGATTGTGCTCACCGTTCCATACTTGTTGTCAGACCCGGGCTTGCTGGAGAAGCTGCCTCAACTCAAGCAGGTCGAGGTCATTCCTGACTTCTCTGTCATCTTCCGAGACGCTGTGGAGAAGTTCAACGTGGCCGACTTCATCCCCCACCTGTTTGGAGCCAACGACAAAGAGTATCTTGATCTCACTATGAAGGTTGCGAGCGGATGGGTTGGGAAGCTTGACGCGGACGATGAGGATGATTACACCACCAATGAGATCTCTCTCGTTCGAAGCTGGGGAGGGCTGCAGGTCTGCGCTGCCAACAGAATTCCTGTCAAGATGCGATACCTGATCCGATTTCCGTTGGTTCACCTTGCCGAGAAGGAAGAGAAGATTCTCACCGCGACAGTAAGTCCTCCGTGCACTTCCGTTGGAGCTCGTACTGATGCCGTCAGCTGGACTTTCGCACGGAGCTCACGTCGTTGAAGATCGAGGGTCGCGAGCTTAGCTTTCATCGATTTCTCGAAGGCACGAATCGGCCGGACGAAGCACTGAAACTCATCAAGGACCTCTACGCCATCGGAGAAGAAAGCCAAGAACGAGATTCAGACAGCGATGATGGAGACTTGTGGTTTGAAGGGGATGCGGATTCTGAGTATTCGGATTACGAGGTAGTAGACGGATAGCCCCGCAAGCTCACCATTGGGATGTGCTGAGTATCTGATGCAGAGCGGGATGTTACTCGCAGCGCTCTCATCTCTGGATATCTTTGAAGAATCTCGGACTTGTCGTCCAAGGATTATCCGCACAAGGAACGACTTCATCCATTGGAGACCGGCTAGGATCTTGGCTGAACTCACAGGCTTGAGCTACGAAGAGCACGAGGGGACTTGCACGCAACAGGGCTTATGGACCGACCGTGTCTGGAGCAGGACTAACGACTACCAAGTCCACAGGAGAGCTGGTAGGCTACTCGAGCAGATCATTTGATCCGTAGTCCTTATGATAGCGGATCATCATATTGACACTCGTCAATCACACCTGGTTATGGAACGCTCAGGGTCGTAGCACAACTGCTGGATGTCAGTGTAGGATGCTCCAGGACTGTGGACACTTCTTCAGTCTTGCTTCAATTCACTTCGAGGTCCAGACCGGCGCCCGCGGCGCCTAAGTGACTTCTCGATCACGACAAGCTCACTCACAGATCACCTGTATCTCATGGTCGCTGTCAATGCCAAGACTGGACAAACGCACATTGCTGGTTGCTACATCAATTCGAGTCTCTCTCTTCGCGCTACCCACTATCAACCACCTTCTCGCGTCAGCAGCTCTTCATCATTAGCGCAACGCGCATCGATACCGCTGGGCGCTCATCATGGCGTTTTCGGGCAACCTCGCCCCTGTCTTCGGCGTGACATCAAGTCCGTACCAGAAGGCCTCGGGCAAAGCTGCCAGCGACGATGAAGAAGAAGACGACGAAGTGGTCTTCCTCGGTGAAAAGTCGGCACCGACGACGACGAAGCCGCTGACCAAGGTCGAGCTCGAGTATCGCAGAGTGCTCCGACGTCGCGACAGCGACGATTCCTCAGACTCTGACTTGGACACCGAGAACGAGGGAAGAGGCACCACAAACGTCTCGCGCAACTTCTCTGGTACGCATGTTCAACGCTTTCTCAAAGATGGTGAAGCTGATTTGAGTAACCCCAAAGATTCACCAGAGTCCGCCCGAGCCAAGGTGGCACCTGCTCAAAAGCACTCGCGCTCCTTCCAGTCGTCCTCCAAATCGTCTGCCAAGACTCCTACCTCCAAGACGCCTGCTGCGCTCGGTGCCTTGCGTTCCGTCACGAGCAAGGGCAAGTCTCGTCCTTCGAATGCTTCACCTATGCAATTCAAAGCTATCAGTAATCAATTCAAAGCTATTAGCAATATGGCTAGTCGAATCAACGATCACACTACTGGAAGCACTGGCAGCGCATCCAAGGGTATGGGCGGTACAGCTTCCATGTCTACTCCCATTGCTCACATCGATCCTTCAAAGTCTACCACATCTACCTCAAATCACACTGATGGGGTGGATGATGGCCTTGATGTCGAGATGATCGACGAGCCTGTCCCTGCGATTCTACCTAGTCCGACCAGAACCTCTGCGCCCCCAACCCTGGAGCAACTTATTCTCGAGATCGATGAGGCTGAGAAGGATGCGCCGTGGCGACAAAAGTTAGATCGCAGTATGCAAATCTCTACCGCTCACTCGACTGGAACACGAAAGGCTGGCGTCACAAAGTCACTGGCCAACAATGCTACGCTGAATGCTAGACCTAGCGCGACCGGTCAGGCTATGAGCAATACCGAGCTGAATGCTATACATGCAGATCGTGCCCGATTGATTGAAGACTACGCCAAGGCGAGACACAACTACGTCGAAGGAGAGAGTCTCGAGCAAGATAGACAAGACAACACTGCTCCCATGCAGATGCAGGATATGCAAGGTCAAGCCAGCCTTGGGCGGGGGCCGCCTCGCAAGCGCACTGCTGCAGCTATGAGTGATTTTCATACTGCGTCTGCCAAGCCAGCCGCTCCTTCGCATCCGTCTAAGAAGCCTAAGACTGGTGTCATCCCCACCAACATCACTCCTGGTAATTGGGCGATGGATATGACACTAGAACTGTGCGGTGAGGATCAACACACCAAGCTGGAGTGGCTCAAGCAAATGGTTCCCGAGAAGTTGCAGGACAAGGCATGTGTATGGCTTGGCGCGATCATGTACATCGATGGATTGCGTGGTGCTGCTACAGCCTTGCCCGAACGCGGCAGCCATCAATGGAAGAAACATACTCAGACGGCTCTCAGGGACCTCATCTTACAAGATTCATCTTGGGTACCTCCTTCGGATGCGAGACATGGACTGCTTATACCCTACCTCCGACACCTTCGGGCACAGCAGCTTCACAATACATCGTCGCACAGCGCCCTGAGTGAAGCTGCAGCGGGGGCTCGCGCTCAAGTCCAGCCTGTGGTGCTGGCCGGCGAAGATCACTCTGACCAAGACGATTCGGAGGATGATTTCTTAGCAAGCCTGCAGGTCAGAGCTGAGCTTGCGAGATCAGCTGGCCTAGATCCCCAGACTCCACTCCAAGCCGTTGGGGCCGGTGGCGAGCCTCGAAAGGTCGACTCGATCAAGAACCCATTGATGGATCAGGTGAGAAGAGACCAGGATACAGAGGCCTCCCGGCGTCGAACTCGAACCGGAATGCTGACCAGCGATGCTGACGATGACTTCGGTCTGGATGATTCCGCAGCAAACACATCAGCGGGTAATAGTGTACAGGCTGGACTTGCGAAGGGTTTGTCTGTGGAACAAGATTCTGTCACAGCCACTAGGGTGTTCGATGAGGACTCTGCCACACATTACTCTATCATGGCTGCTGCAAGTCCGGAAGATGGGAGTGCCGATGTTCAAGCTGTTATCGACACACAGAACAAAATTCTTGAGTTGATCAAAGCTACTTCCAGCTCTCAAGTTGCGGGCCATCACCATACTGCTGGCAGTGCAGTTGCGATAGCTGAACAGAATGCAACCTACTACTCGGTTCGAGCTGATCCAGCTGCCAACGCTGAAACCGACCAATTTGGGACGATCCAACCACTCAGCAGCCTCCCTCGAAAGGATGAGTCGGCACCTGCCGGTAATGCTGGCGAGAACTCACTTACTCGAGAGACTTTGGGCAGCGACATTGCGTCATATGAGAGCGAACGCTGGATGCACCCACATGATGATGTAGCTGCCGAAGAAGGTCGTCGACTCCGTGTCGGCAACCTTCATTACGGTATTTGTACCTGGGATCTCGAGCAGTTGTTCGAGGCGTATGACGTGTAAGTCGCATTTATTGTCACCTAGTGGTAGGATCTAACTCTTCTGCAGCCAACTTATCAACCTACGAACAGACAAGCTTGGCGATCACGCCTTTGTCGACCTCTCTTCCGCCGAGCAGGCTCGTCACGCCGCCAGTAAGCTGTCAGGGAACTTTGTTTGTGGGGGACGAGTCACTGTGGAAGTCACGTGTGTACCAATGAAGGTGAAGGGAGTCGCTACGGCAATGCAGAATACAACCACAAGCAACATACCTTCATTGCGCGACGGCTTCTGTGGCCCCTGTGCGCCATCTACCTCAGCTGTTACTCCCGTCAGCCGCAATGACGACTTAGCAGCCGGCGGCCCAGGAAATTGCATGAAGGACATTGACCAGGAAGAGACTGAACGTGTCTTTGGAAGCCGGGAGAAGACCGCCGCATCAGACCCTCGCACAGTCGTTCAAGCCCAGACGCCCTCTCGTCCATCAGCCGGCAATGTCCGCGTCGAAGCAGCGGCAGCTTCCAAGGTTGACGCAAACTTGACATCTCTGTTTGCGACAAGTTCAAAGGCCGTGCCCTTCAGATTCAACTTTTGCCGAGAACCGCTTCGCGCGGAGACTGGGAAACAGCACGACGACTCCACAGGCCCAGTCATGATGCCAAATCGCAAAGGCGAAGTTGCTCAGGACGCGATCGCTTCGTCTGCTGATGTTCCGGTTGTTCCTGCAAGAGCACCAGAAGTGTGGAACGCCATAGCAGACTCAGATGCCGACGAGTCGGTCCGCAGATACGACATGGCGAAAGGCGAGCTCGTCGCTTTCATCCAAAGCCACAAAGATGGGGAGATCGACTACAATGACGACAACGCGTTGTTCCTGACCTCGCGAATGTTCTTGCATCGATTCGAGGACCGACTGGTTCGTGCTGAGAAGGCTTGGGCGCTGAAAGGGAACCGTTGATTAGGTCGCCGCTGCGGCGATTGTCTTATCGACCGAGGTCCACGAATTGTTGCCATGGACTGAGATTAAGGTCAAAAGGGCGGTTGTTTCCAGTAAAGTCGAGTAGTCGCTGAAGCAATAGCGACAAGGATCTGTCTCTGCTCTTCGATGTTCCAGAGCCCACTGTCGGCGGACGAAGGGGTGGAGGAAAGTCGTCAGCTCACTCTGCTCATTACCTCGTGACACGAGAGAATCAGCTGTATTAAGTGTCATTGGACTGGACAGGCGGCATCGGAAAAGCCATGAGAGCATTAGGGGCGATACTATGGACTGGGGTGCAATGGCCTGACGAGCTCACGCGGATGTTCTAAGCGTCTTGCGAGCATCGATGGTTTTTCCTGGACGACACGACTTCCAGCAGAGGGTTGATCCAGAGGACCGGTCTCGATAGGATAGCGGGTCTAGCACGCCAATATCGCAAACACGATGTACAAGCCCGTAGGAAGTGATTGCATTGTCTATGGTGAAAGTAGTAAATGCCGGACTTAGCGGACATAGATGACAGCATACCTGACTTGGCGCTCTTGCCTTCCTGAGACGCGTTCCTGCTTCATTGACAGAAGCTTGACAATTCTCGCAAGCACACGGCCTTGCGGCAACGATGCAAAGCCGGTGTCGACCGCACAGAAATCCAACATGGCCACCACAACCACCATGAATAAGTGGACGGACGCTTTGGCGACTTCGCTGCTTCCGACAGATCTGCCGCCTTCTAAGTCCAGGAGGCTAAAAACCCAATTCGCACGCGGCATTCGACACCACAATTTTGGCCGAACCAACCAGTTCGAAGTGGAAGAGCGTTTGGTCGGCTTGGAGGAGAAGTTCCAGGTTCTGAACTACGATGATCTTAGCGACGACCTACGCCGACAGCGGACCGAGCTGCTCCAGTTTCAGCAGCAGTGGGTCCCAGACGTCCTCGACTTTTTGCTTCGCATGTCGAAGCGTCCGATGTCCGCTGATGACCTAATAAATGATGCTGATGAGGTTGACTTGGCAGAGGCGAAGCTGACCTGGGCAGACATCGAGAGGGATGATCCCATCAATCGACGAGATCGTATGTGGCGTCAGCCTGAGTATAGCGATCTCAGCTCGGACGACGATGCCATCGTCTCGAGTCCTGCCACAACGCCCGAGAGTACCAAAGCACGTTCTAAGCGCCGTCGTGCAGAAACCCCTGAACCAGTGTGGTCCACCCCAGAATCTCAACTCCTTGGAAAGCTTGTGCTGTCACCGGGCGAGGTCAGTGACGGCCGTAAAGTCCAGCACCTCTCCGAGATCCACATCATCCGTGAGACCTTGTCCATGCTGCAAGGTCTGCCGGCAAAAATGTTCAGCTCTGGCGGTGGTAATCTGAAACGACCTAGCGACATCAAAGGTAGCGTCATATCCGAAGAGTCTCTGGACTCAATGCTGTCGCGGGCGACAACGATTTCGCAAGCCGCATCTGTCGTCAGAGGATGGACATTTCCTGGCCGAAGGCTTCCTCACATCAAGGCACTGGAGGACTCCTTCTCTTCGATCATTGAGTCGTTTGATACGTTCTTGTCAACTTGCGAGGAAGGAGTCCTTCTAGCACAGCATCAAGGCGGCGTATGCAGCCTCCTGCAGACGACAGAAGCCGTCCACGAACATGCTACGCCCATCACTGCTGTGGCGAACTTCATATCTGCAGTGTCTAGCTGTGACGAACTTGCACTTTTGGAAGTTTTGTTCGAGCATACAATCAAGTTGGAGCAGATTGGGGCCTCGACAGTGTTTAAGACGATGTCTCAAGCATTCGTACGTTCGATGGCGGTCTACATGGCTCCGATCATGACCTGGATGGCGTACGGAACGATTGGAGAAGGGACGTCTCAGCAGTTCGTGACGAGAGTTCCGGATCAGCAGGATAAGTCGAGACTCTGGCATGGGTGGTTTTCTCCAGCAAACCAAGGTCGAGGACTACCGGCTTTTCTGGAGCCCTTCGCTTCGCGCATCTTCGTCGCCGGCAAAACTGCAGCATTCGCTGACGCGTTACAGCCTGCGAACTCTTCGTATGCTCTTGACTTCGACTTCACGAAGTTCTTTCGGAGCGACGCGGATGACTCTCTGCTGCCGTTCGCTTCTTCGTTCCTTGCGGGCATCGAAGACTGTGTCAACATGCATCTAAGGAGCAATACAGAACGCCTCAAAACATCCCTTGAGCAAGACTGCAAATTACCACTGACATTGTCCGCATTGACACACATCTATCTTGCTAAGGCACCATATTTCACTTCTGTGCTGGATGCAGAATTGTTTCGACGACTTGACCGATCAGCTCCTTCTTGGAACGACCGCTTTGTGGTCTGCGACATCATTGAAGAGGCTTCTCATTATCTGGGAACAATTGATATGAGCCGCATCTCCGTTCAATCAGAACAAATACCTCGATCCAGGCTAGTTCGTGAAAAAGGATCGGTCAAAGTGCTCGAATCGCTTGCCATTGACTACCAACTGCCATGGCCGATAGCGAATATCCTTTCTGCCAACAGCATTGCTTCCTATCGAAGAGTGGCACTTCTGCTTCTTCAAGTCCGCCGAGCACGGTATGTGCTGGAGAGACACGGCTTCGTCAACTTAAGAAAGGCCTCAAAGCCAAGGAAGTTGGCTGAAGCAACCTACTCCAATCTGATTGTCTTCGTCAATGTACTGGAGGCTCACCTGAAGCACTGTGTGGTAGAGCCTCTCACTTCGGCGATGCACATCCGGCTGAAAGGCACGGTCGACGAAATGATAGTGGTCCACAAATCCTACACTGACGCGCTGGAGCGATCGTGTCTGCTAGCGAAGAACCTGAAGGTGGTTCACGAGACGCTCATCTCATTGCTGGACCTCTGTCTGGACTTTGGCTTCAGCATAGCAGATCCGAAGGCCGCAGGTGATGACTTTGCGCTCAGCAAGACTCGTACGCAGTTTCGCAAGCTAATGAACCTTTTCATCGCAGGGCTGCGCGGAGCAGCGCGTGCTGACACTGGGAACAAGAATGGCGAAGCAAGCATCGCTGGCGGTGACAGAGGGGCCAGCATCGGCGGACATGTCGGCGAATCGCTCGAACTCCTAGCAGACAGTCTTGACAGCGCACGATTCAAAATGTGAGGAAGTGAGTCGAAGCCTGCGGCAGAGCATTTGCTGTACTGCTGCAGGATGCGTCGCATATGACGCATCGTGACGCTTCAACAGCTCGTCCGCAATAGCCAGAACTAAAGAATGGACCAGACCGATGGAGAGAGTTTCACAAATTCTGGCCCCCAATGTCAGTCATCGTGGCTGGCTCGTTCTCACAAAACGCCCTGAGCTAAACAGCGCTTTCGGTGGAGATGTTTGAGAATCACGGGCGACCATTCCTGCAAAAGGACACACTTCCTGGAAGCAACCACGACTCAACGTCCCGAGACCCAGGCCGTCCAAAGACCGGCCAGGAGAGCACATACATAGCTGTCATAATCAACAGCATCCCATAACGAGCGCAGGTCTGAGAAAAGCTTTCTACAGTAGTGCCAGGCACATGTATTTGGTGGGGCTCGCGAATCAGATACGCGAGCAAATCTCAACCAAACATCCGAGGACAAGCATTTCCGTACCTTGATGCCAAGGCCAGCGGGGATCAGCTCTGTAATATCTGATTTCTTCGTGAAGTCTACCAATGATCACGCCAGTGTTCCCAGGAGACTCGAGCAGTCACCGACGGCATATCTGATCTGACACTGACACAGCATGGAGGCTCTGCGACGATCGCACGGGCTATGCTGGAAGTCTCGAAGGATGTATCATTCCAGTTCGTCCCCTGAGATTACCTGCCAAACGCGCCTTACCAAACTGCGATTATACATTCGAGGGAGGGATTGTCGAAACACGCTGCAATTTGACGCCAGTGGTCGCCGAAAGAGCCTAGGTCTTCGCTTGGCATTCCGATTTCTTTATGTTGCTGACGATCCTCTGTTCGGATTCCGCAACTTGGCAGATTTCAGCCATGCGCGCGAGAACACTTGCCGTCGGTGATATTTACCATTGTAATGCAAAAGTCGGCAAGTATAGGTCCATCCACCGACCTTTAACTCCTCTGTGCCCGTTCCCGATTTCGACTCCTCCTTCTACTGCGTTCTCTTCCCTTGCGTCGTCGGTGCCGCTATATCATTTCACTGGTCGTCACTGTTGGAAGGCAGAGAGGTGCTGTTGTTTCCTTTGTACGATCGCTTTCCCATCCATTGCGGCAGCCATGCGGTCCTCTACGAGACTCACCTCGTCCGCAGCGCTTCTCCTCGCTTCTACGCCTCTGATCAATGCCTCACCACACCCCATCGACAAGCGCCAAGCCGCAGCACCAGCAACCACACCCTCCCCCTCCACAGACCCACCCGACGCCACGAGCACAGAAAATAGCGTCCTCCTCACGATCCAGCTCGACTCCTCCCTCTCCAGCACCACAACCCTCACTGTTCCCCTCGACACTGTTGCTCTATCCAACTTCATGCAGCGCGCCACCTTCGGCACCTCCCTCACCGCGCCCGGCATCTTCTGCGGCGCGTTTCAGGATACCGGCGCCAGTGTGTTGATCGGGTCGATCTTCGATAGTGCGCAGCCGGGGCAATTTCAGGCACAGGGCCGGCCAAGTCTGGCGGAAAGTTATTACTGTAGCCGGAACAAGATTGCGGTGGAGAGGCGGGTCAAGGAGACGGTGGTGGTTGGTGGGGAGGGGAGCTATGCGTGGAAGATGGAGGGGCAGGAGCGACAGCATGGGCAGCCGCCTGTTGGTGGAGGTGGAGGTGGTGATACGGTTGCACGACCATTTTCCGCGCCTCCTGTTGTCGGTGCAGGCGGTGGAGATACGGCGAGCAGGCCGACTGTGGCTGGTGGTGCTGATGGTGGTGATAAAGGTTGGGAGCCAGGGAAGGGCCAAGATCCCAAGCATGAGTATACGCATATGGCTGGAGCGCCTCAGCCGACGCCTGACTCTGGTGGTGGGGATAAGGGTGCTCAGAACTATGATGATAAGCCGTGGGAGCATGGTCAAGGTCAAGATCCGAAGCATGTATACACGCACGTGCAAGGCTCGGCTCCCCAGCCTACCGTCGCGTGGGCCAAGCCGCCGCAAGGTGGTCAGTATGGCGGCGGCGGCGGGGACAAGGGCTACAATCCGAACAACCAGTACGGGGGCGACGACAAGCCTGGTACATGTACCAAGGTCAAGGCTCCGACCCCAGGCACGGCTACACGCACATGGCAGACGGCGGAGCCCCTTCTCAACCACAACAGACTGGTGACGCGAAGCCCTGGGGCTCGAAGGGTATTGATGAGAAGACCTCCTATCAGCCGAGGCCATCGGACCATGTGGAGGAAGGGAAGGGTTGGGAGCAGGGCAAAGGTGCGGGACCGGCGCCTGGGTATCAGCACATGAATGGTGGAACTCGGAGTGGGTATCGCCTGTGAGGTGAATGCATTTGATTTTTGGAGTAGCGATATGATGTGATATAGGAGCCTCCGTCCATTCCTGTGTCTCATCTATGTTCTTCCCACTGGATGAATTTCAACACTCTTAGCGACCACGACAGCACCACAATGCTCGATGTGGATCTTGGCTGTATCTCTGGACGTGAAGTCTGAATGATTTCTTGCTCCTCGCGTTCGAAAGCAGCCGTGATGCACAAGCCGACGGCAGGCACTTTTCTCGGACGGATAGACGGATCTTGTGGCGCGCCGGTAGTCATGTTGCGCAGAATGTCCTCCCAAGAATTCAGACCAGCTTGATACGGGACATGGCTGCATTTCCCCTTGCGTGAACCCTCCAGCGCAGATACTGGGCCTTCGCTGAGAAGAACGCTGCATGCTCGACTGAACTGAAGTCCAGCAGCCAAGCCCAGCCGAGACCAGAACTTCAGTCCTGCAGGCTCTGAGAAGTATCGAACAGGCGCCTGATCTCATGCACGAGGAACTTCAAGCGTCTCACATCGTGGGCAAGGTCGATATCAGTCGTAGTGCAACCGTCCTAGCTTCCGTGCTTTGCGTTGAACCAGCCTGCCTTCATTCCAATCTCGCCGATCTGTGAACTGCATCAGACCAATCTCTTTGCTGCGAGCTATGCCATTGTTTGGATCCACATGTCTACTGCCGCCATCTTGTACTTGACTGTTGATGCATGCCCAGCCACTGCCAGACGCTACATGGCGCCTCATCGTAGGAGCTTCCTGGAAATCCTGAATCGTTGTGCCTCCTGCGCATTCGAGGGAAGGAGAGGAGGTCTCCTTCTTGACAGGTTGAAAATCGTGCTTGCGCTTATGGGGTTGGGGCTGCCCAGCTTTTTCGGTGTTGAACGCAGGAGTTCGCTCGACAGAATCGACTCGGCTGGGATCAGTGTCGATGTAAGGATCATCCAGAAACTTCTCCAGATCTCTGAGCTCACTTCGTATGCGCTTGATGCGTTCTTGAATCATTCTCGTATGTTCCTGCTCAATCTCAAGCACGCGGCCGTCGTCCTCGACGTCTTCAACCTTACTCCACAAGCCGCTCAGCTGACCTGAATGCAGCCTTTGCATGAAAGCTTCTTGCTGGAGGTCGAATGCTTGGTAACGACGCCGTGCTGCCATATCATGCAGTAGGTCGGCTAGCTCACGCTCGGCGTCGCATCGATCCTGGAAGGTCGCGGACTTGGCGTAGGCGATGTCCGCCAGTTCTTGAGAGGTGAGAGCCATGATTTCGTGGAGATGGGATGAATTGATCTGTGTATTGCATCTTCGGAGTTCGTAAGAGCGGCGAGGTTGAAAAACATGCTGGTGTGGAGTGTTCCAACAGTGACTGTAGGTCCCAATAGTGACTGGCCCAATTTCATGCCAGTCACCTTGAGTACGTCTCAGCGGGATCTCACTGGTGTCTCAGGGTCCTGGTGAGGTGCTCGCACCCTTGGCGACGCGGTAGGTGTAGCTATTCGAACCAGCCCAGGGATCAGTGGCATCGGGGTTGGCTTCCTTCCATTTCTCAATCTTTGCCTCGAGATCTTCCAAGCTATCCTGGAAGGCGTCCTTGACCGGCTCTGTTCTTACTTTCCAGATATCTTCACTGCTTGGCCCGGTTTTGTATTTGACAGCCTTATTCCGGTAGTGATCTTTGATGACTCTCTTCCGCTCTGCCTCAGGGTAATTTCTTGCCCGCATGCACAGCCAGAAGTCGTTCCAGTGGTTCGAACACGACCGGAAAGAGCCATAGCGGTACACGTTGACGAACTGGCCACCAAAGCTCTGGCAGAACATGGCATAGTCGAATGCTGATCTGCAGTGGATCTCGGAAGGATATAGTGAATCGGGGGAGATATCGTCAGGAAGAGGTGAGGTATGTTTGAGAACGCCTGACGTTCTTGATTGTATTCTTTGCTGTCGTTCTCCTTCGAACTCGGCCTCGAGCTCTTTCATGAACTGCTGCAGATCCGCATCTTGCCGTTCAGCCAGCGAAAGTTGTTGCTGAATCGGGGCAGGTGCTGCCTCAGGTTGCGCTGTGGGAGCTTCGTCGACCATCGGCGTCTCGGTCGGCGCTGCCTTCGGCGCGTCAGCTTTCTTGTCGCTCCATAGCCAGCCCATCGTGGCGAGTCGACGAGGATGACAGCAACTGCAGGAATGCGCTCGTGCTGAAAGATATCGGAGGTCGCTTCGCGGTAGACGCGAAAAAGGAGGGCCGTCTCCGATTGGTAGGCGACGCCACCTCCAACAGCCACCCTAAACTAAACGTCATGCTGCCTTGTTTTGCTATTCACACTTACCATTCTCTCATTCTGTCGCTTTCCAAACCACTGGGGGACAGCTTCCCGAGGTCGCATCACCACCAAGCCAACGAAGCTCACAGCGCGACACAATGTACTGGACATCGGCCTAGGCCCCACCGCTGATAGCGACATTGCAGCCCAGGGGCCGCACCAGCAATGCTTGGACGACCAGTGTTCAGGCCTGGAGGTCTTACGCGATATAGTCGACTAGCCTCATCGCCGTGGCCCGCAACTACAGCTTTACGGCCGAGGACGCCTATTTCGCCAATCCTGTCGCGTACAGCAGCCTCGGAAGCTGGTGAGGATGACTCTGGACACATCAAAACCGAGCGAAATGAAGGCATCTTCTTCCTCGACAATGTCTTCCCACTCAAGTTCCAATGGCTCAGTCGCATACCCCTACTCAATTGGGAGCAGCAAGCCATCAATGCCATGAGCAGGATCGACCAGCCAAATGCCGCTTTCGCCAGCCCGTTGAGCATAGTCCACCGCGCTTTCCCCGAGACACTGCCAGTCAAAATCACGGAAGTGCTGCCACGCATTCGCGAAGGAGGCGCGTTCGTCAAGTTCTCCCACGACGCAAACATCGATGTCTTTGAGCTGGAAGGCACTTTGCGCAAATATATGCAAGAGAAACCCATCCGACCATGGTTCAATCCACTCCGTCGAGTACGCGCATTTCTCGTTCGAGGTCAGCCCTGGATCGAGGACCTATACCGTCTGCCGAGCTCGAGAATACGAGTCGAGTTCCTGCCGACCTCTCCAGAAGCATCTGCAGCGGAGCTGACCCAGGAACAGATCTTCACCTTATTTCGCAAGTACGGAAAGCTATTCAACATCGAGCCACAGCCATCAGACTCGAAAGTACTGCCAAAGTATGCTTTGGTCGATTTCGAGCGGGCGAGATTTGCCACTATGGCTAAAGCTTGCCTGCATGGCTTCGTTTTGCCGGAGAGTGAAGGAGGCGGCAAGACAGGCACAGTACTGAATCTGAAATACGAGTCGCAACGAAAGTCATATTGGTGGTGGGACTGGATGACGAACCATCCACGAATTGTCCTCCCGCTACTTGTTGCTCTATTCTCCGCCACGGCCGTGGCAGTCTTCGATCCGATCCGAATCTTTTCGATCAAAACTCACATCACCCATGCGTTCGGCCTCGGCGACTACAAGGACTATACTGTAGTCAAGTTCCTGAAGAAGTGGATCATGCGCGGCTACGATGCGATCACACTTCGCAAAAGAAGGGCCGAGGATGACTCCTTTCGCATCTTGTGGGAGGACCGACAGGAGACGGTCGAGCAGTTGAAGACATGGCTCATCGAAACAGCGGACACGTTCATCGTCGTTCAAGGCCCTCGAGGCGCTGGGAAGAAAGAGCTTGTTCTCGACTATGTGCTCAACGACAACCATCAGCAGAAGATAGTCGTTGACTGCAAGAAGATTCAAGAGGCACGTGGCGACAGTGCAACTATAACTGCCGCAGCGGCTGAAGTCGGCTACCGTCCCATCTTTTCGTGGATGAACAGCATCAGCAGTATGATCGACTTGGCTGCGATGGGCACAATAGGTACCAAGACTGGATTTTCGGAGACGCTCGACCAGCAGCTATCTAAGATCTGGAACAATACTGCCACCGCTCTGAAGGAGGTGGCTTTGTCGCACCGGAAGAGTGATGACAAAGACGCCAATCTTGGTGACGATGACTGGCTGGAAGCTCATCCGGAATGCAGGCCGGTAGTCGTTGTGGACAATTTTTTGCACAAGTCAAACGAAACGGGAGCAGACATGGTCTACGATAAGATCTCGGAATGGGCAGCACGACTCACTACATCGAATATTGCTCATGTCATCTTCTTGACCACGGACGTCTCCTTCAGCAAGTCGCTATCAAAGGCACTCCCAGATCGTGTCTTCAGAACAGTCACTCTGGGAGACTGTACGCCTGAGGTAGCCAAGAAGATGGTACTTCGTCATCTCGACGCAGATGGGGACGACCATGACAAGAAGGACGATTCGGAGGAGAAGAAGCCACGGCCATCCGAATCGCGAGCAGACCTGGATGAGCTGGACAGTGTTATTCAAGTCCTCGGCGGCAGACTCACAGATCTCGAGTTCTTAGCACGGCGGATCAAGGCCGGCGAGTCTCCCGGAAGCGCAGTTCAGCAAATTACCGAGCAGAGTGCTAGCGAGATTCTAAAGATGTATCTTCTAGATGCCGACAAGAATTGGTCACCTCAACAAGCCTGGATCCTTATTCGAGATCTGGCAAACAACGAGAAGATCCGATATAACGAGGTCCTTCTGAACGATGCCTTCAGCAGCAAGGGCGAGGAAGTGCTACAAGCCCTCGAACAGGCCGAACTCATCACGATCACCTCCCAGAACGGCCGGCCGAACGCGATCAAGCCTGGCAAACCCATCTATCAGGCAGCATTCGAATACTTGCGCGAGGACGATGTTCTGCGGGCACGGTTCGAGCTTGCAGTGCTGACCGACCTGGCTGCGAAGGAGGCTAAGACGATCGACAAGTGTGAGGCAGAGTTGAGGATCCTCGCAGAGTTGCCCAACGCAAGCGATTTGAAGCCCCGAGTATTCTACTTGCTCCAGAAGGTGCTCGCCAGTCAGCAGGCTATCGAGAAGTATGAGGCGAAGAGCGGAGGGTACAAGAAGATCCTGAAGGAGAAGTACTGAGGCCGCACGGGCTGAGGCTGGATTTGTTCACTGCGATGACATTCCGCTCAGTCAGTATGGCTCGGTGTCGCTGCGCTTCCCACAACAACAAGCCTAGCAACTGCAGAAACTGCCCTTCCCAAAAAGTCAAAAAACCAACTGCCACGGTCCCACAGGGCCAATTGGGAAAACTCAACAGCAACCTCATACACCCGGAGCGAAGGGGAACTGACGGAACGGAGGCCTCCATAAAACTGAATTCGAGAGTTTATTGGCTCAATGAACGCGCTTCACCGCAGTAAAGCTATCGCAGTGCTCCCGCCAGCCTGTCCCCTCACTCGAGCCATGTCCGTCGCCTCTCATCTATGATTGTTAGATGGACAACAAACCTAGCCCTACCAGATAAGAGTAGCTTTTGGGTGCGATTGTTGGAGGTAAATTTGATGAAGGAATATATAAGGCTAGCTGGAGGTTGGGAAAGTGGGAAAGTTGGGGACCATTGAGGTCGTTGTCAGGGGATATTGAGGAATCGATGAAGATGTGGTAAGGTAGGGACGACGGAGTAACGCCAAGAGTGATAGTAGCCATTCTCAGCTCCATCACACTACGCGACTATAGAGACTGACTGTCAGGAAATGTATGTATGCCAGCAGAAACCATGGATTTTGGTGGTGGATGATGCACAACCAGACCAGGGTGGGCTTCATATGTGTCAACACCAACAGCTCACAGTATGCGAAGGTCAACATGTATCCATATTTTCACTCATGTACGATGTCAACAGGGTATATCATCCTTCTCACTCGCCCTGACCCCCACCACCTTTTCCCCTCCCTCTTGCCTCCCTCCATCGCCACCACCACCTACAGCGCCCTCCTCATCCGCCCTTGCCCTCTCCTTCCTCTCCCCCTTCGCAACCCACCTCCGAAAAAACAACGTACTAATACTCGCCAACCCCAACATCTCAACCTGAAAGATCAACATCGGCACCTGAATCTTCGCCTCCTCCAACTCACTGATCCCCTCAAACATCAAGAAACTCAACGGCATCCCCAACGCCAGCGTCTTTGCCGGCACACACATCACCACCGCGACCGTCTCTTTCCTCCCCAGCCACAAAACACTCAACCCGAAAGCGATGAGCAGCCACACAGACCAGTTACAGATCGTGACAAATACGATGAAGACGAGGTTAGAGGATTTCACGTCGTTGAAGGCGTTTGTCGCGAAGGCGCGGTCGAAGGTTTGCCAGAGGAGGGTGAGCATGCATAGGCTGCCGATTTTGGAGAGTTTGTAGTCCACGAATAGCGTCTTGGTGAGCTTGGGGAAGAAATGCCGGAAGAGCTGGCCGAGGAGCATGGGCAGGTAGATGCTGAGGCCGAATTGCATGAAGACGCGGGAGTAGAGGGCTTGGTAGCTGTTGCTTTGGTCCGAGGGGATGACGGCGCTGAACCACGTGTTGGGGAGGAGGTACATTCGGATCAAGACGGGTGTGACGAATGGGCCGATTAGGTTTCCGATTGTTGTTTCGACGACTGTTAGTGCTGTCTCGCCGTGGGATTGGCGTGTGAATTGGACGTTGGAGGCCATGGCGGTCGGCTGGCAGCCGTTGAAGATCATGCCGATTAGGAGCCAGGGGTCCATGAAGGAAGGGGAGATTGCGGCGAGGCGGACGACGGCGTAGGCTAGGGCGGAGACCATGAGGAAGCATTGGAGTTGGATGAAAAGGTGGTGCTTCCATTTCGCGTAGTTGGCGAGGAGGATTGAGGTGTCGATTGTGCAGCCGGCGACGAAGAAGACTAGGGAGACTGGTTGGGTAGGGTTAGTTGTGTGCCAGTGTCGCCAGTGTCGTGCAATGGGATAGCGGGTTAAGGTGGGCTTCGAGGACAAGGACGGGAAAGCATACCGGACAGGTAGGATACGACGAGTTGCTTGACATTTTGCTGTGCTAGTGGCACTTGAACTTGTGAGGCAATAAGAGTCACTACACCGATTCCAACAAGAAACCACTGGTCCTTGAGCAGGAACCAGGCAAAGTCCAAAGCGCGCCGGATACCTGATCTCGGTGGCGCCGGTGCCTTCTCGCTATCTCGCTGATCATCGTCTGGCATGCTGAAGTATTGTTCGTGTCATGGAGGGCGGTGACAACGAGGTCAAACGACACATCGAGCAGGCACATTCAACGACATCACGGCGTTAATTGCGACCTCGGCGATGTGCCGAATATCCTGTAGTCCTGCATCGGAGAGCAATGGGCTGAACTCCGATCGCGAAAGCGTTCAAGCGAAGCATCAATGACGTCCCAGCTTGGCAGGGACGGGGATGTTCGGTGAGAAGACCCGACTTTTTCACTTCTGTGCACGACGCAACGTCTAGAAGCGATACATGCTCCCAGCCATGAGAACACGCACAACAGCTGCGCCTTGCTAGTGCCATAGTCTGTGCCAGTACTACCACTCTCCGTCACGTGCTCTCGCCCTTGTGCTAAGCCGCTTCTCCTCAATGCGGTGAGCACGATGCCCGAAGTACTGATGTACGGAGGCGGATGACCAAAGTCCCTTGGGGTTGGGGGATTTTGGCGGCTCAATATGTTATGTCAACACATGATTGTGTCCTCTGGCAGCGACCTCAACCCAAGCAGCGCCCTCCATTCGACGCCTCACTTTACGCCTCAGCGGCTGGCATACTTGGCTACGGCAGCAACGCCGTGGGTCTATGTTAAGACAGCTGGGGCCTCTAAATCGTCCCCTTTGCAGAACTGTCGCCCCTGCCCATTCTCGCCACCCACGTCCTTTAAACAGAGCTACTGACACTGAAAGACAAGCCTGGTGGCATACTTAACGACTCTCGGCTGCAGTGACCTGCCATCTACAGAGCATAAACAGGCGTTCACCGGCTCGTAGCTCTCCTGATGAAGCATGCCGAAAAGGAAGCATGACGAACGGCCTGCCGAATTATGCGCGCACTGTTCCGATATCGACCTTCATAGCAAATCGAGTTTCTGTCACTGGGACTTCATCCAGCTCAAGGATAGTGCTATTCTTGATCGATGCCCCCTATGCAAACTATTTCTGGACCCTTTTCGGCTTAAGGTCAGAGGCAACCCTTCTTCGAATGTCTTCATTATTCCTGAGACCAGAAAGCTGGGCTGGCTCCTAGGCTACCAATTCGATGGCTATCCAGCGATGTTTCATGAGATCGTTGAGTTCTCGGGACCAGACACCTCCAGTAGCAGTCGTGAACAACGCGACGCCATAAGGACCGCTGCGGGCTTTCGTCTGACCTGCGCGAGTCCACTAGACGACGACAACATCGGACTGATCAACCAGTGGCTTCGTACGTGTTCGGTGGAGCATATCCTCTGCAGACAGACTCCTAATCTCCCTCCCCCAACCAGACTTCTCGAGATCACAGGAGCGAGAGTGCGCCTGGTCTCACCACGGGACAAGGATCTACGCTACACGATTCTATCGTACTGCTGGGGCAACAAGGCCTCGTTAGTGACTAGCAAATCGACAATTGAGTCCTTCCGCCGAGAGATTGAGTGGTCAGCATTACCGGCTACATTTAGAGATGCAGTTGCAACCAGTCGCAAGTTGAACGTCGACTATATATGGATCGACTCCCTTTGCATTATTCAGGACTCAAGGGCTGATTGGGCGAAGGAATGCCGGTGCATGGAACAATATTACAAAAATGCCTACCTCACACTTTCTGCCCTGGACACACCAGATAGCGAGGCTGGCTTCCTACACCCAAGGGAAAACCTGTCAGTAAGACTGTCCGGGCCCAACTCGAATAAATGGATCCGGCCGAGTCGCCGGACGTCGCTGGCCATATTCCAGGAATCATTCTTGAACAAGCGCGGATGGGCTCTCCAAGAACGCCTACTTTCTACGCGAGTCCTCCATTTTGCCCGAGATGAGATACTCTGGGAGTGTCTGACATGCTCAGCAACCGAAGGAACCTTGGAAGAGCACCATGGACATTTGGATATGAGTACTTTGTTGTCCTGGTCCTCCGAAGGCCAAGATTTCAAGCGTGCTGCTCTACGTTGGTTCGGATCCGCACTCATTGTTTGACGGCATATTTGCAGTGTGGTATCGGATCGTCAAACAATTCTCCCGCCGATCCTTGACCTACGAATCTGATAGATTTCCAGCTATTTCCGGAATTGCACGCTTCATCGGTCAAGGCGTCGGGTTCACTTATCTTGCGGGCATCTGGGAGCAAGATCCACATGGTCTTTGTTGGTGTATAGATGGTCCAGGAGACCGAGTCACTCAGCAATCAACAGCACGCAAGTCTGTTCAAGCTTCCGATGTCGAGTGGCCTAGCTGGTCATGGGCAAAAGTGAAGCACTCTGTTTCGTGGCCGTTCTACGAACAAATTCGCACTGGTGCGGGAGACGCAAAGATCTTGCGATTCAAGATCGTCACTAAACCTGGAGATCAGTATGGAATGGTGCAGATGGCGGAACTCGAACTAGAAGCTATCACCCTGGAGGTCCAGTGCATGCCCGTATACTGGGATCCACGAGAATACATTCGCGGCTTTCACACTACGATGCCTGACTTCCGACCACATAAGGCCTGGCGCGTAAATGCATATCGAGCAGGATTTAATCTTGATATATAACAATGACGGGGTAATGATCGGCACTGGATGTTACGATGACCCAGAGACAGCCGAAACCATGGTGGATTGCACTGCTGTACATGTAGCAGAACGAAGTTATCTAACGCCAAGTACTGCGATCAGCTATTTTCTCCTGGTCCAAAACGCCTCACGAGAAAGTGGAGCTTGGGAAAGGATTGGAATGGGAATGACAAGAGATGTGGCATTTAGACCAGCTTTAGGAGAACGCGAGTATTTTGAGGAAGTATTTGAAGGCCGGCCGACGCAAACTTTGAGGCTACGATGACACCCGAGTTGAAAGGAGGCCTTCAGAGTGGTAGGGACTCTATGGCAGCCGTGAAGAACGAGGGTTCAACTCAGCACGAACGGGCCTCTCCGGTCAGTCGACCCAGATCATTCTGAGAACGAAGTCCTTGACAGCATAAAGGACTGGTGACTATGAGGACTAGACGCATATTCGAGAACAAGGTACATTGATTCCTGCTAGTACTCACTCGTGATCAATCTCTCAAAGTATTCTCGGGCCTTCTTCTGTCCAGCAGCCCGCACAGGAGCACCGCTCAACATTCGGAATCCCTCGAGTTTCAGCACAGCGCGCTTGCACAGGATCTTCCAAGCAACCCGACCGATCGGCTTGGAGACGTGGAGAAGATTCTTAACCCAGATAGGCCCCCACCAGAACTCATATGGCTGCTCCCAAGCTAGACTCGAATGCGCCGAGATAATGTGGATAGTGACGATGTCAGGTATAGCGAAGGCAATGATCATCTCGAGGATCTCGAGGGGCATAGTGTCGAGAGTCGGGCTAGCCTCGAACTGATGAGAGTGTCAGCGACGGATGACAAATTTGGACGACCGATGACCCTTACCCGAGACGGTGCAGAGAGAGGTTGAGACATCTTGACTACTGTGGTAGCTTCGGGCGATATGACAGAGTTGACAGTGTAGTGTGAGGAGCGCTTCCGCAGTTCCGCATTCAGGTAGCTCGCCGACGACAAAATGATGATGATGATCGGAACGTGATGTGGCTGTAATGCTCTAGACTTCGAAGGCAGGCATGCTATAGTGTCGATTGCCGTTGTTGCCCTATGGGAACAGCACGGCTCGCTATGTAAAGTAAGTACTCAGGTAGGGAACGCGACACGAGGCAGGTGCCGGGCAAGGGCTTTCTTTGTGCTCGATCAGATTTACGATTGCTCTTTCCTAACATTTTTAGTTCTGCCGTGAAATCCTGTACGCTCTCGCTAGCTTGCTAATATCCAACTTATTGACAACCAAAACAACACAGAACTACGTAGGAAAGGTGAACCAACCTCGCTCACGACCTCGGAGCAGTCCGCGCTGCCCGTGTAACCAAATCTCTAACCTGGTCTACATCCTCATTATCCTGCACCTCCACCGACCGTCGAAACTCATCGTCCACGTCCTCAGCAGCAGGATCATCATCATCGTCACTACTCTCATTGCCATCCAATGGCTGCTCTTCGTCCGGCGCATCTCCTGTGGGTCTCTTCTTCTTTTCGTAGTCCTGACCGTGGGCATTGGCAAAAGCCGTCGCGACACGAGCCAGTGCACGAAAGCGGTTCCGGACTGTGGAAGTGGCGGAGTCGTCGGTTCGCTGTCGTTCCAAGTCTGTGCCGCTGGCAACAGCTCCCTCCACACCGGTCGGCGTGGCGCCGCCATCGGTCTGCGGATCCATGCTCTCGCGTTGTGATTCTGGCACCTGCTCGTCCGGTAGCTTGTACGGCAGTGGCACGTCACGGTAGGCACGGAACTTGCCAACATTGTTGCAGTGCTCGTTCTCGACACGGAAAATGGACCACATTCCTCGTCGAATGACCTCTGCAAAGCCAACAAAGAAGGACGCGGCCGATGAGTGCTGCAGGTCCTCCACGAAGATAGCGTATACGATCCACTGCTGGCGAAGAATGATATCCAGCACCATCGCCACATAATAGTAGCGTCTTTTCTTAAACGCCAGGCGGCTCCTGAGGAACTTATTGTCTCCATGTATCCAGTCTCCCAGACTCCAGTCCATGAAGATATCCCAAATGGTGCAGTAGACTGAATTGACCGCCGCGAAAGTGATGAAGACCGCCCTTGTCTTGTGATCCATATCTATTCTGTATAGACTCAGCGACATGTAGTACATGATATTGCCGCAGTATTTCACGAAATTGGCCATGTGGGGAAACCAGCTGCCAGAGTCCCAGAAACGCCTTATACATTGGAAGGCGCGTAGAATGGCAGGAAAGGTTGTGAAGAATCCGAGAAGGCGCGAATGGTTGGAATTGCAGTGCGGCGGGTCATTCCAGCCACTCGAGTAGAGGCAGAAGAACAGCGCGATCTGACTCATGGAGTACGTTGCTGATGTGTACATGTCTCCGAGGTAGAAATCCCGGAACTCGACGTTGTATATTCCTGCGCATAGCAGGCGCCAATTCGAGTAGGCCCACCATTTCCTGGCCTGTGGGTAGAATATCTTGAAGGGCAGAACCATGAGCAGGAGCGTCAAGCTTATCAGAATGACTGGATAATACAGGAAGAAGCCATCGTCGACTGGATGGCGGAAGTTGATGTAGAGGAAGAGACCAAGCAAGAACATGAGGAAGCACGGAGGCTCTGCCAGTTGTCGCCAGTCCAGTGTATGCCTTGGGTCGAACTCAAAGACGAAAGCATAGTTGACGCGATTTTGTTTCCAGATCCTGCAATTGACGATGAATGCCAGACCTAATGACAATGCCAAGAAGTATCCAGCATATAGTTGAAGCAGGTAGCTGACCTGTATCTTGAGGACGCCTTCAGTGCCGAACAGGAGTCGCAGAGCATCGACGAGTCCGGCGACACCTAGGCATCCTCCAGCCGCGAGCCATAATCCGTTGCGAAATGTCACATCGGAGGTGTCGTCCTCTTTGAGCTTTGAGCGCAGCTTTCTCACAGCGATCTTGTGGTTCCCTTTCTCAAAATATCGCGAGTACAAATCTTCGACAGTGACCATGTGATTGCCGATGACATCACTCTTGACGAAGTATGCATCCTGCACGTATTCAGAATAGTATCGCAGTGGCGGGCGAGCATTGATAGCCTTGTCGTACTTCTTGTTGATTTTGCGAAATGCAGTCTGGTTGAGCAGAGCATACGACTTAAGCAACTCCAGACTCCGGTAGTATTCCTGCACTGCCAGCTTCAATCGTCGCTTTGCCACACGGTAGGAGGGTACATGCTGTTGGCGCCGTACGAAGTCGGCTCTGTTGTCGACAGAGGGTCGTGCTGCGGCCTGGCCTGGAGAAATTTCAGGAGACGCATTCTGTTGGAGCGACTTAGTCACACGTCCAATCTTGGTCTTGCCTGTAACAAACTCGCCGACTGGCCGTGCAAGGTTTGCCACACCATAAGCGTTACTGAGCGATGGCTTGTGCTCATCACCACCAAGATCCTTCAAGACCCCATTCGTCTTAGACTGACCTTTGTGCAGAGAGCGGACCTCCTCCAGCCTATGGTCGCGAAGCTCATGAAGCTGCTTGCGAAGGACCATCAACCGATCATTGGCTTCGTCCTCCTTGAACTTGTAGAATTCTTCAACTTTCTTCAACTCTTTGTCCAGATACGAGAAGAAGTCGTCTTGCTTCGCATCCAGCTTTTCATAGGCCTCGAGCTGGACATCATTACCGGTGGGTGTCTGCTCGTGGTGCGACGTGAACATCCTCCGCAACTTCGACTGCGAGTAGGTACGAGCATTTCCAGGCGACGGGGCAGTTGAGTTGCGATGACGTTGTAGGAACATGCGTTTGGCCAGACTCTGCTTGGCCGTGTCTTTGCCGATGTGGTAAGGATCTGGCGACGGGTTTGGCGGTTTAACCACAGGTGACGGCAGCTGCGTTAGATCATCTGGCGCATCGTGCTTCTTGGTGGCCAGAGCAGGGTCGGGCAGGTCCAGACTTGGCATACGCGCTGGACCAGACGGCGGCGATCCAATGATACTACCATAACGTGTCGCGCGTGATCGAACTGGCTGTAATGGTGTCTCTTCCTCTGGGCTTCCCTCTGGTGAAGTGAATGTGCTGTTCTCCTCTGTTTCAGGCTGACTATCCGGGATAAGGACTGGAGGCGATGCTGCGAAGAGGGTGCTGACTCGGCGCGCTTCCTCGAGGGCAGGTTTTCGGGCGGCTTTTGTGCCATTTGCCTGGTTCTTGCGCGATCTTCGAGCATTGTAGTCGAAATGGGTATATGGTAACTCGGGTGTCGCTTCTGGACGAGGGAAGGTAGACGAAGGTGTTTTCGCGGCTTCACGAAGAGCGCGTGTCACGGCCTTGATCCTCTTCTTGCCGCCCTTGTAGTTGAGGTACTTAGACCGCCATTCGGGCACGAGATCATCGTCTAGTTCTCTGCGGAAATGCTTAGCGCTATCTCAAGCATATGATAACGCGGGGACTTACTTTGCGAACTTCATGGTGTTGGTCACCGTTGACGCCGCATTCCGTTGTCACGCGACTGCGCGCAGATGGCTGACATAGAGCTCTACCTAGGGACTGTAGCTGTAGAGTACAAATTCAGGTTCTAGACTGCTGGGCGCTGGGCGCGGTCATGGGCATTTGCTCGGCCGCCCGGGCTTGGGCTCGTCTCCCCCGCTCCAATAGGAGATCTCGCGTAAATGGCCTCTACCTTGGCACGACTGCGGTGACAGCGAGATCGGGAAGCGAGATAGTAATAATTGTGAATAAGTGTTGGCTGTAGTAGAAGATGATGAGCGATGCGAAGCAAAGTCCTGGAACGCTTGGAGTCGTCGCAGTGCAGTGTCGCCACTGCCTCAGTACACTTTGGCTAATTGCTGCCACGTGTGGAGGTAAATATATTCGTCTACCACTGCATCACAATCGCTTTCCTTTACAGCACAGACATGAGCTTGTTCAGATCTCGACAGCCTCCTCAGGCACACCTCGTCGGCTCTTCAACCTTCGAGCCAAGAACTGCATCATCGGTAGTGCTTCTTCTCTATTTCGTGGTAAGCCGTCATCAGCTCGTTTCCACTGGTGACTTTCCACAAATTCGAACGCTGCCTTGATGCGCTTCACCGGGCTGCCATCATCCTTTGCAAGCGTCCCTTTTCGGCCTCCAAGCAGTAGCAGAGGTGTCTTGTTCTTCAACGAAGGTGCTAGCGCCGCAGATGATGGGAGACTGCCGCCGACAGAGACTACTCCGCCCAGTGACACCTTCTGCAAAGCGAGAGCCACTGCTAGCGCCACCGAGCCGCCCTGGCGATTTCCGAAGAGAAGGATCTGTGATGCAGCAAAGCCATGATCAGCGATGAGCTTCTGGACAGCTTCAGTGATCTGTGCTGTTGATCTGCCGAGCGGAGAGTCTGCATCGAATGTGCCAGTAAATGTGTCGACTTGTACATCGTCGGACCACTGATTGCCCGGCCCAAACGGAAAAGGTAGCGGGTACGGACCCTGTAGAGTCACTGCTATCGTGTCTGGTAAGTTCAGGGCGCGCGCAAACGACGAGAAGTTAGCAGACGAGTCTCCCAGTCCCGCAAGGAACAGGATGATGTTGACTGGTTTGCCAGTAGAAGGCTCATGAAGGATTGGGCTGAGCTCCACGGGGAAGTCTGCAGCGGTCGGCAACTTCGCCATGTTGTGGCTCAATACCTAAGGGTTAGATGACGATCTGACTGTGATGCATGGTCCGATCAGATGTACGATCAATGTCATCAGCTTTGTGCGAGGCGACATCAGACTTGAAAGTGAAGATCAAAATCCGAAAAAGCCAGACATTTCTGGGGTTTCTCGACCAAGCTTTGATGCCGACTTGGCAGGATGCTTAGCCACGAGTTTCTTCCAAGCGAGATATCCTACATCTTTCTTCAGTCTTCAGCAGCTGCTCTTGAACCCTGCAAAAGTCTGGTCTAGAACGTGCCAAAGTACCAATGACTGTGCCACGTCCTCAGACGAACAAAGCTGATATCATCGTGGCTCAGTCTAGGGTTCTTCGCAAGCCGGACAGATGCACGACAATAAACTTCTCGATCCCCGATTTCTCAAACCTGGAACAGCTCGATACTTTTTCAGCTGACACAAGTGAGCTGGATCACTGTACAATGACTTCAGTCGATCCCATGTTGGTTATTCTGGCTACTCGAAGCACCAATCGGACGCTGTTTGCCCCTGAGTGATGCCGTTGACCTACAGCGGCCCGCTAAAGTTGCGTTCCAGATGACGCGTCTTTCTCTGTTCGACGAGGGGCACTGCCCCTCGCTACAAACATGTATATGAAGCTCAAGTAGACCGTAGGGTTTGAAGAACATTTCCAAAGCATACAGAAGACGTTCAATCCAAACAATACAATACCCAGACTCCCCTCATAAACCACTACTACCAAAGAAATCAGTCAAGATGTTCGGCTGGGGTGCGTCTTCCCTTTTCCCACCCAGTACCCCTCCCCCACAACCCACAAGCTAACCCACCACAGACGAAGCCCGCGACTCACACCAACAAGTCTACGACGACAATGTCCCCGAAGAGCACCAAGCCAAGTTCTCTCACGAGCTCATCTCCGGCGCCGCCGCCTTCGAAGGCATGAAGCTATTCGAAGACCACCAAAGAAAGGAGGGCCAAGTCGTCAACCACTCCTTCGCCAAAGAGCTCCTAGCCGGCTTCGTCGGCGGCGAAGTCGACAAGCTGGCCGAAACCAAAGGCGAGGACGCCTGGGACCGCCACCGGACGAAAGAGCGTGCTCAGCGAGGTGCGGAGCAGATGTATGATGAGCACTATGGTGGGATGGATCAGTATGATCCTGGCCAGCGGGATCGGCCTAACTTTGACTACAACCAGGGTGGTGGTGGTGGTGGGTATGGTGGTGGTTATGGCGGTGGACGAGGAGAAAGCAGACGTGAGGAGCGAAGGGAGGAGCGGGAGGAGAGGCGCGAGAGGCGGGATGAGGGATATGGTGACCAAGGCGGATATGGCGGTGGTCAGGGCGGTTATGGTGGTGACCAGGGTGGGTACGATCAGGCAGGTATTAGACCCTTGCCTTCCAACGGACTCACCGAGTTCTACCGAAGCATTATCAGAGCTCTTTGCTACAGTCGTTGAGAACCGTGGACATTGTGGTACAGGGGTATCATACTTCTCAACAACAGCCACCTCGTCGGCCTATTTGCTCTTGCTTGGCTCACTGCTCTCAAGCAGCCGCTTTAGTTCCACTTGCGCCTTGTCAACACTCTGCGACGCCAGCCTCCAATGCCGCTGACCTGCCTCATCAATCTTTGGGTGCGCCTTCTCATCGACGAGCTGCTGCATCCGAGCAGTCATCCTCCTGATTACATTGCGGCCTTCGTCATACAGCTCGCCCTCGACCTGCTTCGTAGCGTCCTGCCAGCCACCTTGCAACCTCCAGAGCGCGAATGTTGTCCCCAGCGCAGCTATCGTGCCGGCTTCGTAGATGCCACCATTTGTGAGGGAGACATAGGTGAGGCCCGAAAGGCCGGCGGAAAGGCCGGCAAGGGACAACGTGCGCATCACGAGCTGCTGGGCCTGGGTCGACAAATACAGAATTGCTGCTTCGATCTGTGTTTGTCGCGTCGCCGATACTGCGGCTGAGAGTGGCGTAAGCTGTGGTTTTGGCTCAAGCTCGACTCGTGGTGCACCACCTTCGTTGACGATGATCGGTTCGGTCTGTCCCGCGGTCGATACGGCCTGTGCTTGTAGAATAGGCAGTGGAGCCGTGGCGGGTGACGGGTCCGGAAGGGTCTGCTTCTGGAGTGCGACTGGAAGCGTGACCATGTCCATCGGAGATATTCCGGCTTGCGCGAGTCGGCCAGAGATCTCGTACACTGCTCGTTCGGTTCGTGGCAGCCAGGCATTCGACACGAGATCGGTAACTATGAGACCGACGTCGTCAACACGCCAGAACAACTTGTACCATGCAAGCTTTCGCCAATTACGTGAAGACCAAGCAGACGACAGTCCAGACTGCAGTTCTTTGTGCGCGTTTCTGGAAAAGTCGTCAATGGTAGAAGACAAATTGGTCAACGTAGAGAGATCAGTCCGTCGTGATTCGGCGTCTGCTTTCGCCTGCGTCTTGAGGCTCGTTGAGGCGGACTGCAGAATAGCAGATATCAAATCCGCCACCGGAGCAGGTAGCTTGGTGTCCGCACCGGATATCGAAGTCAGCCACTTCGTCACCTGAGACAGACCTGACTCCATCCACAGATGCTCGTACGTCGTAGCCTTTGCCAGAGAGCTTCGAATCGCCCGCAGACCAGCCTCAGCCTTCGCCGAGTCTATGACAGCCAAATCTCCGTCGAGAGAACCACTCTCATTCTGCAAAACTACCTTGATCGAGTTGCGTTCTTCATCGGAGGAGATCTCCGAAGCAGCAAGCAGCTCCGCCACCTGGAAGAGCTCTTCGAGACCTTTTGCCACAACGACGGCGCGATGTACAGGCTGACTGATAATTGTATGGCGACCGCTGAATGCTGAAGGTGTCCCAATCACCGGCGCAAGGAATGTATCGACTGGTATTTGGCGGTGCTGTCTGTGAGCTGGCATGCTCACCGTCGAGATCAGGATCTCGATATTTGCTCTTTCCAGCAGTCCCGCTGGTACCTCGAGCACTGGTATTGAGGTATTGGACTGTGCCAGATTTGGGTTCGCAGCTTGGCCATATCGTACCAGTAAGCCATTCTCGAAGCGCCCTTGGTCGTGTGTCAGATCCCACTCCCATTGCGCCTCTTGCTCAAGTGGGTCTGACAGTAGCAGTCGAACCAGTCTCTTCGCTGTGTCGGCAACATTCAGGCCCAGAACCGCTACTCGTATTCGTGGGCTTGTGGACTCGAGCCCTGCCAAAGCTAGCTGAAGCCTGCTGATGGGCACGTGGGCGGCGGCGTTGCGACGCACATCACCTAGAGCCGAATACAGAGCTCGGTATTGTTCGTGCACGCTTCTGCTCGCGTTGATGGCAGTGTTCGAACTGAGTGTTGTTGCCCATCTCTGCTGTCGCTGGCTAGGGCCGCGATTGATGGCCTTTGGAGCTTTCCGGGCGCACGAGGGGCAAATGAATGCTTCGTCTAGAGCTCTTCGTAGCCATCGCGGCTGAAGGGAGCGACGTGACATACTCCTGGTCGCATATGCAAATGTTTCACGCATCATGCTCCGCGCGGAAACAACCTCGAGGTGAGCGAATATCTACGGTGGACGGAGAAGCATGGCGCCTACAGTTGGTAGTCGTCGATCAAAGCTCGGCCCAGGCTGGGCCTAGCGGCTGATAAGGGGAACCTGAAATTAGGTACTTAAGGCGAACCAGCTCCCCCAATTCTCCTTCATCCTTTTCTTCTTCAGATAAGCCGTGAAATTCGCAGGGGACATCATAACCAGTCGGATAAACCAGCCTTTAACAAGCCACCCTGCAAGGAGGTATATCGGAGCCCGAATCGCCCACTCTGTCGTGCTGCTACAGTATTCGCACTGTAAAGCGTCGTTCTCAGAATGGTGATCTGTCGAAGCACTGAGGCAGCCGCGAGTCCTTGGATCGGTGATCTGTCGAAGCACCCGGAGAAGCTCTCTCCGAAGAAGGTGTTTTAGCGGCACCGATGAGGTGTCGCGGCTACATAGCCGGTGATCTGTCGAAGCACTGGGAGAGCGTCGCCGAGATTGGTGCCTGTTGCAGCACTGACAGGGTGCCGCACCTGATACGGTGCTCCGTCGAACCATTGGGGGAGCCGCAGTTCCTGAGTCGTGGTTCGTCGAAGCACTGGATAACCGGGTCGGCTGGACACCTCGTCGTGCCACTGCGGAGGCAACGACGATCATGAGGTGTGGTCGTCGTCATTGAGGATTGCTTCGAGGTATGAGGGAATCGGGCTTCGGTCTGGGTGGCTTCGAGGCTGACGTCCGGCGAACGCTGATGTACGGTCTTTCACGATTCGTCTTGCTTTCGGGCAGTCGAGCTTATCGCAGCAATACAGCTCTGCCAGGTGCTCCAACACCGGGTCTCTCTGCGAGCTTGTTATCGCGTCGGACGGGTGCAGGAGCTGATCACTCTTGCATTCGCGTCGACCGATCTCGCCGGACGGGTACAGGAACTGATCACTCTTGTATTCGTTTCGACGCCCTTTTTTTCATCATGGCATTCTGCTGTTCGCAGAGTCATGGGGAAGGGATAATTCTATCTTGTTTGTCTACGCGGTAAGCCAAGCTTGTCTGCCGATGTGTCCGCGTCATGGCAAACAGGCGTTTGCAGACAGTGTCCCTCTGCAGTCCACGGGTGTCCTCCCAACATCCTCGATTTTCTAGCAACAGAGAGCATCGAAGGCAGGCGATACTCTCGCGCTTATACACTGTTCTATCGACAACATCGCCCACAAGCCGCGAGTGAGCTCTTATCTCACATCAGCAAGGATCTTCAGGCAGGGGGTGAGGGGAACTCAGAAGCAATTTCCGGTTTTAGGCCCAATCCAGGGACCCTATACTTAAGCTGCCGTCCTTCCCCCTTTTTCCAGTCTCTTCTTTCTTCTCTCCAGGTAGGTCGCGAAACACGCCCAGTCATCAGAGCGAACCGGAGGATCCTGTCAGCCCACCATCTGGAACACGCATGCCCCGTCGTGCTCGTCGGAGCACAAGGAGAATCAAGGAGAATACCACTCCTCAGGATCAGGAGCTCACCACTCCCAAAGATTAGGAGCTCACCACTCCTCAAGGTTAGGAGCTCACCACTCCTAAAGATTAGGAGCATATCACTCCACAAGAACAGGAGAACACCACTCCCAAGATTGGCCTCCGTGCCACAGGATCAGCCTTCGCGCTGCAAGATTGGCTTCATGCCACAGGATCAGCCTTCGTGCTGCAAGATCGGCCTTCGTGCCGCAAGATTGGCTTCGTGCCACAGGATCAGCCTCCGTGCTGCAAGATCGGCCTCGTGCCACAGGATCAGCCTTCGTGCTGCAAGATCGGCCTTTGTGCCCAAGATTGGCCCTCGCGCCACAAGATCAGGAGAACACCACTCCTATGAATAGCCATCAATGCCACACGAACGTGCTGTCCAAGCATAAGTTGAGGGGCAGCTCATCTGTCGCTTGCAGCCACTCCCAGGGACGCCTGGCGGTGAACCGTGTGGCAGAGGCATATATTGGGAGACTTCGACGGAAGTATCCCCAGAATGGCCCGTCGTCATGATCAGAAACAAAAGGGGCGTCACTCAAACACTGCTTCGTCCTTGTTTGAATACCTGAACAACTCGATGCAACGAGATCTGACGACGCCGAGAATTTTTCATATTGTGACCGGTGCCCCCGCGCCAGTTGACAGACAGCTTGCTGATAGTCGACCGGGGGAGCCCACCGGCTCACACTGAATTTGTTCAACGGCTGTCTAACCCAGCTACGAACACGGATATTTCAAGAGTCCCATTGCAGGAACTGTGCACTCGCGCCGAATGGGTGAAAAAGACGCTGGTGTTAGAAAGCATAACGACACATGCACCCACCCACCAACCGTCCCAGGACCGCTCAAGTGCACAGGATACAACCACCCTAAACCGATACGTGGGTGTTCGGGATTGCGTTTCAGCTCGGATGGCCCGGATTTCTTCGACTTGCTCTGATGACATGGAATGTTTCGCGACTTGCCGACCTATCAAAATGACTCTGCCTGATGTACACATCGGGCCCTTTCACGAGTCTGCTATCGCGTCAGACGTGGTGTGAGAACTGATCACTCCTGCATCACGTTGCGACGCCCCCTTTTCATCATCGCTTGCTGCCTGTGGCAGGGCCATTGGGAAGAGGTGCTGGCAGAGATGTTCTTTGTCAATCCGAAAGACCCTGCGAGCTTGGGGCTTTGTCATCCAACATGACCTCTTCGCGTCTCCCGCTGCCGCAACAAAGGAGCACCAAACATTAACAAAGCCCCCATTGTCGCCTTCCTTCTACCCAGATATATCTCGCCCAGCCCGACCGTCCCCTTGCTTCTCTCCTCCCTAAGCACCTCCATCATAGCCCTCGAGCCCCTCCTTCCCTTTCCCACCCTTCCCTCGCACAGCATCCAAGTATCACCACTACCTGCACTAGGAAGTGAGGTAGACTGCAGGGTATAGCGTATGCTTACCCCGGCCCACTCGACCGCAAAGTCGGCGACGTTGGGTCTGTCAGCACTGGGACGTCCAGAGACTAGGAATGTCTTGGGCGGGTGCTGAGACGTCATTTGTGATACCTCTGGGTCTGGCGTGGGAATGGGTCGGGTCAGGGGAGTGGTGGGTCTGACGGGTCGTGGTGGTGGTCGCTTCCGCGCACTGTGGGTACGATTTCGGTCGTGCTGGACAGGCAGCTGGTAAGTATTAGAACAGCCCTGCTTGACGAGAGATCAAGTTTGCTGCTGCGGGCTGTGCTATTTCGTTTTTCATTGTCATTGCTAGCTTTGTGCTAGGTGGCAGGGAAGACTTTGACCGATAAATATTCACGTGCACTCCATCCTGAATCGCGTGTAAGACCGAAATAGTCGACGACAGAGCGCTCAAGTTCACGCCAATCAGATCAGACACTCTGAAAATGAATCACAATCTTCCATTACGAGTGGTGATAGTTTCTTGGCATTGCGCATGTACCTCAGATATGAAGCGACCAGAAGTCGACCATACCGCCATCGCCCTCAAAGCGTCTTCCTAGGCGGACCTCAACTGTTTTGGCTGCAGTGACCAGCCTGAGCGGACATCCATCTCCCCAAAGCCCTAAAGGCGTCTTCTCTGGTCCTTATTTGTTCTGGCTGATACGTCTGTGTCATCCAGTGGACCATGCTACCGTCACGAATGGCATGCTACGCATCTTCGAGCTTCCGCTTACGAGGAAGACTGTTTGCAACATCAGGAGTGCCTACTCGAGGCACCGGAGTGCTCTCGCGATCGCGATGGACTTCTCTATAGCAAGACAGGTGGTAGTAACGTCCTCCCACGAATATACAGTCTCTCCAGACCCAGTCCTGTACTCCGTCGTCCCATTCGCTTTTAAACGTCTCCTGGTCTATTGGGCAGGGCAGAGACCGCAGTGTCGGATCAGTTGGCGCCCGCACAAAGTCCTGCACCTTCTTTGCAGGAGATGGCGCTGCTGATTCCGTGCCTTCTTCTGCGTCGTCGTATTCTCTGCTGGCGAGCCATTCCCGCTCATCAACATACCAGCTTCTATTCTGACCACGCTTCTCAGCCTCGATCATCCGAGCTTTGGTCTTGAAGTGGGAGTCGAGATGTCGTGCCTTTCTCTCCTTGCCGCTTTCGTCCGAAGTGAAACGCCTGCCGCATGTGCTGCATTGATTTGGTCGAGCTGTGAGGAATGAGGTGATCATCTGTGGGCGGTGGACCTTGAACGACGCTGACGTGAAGCTGACTTCAACGGACATGGGGAAAGCTGGTGGTGTCAGGGCCTGTAGCGGTGTTGGGGCATTTGATACAAGCCCTGCGGCTTTCAATTGGTCGAGCAGCGAGAAGGCAGGAGGGGCAGCGGGAGCTTGTGGTAGGGGCAGAACTGGAGGTGGTGGCAGGACTGGCGGTGTGCCAGTCGCGGCTCTGAGGAGGTCGGCGAGATTTGTGGAATTTAGACCTGCTGGGAGAGCTGGTGGGGGAGGCGGAGGAACGGGCAGGAGTGCAGCTGCAATTGCTGCTTGTTTCTTCTTTTCTAGTTGTCCGTCTATGGACTGACGGATCGAGAGCAAATCGGAGGGAGAGGCTCCGTTGCTGTCCAATATCTCCTTGAGCGTTTGTAGAGTTGTGAGACGCTTCTGTGCAGGTATGTCCATAGGGTGGGTCGCACACTCGATCTTTGCATCTGTGGTAAGGTCATCGATGTCGCGGTGCAGGGCTGTGAGATCGACGGTAGGTGCTGGAGGTGGAGGCAACGGCTGTGGAGTTGGCGGTAGATGGTTGATAGGAGGCGGAGGGTATCTCTGTGGAACGGCGGGCGGTGGAGGGTAGCCAGGATGCTGGTGTTGTGTTAGCTTGTGGTCGATCGACGCTGACGTACTCCATACCTGTGCTTGGGACGGCGCCTTTGCGGCAGCTGTTGTGGAGGGGTTGGTGTGTCTCGCTGTGGGTGGAATTGTGGCATTCGAGGTTGTGGAGGTGGAGGGTATCGTTGCGGATTGCTTGCCCGCAGCTTGTTGAGATTATCAACGATGGTCTGAGTAGCCGAAAGCTGAAAGACTGGCTGCGTGCTGGTGCTGCCAGGCACAGGTTCGCGCCACGTTCTCAGCATCTCCTCGAGTTTCCGCCGGACGTTGTCGTCAACCTGACTGAATGCGCCCATGAAGACGCCATACAAGTTCCGCCCAAAGTAGATGGTGTACGGGCTTCCCACATTCTTGCTGATACTGTCAAGCAGATACAATGCGGGCAGTTTCCGGCCAGGAGGCGCCCGATTGATATGATTGACGAGGCATCTTGAGATTGATTCTGCTGCCGCGACTGCTTCTTTTGCAATCAACGTGAGATTCGAGATGGCATAGCGATCGTTCGTCGTCAACTCTTCCAGCGCGATTCTGAAGTCCTCCTCGATCCCATCACTCATGTTGAGGAGGGGCACGTGGCCGCAGCAACTGTGATGAGGCACACCAGCGCTGGGCTTTGGTTTTGGAAGGTATGTTGGTTACGTGAGAGTAAGGGATGTCAATCAGGAGGAGATGCGAAGGTCAAACATGGGAACTACTCATATTCTAGCTGCCTGCCCTCCGCGTGAGTCACAGCAAAAGAAGTGAAGAAGCTGAAGTGCAAGTGTTTTGGGAAAGATGAATGTAGGTTGGAGTGAAGTAAGGTACGGAGTTAGCCACATACATCCGTGGGCAGTAGCTTCCATGTTGACGACAACCGATCAAGTGCCACTAAGGTACATACAAGATAGCAACAGCTTTGGCTGCTCGCTTCGAAGGTCATCGTCCCAGTGATCTTGACACTCTTATTTGCGAGGAACCAGATGGATCCTCCGTCTATGCTTTCCGGTGATGATAGAGTCAAGGAGCGTTGAGGCGGACTTCAATCACAAACGAAATGTAGCCACAGTGCCGATCTGAAAGATGACGGACCTGTTCGAAGTCCTCCCTGGCTTCGACATTACAAACTACCGCCACTTGATGCACTCTTTGACACGGGAGAACATCACTGTCGCGGAGCTTGTCTCTCTGGAACCAGCAGAAATAGCTCGCCGTTGTCCATTACCGCTACTCGATGTACAGAGGCTTGTCGCGAACGTCATTGGACGCCTGCACAGCGACCTCAACATGATCACGAAGCCGCAATCTAGCAGCGACTTGCTGCCCACCGCCAGCGATGCGAAGTCTAAGAGCCTATCATCCAGTGCAGCCAAATTCATTTCAACGCTTGATCCTGACATCGATGCTGCCCTTGGCGGAGGATTCCCGACCGGGTTCGTTTCCGAGGTCGTGGGCGAAAGGTGCGTTTCAGAGTATGAATGATGGTCGACATCTAACACTTCCCAGTGCTGCTGGCAAGACACAGATTCTGTACGGACTGCTATTGTCTGCACAGCTTCCAGAGCCCCAGGGACTGGGTAAAGCCGTTGTGTACATCAGCACAGAGGACGAACTCTACACCAAGCGCCTCGTCCAGATCCTGACGTCGAGTCCGGTCTACCAAGGGCTGCCCGCTCATCAGAAGCCGTCCCTGGACAATGTGTATACCATCAAAGCCACCAATTTCGATCGACTGATGCACATCCTCGAGTTCCAGATTCCCCACTTCCTGAGAAAGAGCAAATTCGGTCTCTTGGTCCTCGACTCCGCTGCCGCAGCACTCCACGGCGGCGACCGCATGGGCGACGCTGCAGTCGCACTTGGGGCTCGAGCCAGCGAACTCGGCAGACTGGGCCAGGCTCTACACAACATCGCAATGGAGAAGAACATTGCTGTAGTGTGCTCAAACCAGGTCCGGGACCGCTTTACCGAGAGCATCATTCCCACTCAGGACATCATGCGCTCCTCGCCCTCGGAAACGCCCTCAACACAATCAACCTCAGCTCAGCGCGACGCACGCAACACTATCATGTCTCTCGACCACCAACAGCGCTTCTTCACAGGTTGGGGTGACAAGCCGGTCGATCAGCTACACGATCTCAAGACACCTGCGCTCGGTCCGGCCTGGGCATCACAAGTCGACGCCAGAATCGTGCTCAAATTCGGAGATGGTCCGTCTAGCAGCAAAGATGATGAAGCTATTAGGCGCCGCTTCATCAACGTCGTCTACGCCCCCTGGACCGGTCCCAAAGTGCGATCCACCGAGTTCACCATCGAGGCTGGAGGTCTGGTTGCGAGAAAGCAGGACAAGAAGCAACAGGAAATTGAGGAGCTGTTGGATGATAGTCTCTGGAAGGATGACGAAGAAGATCAGGAGTTCCCATAAAGGAACATCTTGGTCCATGAAATGACACTTGTTGATAGGCTGCTGTTGGCAGACCACACATGCAAGGTCATCAAACCCGCAGAGACAGCTGATGTTAATGGCAAACTCGTTATCAGGCCGGCTGAGCCACCAGGAAAAAGGACAACATGCGTGTTCTTTGATCGCTCTGGCGTACCAGATATCTAGTAGCTGCAGCGAGGAACTCTATTTCCCCGAACAATCATGTCGGCTCGCCCTGCTCGCCCTTGACCTGTACCGCTCCCACTGACTCCGCATTCTCCCTTGCTGTAGCCTTCGACTCCTCTGCTCCAGTTCGAGCTTCCCCTTCTTGCCCTCCCTCACCCTCCTCCTCAAAAACAAACCCCTCACTCCTCCCCACCAAACTCCGATAATAATCCACCAGCACCTCCGGCCGGGGCACAATCCTCCACTCCACCCTCGTCAAAAACTCCAACTCCAGCAACGCCAACTCATTCAGACTCACCCCGCCGACCCGTGCATACGTCTTGTTTGTCCAGAAAGAATCACTCAACCCCTTGGACGCCACCGTCGCACTCGAGATCAAAAATCGATGCACTGTTAGACTCGTTATGGTGAACGCCGGGTAGAGCGCGCACAAGCGGTCGATGTAGTAGACCATGCTGAGCAAAATGGGTGGGGAGAGGGTAGCGTGAGTGGTGAGGCGCTGAAGGTAGTCTTGGACACTTATCCCGGGCGGAGCGCGGGAGTGGAAGCGAGTGAGGTGGCCGTCTTTAAGCGGAATAGCGTCGTTGTAGGAGATTAGCTCAAGAAGCATGGCGGCGATCAGCTGGACGAGGTCGGTCGTGGGGCAGTGCTCGTAGTTGAGAGGCACGCGTTTACGTGCTGGCGTCTCCGGACGTGGCTTCTTTGACGAGGAGGGGGATGTTGTTGGGTCGTGTATTGTATCATTGTTGTTGGTAGTATTATTGCTGTCTGTGAGGGTGGTGGATGTGCTGAAGTTCTGCGCGAGCGCGTCGGCAGCGGACTTGGGAGCGCCGGTCGTTATGGAGGTTGATGACATCGGGTCTTCATTTGTGGAGGAGGTGGTGCCGCTGCTGCTGCTGCTGTCAACTTCACGGAGCGAGAGCGACGAGTCCGAGGCATGCCGCTTGATGGCGAGTGATGTGACGGAGCGGGCGGGCTCACGGGTTTCGCGCCGTGGCTGCTGGTGTGTAGACTGTGGCTGTTGAGAGGTCGCAGGTTGCGATTGCTGCTGCTGCCGCGGCGGCGCAGCCTCGGGGTGGTCCGTCCTCGCGGCGGAGACAGCTGCGGCGGCGGTCGCGGATGCCGCAGATGAGTGTGCCGTGGTCGGCGCCGCAGCTTTAGGTAGTGAAGATTTCGCTGCTCTCTGCAGTCTCGGCGACTCTTTTATTGAACCTGGAGGAGGACTCGCGCCGACACCGCGATCGATATAGACGACAGCTCTGCTTCTTACGCTCTTTAGCGAGCGGCCGCTAGGACTCTTATGCAGGATTAATGTGGGCGAGTACGGCGCCTCACGAGGTGACACCGCCGAATAGGGACTCAGTGTGAGCATGGCGATCCATTATTGTGAGTCGCGGGCGGTAGTTATGTATCGTTGTCTATCCCTGGGGTCGGATATATGTCGGATTCTTAGTGTAGGTAGGATTGTCTATGGGGAGCCCAGTGTCATGAAGAAATCCGATCTTCGCAAGCGAGCGGCAGCACGTGGGGTCAGTCTGTGGCTTCAATGGAGCGGAAACCTTTTCCACGCTATGAGGATCTAAACTTTCTATCTCCGCCAAACCTCAGCATTAACCTGAAGTTCAACCCGCAGACACAGAGGTTCTGCTCCTCGACCTTCCGCAGTCTAGACTAGCAGAACTATGATCCGAACGATTCAAGCGTACGGCTGGGGGCACGGAAACAGCGGCAATGGAAGGACGACGCCGAGACTGCGCCTCGTTGAAAATGCTTTGTACATCTATCTGATATGCTCAGTCGTCATGCATCGATGTTTCCCATAACTGCGATCGTGAGAAAGGATGCTGGTATGATGCTGGTCTCTCCAAAGGTCTTCTCATACTCCGCTGCTCGAGCTACAAGTGTCTCGAAGTAGACAGTTCGCCGAGTCTGCCCGCTCATTGAATGCACGCATAAAAGCCGTTGCCCGTCGTAGTAGCTGCTTGGAAATTGGTATCGCTGTTGTACAGGTCGTTGTCGTTCGTTAGTCATGGCGGAACTCATACCACATCAAAAGCACTGACTGCCGTCCCGCTCCCACACTGCTAGCAGTCGTGCATCATTGATCACAGTTTTAAGGTGGTCTCTCAGTCCGGATAATAAACGCCGCTCGTAGTCATCACTTCTTCCCTTTCCGTTCAACCTCATTCATGAATCCCGTCGCCGTGCGAAAGCTGACATGTCTGCCCTCTTCAGGTTGTGTGAGATTGCCAGCATGCAGCACCAAGAATTTCCGATATTTGCAGGCTTCAGCTATGGTGAAGGCCAGAAAGTGCTCGGTCAAGAACTCGTCTCGCTTCTGAACGTCTTTGATCTCCACACTTGCTATTACACTGTGATCATACTCATTCTCAAATTCAGGGAACGTTATGAGACGTGACTTCGACGCAAGTGCATCGAATGTCCCAACGTCAGTGAATCCTGGTACTGTGACATCGACTGGCGAGAGTTGTTGGACAATCTGTACCATCTCCACAAACATTCCCGCCTCATCAGACTTGCCCTCCATAGCCAAGGCCATCATACGTTTCTGAAGCCAGTCGTGGATGTTGGGTCGTAGCATCAATTTGTATTGTGTTGCACTGCGATCTTTGTAAGTGCGCCAATACCACTTGAGGAAAGTCAATGCCACTGCTGGCGTAGAGACAAAGACTTCTTCGGGTACAAACGTCGCAGCGCCACGTGGGAACAGAAGGCTGGCACCATAATGCGGCTTGCCAGCTGCAACTGGCTGCGTCCACGACACATTGTAGCAAACAACATCTTCACGATGAAGAGCTCTCCCCATTCCTTTGAGGGTCGCAAATGAAGGTTCGCTGTCATGAAACAAGAGCAGCTTAGGTCCCTTCAGAGTCGTGAAATCTTCGAACTCTGCCCAGTCTTGGAAACCACACACAAGACGAGGCTTAGTATACTTCTCTGCCCATGCCGTCAAAGCTGCTGCCTGGATCTCAAATTGAGCAGGAAATCCAACGAAGACCGCACATGGTTTCTCCAGTTCACTCGCAGCAGACTTCGAAGTCTTGGCCAACATCCCGGCAAGTAACTCGTTCCAGTCCAGATCCAGATCGGGCGACCAGTCGGTCCTTAGCTTCGCTGGTTCTGTCTGCTCGACCCCTGTGGGCTTTCCACGTTGCAGGAATGGAACATCCACAAAAGGCTTGGCTGGCTCTCGGATCACGTCTGTCTGCTCAACATTGCTCTCTGACTGCTCAGGTCGCTTCAAGGCTCGACTACGCAGTCGTGGATCTTCAGCCTTGATTTTGATCGGCTCAGGTCTCAGTACTGGCTTCATCTGATGGTTATCCCCCACAGCTGACATCGACTGTCTCCTCTGAGCCGTGTCGGTGATTGGTCTCGAGAACTCTTCGTCGATTGCGGCGGGTTGGCGTGGAGCGTCCTCCGGGTCGGCCTTGATGGATGTGCTCAGACGCCGAAGATCGCGCTCGTCCATTGTCTGTGATCTTAATGGTGCTCGAGGTCTTGTCGCCTCAGTAGCAGGCGGAGGCACGTACTCAGGTTCATGACTAAAGAAACACTGATCTCCGTATTTACAACTGCCAAATCGTATCTGCCGGAAGCACAGCTTTCGTCCTTTGGCGTCACAAGGTTCATTAGTTGCAGGAAGTGATGCTATTGTACCCGGGCGCAATTTGAAGGCCTTCACGCTCAGGTTCAGCGAAGGGTCGGGCTGTCGATATCCATTCCTTGCCAGCCATGAGGATGATCTGGCGAATGAAGTACAAATGCCAGGGGAGTCGTGCTGTTCAGTATCCACACCGCAGATAGATCGTGCGGAATGAGATAGCCGTGGGCAAGCTCCTCGCAAACCTTGGCTGTATCATCAAATGGAATAACTCCCGCGGTATGGTGATTGGAGTGGATAAAATCCAGTGCTCGCGTCTGATATTCGATTGGATTTAAGACGTCACCCTGAGCGAAGTGCACCTCGACTACGGAGGCATCGTGGTTGCGCTTGTAGTTGATCAGTGCAGCCCGCACGATGGTCGGATAACCTGCTAGCTTGACGGGACCGATATTGTAATCACCCAACGATAAGTGCACGACCACTTCGTCTGCCGCCCAAGAGCGACCATTCTTGCCCCGCATTGTTGGTATTGCTTCCTGAGCAGGCGCGTGATGTGTCGGCGCCTGAGCAGTAACAGCCTGTGGTTGCTTGGGCTGTGTAGCCATCAGCAACGACCGATCGCCGTGTATCTGGGGGCTGTGGCGCGAGTCGTTTTCAAGAGCTCCGGTCTGACGATTTGCTTGAGGGCTGGCGGCCGTGGCCTGTGGCGACTCACGTACAGAATTACGGTCCTTGCTCAGTTTGTCAGGGTCAACGTCTGCAGATTGGAAGGGCGTTGGGACCGCCTCTGCAATGCGATCTAGTGGTCGTCTAGCTGTCTCGTCGCACTGATTCAGACCATTGAGCTTTGGCTTTGTGAGTAGAGTGCGTGTGAACGTAGGTAGCTCAGAATGCTCGGGCGGCGCCATGTCTGCAGGACTGTCTTTGGCGTCGGCGCCGATGGGGAAAGCCACAACCTCTTGTTCAGGGTAGAACATTGCCTGACTGTCGGGGGACTGGCTGCGAGACTGTAATGGACTACGTGCACCGACCATCTTGAGATTGGGATCGTCAGGATCAACGGGTGGCTCTTGCGCAGCCTTCTTCTTCGCATTTCCCCAATGTTGCAGATTTCGGAATCTTTTCGTATGGTCCATGACGCCAGGCTCGCTAGGTTTCTTCTGCTGTAGGGGCTTGGATGTCGCCGAAGGCTTCGAAGCCAAACTCACTGACTTCTTTGCTAGCGACGGCCCTTGTGGCTTTGGCTTGGAGGCATTGAAGGTTGATATCTTGAGTGTCGCGCTGGGTTTGGCTTTGAGAGTGGTCGAGGATGCGATATAGTCCGATCTCGGTCGGACAGGCTTCAGGGGTTGGATGGGTCTCGGAGCAGTTGATGTGCCACTCGACAGATTTGTTGATGGCGGTAGTGGAGGCTTCTTCTTTGGCGGCGGCGGCTGAGCGATGTGCTTAGACAGCCGAGGCGGGTCAACTTTCACTCGTTTAGGTGATCGGCCAACAGCAGTGTTGTTGGAGCTGACGCTGACGACACTCTCGGCAGCTTCTGACTCTGCTCTCTCGCGCTGCTCTCTCGCTGCCATAAGAAACTCGACCTTAGCAATATACGCTGCATCGGGAAGTTCACCTTTGGCCTCTTCTTCCCAGTAGGTGGCCAATACTGTTGCGAGATCGTCGAATTGTTCAGCAGGTTCCCAGGTGCAATCCTCTGGTGGGTAGCCTTGCCAAAGGACGAGGTACTTTGTCACAGTCTTGCCATCGACTTCAAAAGGACTCTCTGCGAGTATGCGCTCGACGATGAAGACTTCTTCATCATCCTGGACGGGTCCTGATGCCGTATCGCTTAGACGTCGCTTGGACGAGGACGACACCTCGGCCATGGTCAGCGAGATCAAGGTGGATAGAAGATGTCGAAAGCATGATCTGTGCGAAGTTGAGAGAGAAGATCAATAATCAATTGGTTGCCATCGCGACCTCTGAGGTGAAGTAGTCGCGTTGAATTTAGAAGTCGCGGTGGTGAAGCGGTGTACCTGCCCATGCGACCACCAATCAGCATAAAGCCCGCTTTGATATCAGACCAAACTTATTAAGATCAATTGAAGATCAACTCAACTAAGCGCACGTTGATATGATATACGGCAGCATATCCGACGCCGTTGTTTCATTGTCTGGAAGTTCACCGGACGACGGACAAGGTTCGAAATTGATATGTTGTTGAGGGGTCCGTGCGTCAACCCAGTAAACTATGAATGTGCAGTAATCCCGTGCCTGATGAACGGCCAGTAGCAATACCATCAATGCAAGCTGTACGCATCGTCGAAAAGGCTGAAGTCGCATCATGAAGTGTCATTAGGTCCATCCTCCAAAATCCTTCCCAGTCGTGTCAATCCCGCATCCTGCCACCTGATCTAAGCATCTCCATCGCTTGTCTTCCCATTAAGCTTGACGACACTATCCTCCTCAACGATCGGCGGAAATTTTCCACCCATTGTCTTGATGCTCTCAATGGCCGCCTCAGACGCTTTGCAGGCAAAGCCTTTGATCAACTTGTATTCGTGGACGATGACTCCGCCGGCTTCCCTCATAAGGTCCATTGCTCGGTCGACGTCTGATTGTGGTGCCTCGTTCGGGAATGAGATGAGGAACTGTGACTGTGCCTTGAGGGCGCTGGCAATTGCCAGGAAAATGGCGGCGAGGGACAAGATTTGGAAACGCATGTTGGGTCGTGGTTCGGTGGGCTGTGTTCGTTGGATAGTGAGATAGTGATGTGTTCCGATGAAATGAGTAGTCTGACGATGGATTGTTCGATGCCGTCGTAAGAGCAATGAGCGTAAGAGATGGAGTGTGGTGGATGTGATGGTTGAGTGGTGTAGTGTAAAGAATGTCAAGAACAATTGTCGACGAGCCGCAAGGCAGGCGCATAGGACACCAACGAATGACGTCTTTTGAAGGTTTCTGATTTCCCGACTTTCCGGGGCAACATTCCAGGGCTGTGGGAGCGATCAGCCCCATTCCCACGTGCATTTGTAGTCAGATCATCGTAACTTCGTGACACCTTCTGGTGGACGAACTCAGTATCAATGTTCTCAACAGTTCGCGCCGACGATCGCTTCCGCCTCCGCCTGCATCGCGCCCGCAGCATCCAACTCACCGACGACGAGCTGGTCGAGATCCGCGCCGCCCAGCGGACCTTTGAAGGGGCCTATATCCGGACATCACTATCGCAATTCGCTTTCGCACTGATTGTTCTCAAGATCTTCACGTCGGAGTTCTACAGCATCGGTGCGCTCTACGCTGTCTTTGGGGCTGGTGTGCTTGCGGTCTCGCTCTATCGCCGTGCACAGGGAAACAAGCAGTTCTTCAGTGAAGTTGGAGACGATGGGCTCAACAGGAAGGTGTTCAGGACGAGTGGGAATGTGGTGATCGTTTTGGCGGCGCTTAGTGTGGCCGCCTACGTATCATTATTGATTCTGACATTGCGGTTGGAGACTTGACGGCTTACCAGATGCCGCTCAGAAGCATCTTTTGGCACGCCAGTATTGGAACATGACTTCTGGTCGATCATGCTCAAAAACCACGAATAAGAGACGCTTGGTCAATAGTTCTCCTCGACGAGACCTGTGAACGGTCATATTGCCGAGTTGGTCATCTCCAGGCACTTCGCTCTTCAGCCGTGGGCCATCACGCTCACGACGCTCGTAGTTCTGGTTCGGTCTCCGCTCGCGGTCGCGGTTCTGCTTCGCCTGGCCGACTCGCAATGCACCCCACTCGGTCTCAATACCATTCATACGCTCAACTGCAGCCTCGACATCCTGCAAGCTGTTCATATCGACGAAGATGTAGTGATGATTGCCGGGTTCTTCGGCCTTGTCTGGGTGTGGAGAGATGAGCTTGCTTATGGCAGCAACGTCGAAGCCACTCTCTGTGAACAGCTGGCGGATGGTGCTCTCGCAAGCAGCTTGAGGTTCGATGCGAGGCAGCCCACCAACATAGAGCCGAAATCCTTGAGATTGGGCATTCTGGTTGTATTGCGATTGATCGGTTCGATTCCAGCGGTTGTACGCTGGTGATGATTGAGTGCCGTTCTCTGGACGCCCTATGTTAGCAACACGTCCTCGTGTTCAGATACTCGGAAGGACATACGTGGATAGTCCCTCGTGAAGCGGCTCCCTCCTGTGCCTCCAGTCTGGCTGAAGTCCCTAGTCCGTCGCTCTCCATCACCTTGCTGACGTCTCACGCCTGGATTGACCTTGATCTCCCTTCCAAGCAGTTCCTTGCCATTCATCGCCTCCATCGCACGAGCTGCATCCTCAGCCGTCTCAAAGTCCAAGAAGCAGTATGAAGGATTTCGCTGTGTAAATGGATCAACGCTCATGGACAGACCCGTGGGTGGAAAGCCATTTGCTGTGAACAACTGTTCTACATCCTCTCGCGATGCAGTGTAGAGAAGATTGCCGACCCAAAGACGTGATCCCGAATCCACGCTTGAACTGTTTTCGCCCGTGTTTGAGTTGTTGCGATCCTGTCGAAAGTGCGAGTTTTGCTCAACTCTAGGTGAGTCGTCCTTGACGCGCCAATTGTTCGACTGCTGCGACCGCGCATGCGGCGGCAGGTAGGCCGACCGCTCTGGTGTCTGTTCCGCCATTCGGTGGTGGGTTTGGGTGTGGTGATCGGCGGTGTAGAGGGAGCAACTTTTTTATGGATGGAACTTTGGGATGGCACGTGAGTTGATGGGGCTCCACTTTTGACGGGGCCTGGGTTCCAAGGTTGGCCTTGGCTTCGGTACGCCGGTTGACAGGCTCGACGTGACGGTCAACCATAACTCGCTTTCACGCTTGCATTCTTTCACAATGCCAATTGACGTGTAGTTCAAGTGACTCGGGCATGAAATAGCCTCAACTGTCAACATGCTCGTCCTTTCAAGTGAATACAACAGGCAGCAGCCCAATGCTGAGTCATGCTACTGACAGTGAAGTCTACCACTCTAACTTCGCCTCGATGTGCACTTCAACTGGAAGGGTATAAATAATCGTGTCGCCCTCGTCGAGCTTCAATACTTCTTTCTCTATCTTTGGCGAGGCGAAGGCTATCCAACAGCGACTCTGCTTGCCATATCACGGCAGCATCTGCTGCTGTCTGATGGGGCGAGAACACAAATAGCTCAGTCGAGATTTATATTCCTGGTCGTTCTACAGCATCAAGTACTGGCCATCAGTAGGCTGCTCAGTATGCCGTGTGCGGTAAATTCGCTTCTACTGTTACATCCTTATTACTTCTCCGTGCTATCAAAATTCTGAGCATCCCAAACCAAGCTCTCAATCTTATCCCTACCTTCGCACCCTTGAGCACCCAAACGCTGATCCCTCTCGCAGCGACCGGGAAGACGCCATAGCCAAAGTCATCAATCGCCACTTCACCGTACGCCCAATTCATGATATCCGTCCAAATCTCACCCTTGTGGTTGCTACCGACCAGCATCTTCTTGAGCCTGACCTCCCAACTGCTGTTCACCAGGACAGCCAGTCCTGCGCCGTTACTCCGCGACAGAGCTCCGAATCTGGTCCAGCCGATGCAGTCGGGCTCGTCGAAGTAGTCTTTTTGCTTTCCATATGCGTATCTCTGTCTCGCTGCCACTAATCGGGGCAGCTTACCGCCTGCGGCGAGTGCTCGCGGCTTGGGGCCGTTCATACCCCACATATCTCCGTAGAACACGCAGGGTGTGCCCTCTTGCCTTAGTAGAATCAGAGCATAGGCGTGCGGTACGAACCACGGCTCGACGACGGCTTCCAGGCTCTGTGTTTCTTGGGTATCGTGGTTCGCAACGAACGTCACACTCCTTTGTGGGTGCATTTCGAGTAAGCTCCCGTCGAATATCCTCCTGAGATCGCCGTTCACTGAGCTTTTCGACTTCTTGCTCTCTTTGCTGAAATCGCTGAAGTTGTACACCAGTTGAACGTCGAAAAGAGATATCCTGCCCTTGAATTTGCCAATAACATTGCTCAACGTCAGCGCATTCCACGTCCAGTACTCGCCCACAATCAGGAAGTCTCGGCCGAACTGCTCGTGCAAGTGCTTTTCTAGTTCCACCTGAAACGCCGTGCTGTAGTGCTTCATCGCATCCAGCCGCATGCCAGACAGTCCAAGGGTCGAGGTAAGCCAGATCGACCAATGCAGGAGATCGGCCTTGACTTCTTTATTAGAATGATCAACGTCAGCGAACATGAGGTAGTCGTAGTTTCCGCGCTCGGTGTCAACATCTGTGGCCCATTCTTTGAACTTGTACACGCCTGGCTTGTGCGTATTTGCGTCGTAGTCGATGCCGGTGAAATCCTTGGCCGTCCACCGCTTTCCGGAGTACTTCGACCCGCGTCCGGGAAAGTTGAATTTCGTCCAGGCTTGAATGTCTTTGGGCGCGGTGAGCTCTTTCCGTCGGTCTGCATGGATATCAGCACGCAGCTCAGCATACATTGTCAGACAGCATACCTTCTGGATCACACTTGACCGCCAGAACATCTTCAGTCTCGTCCGCAGCGGCCTTGTGGTTCAAAACAGCATCCCACATCAATCCGATGCCCAACTGCTTCGCAACATTGGCTAGTTCGACCAACTCCTCTTTCGAGCCCCACTTCGTTCTACGACTACCCTTCTGGTCGAATTCTCCCAGATCATACAGATCGTAAATATCGTATCCAGTCCCATCGGGGCGCGACGCTTTGCAGCCTGGCGGCAGCCACACCATCGAAATGCCAATGGTCTTCAAATATGGCAGCATCTTGGCTAACCGCTTCCAGTGCGACTCCGATTGTGACGACGACGTATACCATTCGAAGCCCTGAAACAATGTCTTGTTCTCGGCTGCATTAGAAGGACCTGTTCTAATGGTCAGCATTGCGCAGCGTCCAATGCTGCACGAACGCCTCACCATGGCCATTTTCACGATCACCTCTGACACTCAGCGACCTCCCCCATTGCGACAGCCCAGATATACTCCTCCTCACACTCTCCCGCCGACTGATACCTATCGACGAGGACCTCTTAGTAGTCCCGTTCATCTTGCTCGATTTGCCCGCTTTGCTGGGCGAGTACTCTAACGAATGTGTTCGGATGGGAAGACAACAAAATTTACCTGCCATCATCTCAGAACTCGGGAACAGCGGCAGTACTAGTAGTAGTACCTAGCGGTAGTAGAATACGACAACGTCGCCTCTTGCTCAGCAGCTACTAAATCGAGCATTGCTTCGGACATTTGGCAGCAGACAACAATAGAGAAAGGCCAGTCATCAAAGGGGGATGGGAGTGGTCGATGGAGGGGCGTGAGATTTCTCGCATGTAGTTTCTCTCGTAAGACGAGCGAATCGATACAATCTTAGCCCTTCTAATTTTCTGTTGACATTTTTTAACGACGCAACAGCTCTGAGTAGTCGAGGGACCTGATAAGGCGGCCACACATGTTCCAGCTTGCAACAAGGTGGATTCTCGCGTTTTCTGCTCAAGGAAGGGGGAAGAAGGTCATCCGACGAACGATAGGTAGAAGACAGCAGACGTCACTCCGTAAGCAAGTTTGATTGTTGCTTTGGGGCTTCCCAATTGTCATCATTTCGCGACCACAGCGCGCGTGTGCCTGACGAGAGATCGTGATGGAGCCCTTCGGCCCTCAACACGGAAAGTGAAAAGTTATGCTGAGGATCCACGATCTAAAAGAAAGGTCAACGGGAGAGCTGTATGGACTCGGAGGTACGAGAAAAATTAGTTTCGTCCATGGGTATGCCGCGGCCGGCGGGCCAAAATGTGCCGAGAGCGAGATGGCGTCCGCGTGGGCCGCCCAAAAGATCTTGCATAACTCGTGTCTCCTACAGACAAGGCACATCCGACAAATCGCGGAATCGAGAGAAACAGCTGAGTAATAATGCGGATGTACGAATCTCGACGGCAGGAGCTATTTGGATCTGTCGGTTGCAGCAAGTACACCAGAGAAAAGTAGTGTACTTTACGTTCGTGGCAGCTGGATGCATCAGCAACAAATAACAATGATTGAATACTAAGCAATTGGGTATCTTGATATGCTTCATAAGCCAAGTCTGAACGCTCCATGCCATGCAATGCCTTGACTTCATTTCATCTAGCCATACCGCCAAGGGCTACCGCGTCGACCATCTTCCGTTGTCGACCCAGAAAGCTTCTCGGCTCGGGTGACGCCCGATTCCGCAATGTGACCATTCCACTGCTCGCGATCCGGCGGTTCTGTTCGTACCATGCAGATGTCATGAGATCGAGTTCTCTCCGCAGATTGACGATCACTTTCTTAGCTGCGTCCAAATCGTGTTCTGCTTCAGATTCAGTGGGTGAAGGTGCCCGGACCTCCGGCTCGATGTCCTTTGGTGGAGGAGTTGGCGGCCTCTCCGCTTCTTTCTCCGCCGTAGGAGGTGCGTGAGCCTGGAGCTGCTGGATCAGCTCTGCTTGCTTCTTGATATGGTCTTTCAGTTCGTTGTTCTTCGACCGGCCTTTCTCGAGGGCTATGATGAGCTTCTTTTGAGCTTTCTCCTTCTCGCTTGCTGTGCCGGCTTGGTGCTGGGCGCGCATGGCCGACATAATGGCTCTCAGCTCGTCCTCGGTGATGCCGTCGTCGGTCCTTTCCGACTCACCGTTGACAAGAGCTGCAGTCAGCCGTGCCTCGCTTTCTGCGAAGTCGTCTGCTTTCTCTGATGGCGGAGGAGTGTCTTCGGCCTCTTCTGAGGCGGCGTCGTCCTCCAATGCCTTGGCTGTATCGGAAGCGATGGGCATTTGGCCTTCCTCGTCGCCATTCTGCAAGCGGCTCTGCAAATCTTCGATGGTTTGTTGATGCTTGCGCAGATCTTCTCCGCGATCCTGGTACCGTGCCTCCAGCGTCTGGTAGTCAAACTCAAGTCGTTTCTTCATGTCTGACGTTTCGTTATAGTCCTGCTCGATCATCGACAGCAGCTTTTGCAGCTCTTCATTCTCTCGGCGCAAGTCTGACTTTGCCATTGTGGACGAGTCAGAATCACGCACTTGGCTCTGTAGCTCCGTTACCCTTTGCCTCAGGTTTTGATTCTCTCTTTCCAGGTCGTGACTCGCTTCCAGTTTCTGCTTGTACTTATCGGCAGCGTTAGCTTTTCTCGCCAACTGATCTCTCTCGATCTTGATCTCGTCATAGTCGTCCTGTAGCTTCTGCGTCTTCTCGACTCTGATCTTCAACAGCTCATTCGACTTCCGCAGCTCTTCAATCTCCGCGTCCGCCGAGGACACTCGAGACTCCAGCTGTGCTATGACCGTCTCATTTCGTGCATCACGATTCGTGCCCTCTGCCTTGCCCGCCAGGACAGCAGATAGTCGATCATTAGACTCCTTCAGCTCGTCTTGTGTCTTATCCAAGCTCTCCTGTAGGCGCTCATATCGTGCATATGCCTCGTCTAACTGCTTCTCCACGTCTCGTTTCTCGTGCGCTATCCTTTGGTTGTCTGCCAGTACCCTTCCCAACCGCTCTTCAGCCTCGAAGTCTGAGTGCACGCGTCCATTCCTCGAGGGTGGGGTCTTCGGCGGCGGACTCGACGAGGGAGGTGGCTCTTCGTACGCTGGTCGTTCTGACGCGTCATCTGGCTCAAGTTCACTGGCCTCCTGAGCCGTGCGCATGAGCACTTCCTGTGTAGTGGCATTGAGATCTTGCATCTGCGTAAGGTATTCGATGCGGTCATTGCAGTTGATGGCAGCCACGACAACCAGCTTCAGCAACGCGACAGTATCGTGTAGGGAGGCATGTTGAGCGATGGCCTTGAGGTCAGGGGCGCCGCTCGACAGAGGGAGTCTCTGGCCACAGTCTTCCGCGAGGAACATGGTGAGAGCATCGTTGATGTGCTTCAGATTGTTCCATCGTGGGATCCATTGGTCGGTATTGGCCTCTTCCGGGAGCCTGCCTGGGAAGCTCAGCGCGTCGATTCGTTGTAGGACCTTCCATATCACGTCGCCATCGTTGAGATCACTGATAGTCTGAACATCGCCCGCGACGTCTAGACTGTTGAGCCAGGCAATCAGCCCGGCGGCCGTGTCTTCATCTGTAGTCATGTCTCTGCATGATGCAGCGGGTGTCTGTAGTATATATGGGTTGGAGTTGCACTGCAGGTCGGCGCAATAGCCGATGCATTTACTTGAGACGGCTTGGCGTCGACATCCCTCGTCGGCTATTGCACGCCGGCTTTCTCACCTCCAACCAGCATCGAGTGAATGCGACTATACAAAGGTAGGAATCTCGTCGCTATAATTCGTCCACGTGTCGTCCCATGTTTCATCGTGCTTAGTGGACGACTTCCATAATGACTACGATCTCGTATGCAGAGGTGCAGAAGCACAAGACCAAGGACAGCTGCTGGGTGATACTGTACGGCGAGGTTTGGGACGTGACTGACTTTCTCGAAGAGCACCCAGGTGGCAGCTCAATCATTCTCAAGCTAGCAGGCCAAGACGCGACGACCGAGTATGACCCAGTGCATCCGCCGGGCACGCTCGAGGAGAACCTACCTGGCTCAAAGCGACTGGGACAGATCGATCCGACAACGCTGCCTGAGCCCGTGAAGCCAGCCAAAGAAATCGGCCCAGAGGCAGACCAGGACATCGAGATCCCCATCGAGAACCTCCTGAACCTGGACGAGATAGAAGAGGCAGCCACGAAGAAACTATCAAAGAAAGGATGGGCGTACTACTACTCGGCCGCCGACGACCTACACAGCAAGCACCTCAACAACACAGCATACAGACAAATATTACTGCGTCCTAGAGTGTTCGTGGACTGCTCAAGATGCGACCTCTCAACCACATTCCTGGGTCGCAAGCTCGACCTACCGATCTACGTCTCACCCGCAGCAATGGCACGTCTTGCACATCCGGACGGAGAATGGGGTATCGCGCAAGCATGCAAGAAATACGGCGCCATGCAGATCATCTCGAACAACGCGTCCATGACACCTGAACAGATCGTGAAGGATGCCGGGCCAGATCAAACCTTCGGGTGGCAGCTATACGTGCAAACCGAGCGCAAGAAATCGGAAGCGATGCTGGCGCGAATCAACAAGCTGGACGCCATCAAATTTATATGCTTAACACTCGACGCGCCCGTACCTGGCAAGCGCGAGCACGATGAGCGGAGCAAGAACATCGTCGAGGACACGGATGCAGCAATCAAAGACGCAGGCGGGTCGAAGCTCAAGGGCGGTGGCGGCATCGGGCAATCGCTCTTCTTCGGAACGGATCCCACACTGACCTGGAAGGAGACGTTGCCCTGGCTGAAGAAGCACACTAGTAAACCGATCATTCTGAAGGGCCTTCAGGCACATGAAGATGCGTTCATTGCCGCACAGCACTCCGATCAGGTGAAGGCCATCATCCTCAGCAATCATGGTGGTCGGGCGGCTGACACCGCGCCGCCGGCTGTGCATACACTGCTTGAGATTCGGAAGTACTGTCCAGAAGTCTTCAACAACATTGAGGTCATCGTCGACGGCGGGATCAAGCGCGGTACCGATGTCGTCAAGGCACTGGCACTGGGAGCGAAGGCAGTGGGCGTCGGACGGGCGGCCCTGTTCGGACTAGGCGCAGGCGGCATTGAAGGCGTCGAGCGTGTTCTCGAGATCCTGAAGGCCGAGACTGCTACAGCGATGCGGCTACTGGGTGTCGAATTCGTCAAGGACCTCGGTCCACGGCATATCAACACGAGAGCACTGGAGCGGGATATATATGATGGACCGGCTGGTCTGGAGGGCTTTGGGAATGTCGGGCTTTGGTTAAGTCGAAGTTATAATCCCGATCTAGTCAGCTGAGCGGTGTACAAAGCGGAATTGGGCATGTGTTCGCCAGTGTCTTTCCCGCACCTGGTACGTAGCTAACAATGACAATGAAACGACGGCACAGCCCGCAGCCGCGAGGCTTCTGGCACGACAGCACCGCGGTCTTCTCCTGATTGAGGCCGATTTTATCGCACTATCACCGTGCCAATCAGGCACACCTGCCCATATCGCGACAACCGAAGTAAACAATGTAGAAACTGCAAGACGCGAACCTGGAAATACCTGAGCGCCATGTTGTAGCGCGTCGTATCGGTCGAGTGTGAGAAGTTCGAGGCTCTCGTGGTCCCATATTCGTTTGTAAGTAAGTGTCTATTGATAACTGTGTCAGTCGGGCTGGGTCCAACTTCGAGAGGCCCTCAAATGCCATCAACTCAGAAAAAGCCGAAAGACTACCGGCGGAGATATTGTGGAGTCATGATTGGCTGCCACTGCGAGCACTACTCAATCAGTCAACATGGAGTACTCCGTAACTCTCCGTCCACCCATGTGGTGGAGGTGCAGACTGATAAAGATGTGTCCGCCTGGTAGACTGCGACTTGTGTTGCATTCGTTCAGAACCGACATCTATCGACAAGATGCCGGGTGTCCTGAGTTCCTGGCCTGAATGGCAGGAATACGAGCATCAGTACGACCACATACCGAAAGATCCCGATTTCGCAGCAGCTAAACAAGCCATCGTTAGCGAGTATGGCGAGGAAGCCCTTCGCGAAAGCTGGCTGCGCGTCTGTGAGGATCTGAAGGCCATCACTGACGAGATCTCGGACAAGCGAAGCGGCATTATTCCTGTGCTGGACACCGATAGTATCTTGGACCATGGCTTCACTGACGCAGAGGCGAGCGAAATCAGAAGAGTCGGCTGTTTCATCGCTAGACGAACGATCCCAGCCAGCACAGTGGACAAGGCTTACCAGGACCTTCGGCAGTACGTGGCCGACAACCGCGAGCGTGTGCAAGGCTGGCCAAAGGAAACGCCTTCGATGCTGATGCTGTATGATTCGCCGACGCAGATTGCGCTTCGGACCCACGACCGTCAGCTCCGCTTGCAGAGGCGGTTGAATGCGCTTTGGCATGATGGCAGTAGTGATGTGGCTACAGAGCCACTGCTGTATTCGGACGGCGTTCGCGACCGGCCTCCGGGTCAGGCGTTTCTTGGTCTGGGCCCACATATTGACGCTGGTAGCCTTTGCCGATGGGCATGCCCTCAGTACAGGATGGCATACGCAGAAATTCTTTCAGGGATGCCAGAGAACCATGATGCTTTTGATTTGCAGGTTCGTAGGAATGCTCAGCAGACTCTCTTTCCAGGAACAGCGCACTCGAAGGTCTTTCGCTCGTTCCAGGGCTGGACAGCACTCACAAGAGCTGCTGCCTCCGAGGGTGCGATCATGTTATATCCGAATGTCAAGGCTGCCATCGCATATGTCATGTTGCGTCCATTCTTTGCGCCACCAATGGACGCGGACGAGGTTATGGATGCATCGAAGTGGACTTTCGATCGCAATGGGGCGTTCTTCCCGGGCACCACGAAGCCGGACAGTCAGAGACTGAGCCGGATATCGCATCCTCATCTGCGGCTGGAGGAATGCTTGGTCCACATCCCGGACATGGCTGCTGGAGATACAGTGTGGTGGCATACAGACGTGAGTTAATTTAACCGATCCCAGCTTGAGCTTGGCTGACTGACTTTCCAGGTCTGCCACGCAGTTGATCCAGAGCACAGAGGTCGGGAGAATGCATCTGTGGCATATATTGCTGCGTGTCCGACGACAGACGTCAACAAGTCGTACATCAAGGAGCAGCTGGAGGCTACCTTGTCGGGTCGTCCACCACCGGATTATGCTTCGGGTCTTGAGCTGGATGAGAGGAGTTTCATAGGCTACACAGGTCATGTCGGAGTCAGCGAGCAGGCAAAAGCAGCGCTTGGATACTACCTATGATAGGCGCCATTGCGCACGTCAATTAAGAGTTTTCGTCTTTGATCTGAGGATTATGACAGCCTACCCTGCAACTGCGAATGTTGACTGCACTCGCTGGAAAGATTCGATGGCGTGAAGAATTCCTGCTTCGCACAGAGCCCGTACTCCATGGTCAAAGACATGGCTGCGCCAGACGCTTGAGGTGAAGTAGCACGTGAGGTGTTGGGGCCGCCAGCGGCCTCCTCGTAAGGTCCAAGAAGGTTCGGCAAATGACTGCAGCTTCATTTGACGTTCGGTTGCCAAACCCCTAAGTCCGTGCCTAGAAGTGATTTCGGTTGCCATGGTTATATATTCTTGATCGTAGATTCTGTTTCAAATCCGCACATAAAACGCCGTGTCTTCAGAAATTGGAAAACCAGCCTCACCGAACCTGAAGTTCAGCGAGGGTTGCGATAAGAGCAGGATATTAGATAGCGCCTGAGGCGTGTGCGGATTTGAACCGTGGGACTCTGGTGGAGGGGCGGAGACCGGTATTCAGGCTAACGGTTGAGGAAGCCTCATCCGATCCAGGAGTCGAATTATGTTATTGCTTTTTGCGAAGACTGCAGACATCTATGGCTGTTCGAACTGGGGTTGAGGCGGACTTTTTGCGCTTTTTTGTCGTTTGCGACAGACCTGGACTCTGTGGTGCGTATCGCGTAGCGCACGATCTCCTCGACTTGGCAACGATGGACAGCTTGCAGATCTCCCTCTCCAGAAGACTGGTTGCTCGAACACAAAGTTGCAACCTTGGCCCGGCCACATTGCTACCACAACCTGCCGACTTGCGGTCCCTTCGGTGGAGGCGTTGGCGAGGAAATCTCACCACCCTTCTCTCGCGGCACGACAACCCATCAATCTTTGGACATGCCCCGTCTTCGGGTTGGATGTTTCAAATGTGTTCTGGGATGTGGCGGAAAGTCTGGGGCTGGCACCGGCTGGGGAGTGGACTACGAACTTACCTGGGCACGAGCTATTCTCCCACTTGATGTAGTTGTTGTTTGGCCAAAGAAGTTTGCGATGGGGCCACTGACACGGTAACACCTCGTTTTGATTGCGATCTGACAGGGGAGGACGGTCGGCACTGTTACCGAGGAGAAGGATGCCGCAGAGCGGCACTGGAAAGCAGTCACGAAGCGGCCCAGCCACTTTTGATAGGACATGGATGATGGAAATTCGTCAGGAGCCGGCCGTACGTGGGCTGTAGACTGCTGTGACCGAGCTGTTGCTCTATCAGCTGGATTCCTTCGTAGCACGCGACCGCGGTAGCGTCGACGGCCGGACAGTCCATCAAGCCGGAGCCTCTTCACGTTTGGACGACTGATCAAAGCGCAACAGCTAATCTTATCGACAGATGGGAGCACTGCGCCGCGAATATCACATCTGTTCTCTCCTACACCTGAAGATTCTCAGAAACTCCTGACCGTTGGTTGGGTTGAAGTAAAGTTTGTCAAGCACTCCACTTGTGAAGGCTCGACAAGCTTGATTCGCTCGGCCAGATATGCGCCCTATTTCGGCGATGATCTGCAAAAAAGTTGCTGGCACGCAGTCTCGAGTCCGTACTTTTCTTCTTCACCTTATCTTGATCGTCCCACCACTGTCGCTCCTTTCTCCCTCTCGCGGTCCTCGTTGTCATTTGAGTGCTGTACTCAAGAGCTCTGCCCCACTCCCGCCGCCGACACCTCCTCCCACACACCGCACACCATGGCTCCAGTCACAGGATCGCGACAGTCAGAAAGCGGCGTGGCCCGCCTGCTAGGCTCAGGCTCAGCAGGCATCGCCGAGCTGATGGTCTTCCACCCAGTCGACACAACTACAAAGCGGCTCATGAGCCATCAAAGCAGGATAACGTCGTTATCAGCACTCAACAAAGTGGTCTTCAGAGAATATGCTTCAGCGGGCACGGGGAAGAAATTCACAAGCTTATTCCCTGGACTCGGCTACGCGGCCGCCTACAAAGTCATGCAAAGAATATACAAGTTCTCCGGTCAAGCCTACGTCCGAGATTTTCTCACCGCACACTTCACACCGCAGTTTACCGCTACCTTTGGCGCCGGCACAGGCAAGGCCATGCTTTCTGCCACCGCGGGCTCACTGATTGGCATCGGCGAGATCATTTTGCTGCCGCTCGACGTGCTGAAAATCAAGCGCCAGACGAACCCGGAAGCGTTCCGGAATCGCGGGTTTCTGAAGATTGTGGGAGATGAGGGAATGGGACTATACAGGGGTGCGGGCTGGACGGCGGCGAGGAATGCGCCGGGCAGTTTTGCGCTGTTTGGGGGCAGTGCGTGGGCGAAGGAGAAGGTGTTTAAGTTGGAGGATTATAACAAGGCGACGTGGGGCCAAAATTTTGTTGCGAGGTGAGTCCAGTCTTTCCTCCTTCCGTGCTCCATATCTGCTCTAGAGCATCGCTGACCCCGGTGGTGCTACAGTATATGCGGCGCAGCAGCCTCTCTGATCGTCTCCTCCCCGCTCGATGTGATCAAGACTCGAGTACAGAACAAGAATTTCGAGAACCCAGAATCGGGCATGCGGATCTTGGCGAATATGGTCAAGAACGAAGGTATTGGGTCGTTCTTCAAAGGGCTGACGCCCAAGATGCTCATGACGGGGCCGAAGCTGGTGTTCAGCTTTTGGCTTGCGCAGACGCTGATTCCGGCTTTTGGGAAGGTGGTTTGAAAGGACTGTTGAAAACGAGTGCTGCTACAGCGAATAAAGAAAGGTCAAGCCGGGGAAGGTGCGGCCAGGCCGGTCTCGATGGACGGTCAGATCTGGGGCGTCGTCTTGGAGGTGAGACAGTCGATCAGAGCTTCCGGGCAACGCTCGTCTCGTAGGGGTCGCATTGCACTGGCGTCTGGGCCCAGGTCAAACCGGCAGGAAGCGCTATACAAGGCGAGGAGGATTTCGACGCAGAACTTTAGCAAGCGTGCGAGGATCGTTGGGGCGCCGTATTGAACGCAATTCTCCTTGATGGGCGGCTGGGTTTATGAGGCGAAGAGAGTACATTCTGGTATGGCAGATTCTTGATGTACATTGTATGTACCTGGAAAAGCTCGGCGTAGCTCTGGAAAGAAATGTAATAGACTCCCCTCCTACGATGTCCATATCCAGGCCATTCCACCCGCGCAACTCATACAGGTCCGTTGCCTAGTCCCAGAAGCTTCTCACCAGCATCCGCTGCCTGAAGTTCCAGCTCGAATCATGGCAACCTCGGTGCCAGCTTCAGCTGCTGCGAGCGGCCTATGCTTGGGCCGAAGGCCTTGGGGGCATGACGCAGACCACAGTGGTCCTCGGCCTCCTCCACCGAAGGACGTCTCGGCAGTTGATCGGCGTGTGGGCCCGACTTGTCCAGAGACTGACGAATTCGTCAACAGAACATGAGGGTAAGCACTGGGATGTGCGACGGTCCCCGCATTGAATTCCAAGCTCGTGAGATTCCGCCGCTGAAAGACATCAGTGTCCGGAAGTGTCTGCCAAGACTTGTCGCCATAGATGTTGATACAAGATATTGTGCCTCAAATCGCGGCCTCTTTCATCGAGTAGATTGCTTGTTGTCCATTCCAAAGTAGTGACTTGAGCGACGTCGCACGCTTTCCAGTAGTATAGACGGTGACATCTCCCTTCCAGCTTCTCGCTCGTCGCGTGAGATCCGGAGGTATGCCGCACTTCCGCCTACTACCAGGGCGAAGACCGGGTCGATGAACTTGCCGATCAGGTACGGCTGAGCAATTGTTGACATTGTGGTTGTATGGACTAGGCAACGGCGAACAGTTGAGCTCCACGGAGGTCAAGAGAGAAACGACAGATGGTGTTGTGCTTGTTGTCAAGGGTGGAGACCTGCCGAGCCCGCTGTACCTGCCCTGATTGGCCGCAATGACTGTGCCTCTGCCGCTCTCAGCGACCGCAGTTGCGAACAAACCGCACGCCATATCATAACATTAGTTCCCTTTCTGCCTGCGACTCACGGCCATCTCTCTACGATACTGAGATCTTGAGTCAGGCTTCGCGACAGGCGTCCCGTAGCCAGTGCCTGTTTGACCATCACCCGAACGCCGAGACACCCTACACCCACGGTTCCTTTGTCCGCTTGATCAGCGCGAGGAGGCAGCCATCAATCTCAACCTCACACGCCGCTCGATAGTCTGCCAACATGGCCTCAAGCGACGAATACGATTTCTTATTGTATGTGTCCCACCGCCGGAACTGACCTACAAACGCCGAACGAGCCCTGCTACGACCCCTCCTTGTTCCCCACCGCATACGATATCGCTGACTAGCAACAGTAAGGTGGTCTTGATTGGTGACTCCGGCGTCGGAAAGTCCAATCTGTTGAGCAGATTCACTCGCAATGAGTTCAACTTGGACTCAAAGTCCACTATTGGCGTTGAATTGTACGTATAGCGCCTGAACAACCCTGGACCGCAGTTGTTAACAGATGACCCAGCGCGACCCGGTCCATATCAGTCGACAGCAAGACGATCAAGGCACAGATCTGGGACACAGCAGGTCAAGAGCGCTACCGAGCCATCACATCCGCGTACTACAGAGGTGCGGTTGGCGCACTGCTCGTCTACGATATCAGCAAGCACCAGACCTACGACAATGTAACGAGATGGCTCAAGGAACTCCGAGACCACGCAGATGCCAATATCGTCATCATGCTGGTCGGTAACAAGAGCGATCTGCGGCATCTGCGAGCGGTTCCTACCGAGGAGGCCAAACAGTTTGCCAGTATGTCATGCCCCTTCCTTGTCGGAACCAAGACTGACTCCGCAGGTGAAAACAACCTGTCCTTTATCGAGACGTCAGCGCTCGATGCCTCAAATGTCGAACTCGCCTTCCAGAATATCCTCACCGGTGGGTAGTCAAACCCCTTCCGCAATACGAAACCTAACAAAAAGCAGAAATCTACCGCATCGTCTCGAGCAAAGCCCTCGACTCCGGCGAGCAAGGCCAGGGCGCACCGGGAAGTGGCGTCAAGATCGATATGACACCATCGGGAACCACTGATAATAAGAGCAGCAAGTGCTGCTGAACGATGGAAACGAATTTTTATGCTAATGCAGAGGTTCCAAACGGCGTTCTTGCTTGCGCTAGGTTTTCCATCCACAGATATTGACGTCTTGATGACCTCGAGACTCCTTCAAGAGTCTGGGTCCGGTTTGAGGGTGTGATGGCGAAGCTGGCCATGCATAGACACTTCAGGGAGAATGCAAAACCATCAAGTACAGCTTTCCTTTCCTGGGCCTGATTCGGCCCTGCTTCTGCTTTCCGCCCTCTGTGTGGTGTGCTAGGGCGGAACAAGCTAACAAGGCAGCATGGGAGTGTTGCCCTTTGGATGTAACGGCACGTGCCGACGAAGCGACAGGTTTGTCGTACCTGCCACACGCAGCTGCGTCATCAAGCCTTCCCAGACAGCCACCTGCACGCCAATGCTCCTGCCAAAATCCATACACGCCTAACGGAAGTCACCACTGACCAAAGATTCATTCATGTTCCTTTGTCGTCTGCATGACGAGGAACTCTTCAAGATGCAGATTCGAAGTCTGTTCTCACAGGCATTTGATTTCGGGCACTCCTTCGCTCAATTTTCGTTTCCGTTTCCGCTTCGGCTGGCCGCCATCACGCTGACCTTCTCAAAACCTCAGAGCCCTCTCTGGCACGTCCTCCGATTCTTCACTGCCGAACACATCATTCCATCGACGTCCTCGTCCTGGAGTAGAAGACGTCGATCTCAGAAAGAACACGAAGTTTTAACTTCCCGTTCAGCTGAAAGGAGTCATCAAAACATCACATTGCCACGTGTTGACAAAAGAAGGTACTCCTTGACCAGAACTCACGGTTATCACCATGTCTTCGTTCACCATCATCAAACTATGCTCGTGGCCACCGACTTGTAATACAACTCCCAACGCAGAATCTTCCCTCGGTCTGATTCGACATCGGAGGGATTCAGCCATCTTTAAAACGTCGCCATGGGCATTCGCTCGCTCGTCCGACGACTCATGCTACGAGCCACTGGCCGCCACCGGCTGAGGAAGTCGACGTTCTTCTCACTACCACCTGAGATTCGGATCGTGATCTACAAGCTCGTGGCAGCAAGTCTCGCCATCACGACTAGGTCCTGGACCGGGCGTGGTTTATATGCGTATCCTGACAGGTATACTGCCAAGTACATCAAATGGCCGTATCTCATAAAGTACTCCAACATCCAGCTGCTGGCCGTCAGTCGATCAATACGATGCGAAGCCTTGCCAATCTTTCTCGAGGGTGCATCGCGCTTCTACATTTCCAAGGGGGCTCTAGTCCACCCGTCGCTGCCCAACACAGTCGCCAACTTGGTCCGGATGACAGCGGTATTGAAGATCGAGGATGACCACAAACAGAGGCTGGTGCTGAAAAGCGGTACTAATGATCCCTCTATCGTCGCCAGGCGCCGGATTCATCAGTACTGGATCAAGCAGGCTCTCATCCATTCGTCTTTAACATCCACGATCTCCCACATAGTCATGTCGGCGGCTGTCCTAGAGTCGAAGTGTGATCACAACAGAAACATTGCACTGCGACACGACACCACTGACCCCTCTGTCACTGTTGAGCGTCCGCTGAGTCGATACTGGATCACTAACAAGAAGACTGCCAATAAATTGTATGTTGTATGCAAAGCCCGGTATTTAAGGTACTGGGCCTATGCCATGAACCCAACCAACGGACAACTGATGCATATGCACTTCGTCATGACACTGGCCATGATGAGTCAAGAGCACGGAATTGTTGATAGCCGTCACGTGGTCTCTCAGGCGCATTCCGCTGCCAATGCCGATGATGGTCTGTACGATACATACTGGGACACGATCATGGCAACAATCTATCCAGGAGACGAGCTTGGCTGCAAGATCACCGTTGTTCTCGCGGGCTGCCCTCGCCACGGGGTGAAGTTGGTAAGTAGTCCTTTCGCAGTCAAGAGGCTACGCCACAACTCCCACTATCCGATGGTTCTAGTACATACTGACTTTCTGCCCTACAGACTTTTGACTTGGACGTCCTCATGAAATGTGCACACGGGGTGCAGTGGACTTGGATGGATACTGGGGCTTCCATCACGCCGGCGGACTTCCGGACACTGCCCAGGCGAAAGTGTCACTGGGGCGGGTTATGCAGATTCTTCCACTAGCTGCCAGACCCTCACGCAGTCGCCGACGGTGGGTCACGATGTCACGGGGATGGGATGTGCCTGTGACCCGTTCAGGAGGCCTTCGTCCTCTGTTCGAGCATCGCAAAAACGACAGGCGCCGGAACTAAAGGGAAGGGAATCATCTGCATCAAAATGACTTTTCTTCCATTTGTCGACACGCTTCCAATGTCCGCCTTGTTCAAGGGGCGGGTTGAGATATCTCGACTAGCTTCGAAAGTGATGATCACGCAGCGGCCTCCCTGGCCATATTTTGGCGAATTCTTCAAACTCGCAACATGCTCGCTGTGTTTTTTCCGCTCCTTCTCCAGCTCCAGTAGTAATACATACATTCCCCAAACCCCACTTCCAAAAAAGTCCCTCCTCAACGACCACCGCCCAGAGCATGGTTCGTGCCCTGAATATTCCCAAACAGGATCTTGAACCCATTGCTCAACCCCTGCATGCTCGGATATCCCTGGCCGCGCAGCTCGAACGCACCCGAACCCCCAACACCGGGGGTGACTTTTACCGGCCAATCCTGCGATTTCGCCTTGTGGCCCGCCTTGAAGATGAGGTGGAAATAGCCTGGTTTCTCGCGGTTGAGGCAGAACTGGTACATGGATCTCTTTGGGTTTGCGGCGGTGTAGGTATTGAGCCATTCCTCTGTTCGGGTTGTGTTAGCAGTGCTTAGGTGGTAGAGGGGTTGGGGTGGGAAAAAAGGGAAGGGGACATACCAAGCTGCGCCTTGCTCTTATTATGGAACTTATCCGAGTTGACCATCTGCTCGACCATCTTGGCCATGGGCCGTACGTGTTCAGCGATAAGCTGGTCGAGATCGACGTACTGGTACTGTGCGCTGCTGCCGATTCGTAATATCTTGCCCAGGGAGAACTCGTTTTCCTTGTCGAGTTCAAGGACATCGATGTGCTGGAAGATTCCGTCTGCGACCTTCCATGTTACCGCTAAATGGTCTGTTCCCTTGGAGGAAGGACGGATGACGGCGTCCCCGCGGTTCTGTGAACCAAGGTACTGTTCGGCCTGGACGCTGTTGAAGGGCTGGAACAGCGCGTGCTTGATCACACGAGTAGCGCGATTACCGGTCTCGGGGTTCTGTTGAGCGAGTTTCTTCTTGTCTTCGTCCTCAGCGCGAGAGTCCCACTCGTCGTATTTGAGCTGTTCTTCGGGATCGAAGCGCTTGTAGGGTTTCTTGACGGCGTCGTCGCGCAGAGAGACGGAGCAGGTGAATTCTTTGCGGTTGATGGTTGTGATGTGTGCTTGGACGGTCTGGTGGAGGGAGAAGAGTTCCTTGGGGGAGATGTTGGGGGCGTTGTCGTGCCATTGGTCGGGCTCGACGACGGCGACCATGCCGCAGTCAAGGAGGCCTTCGACGTATTGGTCGGAGATGCGTTTCAGGGTGATGGAGACGTTCATGCCGACTTGGAGCTGTCGGAGGTTTCGCCGGTGAACATGGTGAAGATGTCTTCTTCGCGGAGCTTCATCTCGTATTCGCGGCGGAGTTCTTCGAAGGGCTCGATGAGTTCGGCGCGGATGGTTTCGAGGGTCGAGCGTTTCTTGGCGTTCAGGTTGCGCTCGAGCTGGATGGCGTATTCTTCGAGGACGAGGTCGTTGACGCGGTCTTGTTGGTTGCCTTTGACGAGGAGTTTCATGATTGCGCCGCTGCCGTTCTTTTGGCGTTCAGCTTCGATGTCTTCTTCGTCGAGTTCGAGGGCGTCGGCCGCCATCTTGCGGGCGATGTCGTAGTCTTCGGGATGGATGCGAGTGCTGTCGAGGAATTCTGAGTCGTCGACGGATTCGTCGAAGCTGATGTTTAGTGTGCTGGCGGCGTTGTTCCACACTTTGAGCGTCATGGCTGTGCCCTTGTCATTGACGAGTAGGCCCTCGCGGGTATTGACAAAGCCACCGGCGACACTGACGACTCGCAGGACGTGTTGTGCTTTTCTTGGACCAAGACCACAAACGTACGGAAGCAGGTTTGCGATTTGCGGGTCTGCAGCGGCTTCATTCACATCGACACCGACAAGGTTCACTTTGTCGACCAAAGCCATCTCGAGCTTCTGCATCAGTTTCTCTTCCGGTAAGAGTGATTGCGATCGATGGAAGTTGAGCGAGATGATGTCGTTGCCTAAAGATGCATACTCCTTCATGGGATCCTGCAGATATCGTGCGAGTGCGAAGCAGTAGTGAGTGAGTGGATTCCATGCTGGATGGTCGTTCCTGGCTCTCTGACTGGTGTGGTACAGGCGAGCCACTTCATCGTTGACAATGATGACCTCCAGACGTCGATCGGGGTATCGGCGTTCTCGGTCGTCGTCAGTGTTGTTTGCACCGCCATGTTGCAGCTTGTGGGCTTCGACCATAGTATTGAGGTAGCTGACCAGTTTTCGCGTTTCGGGTGTGAATCCCGAGACGCCTAGAACTTCCACATCGCGAGCTTGAATGACATCAATCAATGCTGCCACGTCTTTTCCTTCTGGGATGGCGCGTTCCGAATCTGCTGGGGCGAGCTCAACGAACGTGCCGTATTCGCTGGCTCGACCGTCATCACCAACGACAACCCAGTGAACTGGGTCTTTGCCGGGAATTCCTCGACCAATTGACAAAGCCATACAACGTGGTGTAGTGCCCTTGTGCATATCCTCGGGCTGATATGGTGCTTGATCAAGACGCGCGTCGAATTCTTCGCGGCATTCTTCTGCCAGTCGGTCCTCGCAATCGCTCTTGAAGGTCTCTTTGACGATACGACCCAGGATATGCATTGTCTTGTCAAACGCCTGGGCGACAACCTTCTCTCGCTCTTTGTTCCACGCGTCGGCAACATCGGAATAGTTGTCTGTCTTCATATGGGCGGCGAGGTCTCGCTTGAGACTATCGGCGTTGTTGATGCGCACCTTGACTTCGATCATGCCTTCTTCCTCTGCTTTTAGCATTCGCAGGAATAATGAGGGACTTCCAATAAAGCTGGCGAATGTCTGATTTCGCAAATATTTGAACTCGTAATAAGGATGCGACTCATCGATCTTTCGCAAGCCTCGGTCGGTGCGATAGCAATCGAAGACGCCTTTACTGTAGATCTGGGCTCTGAGGTACTTTCGAAAGCGCGGGTTGGTGACAATTTCTTCGACGAAGAGATTCCGACCAGCTCTCAGGACGGCGTTGCCATCAGCGAAGGTCTCGTCGATCAGTGTGTCTGCAAGGTTCGCAGGACTGTCGGACGGGTCGTCGGCATATGTGGTGACGCCTTCTCGAGCAACATTTTTCGCAAAGTCATCACCTTTCATACCATAACCGCGGACCATGCCTTGAGCTCTGGACTGACGGATAGTCTCGTAGATACTCTTGGTGTTGGCCTTCTTCTGAGACAAGACGACGCCATTTGCGTCACCATTGCTTGTCAATGCGAGATCTTTGATCTGTGACGAGTACTGGAAATAGAGGTAATCGTAGAGGTCTGAGAGCTCTTCCAGAGTGACGGCTTTGGGCACCATCGTCTCGAACAAGTCGTCTGGAGCAATGTTTGTCGATTTGAGTTCATCGTAAGTTTTTTGCAGGCCACGACGCCGCTCGATCAGAGCACGAAACTTCAGATCTAGCTCAAATATCGACCAAAGCTCTTTGGGCCGAAGCAGCTGGACAGCTTCCTCCTTTTGACCACTGCCGTGAGTTTCGACATGGATGAAGTAGTCCTTTCGGTTGTTGGCGATGAAGGGCACTTCGTACTGCTCATTGATCATGAACTCCAAGGCTTGCAACACGCTGCGGGTAAAGGGTTCGTAAAGACGAGGCGACAGGCGGTTTTGTTGAGAGGGTAGGAGGAACTGTGAGATCCACTGAGCCTCCTCCTTGAATTCGTCTTCGGTCAGCTCCAGACCAGCATACGGCTTTCGGGCAAGTTGGAAGCGCTCAGGGACGTCGGTGAAGCGAATGAGGTTGTCTTCCTCAGTAAGGAGCTTCTCTTTCAGCTGTTGAGGCTCGAATACATCGTCGAGGATGAGGTGTCGGTCCTGTTCCGCTTGCTTTTGTTCCCATATGTCCTCCTGCTCGAGGGCGAAGTCGTACTCGGTACCATCGCCAAAGGCAGCCTTGAAGTCTTCGAGGGCAGCACCGTCGATGTTGAGATCGGAGATGTCCACGGGCAAATCGAGGCCAGTGCGACGCGACGGACGCGCGACTTCAAGATCTTCTCGCTCTCGCTGACCTTCTTCGTCGGAGAAGACATCGTCCTCGATGAAGTCGTCGAACTCGTCGTTCAAGCCTCGAGGTCTGCGCTCTTCTTGCTCTTCGAGCTCGTCGGCGAATATGTCGTCCACGCCGCCGCGGGCACCATCCTCGTCTCTTCGGGGACCTCGCTTGAGTCTCTTGAACTTTGACTGTGACTCTTCTCGCTGTGGCTTGATACCTATGAGTTCGAGATCTTCCTCATCGAGATCGTCCTCCTCGCGATCTTCACGAGGACGCTTGCGCTTTTCGCGACGACGCTTTCGACGGGCCTCTTCGGCGTCATCTTCGTCTTCGTCTACGATGAAGTCTTTTCGTATCTGGGATCAGCGTTAGCCAGGCAGGTACGCGAGGGGTTGCGTGCCACTCACTCTCTGCGCTTCTTCCTCGTCATCATCTTCTTCTTCCTCTGACGAGTCGTCGAAGCCATTCTCGCCATTCGCACCGTTTTCGCGTCCGCGGGTGGGTTCGCCAGTCTCCTCGTCAAAAGAGACATCATCGTCGTCGTCATCCAGAAGCGCAGCATCGTCGATGAGCGCGTTCATCGTAGGCGAGGACACAGATGAGGCCGGCACAGGCGAGGGCGGCGCAGGGTGTGCAGGGTACTGATATCTGGCTCGGAGGTCGATTAGTCTGTTATTTCGGTCGAAGCCAAGGTAGCAACCCTGTGAGGTACTCGAGATGTCGATTACGGTAACCCACTCTTCGGAAAGCGCAGTCGATGAGGGAGAATGAGTGTCGGGTCCGCCTGGCCCAGCATGAGGTGAAGCAGTGTTACTGAGCCAGTTGTGAACTCCCTCAGAGTCCATGGCTGCGGCTCCTTCACAAAGAACTTAAGTAGGTAGTCAGTGGTATGCTCTTTGGGAAGGTTAGCCGAATGGTGTGAGTCAGGTTGGAGTGAAAAGCCAAGGCTGAGCGGCCCCACCCGTAGCCGCCCCTCTGAGTTGAGGCCTACTAGCAAGCAGCCAATGACTGCTCCCCAGCACACCCATAGTCACATTTACCCATTGTCTGCTACATATGCTGTTGCGGATGTCCTATGGATAAGTGATCGACCCCTTCACATACAGCAGCGGTACCGCCATTGACAAGACTGTCCTTTCTCAACACAAGTCATAGCCACATCCAGTCTACTGTCCTTTGTACTCAATCACGATGATCTTTGTTCGCTGACACCTGCAACTGCGTTCCGGCTCCAGTACGAGTGCATCGCACCTACGCTCCCGACCAAGCGCCGTCCGAAGCACCACTCGATTGGCTGAGTGTTCAGAGATAGGCCCTCGCCTACAGACCGCGAGCTTGCAGCAGTTGTCGACATCTGCTGCGTATTTAGGCTGTCCGCAGGGGAAGCGCTGGCTCGTTGTGGGCTGCTGAGTTCCGAAGCCCACTGTCAGGTCTCTGGCGACCTTAGTCGAGACAGCCTCATATGCCCGCCGTGGCAGAACATCCCTAAGAACGATCATACCTGTATTAGGGACTGGGGTCATCATCGCGGCGTTCCCCGCCATCACTCCTCCTGCTGCCAGCACCATGTCGAGCGATGCCTTCCAAGCCCGGACATTGAAGAGGAAGAACGTGAAAGGGTTGGCTTTGAGTGCTCCTCCAAAGGCTGCAAATCCCTCAGAAGGAGATTCACAAGTACCTGGCGCCCTCGGCAACCAAGCGAGTGAGCGCACCGATACACTCGAAATCGGCCTGGAATTCAAGCTAGACTTACGGAGCGAGGACTTGATCGTTCTGAAAGAGCTGGGAGCAGGCAATGGCGGGACAGTCAGCAAAGTTATGCATGCAACGACAAAGGTGGTCATGGCACGCAAGGTACGTTCGTCCTGCGTGGGCGGGGGTGGCTGCATACTGACATGTTTCAGATCATCCGAGTAGACGCCAAAGAAAATGTCCGCAAGCAGATCGTCCGCGAACTACAGGTCGGCCACGACTGCAATTCGCCATACGTGATAACATACTACGGCGCCTTCCAAAACGAAGCACGTGATATTGTGCTCTGTATGGAGTACATGGACTGCGGGTGAGTATCTGAGGCAGGTCCTGACTCGACCGGATGACTGACATCCTACAGATCATTGGACCGCATCTCGAAAGACTTTGGGCCAATACGAGTCGATGTACTTGGCAAGATCACCGAATGCATATTAGGCGGCCTTGTATACCTGTATGAAGCACACCGCATTATGCATCGAGACATCAAGCCATCCAACGTACTGGTCAACTCGCGCGGCATGATCAAGCTCTGCGATTTCGGGGTTGCCACCGAGACTGTCAATTCGGTAGCCAACACCTTCGTCGGAACCTCCACCTACATGGCACCGGAACGGATCAAAGGCGATGCTTACACCGTGAAGTCAGATGTATGGAGCGTGGGGCTGACAGTCATGGAGTCGGCGATCGGGAGGTTTCCTTTCGACGCAAATGACGCCGCACCAGGCGACCGAGCTAGCGCTGGGCCAATGGGCATTCTGGATCTGCTGCAGCAAATCGTCCACGAGCCGGCTCCGAAACTACCTAAGAGCGATGCTTTCCCAGCAATTTTGGAGGACTTCGTCGCCAAATGCCTGCTCAAGAATCCCGCGGAGCGGCCGACGCCGCGCGAATTGTATGACAAGGACCTCTTCCTGCAAGCAGCCAAACGAACACCGGTCGATCTGCAAGAATGGGCTGTGTCAATGATGGAACGACACAATCGCAAGTCCTACTTGGCACCACCCGCGCCGAAGTCGTTGAAGAGTGACGGGACAGGCTCAGACTCGCACAACACCCCTTCCACATCAGCAACTTCGAATTCGTCCTTCAGTGGACAAGACAACCAACGCCAAACCCCCGTGACCGCCAGGAAGCTCCCCACTCCCTCAGTTCCGGACGTCAGCAAAATGCCCACATCACCTCCACACTACCCAACCATAACTACCAACACCCAGAATTCAACGACACCAACGGGCATCGCAGAAAGGTCACCTCCACCAGGCATCTCCCTACAGCATCTCTCTTTGGAAACACCCGACCAAGCAGGAGAAGCTCCTCGACCCAGATTTCCGCACTCCAACAGCCGAGACGATATTCCGACGCCAGCATCGGCAATCGAGCCGTCCGGTCGCCCAATGTTTCCTCCACGAACAAGCAGCAGCACGTCAATAGGACAGCACAACCGTCTCAACAACGCCTCGATGCCGATGAGGCCTCCTCCAAGTGGGCCTTTGCCACCACCTCCGCCGTCCAAGGACCTTCCGGCCATCCCTTCGACTGGAAATGCAATCAGCCCAAGAAGACAGCGATAACGATAGCCAACAGCACCGTCGACTAGCAATGTCGTCCTGCATCAGCGTGCACTTTCCTGTTTCAATTCTAGACACTTAAGATGACATTCCCTCAGCACGTACAGACATCTGTGACAACACTATACTTTCGGCTCATGAGCGCTGTTGTTGCATGTAGCAGGCGTTGGTTCCACATTCGCACGTACATACTCGTTTGCATCAATGGCATGTGTTGAAGAGCAGTAGCATCGAATCGAACATATGTCAACACATCTTTTATTGCTTGATGTGCAGACTCAGTCGTTATTAGTATATGCCTCTACAGCCCCACTCTAGCTCACCTTCCTCCCGTTCATTCAACCACTAGATCCCGGCGCGCCATCACCCTCACTCAACCAAATACTCGTGTTCCACGTCTGGAAACTCAGGCTCTCATTCAACAGCAATCTTGGCCCCGCACCCACCGCCGCTGGAGCGACCAGCCCGGCCTCAGCATTCGCAGGCCCGTCACTCCAGCAGTACTTCTCCCAACACTGCCCACACGCCTCTGGTTCCTCGATCTTTGCTCTCGCCAAACTCTTCTTGATCGCCGCGCACGCCACACAGCTCGCCCAGTCCGATCCTTGATCGTTCGGAAGTTGCTTGTTCCCGTACGTCGCAACATCAAATGCGTTTTGCAAGGTCAAATTCACCTGCAGGTCCGAAAACGCGGCTTTGCCGTACGAGAAGTTGGTGTACTGGCTCCAGGGCGCGTTGGGAGGTACAGCACGATTGGCGTCGCCTCGTCCGCCGTCGCGTTACAGCCGAAGAAGGTGGGGAATGTGGTGATGTTCTCGTTGACCATTGTCGTCGAGTCTGGGATGACGGGGAAGTTAAGCTTCCCGCCGGATTCGTTAGCGGAGAGGTATGAGTTGTACAGGTTCGTGCCGTTGACCCAGTTGTAAGGGACAGCGTCGGAGGAGGCGTCGTAGGCTATGATGAAGTCGAGTTTGCGCGCGGGCTGCATTAGGGGGCGGAGGGGGATGGTTTCGCCTGTTTCGGAGCCGTCGACTAGGAGGAGATTGGTTGTGTTCTGCATCTGAGTATTGTAGTTGTTGAACGGGTTCGGCCATTGTGCCCAGAGTGCATCGTTGAGGGATATGCCGAACTCGGAGGCGGTGGAGTTGAGGAGGTCGTAGTAGGGGTTGTCGCCAGCGTCGGTGGGGAGGGTGATGTTGCCGTTGTCGACTGGTTGGAGCCTGATTGGCGGCCTTCGAGGTGGCGCTTCGCGAAGAGGGGGATGTTGTACCAGTCGTCGATGAGGTAGAAGTTGAATGCCCAGCCGGTCGAGCCGACGACAAAGGACATCTTGTCGTAACCGACGATGCATTGTTTGCTGTCGTAGGGCTTGCCGGCGGTGACGTTGGTGCCGAGGTACTTTGTTGGCCAGAAACCCTGAACGCGGCCGCCGGCCCAGCTGCCGAACTCGAAGGGACTGATTTCGTAGCTGGTGAGATTGAAACCGTTGGTGCTGTTGGGGCCGGGGTACATGATGCCGCCGATTTTAGGGGAGACGCCGTCGATGACTTCGGCGTAGGTCATTAGCGGCATGGGTGCGAGGCCGAGGCTGAAGTCGGAGCCACTGTCTGCTATGGTTGAATAGTTGGCATATGTCCAGCTCTTAGGCCTGAACTGTGCGAACCACTGGCCGAAGATGTCGGTCGTGGACACAGGATAGCCGAGCTCGGCTTTGGCGCCGGCGTTCTCGAAGAGAGCGGTGTAGTACTCCGTCACGTTGCCGGTGGGGCCGACTTCGTAGTTGACGGTATAGTTGATGATCTTGGTCATGTTCTCGACGGTTGTGAAGTTGGTGGAGGCGATGGTGTTGACAGTGTAAAGCCCGCCGCCGCTCAGGCCAGTGAAGTATGTCAGAAGCTGTGTCAGACCTCCGGTTCCCGCTTCGACGGCTGGGGCGTAGCGTGAGTCGTACGCCTGGTAGATACCCATGCCGCCGAGGCCAGACTGGCTGCCGCCGCCGGAGATCGCCATGCCGATGACCGGCGCATCGGAGGCCTTCAACTTGCTGGTGAAGTTAGTGTAGTTGAAGTTGGGGATGGCGGCGTTCTTGAGGTATGCGTCGAGATGCTTGTAGACCTCCTCGAGACGACCATCGCGCCACTTGGACTCCTCGGAGGAGAGGTTGCCAGCTTTGCGAACTGCAATGTCTTTGGGGCAAGACACGTTGTGAGGTACATAGGGATCTTCATTGGCCTCACTTGCCGGGCCCTGTGCAAGAGCAAGGAGCGGCAGTGTCAGGAGCAACCGCGAGGAGCGCATAGTCGCAGGCAAGAGTCACAAGCTTCGGCGCAAAAGGACCTACCTTGGCAGCGGACGAAGAGCCACCAGCTATATACCTACATGAGCAAACAAGCCACCGTGGCTCGACCTGAGCATCCATTGCGACAACAGAAGTCGGGTGCTGGTACCTTTCTGTGGATGCACCACGTTGTTGCCGACGTTCCGGTAGGAGTGGTACTGCACATTGTCGGGGATTTCGCGGTATGCACCTGAAAAGGGAAGGGTGTGCCAGGTGGCAGACATGCTTTTGAGGACGGCGACGATGGTGTCGAAGTCGGAGGTCAAGCTGTCCGAGCTGGAAAAATAGGCTAGTGATTGCGCTGAGTGAGCAGGTCTACTGCAATCGGTAAGTAGAGACGAACACATGGCGGAACACCCCTACTGGAGAAACTTTTCTTAGGTAAATGCCTCGAGTCGTTCAGCTCTGCCCCGGACTCTTTGCTGAAGTCAGAATGCTCAGGCGGCTTTGCTGTGATGCAGTCGGTGGTCACACTTGAATACGATCGTGATCTCGTGGCTCAGACCTCTTTGGCAGTCGTATTCAATCCGCCATTGGCAAAAAGCTGATGAAACTGATGCGACATCGTGATCACTGCCCTCTACGCAAGCAGGACGATCACTAATGGACATCATTCGTGATATGGCACCACTTTCGCCATGTCCGGAGCTTCGTTGTACCAAAGGCGTCGTAGCAGACGTGCACTGCGGCACACAGAATATGCTCAAGGTAGGTTAGCCTTCCTACCGTATGAGCTACTGACCTTTCTTGTTCGTCTATAATGGACTGCGCAGAACAGCAGTGATTGGGTCCGCTTTCTGCCGGACATACGCCGTGTCACTGTGAGCATTAAGGATGTTCGTTCGCCCTGGATAGAATGGAAGACGGAATAGGGAATGCCCTGAGCGACTTCATTCCACACTTGGCATGAAAGGGCTGAAGAGTGTGTCTCAATTTAGCTTACCATGCGCGTCCTATGAACTTTATTCCACGCCTCGCCCAAGATCTCGTCTTCTTGCACCAATAGGGCTACAAACCACGAGAGTCTATTGCACGACTTTGGTACTCTATAAGATCGAGACTCGGTCCTTTCGAGCTTGACAGCAATACATATCACACCCTCTCAGCAACACAAAAAGACTATCTCATCTCGTGGCGGATCTATCAGTTCTTGACAGCGCCAGGACGATAGACTTATAGCAACCCATTATCTGGACCTTCCGCTTGGACCCTGCTTCGAACACAACTTCCTATTGACTCGAGAGCCGCACGCACATCCTCTCGTCTCACGCAGGACCGCAAAAATGCACGCTCGCGAGGTCTTGTTCATCGTCGAACTGATTCTATGGCCACCAACCCTCGCCTTAGCCATCTTCGTGGCTACCAAGCAGGGATTCTCACGCCAACTAGGATGGTTCTCCCTGATTATGCTCGGTATATTCCGCACCCTGGGCAGCGCGACCGGCATCGCCGCCGTTGAGAGCCCAAGCGAAGGCTCATCGAAACGAGCATGATTTGCGAATCTGTTGGCCTCATCTCTTTGGTTGGCGCACTCACAGGCCTCATCTTCCGTGTGCAGGGAAACATGCCCGCACCACACGCAGTGCTGGCGCCGTTCCCCTTCGTTACCCGCCTGGTCCATTTGGCGACTATTGCTGCATTGATCCTGTCCATCCTGGCTGGCTCAGATTTCTCCTCGACAAACTCCGCTAGCGATATCACTCAAGGTCGCCTGTTTATCAAGGTCGCCATCGGTCTCCTTACCGGCGTCTTCCTCGTATCTGGCGGTCTCTCGGTCTTCACACGCACGCACCAGATGGGTCACATCACTGCACCCGGCGAATCCCGCCTTGTCACAGTCTGCGTCATTGCGATCCCCTTCATCGCTGTGCGCCTCGTCTACGGCTGGCTCGGCGCGTGCCTGAGCCAAGGCTCTATCTTCGGCTTGTTCTCTGATGACGCTGCCGCCACAGGCGTGCGCGCCGTCATGCAGATCGCTGTGGAGCTGATTGTCGCGTGGCTGTTCCTATGGGCCGGTCTCACGGTGCCGAAGAGTACGCGACCGCATCATCATGGTGTTCTTCAGAATGATCGCTATCCTGGTACCATGCGCCAGACCAGAGGTGGCAGGACTGCAATGCTCAGGCAGGGATTCGCTCCGTTCAGTGGACACGCAAATACTGTGGACCCTCAGCAGGAGCAAGGCGTTGTTGCAGAGACGAAGCCCGCGCATAATGTACAGGAGGTTTGAGGACCTTAATCAGCATAATGAGACGAAAGCAAGCTGGAGGATTGTGATCACGACGCGCGACAGGTCACGGAGTTCAATAATCCGTCGTTTAGTATCATGTTTTGGTTTCGGTCTATGGGTAGACGACTCGACGGTAAATATGCTCATCTCTATACAGCGCAGTGTGAATAAAGATGGCTGTGCACGTTCAATCCCATGCGGTCACTGACGCTGATGTCCCTAAAATCCCTTATTGTCAGCGACCACTTAAGTATGCTCTTGGGCACACGCAAGCCAGCCCCTCTCTGAGAACCATCCTGTCTCCAGCCCCAAACCTGTGGAAACCTTCGAATGAACTCTACTGAAAGGACTCAGATGCCAAGATGGCGCTACTGCACAACCTGCATTTGACTGCCGGCAGATGCCAATCAGGACTATTCCCAGCGCACCCAATACCTTGGGTTGCGATCCAGACCGAACATCGGAGTTCCAGGTTCTGTGTTCTTGTTGAACTGTCTTTTGCCGACACGTGCGGCTCTGGTCAGGGTCATGGGGGAGAGAAGTAAGCATTGACTCGAAAGACAGGCCTGTACGAGCAGAATTCGAGATGGCGCAGGGTCGATACCCATTCAGCTTGCCATAGACTACGGGTTAGAAATGTGCGAGCTTGGGAAGGGCGCTCGAGAGTGCCGAGACTTCTAGCCTTTGAGAGCTCTGGAGACAAGAACGACCCAGCAGCGAGTCCGAGAGGACCATAAGTCGCCCTAGAAAAAAGTCCTGTACCAAGCTCTTCGCTTACAAGACAAATTCAAGCCATTCTGCCTTGCCAACTGACCTCATGTCCACATCGATATTGCTCCATCCTCCTATGCTTGACCGCCAATACTGTCTCGTGTCCTACTTGTAGAGCACCAAGTACAAAGCCGACTGTCGATCCGTATGTATACCAAGGTGTTTGTTGTAGATCCTCATCGGGTGACTCTTCGGAGGTTGATCATGATGGACGGACCACGAATCAATTCGAGCCTGTAGGTCAGGGCCTACTTACTTCCTCGAATCTTACCTGAAGCTGCTGTCCTTGTCCTTGATTAGCAGACGGCATCCACTTGATGCTAGACCGCAGTACCTCAAGAAACTCAAGTCCTGGCAGTTCCCGGCATCAGGAGTCGTGTCACCTGACAACGACCTCAATGCTCCCTCACCTCTCTAGTTGTGAGGTACCAGCTCGTAATCTTGATACGTTCAAGTCAAACGATTTTCCTCCAACAATTGCAACCAAATGGCAGTTCCCGGGACGGGGTCCCGGGTGAGCCCATACGGAACGCATTGTCAAAAAACTCTGTGGACCTAGTATGGTTGTGCATATAGTCTTCCCTGCCCTGGAATGGAGGAGTTTCTCAATGCTAACGCATTGTGTTTTTGCTTTCTTGAAAAGAGATGTTGCTAATAGGAAGGAGAATGTGCGTTCAGGAGGAGGATTGAACCCGAAATCGGCAGGCATGCCGACGTCTGAGGTAAGTAACAATGAGCTAGGGTGTCGGCGCTTCGACTGCTTTCTTGCTTCGTCCATTTCCAGAAGTCGCTGTCGCGCTGGATACCCGTGTCTTCCGTCTTCGCGCGCCGTTTTCCGCCTATCTCTTTTGTCTCTGATCGCAACCCAGTCTCGCTTGATCCCGGGCGACAGTGATGTGCGTCCAGAACAGTCAGTCGCTCCTTCTTGGGGTCTTGATCCAGCCAGCCATCTGCCATATCATGGAACCGGGCATGGTGTCGACCAATCTACCCAAGAGACTGTGCGAACTTGTCCTACCCTTCTGATCCCTCATCCGCAGTCAACAACAGGACCCATTGATATCCGAGCGAGCTCACTTCGAGGGACGAGCAGCACCCCCGGAGTCTGTCTTGAATCCGCTCGTGATCAGCAGCGAGATCTGGACACAATATAAGTGCTTTGGATTTAGCACGGACGCACGTTCAACGAACGTCATCTTCGTCCGGAATTGTAAGAGCCGACAGGCCGGCGAGTGAGACTTTGCGAGACGCATGCATCATTCCTATATGTCCAAAATTATACGCATCATGGGAGAAGCACAGTGTGTAGAGACGAGGTCGATTCAAGAGCTTATCCTGGGACTCAGAAAGGCTCGGCGCTGTCGCCTCGTGGCTGGGCATTAGGCAGCTCTCGAAAAGATCGACGTCGCTTGACGCAGAGACTACATCTCATCACTCTTTATGGTTCTCCGATGACCAAACGTTGTGCGTAAATGATCGTCTCCGCCGTCGCTCGCAGGTATACGGATGGCTTGCGACAATACTGTGCATGTGTGGTCACAGCCGGGCTTCCAGGCACAGCGGGGCGTCCATCGCGCGAGCCTGAAGTCGAGGCGTCTCAAAGTTTACTGATCTCGGATGCACGTACCAAAATCCTTGCCAAGTGACGCAATCACTTCCTAAGTCTCCTCGAAAGCCGCGTACGTCAAGATCGATCTCGCAGAAACCTAGGTTTTCCAGTGCGTGTGCCATCGAGCACAGGACTTTTGCACAGTATGATGCGATAAGCATATCTATTCGTGGATACAGCCGTGCTCACATCGCAAGGAATGGTTTGTGCATGACTGCCTCACAGAATCGACCTAGGGTTGGCAAAGCAGGTTGTTGCTGATATGTATTGAGAGCTCTGATATCATGCCACAGATATTAGGCATCCGGATCATCCGCCGAAGCTGACTTCATAGTACCATGAACCACCAGAATCGTGGATAGGTTCCGTCTGCGTAGGTCAACCAGATAGGTTTACATCATCGTCCCTCGTTCCCACAGCTCAGTACCTACTGAACCACAGTGCTGCCTATCTCATCCAACGCTTCGACCACCAGTATGCGCCAGACCTTGCGACACAAGAAGCCAGAAGCGGACGGTCAAGGAGCAAGCCCCTTGGCTCAGGAGCCCCATGCGTTGCCTTACCCTCCACCATCACTAGCAACGCGCGATTCCGACGACACCCTCGCAGTGGCCACTCCCCCCGCAATGCTCAACGAAAAACGTACCTCGACCACCCCTGGTCCACCACCGATCCCGTTCGCCTGGCCTCGCGGCAAACACGCCGTGAGACTCTACCTCTTCCTCCTGCTCGCCTTCGTCGAAGTCGAAGTCATCCCCCTAGCACTCTTCTACGGCCTACGCTATGGTACAGACACCGCGAATTGGATCACCTTCGCTATCATCACCGCGCTATGGGGGTTCAACATCTACTGGCAGCTGACTCGACGCTCGTGGTACCTCTTTCGGCGCGAGGAGTATCGGCCTATAGGCGTCACCAGCAAATGGGCGCTCGACTTCACTGCATGGACAGGAACCCTTTCCACTTGCGCCGCTGTGGTACTGCTGACCATCGGGACCATACCGACTGATGTCTGGGTACGGGTTTGCGCTATGGCCGTGCCGGCGATTATGTTCGTGCTCGGTCTGATTGGGTGGGCTGTTCTGCACTACGCGCTGTTCGGGTGGCCAGCGCCATTTCGTTTGAGCTCGACTGCGAAAGGCGAGATTGTCAAGCCGTGCGCGTATTACTTCGTAGAGGATGTCTTGGCTGTGGACGGGAAGGGTGGACGAGCGGTGAGAGAGGCGATGGCTGCCAGGTACAATGCCAGTCCGCGGTTCAGGAGGATGTTATTCGTGCAGAGCATCTTCTTCGTCTTCCCGATGCTTATCTTGGCGGCTGGCTTGACGGTCGTTGCGGTGCTTCATGCGATTTCGAGGCCGATTGTCTTTGGTGTTTGTGAGTATTTCTGCTCCCCGGAATATCGTGCATCTTTGTGCTGACGATGCAACAGGTTCTGGCGTGCCCTGGATATGGGTTGTGATGTGGGCTCTGATCAGCTGGGCAATGGTCAAGCGAGATCTGCGGCGCGAGCGCGAAGAGTGGTCGAAAAATCAGGCGTCCTTGCTGGGTCAGTGTAGCTGCTGCCCGAGATCTGCATAGTCCATAGTAAAATCTATCCATTGATTGTACTCGCCGTGCCAGTATTCATAGTAGGCGAGCACACTGCTACTGTAACGGACACGTGTGAAGAAGCCATTGAGGTCATACCCGCCGCGAAATGTCGCTCCGAAGGTCGAGAGAGTCGCCATCGCCATGTATGCACATGCAAGGTATTGTCTGCGCAACGCCGGGCACGATTCCAGGTGATCGGTCGATGTCTTGAGGAATTAGGAAGGGCTGCACCTGGATTGGCCTGTGCTGCGTGAGCAGCGTCGGAATCTGTAGCAGAAGACCCAGGCTACCGGGAAGTGGTGGACAACTACCTGGTTTCAGGTGCATCCGGTGGTCAAAATCACACACCGCCAAGGCCTACCAGCTGGGGTTGTATCGTTAGCGCGGGGCAAATGCCACCTGAAGAACCAGAAATATTAGTTTGAAGCCTGGTTGATAAAAGACGGTGAGGTAAGCGAAACGATCGCATTGGCGCACTTGCCAGTAGTCTCATCAGTTCCGAACCTTGTGCTTCGTAGTGGACTTCATGCAAAGGCAAAGATGAGGACCGCATAGACCACAGGGCTCCGCAACCCGCAACGTCCAAACATCGTGGCCTCAGGGCATCGTGAGCAGTAATTCCCTGCCGCTTGCTTTCCCAGAGCCAGAGCACACTCGAGACAGCTTGAGAGGCGGCCATAGTACCTGTCCGCCATGTCCGCTGGCGGATCGGAGCGCAATGAGAGCTTGGCAGTCGATGTACGAAGTGCCCGTTCTGTGCTGATCAGTCACTCACAATGATAGTCTGCTGAGGTGCCATTCCCAACGCCAGGAGACGACGATGGCAACATCTATGCTTCTTCAGTCCAGTCCGGTGTTTTCAATTATGTATACGCAAATGGAAGGCGATACAACTCCTACCATTCTGGTGGGTGGGTGGTGTCAGTTGCAGCGCTATCAGGCCGAGACATTCCATGCTGATAAGGTCCAGACCCAACGACCAAAGCGAGCAAGATCGAATGGACCTCATGCATCATCACTGGAAAGCCATGCTCGGCGGAAAGTCGCTGCGATTCGGCGACCGTGTTGAAAGGATGGGCCGAGTCCTAGACATCGGAACAGGCACTGGTATGCTCCGCCCCGCGAGCTGTGACTCTAAGTACTGGGCGTTTGCTTCGAGCGCCTACCTTGAATTGTCGACCCGTAGAGCCTGCTCATGATGGACTTTTTGGCCAGGGAGGGCTCTGGGACCTCAGCACTGTTACGCTGATCAACTTGGTGGGCTTGAGATGAGCCTCACTCGAGCGTCAGTGCCGAAAGTTGATACCTGCTCGACTTTCTTGCCAGGGAGGGCGCTGTAGGGAGATCACCCAGTGCGCCCAGTCGCGATCAGCCCCGTCGGGAACCAGGAACGCCGGCTAATTGAAGCAGGTCTATGGGCCATCGACGTCGCAGATGAGTTTCCAGAAACAATGGTGATTGGGACAGATCTTTCGCCGATCCAACCTAGCTGGATCCCTCCTAATTGCCATTTCTTCGTGGACGACGCGGAGTCGATGCCGTGGGAATTCGAGCACAAATTCGACGTGATCCATTTCCGCTCGATGGAAGCAGCCTTTGCAGACTGGCCAGCCATCTATCGCCAAACGTTAGACAACCTGGAACCTGGAGGAATCGTCGAAAACCAGTCTCTGGAGACGTGGATCTTTTCACTCGATACTGAAGTTCCGCCAGGAATTATGGAGTGGCAAACATCGCTAATAGAGGCTGCTAGACGCTTTGGAAGAGACATGGACATCTCATCGCAGCACCGAAGGCTGATGGTCGAGGCGGGCTTTACTGAAGTCGAAGGTATATCGAGCCCTTTTGTAGACTGGCTGTACAACATGAGCTGACATACCATGCAGAGGTGACATATAAGATCCCTCTCGGGCCCTGGGCGAAGGGCGACAAGGGACTCAGTGAGATCGCGCTCGCAGTGGCTCTGTACGCAATCGAGAGCTATTCTCTGGCGCTTTTCACCGGTCAACTGGGCCTGACTGTAAGTAGGTTCTCTTGTCAGGGCCCGCCCAAACATCACTACCCAAGCTGTGACTCTGAGTACTGGGTGTTTCCACCAAGTCGACCACCTTCCATTCTTGAGCCACAGATGCTGCACATCATCTATCTCTCGTCCAGGGAGGGCGCTGAGGCTCTAGCACAATTCCCGTGATCGAGCCAGTGGCCGTTGAGATGAGTCTCCCTCGACCTCATTGCGAAAGAATGGTATCCCGTGGACTTTCTCGCCAGGGAGGGCGCTGTAGAGGAAAGCCCAGTATTTTCAGTCACTGATGGATACCTGAAGCCCGCCTGCTAACGATGAAACGGGCAAAGACTGACGCGTGACAGGAACAACGGACACGAGAAATGATCGAGAGAGCTCAAACAGAGGTCTCAGACTTGAGCAAGCATTTGTATGTGATGGAAAGAATCACTTTTGGCAGGAGACCTCGACCTACTGAGGCAGAACCAGCTGCTCAAGAGATAAGATCCATGCCGCTCCGAGGACCTGCGCCGTAGCATACAAATGGTGAACTGCGTGAAAAGAAGTAAAGTCTTCGAGTAAACTCGAAGCTTCGAGGTTCAACCCGAGAAAGGCGGCGTTCTTGGCAGACCCCACCTTTCCGCCCGCAGATGAGGCCACGGTGGGTGGGAGTCGACAACATGTCTCCAGCAGCATACACAGTTGCCTAGTCAGACGCTTCACGCTGTCTCTATCAATATTTGAAGCGGAGGGATATCGATCCGCCACCACCTTCCTCACAAATATTGATAGCACGGCGTGCGCGACGCCGCTCCTCCGATGCGCTCTCAACCTGTTCGATCATGCTGAGATAGTACAAGTGCAGGAAGGCATTTTTGATAATGGAGGTAAGTCTGCGCGAAAAGCCATGAACACGTACCCGCTTATTTCCAACGCCGAGCCGCTCGAGATATCGTCGCGGGGCCATGTCTTTGGCGCTATGCGCTGCACATCTCGGTCGTTGATCTGCCTCCTGCGGCGTGTATATATGTCTGACTGTGACAATTACAGGCGACGTCCGCCCGGATGGCTTCGCGAAGTCAGTTTGAGGGCTTCTCGCCTCCGAAGACTACTCTACAGCGGTTTATATTCAATGCCTGCGATCCTGTCTCGAACTATGAGCCAAACCTGGCACTCAACCTCGAGATTGTGGACATGATCAATGCCAAAAAGGGTAGTGCACCCAGAGAGGCTGCCTCGACCATCGTTCAGCTCATAAATCATCGCAATCCGAATATCTCCCTATTAGCGCTAGGACTACTCGACATCTGCGTCAAGAACTGTGGCTATCCGTTCCACCTCCAGATTAGCACCAAAGAATTCCTGAACGAGCTTGTGCGCCGGTTTCCTGAGCGCCCGCCAATCCGTGCCAGTCGAGTTCAGAACAAGATCCTCGAAGCGATCGAAGAATGGCGGAGCACAATATGCCAGACGTCCAGGTACAAAGAAGATCTCGGCTTCATCCGAGACATGCACAGGTTGCTATTATACAAGGGATACATGTTTCCTGAAGTCCGGCGAGACGATGCCGCGGTCTTGAATCCCAGCGATGTAGGTGTCCTGCAACGGCTGAGGGACCCTGCTGACCGAGACAGAATCTCCAATCTGCCGAAGAGATGGAGAAAGAAGAGCGCGAAGCACAGTCAGCGAAACTGCAGGAACTGATCCGGAGAGGCACGCCGGGCGACCTGCAGGAAGCCAACAAGTTGATGAAAGTCATGGCAGGCTACGATACCAGGAATAAGACCGACTACCGCGCCAAGGCTGCCGAAGAAGTCATGAAGATCCAGCACAAGGCTAAGATTCTCGAAGAAATGCTGCAAAACCACAAACCTGGCGAAACCATTGGTGACGGAGATGTCTTCGAGGTAAGTATATGCCGCCATACGTGTACCACGCAACCCAGGCTCATTGCATGACAGGAACTTGCTTCGGCCTTGGCGAGTGCGCACCCAAAGATCCAGAAGATGTGCGAGGAGGAGTCCGACGACGCCGAAGCTGTCGCGAAGCTGCTCGAGATCAACGATAGTATCCATCGTACCATCGAGCGATATCGACTCATGAAGGCTGGCAACGTCGTTGCAGCGAATCAGATCAAAGCTGGAACACTCGGCACAACTACTGGAGTTGGAAAGAATGCTGCGAATGAACTCTCACTTATCGATTTCGATCCGGAGCCTCCAACTCCCTCCGCCGATCAAACTGCCAATGGGTCGTTACTGGATGGCGCAGGGTCGACAAGCGGACCGTCTCGACCAACTACTGTCGAGGATGATTTACTTGGCTTGTCGCTGGATGGCACCCCGGGTGGAATGATCTCCCTTGGACCGAGCTCGACCAGCGCAACCACTGATATGTTCGGCACTCCACAATTCACAAATCCGCCGCAAGCATCGATCCCCTCCTTCAGCTCACCTATGGCATCGCCTCCACCACAAGCATCACCAAAGCCACCAAACTACGACGCCTTCGCCACCTTAACAAGTGCAGTTCCATCCTCGAAGCCAACAACACCACAACCTAACCTCTTCCAGCAGCAGCAGCAGCAGCAGCAAAAAGCCACACCTGTGGACCCCTTCGCGGCGCTCGTCTCCGGGAGTTCCCGTTCCAACACACCGTCAGGGTCAAGGCACGTCTCGCAAGCATCAAGTGGCCAACAAGCCTCCCTGCTCGACCTCTCCAGACCTTCGGCGCCTGCCGCTGCCCCAGCGGCCTCCACAGCAGCGGACGACGAGTGGACATTTACATCAGCCGTCCCCTCGGAACCCGAGACAAGCAACGTCCAGGTCCACAGCTCCGCCATCGGTATCAGCTTCCAATCTCGCCGCCAACAAAATCAGTCACAGCCGAACACCCCAATCCACATCACTGCTCACTTCAGTAACAACTCCCAGCAACCTATAACAGGCCTCAAATTCGAAATGGCAGTCGAAAAAGCTACAGCCTGCAAATGAAGACGCAGACTTCTAGAGACATGTCGCCAGGAAAGCAGGACGCCGTGCAGCAGGAGATATTGCTAAGCGCCGTACCTCACGGTAGTGGTGGGAAAGTCAAGATGCGGTTCAAGGTCAGCTACGTGCTTGGAGGACAGCCGCAGACGGAGCAGGGCGTTGTGCCGAGTCTGGGACTTCAGTGAAATAGTTGATACGAAGACCTGCAGACCTGCTCGTACTCCATATGTTGGAGCTCGGGAATGATATTCAATGATATCTCAAATCTCACAAGCATCATCCACAAGGCCTCTCGGCTGAGCTATACCGCCATCGAGGTCTTCATTGCATGGACGCACCTTTGCTGCTACCGGTGCTTTGTGGCTGCCCTTCTTACATCAAATCGTTGCTGACAATATCTGGCTGCTCTACTGAGGAATCTTCGAAGTAGTGTACGAAGACTGTGGTTCAGATCTTGGGAATAGTCACGCACCAAACCCTGATGAAGGCCTCACTTGTCTCGAGCATGTGCGATCCCACCTTGTAGACTGCTTGCCCAAGGGCGTGACTCACCTTGTAAGTTGGTTGCTATACCGTCGAGCTTCAGCTTGCGATCTTGTTTCTCATTGTTGTGCTTCGAGCTCGCCATGCCAGATACCAATCGTGCTTGGGTCAGGCATACTTGCTCACCTTTTTGCAAACCTCACCGGAGCAGTCCTGCCTGATCTAGATGAGCAAAAACCTGATGGTTCAGCTGTGTAAACAGACTTGCGCGGACGTGCGCGCTGTACTGAGACAGGTTACTCCTTTTGCCCACTACCTCCTGCGTCTGCAAGCCCCGTCAGGTTCTTGTGGCATCGATCGATTGATCGAGTCCTTAAGAGATCACAAGCCTTGGCATATTGTGCTCACCTGGAGATGGCTGTTGCTGAGCCACCAGTATGATCGACGCGTCTCGAGGCGGTGCAGGTCGAGACGCGCCCTCCAGCTGAGCTGAAGCTCAGGCGAAGGCAGATGACTCCCACTACTTTGTGACGTAGTGGAATTCCGCCGTTGTACAGCCAAGTCGCTGCCACTCCGCCCTCACCTTTTGGGATAGCCAGCCATGCCGGATGCTGATAGGGGGCATGCTCGGACTCACAGTGGATATCGAGCGTTCAGCTGATGCTGGGTCCTCCAGTCAGTATTGATATCTCACAAAATTGAGTTGCTGGATCTGCGCTCATCGAACCTCCTTTCAGCTCCTGCCATGCGACATCCGAAAGGGGACGTTGTGTTAGCCTCTCGATGAGCTTTGGATTCCCCCGCAACACGATGTCCTTCTGTCGGTACCGCGTTCGGTACGGGCCACGCGCGGTATGCCCATAGGCTAAGACCCCTAGACTTTGCCATTATTCGGCTCCATGTGGGTGTGCAGCTGAAAGGCACGGTTCGCGGCGCGAGGCTGGGAGCTCCTTAATTCGCGTCCTTGATATGACTTCAGGCAACAGTGCAGCACGCAGCGATGCCGCACATGACCGGCCTCCGAGGCTTGACGCCGTAAAGCCGTTGCTGCCAGCACTCGAGCAGGTTTTGCGGTAGTTCGCGGAAGCTGCGATGTGTGTTCGGCCACTTCGGATGGCTGGTTGTTGGTGGATTGCGGCAGGAAAGTAAGGAATCTGCGAGGGTTTGCGCAAGCTGCAACATGTTCTCGCTTACCTTGAATGAGTAAGGCTGGTCATATTGCTGCCGGGAAGAGCCAACCACAACACCGTGTACTTACGAGAAGAACTCACCGTTTGTAATGGCACTGCGAGCAGCCATGAAAAGACGGCCTGGGTCAGTTGGGTGATCCAACGAGGTCGCCGCCTCAGCCTGGTTGACCATCGACGAACAGTCGCTTCGAGAAGTCCTTCCCCACTGAAGGACGGATGCTTTTCATGGGGTTCGTGACTGTACACCCTCGATCGGGTGTGCGCGCTGCGCGAATTGTCGTGCCTTTCTTCGTTGACTATCGACCGTTGTATGAACAGTCACACCTTCACTAGTTCTGACGAAATTCCACTTCCTGGAATTGCTAGCGCAGGTCGACGCTGTGATTGTCACGACGTTTCGACCCTCTGAAACTGTTGTAGCCAAAGGATTCCTCGTCGCAATTAGATAATAGAAAGGAATTTGTTTATTGTGGTGAAGACTTTATCCGTAAGATCGGGCGATGCAAATCGATCGACCGGCCGAGTCGGCCGAGTCGGTGTAGCTTCAGGTATTTGTTATATCAGTTTGGAGGCCGACTCGACCGAATGATACCTGAGTATACCAAGCAATTTCTCGAACCATGTCAGGCTAAAGTCGATCCTGAGATGTCAGAATGTGAGATCTATCGATCTTGCAGACTGTCAGATCTGACACAGGCACAGGGTGAACGGAATTGATCTTTCGGCGCACGTGGTGTCCACTAGGTGCCGTGACGGAACTGAAAGCCGTAGAACATTACAGGCTTGCAAGCTTATCCGCGACCGTCAGCTCTCCATCGCCCTCACACTGCGTGAGGCAACAGATATATCCGCAGGGAGCTTTACGGCAACTATCGTGAGTACCATGCTCGCATATGCAAGATGCATCGGCGTAACCTGACCGGGGGCTGCATCAGCCTGCATGAAATTCAACTCTGTGAGCCCTTTCAATGGCTGAGAGATCGGCGATCGCAAGACCAATAAGCCAAGCCTGGACCATCTTTGAGAAGATCGCCGAAAGACTGACCTGTGCTGGCATGGTTTTCGACGCTGACGATGCCGATCGATCTGTGATTGTCGCACGGAACGACGTTCCTCGCAATGCGAAAGGCAACTTGGTGCTGGAGTCGCATAAGTGAATGGAAACGAAGGTGCTGCGCAGCTTCACTAACGGCGCCGGCTAAGAACAAAACGTGCGACTGCTCATGACCGAGATCGATCGCGCGTAAGGATATCTCACGTCGTAGGCACCTAGGTACAGCTCGAGTACCTGCCCTCGCTTAGAAGGCAGGCGCAATCAGCAGTCTCTATGTGGTATCCGGACAGACCGAATGTTCGACCGCGCGCTCGTTTCACGGGGTTGCAGATCTGATCTCGTAGATCATTGATCTTATTTTTACTCTGCTGCAGAAACGTGCGATTTCATCACAGGCGTCTGCTATAATGTAGCCAGAGGAGCACCTCAATATCCACGGTTATGGCGAATGCCCAACCGTTGCAGAGTGTTGCGAAACGGAGAAGCTCTGACAGAAGAAACACGATCGCGCTAGTATCGACGCTAAGAGGGCCAGGGCCCACATCAAAGGGGAGCCAGCGGAAGCCGCACCTCTCTCCTTCTCTGATGGCCGCCACCATGATGAACAGAAACCCTCGCATTTCAGTTTTCAGAACACGAGTAGATCACAGCATGTCATCAGTGCTCGACAAAATCCGATTTCAAAGCATGCCTCGCTTCAGCGCCATGCCTTGGAGATCGGCCATAGTGGTTGCCTCTTGCGAAGGGCACAGCCCCCTCCAGCTCTGCGGTAAGAGAATTTCCCCGCCGATCCTACCGCTGGCTCTTACCTGGGTGGGCGTGGTCTCCAAGTGACCTGCCCATTGGGGCATGGTCCGCGGAAATTCTTAGGCGATGCAAACATGGGATTCTTGAAAAGACGGGAATTCCACATAGGCTCCTTGCCAGGCCTACCATGCTTGTTTCGGCCAACCACCGGTCTCTGTGCCGCCTAAATCCTCTGACATGGGGAGCCCGCGCTGTCAACCCCTCTCGGTCAGTTCACGAGGTCGGTTGGAACGGCCTAAGCGCTGCCAGGGTGAGCTGAGCCAGCGTCTCTCTGTCGGTTTTTCTAGCTTTGTTGCACACTGGCAACCGAGCAGAACGCAGGGTCCCTGCGCTCAGATCTCCTACCCTCATCTGCCTACTAGGACTCCCGATTCCTCCAGCCAACCCTCAACTAGCAGACCTCATTTACCTTTCTGGCCAGATAGCCAGCCATCGATCGCCAGAAGCCCAAGCCGGAGAGGTCTCCATTATTTCTGGTCCTGTTACTTCCGAGAACTGACGGCTCGTATTTTGGAGGTTGCTACAACTATCTTTCTGCTCCATCCCTCGCTCTCCCTCGGGCGTCTTAGCTTTCAACACCTCTCTTTTCCTTTCAGCCACCTTTCCATATCTTCGACACTCACCCTTTGGGCGTACTCGAATCATACAGCTCGCTATCGCAGCAGTTTGGACGTTGATAGTTCAGTCTATCAGCCATTTGGTCGCCTTCACGCGCCCCGAGAACGGAATTCGGAAATCCGCCCAGCTCGGCCGCGTTGCCTACTATAACTTTTGCCACCTCATGTTGAGCCTCTCCCGATAAGTACACACAGCAAGCAACACGACAAAAAAGGACAGCAGCTTCAGCCTAATCCATTCGTGAACACCTCGGCGCCCAGTATCCTGGCTTGTCCAGAGTACTAGCCCGTCGAGTCCGGATTCGGAATTGCAAACCATCGATACTGCTCAACAGCAGTCTTTGGTAGTTAGCTAAAACAACCAGGCACTTCGTGCCATACTCTCTAGCCTCGGTCTTGTTGCTTGCAGAAGCAACAGACTAGTTGATCGGCTCAAGCAATCAATCTTATAAAGATGCCTCCCACCAGAACAATTCCGCCTGCAAAGGCTGTGAAGACAGAGCGAACCCATGAGGAGAACCAGGAGAGGTAATGACTTCACTCCTCCAAGATAATATGCAAACTTACATGAGTTCAGGGCCTACATCGCCGCATCTCGCCGCAGTGACCGAAGTCTGGAAGCCAGAGTTGAATCTGCCCGCAGAGCATCAGAGATTCATAAACGGCGGACAGGTCGCTCACTGAGAGTAACCGAGCAGGATGTTATCAATGAAGAGATGTACGAGGAAGAAGACGACGATCTGCCAATGCAATATCGTCGCTTGACAGCGCATCTCCAGACCGGCTCTGCAGACTTCAACCGACGACTTGCTGCATACTTGACCAACCAAGTTGCGATGCGAAGTGCTATGGAACAGATGGTCAACACTGGCTATCCAGCACAGTACGGCAACCCTCAATACCCGCAGAACGCACCGGGCATGTTCCAGTCGCCTATGTTGCCTCCGCAGATGACGCAGTCGCCCCAGCAGTCGTACCGAGCATCACCGTACCCATCGCCACATCAAGCCAACTTCCGTCAGCTTCACTCCAGAGCATATTCGATCAATGGCCCTATCACCACAGCAGGTTCAACAAATGCACGTCCAGGCATGACCGATCGGCGTATGTCGACACCAGGCAATGTGCCTCATCCCAGTCCTGGGTCTATCAACACGAGTGCTGAGTCGGATGCGGACTATATTCGCCAGACACAGTCTGCTACCATGCCTTACTCGTACAATATGCCATTCACTACGACTTTGCCACCGGAGTCGCAGCAAATGCTTGGGCCTGCTCTTGATCCTAACGATCCTTTTTCAGCCCAGCTCATGGCCGGCTCCGAGACATTCACTAATGTTGCTGGGTACCCATGGGCCGACATGTCGCACGGTGTGAAGGGCATGCCTGTTCATCCATCCGCCTGGCCCGGCATGTCCGCCACGCTGGCTCCATCTGCTCTGATCTCTACACCGACGTCTGCTGCTAGTACTCCTGGTACCTCGGCTGCTACCACAAAAGACTCCAACGCTCCGTCTACAGGCTTGGACTTCCACTTCAGTCAGGAGTCCAAAGGCTTAAACCTGTCTAACATCGATGGCTTCAGCAGTGACGCCGTCGACTCCGGACAAGTCACTCCTGGAGAGGGCTTCTGGGATAACTTTGTACACGACGGCAGCTGGACTGAAGAGGCATCCGCATCTAATTGATTAGCTTGAACCCCATTCATGGGGTTCCCATCGGCCACTCGCTGGCCTTTACCATCATTTCGAATCTCGCCGCAGATTTACCGACATAACTCCCCTCCTTCTCAATTTTTGACCCACGGAAAAGAAGGGCATTTTCGGTCCATAACGCATGAAAACAACATGCCTGGATTGTGCCGGGAATGTCAAGACGTGTTTGACACTAAACAGCTATTGCGTTTTGAGAGCGGGAATACCAGGCAAGAGCAACTAGGTTGCAGGGAGCAAACATCTCCCTCCCTAGTCCGAGGTTTTGTACACGAAGGGTGGGCGGGATGGACTCGTGTACAACAGCTGAGTGAGGGGCCAACGGGAATTTGTGGCGCTGATAAGACATGATTCGTCACGATTAACGACCGTTACGATCTGTTTGTTGAAAGCACAAATTGCTCTATACCCTATGTCCCAATCAATGAATAATTTTGGATTAAGCAGCTTCATTTTGCGCGTTGTGCTGTGTCTCCGGCCCGTTCTGCTAACAGTCCATCCGGGTGGTAGCATGACGCGGTCTGTGTTGGTAGATCTGATACTTGTGTGAGACCGGTAGACTGGATGAATATAAATGAAAAGCACCACGCTACTCTAACGGTGTCCTGCACCCTCGGCCAGGCCATACTGACTCGCAGGAGACGGCAATCGAACGGGAGGTGTCATGCTTAAGACTCGATGGAGAAGTAGTTAGCTGCAATGCGCTGCTGTCCGCCACCAGTCGCAACGTGACGAAGTCTGTGAACCGTCATGTGTTCGTTGAAGAAATCGTTTAAACTTCGTACATCCCACCCCCTGCTCGCCAAGGAATCGGCTCCGGAAACCTCACGTAGGACCTCGCCGACAATCAGCTCCGCGCAAACATCGATCAGGCATCAAGATAAAGTTGAGAAGCAGCGAAGCTCACTGCTGGCCAGTGTTCATGCTATATAGTCGACGCGGTTGATCAAAATCCGTTCTTCTTGTCTCACACGCCAACGTCGAGCAGCCAGACGACTCACATCATGGCCCTAGTCGAGAGCCTCCGCTCGCAGCAGATCACCGGCCGGCTCATCTTCCTGCTACTGACCGCAACCCTCGGACCGTTCCTGTTCGGCTATCATCTTGTAAATTTCAACGCGTCCTCTTGACTACAGAGCTCATTTGACTGACCATACACCTGCTAGGCCGAGCTCAACGCACCCCAAGATGTAATCACATGCAAGCGCAAATCCATCGCCTCCTCAACAACATCCCCCACCCTCCCACAATGCATCCCCATGTCTCCCCTTTCAATCGGACTCGTCTCCTCAATTTACACCCTGGGCGGCCTCTTCGGCGCTCTCTCCACCGGAACCCTCTCCGCCACTTACGGCCGCCTCCGGCCCATGCGCGCCGCCGCCATCATCTCCATCATCGGCGGCCTGCTCACCGCCGTCGCCCCATCCATAGCAATCATGTCCCTAGGCCGCTTCATCTCTGGTCTCGCTGCGGGCTCCGCGACGGTCGTGGTGCCGCTGTACATTTCTGAGATCGCGCCGCCGGGGAGGAAAGGGATGTTGGGGGCGATGACGCAGATTATGACTTGTACGGGCATTGCTGTGACACAGGTGTTGGGGTACTTTTTGAGCAGCGGGCAACGGTGGAGGGCGATTCTGCCTTGCGGCCGTGGTGGGGTTGGTGCAGCTAGTGGGGCTGACCTTTGTGAGCGAGTCTCCGAAATGGCTTGCTGAGCATGGGAGGGCGAGGGAGGCGAGGGGGGTGTTGCAGCGGATCAGGGGCGACTCCTACGACATCAAGTCTGAAACGACTGCATGGGAGGATGGAGAAGCCGCTGAGGAGGAAGATCCAGAAGAGCAAGGACTCCTAACCCAACAAACGACCGCCTCCTCCGCCGGCAAGCCCCATCTCGACAGAAATTCCACGGAAAACAAATCAATCCTCCAAGTCCTCCGCGACCCCGCAACTCGGCCAGCCACCATCGCCGTCATCGCCGTCATGACGGCTCAACAGCTTACCGGCATCAACTCCATCGTCATGTACGGCGTCACCCTACTCGCCTCCCTATTGGCCTCCTCATCCGCCCTCCTCAACATCGTCGTCAGCGTGCTGAACATGTTCGTCACGATCGCCTGCTCCCCACTACCGGACCGCTTCGGGCGCAAGACCATGCTCTTGGTCTCGATCGCAGGCATGGGCACGTCCTCCATCCTCCTCGGCATCGGCATCCGCGCTCCATTCCAGTACTCTCCGCAGTGGCAACGCTCCTATTCGTTGCCTCCTTCTCAACAGGTCTCGGACCCGTACCCTTCATTCTGAGCTCGGAATTGGTCAACGCAGACGCGGTGAGCAGCGTGCAGAGCTGGGCACTCGCAAGTAACTGGATCGCAACCTTTGTGGTGGCGCAATTTTTCCCTGTGGTGAATGAGGCGTTGGGGAAGGGCATCACGTATTTTGTGTTCGCGGGCTTTGGGGCTTTCTTCTTCATGTGGATCTCGTGGTATGTGCCGGAGACGCGGGGGAAGACGGCAGATGAGGCGTGGGGCAGGGTGGGTGAGCGGGAGGAGTAGGGAGACTGAGGATTCGTAAAGGCCGGGGGAGCAAGAGCCATGGGTCGGGCAGATCCCGGAAGATCGTGCCATTGGAAGCTATTACGGGATTGTGTAGAGGATCGAGACGCGCTGTACGCTGCCACTGCGTCTGTCCATTGGGGCCATAGGTTGTCGGTTGAGCACGAACCAATCCCTGCAGGATCTGAAAAGGCTTGTCCGGTACGCAAATTCACAACACAATCTGCAGTGCTTCCCCATCTCCCAAGTTCCCTTCTCAGCACTTTCAGATTAGCTCCTTCCCTCATTGAACGACAGAAGTCGCAGTGGTGTGGGCAGCTCATTGGACAGGTTAAAGTCGTAGTGGCGTAAAGGCTCTCATATGCGAAGGACGACGGCTGTCTCCAACAAGCCTTGGAGAAGTCACGAGGTTTACATAAACACTTTCAGCCGGCAAGATTTCTGAATATCTCTGCGTCTCTACATCATCTATAGCCCAGTATGTACTACCATGGTCAACAAACGTGCTACCGATCCAGAACGAGCGGACGACGGGTTGAGGCCCAGAAGAAAGCAAAAGTTGTCTGATGATCAACTCCGGCGGAAGCGAGCATCGGACCGTGAAGCTCAACGCGTGTCCAGAGAGAAGACCAGGTGTCATGTGGCCCATCTTGAAAGCATCATTGAAGCTCTTCAAGCCGGTCAAGATGATCGCGTGCACCTTCTAATTGAGCAAGTCAGCCAGCAGAAGACAGAGCTTTCACGTCTCAAGAATGCGCTGAATTCTATCTTCAAGATCGCTGAAGTCAGCAGACAGACGACTGACTCACTGCCAGTACATCGATCCAGATCGAATTCGACGCAGGAGCATAATGCAGGTGATCTTCTGGACAGCAGAGCAGAGAAGGTTGCAGCACCTCTAGCTTCTCAGTTTCGCAGCAATTTGGAGTCTGGTCAACAAGCTCAGCCGCCGGTGCTTACCGCGGGCGTTACAGAGCTTACAGCAAGAGCTCCTACGGACACAGAGCTGGAGTATCCTATATCGATCGCGCAGCTTGCTTCCAGCATCATCAAGAGGAAAGACCTGGACGGTCGCTATTGGTTCCTAGCCGGAACTCTGCTCAGTCATCTCCGCAAGACACGGGGCGAATACCCGCTATCGACAGCCAGCGACGAGGACATCGTGATCAGAGCCATATTCGAAGGCTGGTCAGCCGTAATCGAGAGGTATCCGCTCGACCGAGGTTTTCAGTGGTTGAAGGAGCTCGATGAGAACATATACTTTTCCGGTACGGCAGAAGGCCGCCTTGTTCACCTGCGTAACAGCCGTTTGCAATTCCTCCATCAAATGCAACCCGATGCGGGGTGGAACCATGCGCTGCCAGAGTTCTTCGCACCAGGTCCATTACAACAAAACATGGAGCATGATCCACTTATAGAGTATTTTCCTTGGCCCGGTTTCCGTGAAAGGGTTCTCTTCTCGCCCCGCCGCTACGCAACTGATCAATTCATGGGAGCACTGGCACAGAATGCGAGGTTTGAGTGGCCATACGATCCCCATGACGTGTTTATCAAGGATCCGGTCAGTGGTCTTTACAGCTACTCGGCAACATTTCAGCAGAAAGTCATGGATTTCTCGTGCTACACAGTCAAAGAGTCTTTCTTTGACTGCTTTCCTGAATTGCGTCAGGACATTCCTCAGTATGGTGTCCCAGCTGTTGTCAGATCAGTCTGTCTTACGGATGAGTCTGGAAGTCCAGACACGGCGCGACACGAACATAGCTTCCCATGAGGAAGCATCGTCGATCTTTCTCCCAGAGAGTTCTCCAACGCGGCTCTTGGTTTAGTTGAGTCGCTTCGGCATCAGCTGAAGAACAGTGCGACCATCAACTTCGACATCGAATGATGCTGTCCCGTCCATTTCTGCAGTCGCTTGCTGGCCCCCCAGATCATACACCTCTCCTGGTCGCAGTCGCTTGAAGCCGAGTGGGAAAGTGCCCGCTTCCTTGCCTGGATATAACACCAGGTCTACGCTGTCTCCGTCTTGTGAGTATGCCTTTGCGACCAGAATGTCTGGAAACGGCACGACGTCCAGGATTGGTCCTCGTTGCACACTTGGCTCCGGACCCTTGGTTGCCATTTGTACCCAGTCTTGGAATCCAGCCATTCGACCTCTCATCGCCGCTCCTTGTTCGATAGTTGAGAGTCCCTTGTTCTTCAGAGCGCCGGTCGAGGTTGTGAAGACCGGATGATATTCTTCATCAAGCTGACGCAGCATTTCATCGCGAAGCTCCAGGTCGCCAAACTCTGCAGCCGCACCGGCGAATGTCGCTCGCATAGCGCCCACCCCAGATTTGTAATTGCCCGGATCGAGCTTGTCTGCTCCGATCAGATTCACGAGATCGACCTTGCCATTCTTGTCTTTCCTGACGGCCTCCTTGACAGTGAAAGCCCAGTTGCGGTGAGCAATGTGAGGCAAATAGGATGCACAAAGAATCGAGTTTGCGACATCAGAAAGCTTTCCGGCAAGACCTGGGATCTAGGAGAAGTCAGTACCGATCTTCACATTTCATGTCGAGACGTACCGTAAAGCCTGTGAGCTCGCTCCGAATAGGCAGAATGCTGCCATCACGATTCGAAAACTCTTCTTCCAGCGCTGCTTCGAAGCGCTTCTTCAGCGACGAAGCATAGTTGACACCAAGCAGTCTTTCGGCGTATACCATGCCGCTGATACCGACCAGATTACAGATGGTGTAGATCCAGTTTGGTTCACAACTGTACAAGCAATATGGACCTTCGTCCCAATTTCTCTTCGCGGCGTCTGCGATCGCTTTGAAGTCATAAGGATATCTGTGATTCTTATCGACCTCAAAGACAAGACTGTCCTTCTGCGTATACCGGTCGTCTCCCGAGGTGGTCTGGTAGATGCCAAGTGCTTGAAGCATGTATCCGGAGACCATGATATCGTCCTTCTTGATTGGGTCCCAGTCCGTGGTGAATTTACCCCACAACGACTCCCACTTCCAGAAGCCAACGACGCGTTCAGTCAAACTCTTCTCGATGACGTTTCTCATTCCCTGGGTCAGATAGCCATGGAAGTTGGGCGCATAGATGAATTGATAAACGCCGAGATCGCTGACAGCCTCATACAATTGGTAACGGATTGCGGACGTCTGAAATTGGTCGATTACATCGTGGTACGAAAAGTCGTCTTTGGCGGTATGAGCCAGTTCCAGAAACCACTGCAGAAATCGAAGAGCGCGCAGATCAAGCTCACGAGAGCCAGGCTCGTGTCTCTTGCCTGCAGCTTGTGACTTCTGTACAGTTTCAATGAGGTAGGAGTTGCGTTCCTCGCGAATGGATCGAGACTCTGCATTCGCAGCGTGCGTCACATAAGTCAAATATGCCACGCCTCCAGCACAAATAGCGGTCCAGAGCGGCGCCGCGCCGTCAAACAACGATTCTCGGGCCAGTAAGCCTGCCAATGCAGAAGTTCCGACCCAGAACATGACTGGGAAAGCGACCCCTCCAGCACCGAACCAAGCGAACAGCACCAACGGGATCAAAGCTGTCGAGACCAAGAGACCAAGGATGGCCGGTATGGTCGCGACTGCGAGAAGGCCGGCACCAGGAAATAGCAATCCAAGACTGCTTGCCCGGACTGCGGGAGATTCGAAGGTATAGAAGGAGTAGAGGCCACTCAATGCCATGAAAGCATACTGCACAAGGGTGCGGCCCTGATACCACCACTTTACAGTGCCAGACCCGGCCTTGTCTGGTATGAGGACATCTGGCGGCCGATCAGTTCGAGGTGCTTATTGATGAGGCCATAGAAAGCTCACCCTTCCAGGCGAAATCGCCCACTATTGATCGTTCACCGAACTTTTCATTGTTGGTCAAAGCCTTGCCAGATGATCTGGTCGTCCTGGTGAGGGTCTCGCCTTGTCAGCAAAGTTCCTTGAAGGAGAGCCATTCTTACTTCTGTCGCCATGCTGGAAGGCGGTATACGACAACACGTCTCCTACAGAAGTCCACTGGACTTTAATCAAAATATGATCGGTATGCAACCCCCCTAAATATCCCTTACTGACTCGCATCTCTTGACTCCAGATGCATACCCGAGGTCAGCATTCTGAATCCATGCGTTCCCTTTGCGTATAAATCTGATCGCCATGTGCGCAGTTGTACCAACATTGAAAGGCTATTCCTGACCCCGGGTTCTGGCCATTGGCATTGTGTTGCGGGGAAGTGGATCTGGCACAGGCTGGGGAAGTGATGCGATTCAGTGAGTTTGACTCAAAGTCTGGGACTATGCTTGGCTGCACGAACTTACTGCCTGGCATTGAATAACCTCGAAGCCTTACGACTAGGACTCAGAATGAAGTGCTATCCCGTCGCTACTTCGCGTTCGACGTTCGAGCGGCGTGAGAGCTGTATCTCAACCTTTGCTCGATAGAGTGATTAGACATACCATCGACCAATGCCACGAAACATTTGCAGGGTCATTCGAAGCACGTACACACTTCCGGCATCAGCTCCACGGCAGCAGAAATCACGGCAGCACATATGCGGTACCCCTTGAGTCAAAATGGCATGTTGTATCTTCACGGCATACTTTATGAACCGCATGATCAAAGCTTGCGAAGTGCTGAACCTCAACCTCATCGAGTCTCACTACAACAAATTTCATGATGGACCATCAGATCTCGACCAAGAGACAGCAGGCTCCGATGTCGTTGTCTCGAGGATCTCAATTGACGGCATGACATGTGCCGCCTGTACCACCGCCATCGAAACAGCCATTACCGCACTTAAAGGCGTTCAACGAGTGACAGTCTCGCTACCTCTCGGACGAGCCACTATCGTCCATCATAGCAACCAACCCACGCAGCACGACCTAGTGGCCACCGCGGAAAATGCCGGCTACCGAGCAAAGTCAGGCGAACCAACAGCAGCTGAAAATCTTCAGATGACCCAGCAGACCCTTCAACTCGCCAAGCTCAAAGCAGCGCTGAGCAGCGCCATGACTCTTTCCTCAATCGTCGCGAGTCTCGACTGGCTGGGCTCGATCTCATGTCTGCAATCATACCGCCACGTCTTTCAGACTGCAACGATGATTCTGGGCGTATACATCCAACTCATCTCCGCGTCCTTCATCCACAAAAGTGCGTTCTCAAAGACCCTCACTGCGCCAACAATGGACACGCTCATCAGCCTTTCCCTCCTGCTCGGTCTCGCCTTATCTTTCTTCAACATCTCTCTCTTCGGCCTCGACACCGCCCAAACGTATTTCTCCTCAGGCTCCTTCCTCGCTCTCGTCATTATCGGCGGTCGTTACCTCGATCATCTCCTCCGCAGGCAAAGCGCCGCTAATCTCTCAGGACTATACAGACTACAAATCGAAAGCAGCATGGCCAGAGTCCGCGCTAGAGCCCCCTCCTTCATTACCACCACAAGTTCATCCTCATCCACCACCTCATACAGTCTATCACATCCCACACCAACAACTCTCATCCCTTGCGCCCTGCTCCGTCCCTCTGACGAAATCATAATCCCGCCCTCCACGATCATCCCTACCGACAGCTACATCATCTCCGGGCACAGCATCATCGACACCTCAACCATGACCGGCGAGTCCCTCCCACGGAAAGTCGGACCAGGTGATTTCCTCATGTCTGGCACGAGGAACCTAAGCTATGAGCTCGTGGCTGTAGTGGCGACCGAGCAAAGTCAGAGTGCGTTGGAGATGCTAGTTGAGAGCATTGCGGGGGCTACGGAGTCTTTGTCGCCATCGATCGATAGCGACGCTACTACCGGCAGTCAGGAAGATTATCTGCTACAGAATTTCGTCCCATCGATCCTTGCACTCACACTGCTCTCCTTCATGGCCACGCTTTTCTTCTCACCGGCCCACCTCACTCTTCCCCTCAAGATCAACATCGCAGCATCCAGAGCTATTACGGTCCTCGCATCAGCGTGTCCGTGCGCGTTGGGACTTGCTGCGCCGAGTGCGGTGATGGCGGCGGTGGATGTGGCGTTCATGAGGGGAATTATTGTGAAGGATGGATTGGGGACTTTGAAGAAAGTGAGGGCATTGGGGAGGGGAGGGAGGTTAGTGTGTGATAAGACGGGGACGTTGACGCGAGGGGAGCTGACTGTGGTGAGAGTGGAAGGCGACGTCTCCGTGGGGAGCATCGAGGAGAACACTGGCGCCGTTGCTGGTTCAGGCGTTGGCGTTGGGTCTGGAGTAGTGGAAGCTTGGCAAGCTCTGCTCATTGCCGCGGCGGAGAAGGAAGAAGCTCGGCGCCATCCGGTGGCGAAAGCGGTGTGGAATTGGGCTTTCCAGATGATGGATGAAAATACGAGAGTGCTGCTGAGTGCTGTGGACGTGAAGGAATATAACAGTGAGCTTGGGAAGGGTGTTTCGTGTTCAGCTCGTATCCCCAGGTTTCGCGTGGACGAAAATGAGGGTGTGGCAGAGACCGGAGGTGGAAACCGAGCTGCTGAGCGTGACATGTGGCATACCATCCACATCGGCACCGCCACTTTCCTCGCCGAGCATGGCATACCCCTTCCAAACTTCCCATCAAGATCTACCTCCCATATTGCCCATCGAGCAACAGTGGACGAGGCAACAACAGTCCACATTTCCCTCGATCTCACACATCTCACGACCTTGACCCTCCAGGACACGCTCCGTGATAACGCCGCCAGCGTTATCTCAACACTAAAAGCCCGCTACGGCATGGAGATCACAATGTTGACAGGTGATGTCTCCGCTGAAGCCAAGAGGGTGTCAAGGGAATTGGGAATTGAGGTATTGAGCTCGAGGGCGTTGCCGGGTGAGAAGGCGGACATGGTGAGGAAGTTGAAAGGTACGCAAGGGAAAGGCCGAGAGGTCAGTGAGGGCAATACCACAGGCAAGCCAAGGGATAGACCAATGGTGGCGATGCTAGGCGACGGTCTCAACGACGCTGCCGCTCTCGCTGCCGCTGACATTGGCATTTACCTCTCGCCTGACCTCGTCAACACTACTGCCAACGGCGGATCAATTCAGGACTCAACCTCCACCATCACGCTGACTTCACCCAACCTCTCCCGCCTCATCGATCTGCTCATCATAGCCCAGAAAACAGTCAACGCAGCGAGATACATGCGGTTGTGGGCCGTGTGGTATAATGTTGTGACGGTCGCGTTGGCCTTGGGGCTCGGTGAGCGGTGGGGCGTGAGAATTGATGCGAATGTGGCGGGCATGATGATGGCGGGGAGTAGTGTTGTGGTCGTGGGCAGCGCGGTCGGGATCAGGTGGGGGCTGGAGAGGGCCTGCGAGATGGGGATAAAAGGGCATGGAATGAGATAGGTGTGTGTGGAGAGGGCGTGCTGTGACATAGCGGGTGTAGAGGCTTTTCGAGGTGGGCGGGATGTGTACGCTGCCGCTGCATCCTGGACGGAGGTCTGGTTCACGAGTGAGCACGAAGTCAACGGCCAGAAATGGTCAGTTTGAGATTCTGCCGGAGCTGGGCGCCATATGCAGTACGCCCGCACTCACAGCACCAGCTGCAGTTCTTCCTCGTCTACCCAGTCCCCTATTCCGACAAGGTCATTCCAGTCGGCACGCCTGTCGCCGCCCACGCTATCATCGAGGTCGACCTGAGCACAAGTCGAGTGTGTCGTGCCATCGCAAGCTATCGACCAACGTGAGCGAGGTCTCTCTCCGCTACACATGAGTTGGTGCGGTCCATGATCTGCACTCACCGATGGAGGCTTTGAACTCAGCCAATCTCGCCGTCCTGGAATGGAGGACTGCCGCTTGATAAAGTGCTGCTACTGCAAGACCGACCATAATGATACCGAAGATTATGGTTGCGATTGTTTCTGGTGTTGCTGGGGCCATGGTTCAGGTACCTGGCTTTGTTAAATGCTTCCACGGCAGTTCGAGGCGGAGATGGTATGTGCTTTACATTCGGAGAATTGCGAACAAGTGTCTCTGTGTTCCTCATGCGCACCATGACGCTTCGGACACAGCTTCATACTTATACCTGGTATGATCGCATTATTTCGTGGCTTCTAATGAAGTGAGTATCAAACCTATGGGAGCCCAATCGCCGGCAGCTTGCAGCAACAGGGGTTAAGGTACACCAACCCAGCGGGCTGTGTGTCCTGTACTGCTGTGTGACAGAAGCGCGCCAATCATGACGGCGAGTACAAAGCCTTGCTTCTATCCCCGGTAGCACTATTGGTACGCTTCCTGATGAGGCTCTCATTGGACTGACAAAAGTTGCAGTGGCGTAGAGCTGCAGCTGCTACTGGTCAGTTCCATCACTCTCATGAACGGGGCGATCGCTCTCATAAATGGGGCGTCTGCTTTGCCAAGCGCTCCTGCCTGATCTTGTCATTGCCTACCTTGTTGAGCTGTGCTTGACGTACTTGTTGCCTTGTCGAGAACCGAGGATCAAGTTCGCGGCAATGACTCCTTTCGACTGGGAGGTACAGTTTCAACGGTCTCGTTAGGACCTGGATCAAATGGCGCCTGGAGTACTACTTCCACGGCCTCCATGCGGGCGACCTGATGACGGTTCGCGCCAATGGTCTGGCGCTCTCAATGGCGCCAGACCGCCAGACACCGAGCCTGGCTCTGCACTAGGCAGTACACGTACACCAAGCATTCGTCTCGCTGTCTGGAATGCACATCGTGCCATTATTGAGGAGCTATATGTCAGACAGGACATGAATCTCGCCCAGCTCAGGCAGTACATGGCCACAGTGTACCACTTTTATGCGACCACTGCCATGTTCAAGCGTCAATTTGCTGTTTGGAAGCGGTGGAAGAACTACCGACACGGCCAGAAGAAGCAGATTCTGGGGCATCTTGCGTCTTTTGACACCATGTCTGACCGGCAATCTGATATTTCGGGCGGTGACAAGTATTCAGCGATCATGGTAAACGACCAGCCGGTCAAGTGTGCCCGTCTGGTGCGGAAAGTGCAGCAATCGGGACGTACTCGCCCATTGACGCCACCGCCAGGGATCAGTAACACTGACTTGTTGCGCGTGGTGTCCACTGCCAACCGCGACAGCACGGAAGTCCTCCTGCATGCCGTCTCAAGGTATTATGCTTGGTACTTCGATGCCTCCGCGGCCGTCGTCCGGGACTATACCTTCCGTGGACCTATGAACGTCGTCTTTCCGCACATAGCCAGCGCTCGTCGGGTCATCGCCACGGACATTCCCACGGCTATGGCCATGCTGAATGTTGCTTCCGGCAGCGTGGCTGCTGCGATCCAAGCAGCACCGTTTCAGCTGCTACAGCACATACTTAGCGAGCTGGGTCAGTGGCAGTGGCCTGACACTGCCGCCGCCAGTGCAGCCAGGATGGCCATGATGAGGTTCATGTGCTCCATATCCAGCCGCGTGTGGGGCGCACATCACCCTCTGGTCAGTATGCTGAGATCGCTGATACGACATCAGAAGACGACGGACGACAATCGGGGTACACTTCCACCTATCATCTCGCTGATCAGTACCACAAGTAAAGCCAAGATGGCCGAGCCCATAGAAACAGCCATCAACGTGCAGAACTATCTTGGAGATGCCCTCTTCCACGCTGGAGACCTTGATGGCGCGGCAAGCATCTACTCTGGCATCATCCGGCTTAGCAGTGGCATCACCACAGGTCGACATGACCGGGCTCAATGCTCGTATCAATCAGACATTTATCGCACACACCACCGTGGAGCACGCCGTGCAATGAAGAATCTGGGATGGGTCCGCTTCAAGCAAGGCCTACCTGCCGTTGCGCGGCCCATCTTCCTTGAAGTGCTGCATCTTACGGAGGAGGCCTATGGGACAGTAAATGGCGATTTCGAAGGTGTCAGTACGTGTCGCTATCTTGCCGTCGTGGCCGATGAGGGTAATGAACACGGTTTGGAGGATGAGGCAGAGGCGTATTTCCGCCTGGCGTTCGAAGGTCTACTGCGGTATTCTGGGCCGGACTCGAGCGATGTATGGCGGTAGTGGGGATATCTTGAGGACTGTCTGGCGAGGCATGGGAAGATTGTTGAGGTCGCGGAACTGAGGGCGAAAAATGGAGACATCCTCCTGCGGTGGCAGGAGAAAGAGTTGAAGAGTGAGACATCTAGTGTATGAGCGCAGGAGTAGTGATCCCACGGAGAGCAAGACCTCAGGGTTATCCTCACCCGGGAAGCTGCCGGATGTGTACTGCGAGATGTCCGACCCGCAGACGCATGAAGTCCTGCCTGATTCGATGGACCTCCAGGAACAGAAAGTATCTCCCGAGCTGGCAGACCTGACTCATCCCAACCAGAGCACCAGCGGCTCGGCTCGAATCCGAACGAGCGGTCGTCTCGCAGCGTGCATCACGCATCAGGCGATTGGCTCATATGGCCCTCCAGGCGCGCAGCGAGTGCTCCAGAGAAGGGCTTTTGCTGACGATAGGGAGCCGTTGCACCGAATACATGGATGTGACATCTGCAGGATCCGAGCGGACAGCATGTGGAGTGTTCCTTTGGGGACACTAAACACGTGAGGCTAGCTCAGTCAAATTTCATACTCCGCAGCCATCCCGTTGAGAGCGGCACGCGGAGTCTGAAACGCTCACTGCATATGCACGAGCCGAGCAGAGTCGCGCACCGCAATGACCTCGTTCATGCAGCTTCCGAGCGAATTTGACATCGGAAATTGCTCCGTAGGTCAAGGGAATAGGTAGGACGCTCTAATACGACAACGTGAGTTCCGTGCTTGCTGGCTATTTTCCCTCGTGCGCGGTGAATATTGGTCGATCATGATGCTGTGGCGGTGCCCTACCGCGTATTTCTTGCCTAAAGCAGTGATTCTCGCCGTAGAGGCGTTCTGGAAATACGGAGGAAGCTTTTCGACATGCACGATCCGAGATCCTAGCGCTTGAAGGGCTTCGGGCTGGTTTGACGATCAACAAGCTTCATTCGCATCGAAACGAAGTTGTCCGAAGCAGATTAGTCGATAACTTGAAGGAAAGAGTCTCCTGCCTTCATCTGTCGCGTGCAGGAGGTGGTACTGCATTCATGGGGCAATGATGCAATGAGTCTGTCTGGCAAGCTTGACCAGCGAACCTGCAACGAGTGCTGTAGTAACAGACAGGGAGCTACAGTCAGCGCTCCTCCGAGCTAGTGGGCCTTGCCGTGTATGCACAACCCGAGATCTCACATACACGATCTCGGAATATGCATGTAAATGTGTATGCTATATGCACGAGCCGAAGAAAAGCGGAGCGCGAGTTTATGGTTTCATCGTTCGTGTCATGCACAATGCGAGCCACGACTGACGTACAACGATCCGCGAAGCGGAAATTGATGTTCCGCGGGCAGTCTACGTATATTGCCCATCGCTGTCCTCATCTCGCATTTTGCATTTTGTGACAACCTGGCGCTATGATGAATGGAGGCAACGAGCACACATCGCTTCCTTAATACCATGCAGTGAATGATAGATCGATCAAGACAAGCGGATGTCTTCCCAATCAGCGTCATCCCAGTCGAGAGCCTCGCCATACATGATGCCGTGTATGTAGGCTTCACTGATCAGCAGAAAAGTCCCGTCAGGCCGTGGTCTGATCAACCACGGTGCCGCAGCACCCTGGAACAGGCAAACAATGTCATCCTCCCGAGCAGAAGGGGACACCCATCCCAGGTAGCCCTTCCGAGTTCGACACAAGGCCGCGGTCGAGAACAGTACGTCCAGAGCAAGTCCGTATTCGACCTGCCTGGTTCGGAGGGGTTCTTCTGCTAGGTGCGACTCGTCCATTATGGCCCCGTCGCTTATGGCCTCGTCCAAGTAAGAGCTGCCGAATCCAGATGATGCACGGCTATATTTCTTATGAAGCGAAATGTGTACATCACAGATTGCTAGTCGCCACCAGCATTCCTGGGCAGACTCACCAGAGGGGTAGCATCCGCTCTCATTGACGCTCTGATTGACAAAATCACTGCATATGCCATACCACTGCTTGATAAAGCCTGACTCAAATTTATCCGGCGACTCGCCTATCAGGACTGTGCTGACAGAGTCCAGTATCTTTCCTTTGAGAGTCAACGTCAGCTCGTCGTCGCTGAACGAGAATGCCGGGCTCGTCTTTCCTCCGGCGCAATATATGTCGTTGAACTTCTGCAAGGATCTGCCGTGGGTAGGTCCTCTGTGTGAAAAGTCCGGTACCCAGGATGGAAGGGACTGTTTCAAAGTCGAGAATGGGCGGCGACAGCTCAGAGCAAGCAGATAGAATACTTCCAGCTTGCTAGGCTCTGAGCTGACTCGAGTCGCCGCGGAGAAGACCTGCGCTGTTGTCAGGTGATAGTCGGGAGTCAGCACGGAGCCCGGGGTATTGACCAAAGACAACAATGCATATACACAGTCGCGAGGCTCCGAGGTGTCGAATCGGCGGCACGTGGTGTGGAGCAGGAATCCCAAGCCCCCCAATTTCTGTCTCTCCGATAACAGCTTCCTCTCCTGCCAAAACATCCTCCTCAAAGTGTTGAGCGGGATAACCTGCTTTAACGGCTGCATAAGCCCAGCCCAGTCTGCGGGCGGGCTGTTCTGGGCTTCACACAGCAGAGACAGTCCCTCCTTGCGGAATGTTGAATCTCCGCAGCGTAGAATAACCTGTGAAGGCAGCGTGAACTCCTGAATGATCCACGTCCGCGAGAACCAGTCCGACGCAAAGATACCAGCCAGAGAGTCGATGATCACGTCACTTGTCGACGTTTCGGGCCAGAATATCGCATCAGCGACGCAGCGGTACTTTTCGTTAATGCTGATTGCGTCGTCATTTTCGAGTAAGTCACACAGGTGTAGCAAGTCCAGTGCAGGTCGATCGCTGTCCTTCTCTTCCCGCAACCAGACCACTGTTCTGCTTGACTTCTCGTAGATCTGATTCATGAGCTTCACCTGCTGATTCCGTTCTGGTATGTTGTCTTGGTTGATTGTCAAAGCATCGATCCAAAGCATTTGAGCTTGGGCTGTGTCGCGCAGATACTGTAGCGCTGTGTACAAGTTATGTCGAACACCTTTGGACACCCCATTTATGCTTATGGTGTTGGTCAATACTGGCTCGCCCCAGGTGTAAGAAAGTGCCATGTATTCTGGTTTCGATGAAAGGCGCACTTCCTCCAGGCGGCAAGATATTGGACTGCCACGGCTTCCCGGCAATAGAGTGAGGAGCCTTATGCTATCATCTTCCTTCAAGGCTTGGTAGAGGTCTGACGACATGATTGTCTAACGATGCAAGGCCGAACGCTTTCATTGCGAACGCATGATACTCATGCAAATTAGCTCGAAAGGTCGTCAAACTTAGCAGTCGATGACAGGGATCTCTGGCTGAGTACTGAATATTCGGCTGCCAAATTTGCAGTGTCTACACAGTAGGCAGCAAGAAAGGCAGATCGTGGCCAAATCAGCCTTATCTGATGAAAGCGCCCCGCTTGAGTGATCCTCACGGGAAGACGAATAGCGGTTGCAGCGCAGCGCCACGGCGCCATTCGCCAGTCCGGGGGCACTGCAGCCTGGCGCAAATGATCCAAAGTTGCAAGGCGTGGCCGCAGATACTCTGGAAGACTTGCCAGAAGCAAGGTCGTTGCCGCTGTAGACCGGTACACGGTGCCCGATGGCGGATAGCGCAGTAGGGACCGCTCATGTATAGCGTCTGCCGCTACGAAATCAGTAGTGTCATCATCGATATCTGGCGCAATGTAATGGATGGCACATTGTCAAAAGAGAAAGAACGGAACATCATTGATGCTAAGAGAGGTGCATGTGGGGGCGAGTCATCCGGCGTCAAGTAGTGGATTCCGTTTCGTCGCCATCTCTAGCTGCCACATTACAGGGTTGGAAACAAATTGAATCTAGGCAAGTGCCATCTTGACAGGGTCAAGACTCATATGTGAATTCTCATATCATCTTCTGTCGATGATCTTCAACAAGCTAAGAACAACGCCGTCGAATATGTGCATCTGGGGAACGCCGCCCTATGCATACGGAAGGTAAACGCCTCAATCATATCCATGCCATGCTTTGAACGATCAGAGGTCCCCCTCAATCTCAATCCATCCCTCTTCGAAGTCAATCAGCTCCCACCATAAATTCCAAAGCTCGCCTCGATGCCCAAAGCACCAGGCGCCTTGTACGTCGCATCGTAAGCCTGGAAGACGAACAAGCTGCCCTGCTTGTTTGCAAACGCAGATTTGATCCCAGCAATGGCGGTAGTCTGTTGTGTCTTGCCAGCAACAGCCGATCCGACGTTGCTACCGGCGTGCGGCCATCCACTCTCTGTGATGACGACTTGCTTGCCGCCAGCGATCTTCTGAAGGCCGTCGTATGTGTTCTGTAGCCATTGTCCGTTCTTCTCGGCGGTGTTGGACGAATCGAAAAAGCCGTGGGCATTAGCCGCGACATAGTCCGAAGCCGCAGCCAACTCAGAGGTCCAGGAGTTGAAGACATCCACTGTCACCACAGAGCCAGTGTATCCAGCGGCACGCAAGATACCGCGTCCTTGTGCAACGGCAGCAGCAACGACAGATGGGGCGATACCGTGGTTGACCTTCTCATTGCCGATGTTGATAGTATCCACCGGGCCCCAATTACCATTGACCATTGTGATGAGCTTGCCAAGATCCCCAGCGACATTATCGATATTGTTGATGCCAATGAACGCCTTCATGCCATGTGCAGCAGCTTTCGAGACAAAGCTACCCATGTTGCAACCGATATCGTAGGTACGAACGAGCTTGTAGCCTTGGCCAGAGAGGAATGCGAATTCGGAATCGAGGGTAGAGTCGGATTTGCATTGACTGGCGCCATTGATCATGTCGTAGCAAATGCCGTAGCCACCAACGATGTTGCTATTGGTTGTGGTTTCGGCCTTTGGGGTGGTGGTGGGCTCCGAAGCGTCCTTATTCGGTTGCGCAGGCTGGTTGTCGCCAGCGGCTTGATTGAATTGACCTGGAACCGGTACTGATGGTGGAGGATGATTGTTAGTATTTGGAGGTGGAGAAGTAGGGGCAGAACCAGGAGCGGGCGCCTTCGTCTCGGTTGAGACTATTTGTCCGGCTTTGTTGACCCAGACGATTTCACTGGGCTGGACTATAGTCCTGGTGACGGTTACGGTACCTGGAAATGCTGGTTCGGCGCGAGCCTCGACATTGTGGTGTTGGTGCATGTGGTCGCGACCTTTTGGATGTGTCAGTGTCGTGTCATGGATTGGATGATGATTGGGAGGTGAAGACTCACGATGAGGCACGGCCGAGACTGCTTGTGCAGCCAAGGCGGCCAGGCAGAGTACTGTAGAAGTCCTCATGCTTGTTGTGTGCAGTGAAGGTGGTTGGTGTTATCCAAGTCCTGTGGAAGTCCCGTCCAAAATTAGCTACCAGAGTGTACAAGTCGGCTTGCTGTGTCCAAGTCCAAGGAATTGCAGCCAGAAGAGTCAAGAACGCGACTGCCAGAAGATAGTGCTTTGAGTATTCGCAAGTTGAGCAGGTGTGTTGTGGTGTCACGGGTCGTTGCTGTACATGTTCGCGGCCAGCATCGATGTCGAAATGGCAAGTGCAAAGCAGTTGTGAGTGTACAATACTGAAAAGGAAGGAGGAAACCACATGACAATGGAAGAAAGATTGCGCATGTCGAATCCGGCGGACAGTCGCGCTTACCTACATCGACGCTTTGTTCAAGTCGTCGAACAATAGAACTCATCGAACATACAGCCACTGAGCGCTTGGCTTGCTCTCGACTCCGTTCTTTGAAGTGTAACAAAGCAGAAAAAGAGCAGGAATGTGGAGATTGTGGAGCTGCCAAATGTGGTGGCCTCAGACTGCGCTGAACTTTGCTCCTTGCCGGGCCGCTTCAGAAGAGATGCCATATTGCATTCGGCAACACGGAAGGTCTGACAAAGGGGTAGCAGCCATACCTTTCAATGCTTTGACTTGTGTCAAGATCTGGTGGTGGTATTGATTTGTGAGTTTGGTTGAAGACTGCGGCAGCAAGTGTGGAATGAAGTGCGCAGCCTTTATGTCTGTGCGTTTCTGACTGCGGTCTTGGCACTATGAGATTCACTGTTGCTTGAGGCCGCAGATAGGCGTTAACAGCCTGAGACAAGCAACGAGCTGGTCAGGTAGGAAGGTCAGCCGACACTTCACTGGCAACAGCTGTTTGTCCAGATCAGCAGCAACCGTCCTGTAGTAGCCTCGAAGTGCAATGTCGGAGATCAACAACAGATCTGCATGGTCGTCTGGTAGCATGCTATCGTCACCCAAGCGATCGTCTGTTCCCGGGCGATCGACATGCTCGTTCCTGTCGATCATAACTTTCGGCCTGAGTCGCCGAGTCTTCGTCAACGGCCCCTCAGCAAACTCTTGAACTTTGTTCGCAAGCCGTCAGAACCTTGACGCTGTTTCATGTCACCATATCTAAAGCCGACACCTCCTGTATGACATCAAAGGCGATCTTAGCTTGACAACGGCGTTGAATAGCGCAGTCTGATGTGACTAGTGGCGCAATGTCGCCCTTGATGGCGTTTCAGATTGCCAGAGGTGGCTGAGGAATGTGAGTGATGTCGTCTGAGAAAGCTTCGGCCAGATGCCAAGGATTCCGCCGGAGAAAGTTTCCGCTCTCCTTAGGTGGTGGAAACGAATTTCCATGGCGTCTGCGATGCAATTGCCGAGAGCTTCAGATTGTCTCGGGTGCCTCCTTGGCAGTTTGCGGTGCGGTAGCCGCCTCTTCCTCCCGCCGCCCATCAGCATAGATCTCTGCCAAATTGAACCGTCTCAATCCCCTGTCCCCTTCCCCATCCACAACCGCCATCCCAACCACGTTGCGATATACCTCCACCAACACCAACTTATCATAGCCCTTTAGGTCAACCCTATGCCTGCTTACAACCTCCTCACTATCTGTCTGCCCCAGCCTCCGCACCTCCTCCGCCACAGTCTTGATGATATCGTCTTTCTTGACTTTGTCGTTATTCCGTACCGTGACACGTATGGCGTACTTATACCCTGATCCGTCCTCACTGCCTTCCTCCGCACCATCTCCTGCGCCGAAGACAGCCGGCAGAATCTCCCCACAAAGTTCCTCAACGCCACCACTCATGACCTTGCGCACCTTGCTCAGCGGCGTCAAGCGCTTCACGAATCGACTGCGCTGGTGGCTCGGGTCGGCTTTGGCGTCTTTGCAGATCTTCGTGACGATGTCAACTGGGTCGTATACTCTGCTCGTGGAAGTCGGGAAGCGGATAAATGTCACGCAAGGTATGTCGAGAGTGACAAGTTCGAGTCGCGGCTTTTTGCAGTCACGGTCCTCAGTCGCGTCGTTGTTGCGATTGTCGTCGGCACGAGTGCGCTTCCGCTTCTTCGAACCATCAACAATGTCGTTCTCAACCAATTCTGCAAGCTCGCGTTTGATCTCGTCCTCGATTCCTTCTGGAGAAGCTGGGTTCTGGTTAATGAGACTTGCATCGCCATTCTCCGCCAGATCAGCTTGAGGCGTTGACTCGCTAGGTCCGTCGTCTTCTTGATCAAGATCCATCTCCTCGGTGAGCATATCCGCCATCTCCCTCAAAGCCGACTTCTCCTTCCCCTTGTCACACGTCACAAAGATACCCACATCACCACTAATCAAGCCAGAGGCACTCAGACTCGCCCCGTAATTTTTCCTGCCGCTGGCATTCCTGCCATTGGCAGCGGCCTGAGAGCGATATTTCGACTTGTTGCCAGCCGCAGACCCGCCGTTAAACTTCTGCCGCTTGCTTGATCGTGTATCTTGATCTGCCATGGTTTCGAAGCGGATGTGATCAAGTTCGAATAGTAGCAGGTAACGACAAAGTGAGGTAGGCAAGATGTACAGTTGAATTGACAGGACGAGCCTTTGGAAATTGATAGTGGAGCTCATTGTCTCACTCTGATTGGCCGCTCAGGCTCTGAACGTTCTTCGTGAGCAAGCCTGATATGCTACTCATTGTGGATCTTCACGTCTGGGAGGGCGGTGAAGACCTCTTGTTCTTTCGTTGGGCAGGTCAATAGGCTGAGATGAGCCTCACTGGAGCGTCAAAACACTAGCAAGGACGTATCGAGAGAATCTACCCAGGGAGGGCGCTGTAGAAATCCTTGTGCCGCAAGCTGGAGAAAATGCTCGGTTCTTGCGCCCACAGCTTGCTTGCTTGCACTGCAGTGGGTGACTTTGGAAGAATTACTATCTGCTATCTGGTTCTGTTGTCGTACATGTCATGAAGGCCTCCTCACGGGTCATATCATACGAGCTCAATCGTCCCGGTTGGTTAGTCACGATAGCCCAAGCTCTCCATTTTGATCTTCCTTGAAATTCCTGCCAGAGCCCGCCCTGGACTACTGGGGCCGATTCGCCAACTGAGCGACGAGGTCGCTGGCAACGTCCAGAAACGGATACGGGCTCGAGATCTCCTTTTCCACATTCCTCCACCGCTTGCTGACTGGCCGCCAGAATCCACCTGCTTCGTCTTGCGAGCTGTCTGTATCTTCTGTTGGGCTACCGTTCTGCGCGAATGCACTTGCTGGTCTGCTGCTGACTGGACTCGTTACTGCGCTGTCAGGTTTTGAGGCTTTGGCTTGATCCTTGTCTCTTGTGCTATCGTGCCAGACAACATTCTGGTATCCGTCGCTCTTGAAGTCGACCACGAAGACCTGACTGTCGAGTGTGTACAGCTGTATGTCGATGAAGACCCAGATGCCGACTTGCTCGCGAGGGTGTTTTCGCAACAAGCTCGACGCACTTCCTGAGTTGGCCGAGTTGACTGGGGCTGGACCAGTGAATGCATCGTGGCCGTGATGGTCCATACCGCTATTGGGTCGACTGTTCGCCTCACTGGCGACTGTCGATCTGACCTTTGGTGGAATACCGTTACCGAGAGCTCTTGCGACATCCTCTGATCCGAGCCCACTGAGTTCTTCGATGTGCTTCTTAAGCTGCTTCTTGGCTTCGGCGGGCAGACTGACAGCAGAGCTGTTGGCAGATATCGATGGCTCTTCGCCTGGCATGAGAAGACCTTTCTTCAATATCCGAGCTCGTATGCTGAAAGGATCGCGTGGAATGTAGTAGTCCTCGGGCAGGAATGAGAACTTTGACTGCAGTATGGTGTGCTGCTCGCCGGGCTCGATGTCAGGAGGCTGAGCTGGAACATCATCGCCCTCTTCACCTTCTGTGATATTGTCGTGTGCTGATGCAGGCACAATCTCCCATTCAGCTCCAATATCCTTGAGCGCACCGTAGAGACATCGCATAGCTTCGTATGGCTGGTTCCTCGATCTGATACCGAACTGCCACTTGCGGCCCGGTCTCTTGGTCTTTTTGTCGTCGCTAGCAACAGGTGTCATTACTTCTGGTCGTAGGGGTCCTTGCAATGCGCTGATATTGGTGACGGATCTCGAATGTGGTTTCAGTGCTCTGGAAGTGGCTTCCTGCTCTTCTTTGGATCTGTAGACGGGCAGACCTTTGGCGTCTTTGACCTCTTCTGGTAATGGTGTGGTCTCGTCGTTTGACTGCAGCTGCAGGGCCGAGTCTGGATCATCACCTCGCTCTCTGGCGCGATCGCGCATTTGCATGACTTCTTCGTGCACGTGAGGGAGGGATGTGTTTAGTACGCGGACATTGGATACTCGGGGTCGGTCTTCCTCTCTTACTGGAGCGGGCGTATTGGATAGGGTACGTGATGCTCTCGGGGGAGGCTCGTTCGCCGGCACGTTCTTTGATGGAGTTAGTGGCTTCACTTGATCTTGCTGCATGCGTTGAGCTATTGGAGACATTCCATAGTTGTCTGCTCCGGGAGGAGAGGAGGCCATGAAGGAGGCCAGTTCGGGGTTTGCAGTTGTGAATTGTGCTTCTTGGGTAAGCAATTTATTCCAATATTCAGGGGAGAATTCCTTACGGGCTTCCATCATCACTTGGTTCTCGCGAACAATGAGGTATGCATCTTTGATGGCACTGGGTTCTTCTTTGGCGAGAGCATCTTTGACGTCGTCCTTGGCGTAGCCCATCTTTCGTCCGAGTGTAGAAACGACCTGCTCGTGCAGCTTCTCGACTTCTGCTTGTGGCTTGCCGGGAGCAAGTTCACGGGGATCTATAGGTTTGGATGCGTCGACACCGGTGTTGAGAAAGTCCTCTACGGGTTCGCGCAGATAGTCGGGAAGATCCTTCTGGAACCATTCCTCCTGTCTGATTTCAGGAATGGTGATGCGAGTGACTGGGTGCACTTGCAGACATCGCTTGATGAGGTTGACTGCTCCTGCAGGTGTCTGTGAGGGGATATGGAATGCTCCGGCTTGGATCTTCTTGAAGAGCGCCGGGATGAACTCGTCGTCGAAAGGCAGTCGTCCAACCAGGAAGACATAGAGGATGACGCCACAACTCCACACGTCGACTTCGGGTCCAGCATATAGCTTGCCTCCAATGACCTCGGGAGCTGCGTAGTTCGGACTGCCACAACTCGTCTTCAGGAAGTTGCCGTCGGTCATGATATTGGAGAGACCGAAATCAGCGATCTTGACGTTCATGTGCTTGTCGAGTAGCAGATTCTCCGGCTTGAGGTCTCGATGGACAATCTTGTGTCTATGACAGTACTCGACAGCACATATGATCTGCTGGAACAGCTTTCTGGCTCTGTTCTCTCCGAGTCTGCCATGCTTGACGATGTAGTCAAACAGCTCCATAGGCACGTACTCCAAGACCATGTAGATGTCGGTCTTGGTGTTGATGACAGAGTAGAGCTTGATGATGTGTGGGTGGCGCAGGAGTTGCAGGTATGAGATCTCTCGCTCGATCCGTCCAGCCATGTCTCTGCTAATGAGTCGCCGGCGGTTGATCGTCTTCATGGCGACCTCTTGACCAGTGATCTTGTGTCTGGCTAACTTGACCTTGCCGAAGGAGCCCTCACCAATAGTGCGGACGAAGCTGTACTGGCTCAAGCGGCTGAGAGCTCTAATCGTGCCTGGAGACTCAGACTGGTTGGAAGGCTGCAGTGCTTGTCGTGCTGGAGGAGACACCACAGTTGGAACTGAGGGCCGCGGCTTGTTGACGCCGGTCGGCGGGAGGGAGATTGACAGCTCATCGTCGTGAATAGCGGACGACATCTTGCCGAAACGCGGCGGAGGTTTGAGGGTGTCTTGCGACGTTTGGGATTGTTCGTTGAGCGGACACGTGAGAGGTTACCAATAGTCGCTGGCTTGGTCTGCCTGCATCGCAAGTTCATGTGTTGCAACCAGTGGGCATCGGATGGTATGAGATTGTCGCCTGAATACTGGTCGGGTGGGCTTCAGACGGAATAACGTGAGCGATCGATGGAATGAAAGATGGTAGAACGAGGGTAGTACAGTCAACCAACCTGAACTCGTGAAGCATGTGAAGTCACACAAGACTTCAGCGCAGTCCAAGCCTGAATCTTTAACTAAGTGCGGGGCAACTTAAGCTCCAGCTAGGCTGCCCCATTCAGGCGTCGTACCTAGCGAGCCAAGTGGTCCGTGCGTTTGCCTTGCAAAGCCGCAGCGTCGCGAATTCATCCTCTTCGTTACAGACACGGTCATGGTCACGGTCACGAGCTGCACAGCGACGGAACGAGGCGTGAGGTGTCCAGTATAGCGAGGCCTGCGACATTGAGACTATTGAAGCAGAAGTATGGCTTCTTTTCATTCAAATTGCGTTCTGGACGGGCACTATCTGGTTTGGCGTGTACTGGCTATGCTGGTGTGAGGCAGCTCTCCATCATTAAAGCACGAGATTGTGTCCAAGCTCTTCGAAATAGCTGTTGCAACTAGCGGTAGAACCAGTACTCGGAAACATACTCTGAAAAGATGGTGGCGTTTTGATCCGCACAAGTTCTTGGAATATATCCTCCTGCCATTTCCACACGGTACACCTCCCACTCGAAGCCTTCGCTCACACTGTGAGACCAGAGTCCATCGAAGTCAGGATTGCTCGGTGGGTAGACCCACTCGTATGGTGACACCATAAATGTATCGATGTCGAAGAGGGTGATGACGGCGAGGTTGTCGAGTGTGCCAATGCTGCCCATGCATTCGAGACTAGAGTTGGCAAGCATTTCGTAGTCAAAGTCGAGGAAGTCTGGGATGATGGCGTGGAAGGAGTTCTCGTTCGGAAGCGCAGCGACCAGAGCGGCCGCGTCGTACAGCTGAGTGTACTGTTCGACAAAGGTTGGCGCATTGGCTGGAGCATGATCTCCGCCGCAACTGTAGTTGAAGTTTCCACGTCCGATGGCGATGACTTGCAGCGTCTTGTTCACGCCAGGTCTGCTCAAGGCTCATAGCCTGCTCAGAGTTAGTGAAAGGTAGAGCGATAAGTGCAGGTACGCTTACAGCCAGAGCTTGGGTCGCAGGACACATTGCCCACGAGAGGAACTGACCATCCTGATTCAGAGACCGGAGGCACAGCTCGAAGATCGTTTCGTCGGTCAAAGTCTCGAACGGCGTTGACGCATAAGAGAACAGTGAGCTGAATAAGAGCGATGAACAAAGCCCATTTGGTCGCCATTTGTGAGTCGCCGGGTCTTATTGATGAAGTATTCAGTGGAACAATGAGGTAACGAATGATCGGTGTCAATGCAATTAACGAATGGCGTACTCGACTCGAGTAGGATGACCGGTGATGGCGATGAATGAAGATGTCGAAGTCGAGGATGGAGTGATGTCGAGGAGAAGTTACAACATTGCTGACCAGGCTTGTTGCAGAACGATGAGTGAATACCGTGCGGTGGAAACTATACCCTGCAGTTGGTCCGACGTGCTTCTCAACTATATGTCAAATTGTGGTGAATCGAAGCTCATGCCAGACTGACGCAAATTCTGCGCCTTCCGTCCATGTGAGCGAAGTCGTTGACAGCTGAAAATCTGCAAGTACCCTCGACGCGCCCGTCATCCCGCTGCCGCAACCCACGGCGCATGTACTGTGACATGCACACTTCATGGATTCCATCGACATCCCGACAACAACGCGCAACGATTGAAGAGTAGAAATTGATTGTTGTGACAGAATGCTGAAAATAGTAGTACAGACAGATTGATCACCTGCTCGTCGCTTTTCCAGAGAAATGCTGCCACCCAACGCCACGCTCTAAAATACAAGCAAACGAAAACAGCTGCGCTCGACTTACGCCCTATCCCTGCGTTGCCGGGCTACCACACTGCTGGCTGAAGATCATTTGTCGCCGGACCGAGTGGCTGCATCCTTCCATGCCTGCTTCAAGATACCTTCGCCACCCATTTCCATACGATCCCGACGCATGCCTTCCAGGACTTCCAGCACCCCTCCATGTCTGAGCCTCTCCAGAACCACGTTCATACCCTCCTTTCCGTTGATTAGGGCTATTTTTGTCCGCTTCACGCCCACCAGCTCTACCGTCCGCTGGATGCCGGCGGTCGACCAAGCAGCAAAGAAGCCCTGCTTTGGCGGTTCGTCGACTGAGGCGTCTCCCGCTGCCTTCTTCCGAGCCGCCCTTGCCTGACCCAGTTTGGAGACAAATGTAACCGTGGTCTTGCAGGCGGTGCTGTTGGACGGGTTGGCCTCATTGACAGTCTCTTCGAGCGAAGCATTCCTCCGAAACTGCTGTCGTTCGATCACGCTGAGGATGCCTGTCCATTCCATATTTCTTGATTCGGTCTTCATCCATCCCTCTTTTATGTCCACCACACTTTTCTCAAGGATGAAGCTCTGGCTGCTTCCTCCTGGCCCAGCGAGGCCATTCGGAAGGAGCGCTAGGATAGCTCCAGGGACTTTGGACTTTTTCAGATGCAAGCGCAGTGTATGTAGCCGCTTTGTCTCGGGATCAACATATCGATCAATGACATCAGTGCTGAGCACGTGCCTCGAGTAAGGATTAGGGTATCGAAGAAAGTAGGCGAGGGTCACCGTAGGGAACGGGTAATCGTAGTTGAAGTTGCTTTCATAAACCTTCATCGTGGCATAGTGCAGGAGTTACCACAATGATAGATGAAGGAGGGGATGAAAGCAGAAGGGCAGCAAAGTGCCAGTGGTCATCAGGCACATGGAAATCCTACATCACCTGAAGCTCCCAAAGAGGAGACAGTAGCACGCTTTAGACGCGGGGAAGCTGACATTTGCTTCGCCATTTCTGGGCTGGGATATTAGGCTGCTTTGGTCGAGGACAGACCACGGCCCCGCCTCGCAAGTAAACTTACCACCAAAAAGTTCCAGACGGTGACCAACAAGGTACTCATACGATACCACAACAATACAAAGCGCGAACAGGACAACTGGACCCATAAGTTGTGACTCGAAAGGCGCAATCCGCTCTCGTAAGAAATAAATACCACACCTACTCGTCCACCACATCGAGTCATAAAACACACAATATCCCATGCACTGAACCAAAGCGAAAGCCACCTCACCGACATCCACCACCACAGTCCACCATGGCGACGAACAACGCCGCCGCGCCCGCAGACGAGCCCGGCCAGCCTCCAGCGCTCACCACAGCAGCCCTCGCCCAACAAGCACCCGGCGCCGTCGTCGAACAGAAGATCACACCCTTCGAGGTCTCCGGTGGAACAGATGCATCCGGCAAACTCCTTCCCGTTGACTACGAGAAACTCACCAGAGACTTCGGCGCAACAAGGATAACACCGGAACTGCTCGAACGCTTCGAGCGTGTCACCGGCCGGAAACCCCATCGTTTCATGCGCCGGGGGATCGTCCTCTCGCACCGCGAACTCGATGTAATCCTCGACCGCTACGAAAAGGGCGAGCCCTTCTTCCTGTATACCGGCCGTGGCCCTTCCAGCGACAGCATGCATGTCGGTCACGCCGTTCCTTTCGAGTTCACCAAATACCTCCAAGACTCTTCGACTGCCCCCTCGTGGTCCAACTCACCGACGACGAGAAGTACATGCACTCCGAGAAGATCACCATCGAAGACTCGCGCCGTTACGCGCGCGAGAACGCCAAAGACATCATTGCCATCGGCTTCGACCCAGCCAAAACCTTCATCTTCACCGACACCGAGTACCTCTCATCATCCCGCGCCTTCTACGAGAACGTCATCTCTATGGCGAAACGCATCACCATCAACCAAATCAAGGGCACCTTCGGCTTCAACGACGAGAACAATATCGGCGAATTCTTTTTCTGTGCCATCCAATCCGCTCCGGCATTCGCCACCTCCTTCCCACACATCTTCGGCGACAACCACAACAAAGTCCGCAACATCCCCTGCCTGATCCCGTGTGCTATAGATCAGGACCCGTACTTCCGGCAGACGCGCGACAAAGCCCAGAAACTCAAATACCGAAAACCTTCCCTCCTGCACAGCGTCTTCCTTCCCGCCTTGCAAGGCCCCGGCTCAAAAATGTCCGCCAGTGTGGATTCTAGCGCCATCTTCCTGACCGACACGCCCAACCAGATCAAGTCGAAAATCAACAAGCATGCATTCTCCGGCGGGCAGGACACCCTGGAGAAACACCGCGAATTGGGAGGCCGCGCTAAAGACGACGTCCCGTTCCAGTACTTGACGTTCTTCATGGAGGACGACGATGAGCTCGAACGGCTTCGCGCGGGCTACGAGGCGGGTGAGATCTTGACGGGAGAGATGAAGCAGACTTGCATAAAATACCTCCAGCAATACGTCGCGGAGTTCCAGGAGCGGAGAAAGAGAACCACCGAGGAAGTTCGGCAAGAATTCATGACGCCCAGGAAACTGGAGTATAAGGGAAATCCGAATCCGATCAAGGCCGTGGATGGGCTGGACAGCACGAAGGCGGAAAGTCTCAAGAAGAAGGACAGCAAAGACAAGGAGAACTCGCACAAGTCACAACAACAACAGCAACAATCGCCTCAAGCCCCAGCGCAATCAGCCTCGACGGCAGCGCCGACAGAATCGCAATCCCCTCTCACGCCCAATGTGGACAGCGCGACACATGTCGGCAACTCGAGCAAATCCCCCGACAGCCACGCCAAGAAAATGTCCCTCGGCGGCAAAACCAAGATCTCGGTCTCTGAAGAAACGGAGGATGGAACGGACGCCAACGGCTCCCCGACGTCGCGACTTAAGCGGTTGAGCGTCAGCCAGGCCTGAGCAGCGGCAACCCACATTGGCGGCACAGCCCCCGACTTATCCCTCAGGGCGCAAAAGTAACAACTTCAGTAGCAAACAGTCACGCCGAGAATGATGAGTCTAGGCGCCAAAACCAAGATATTGGTCTCGGAAGGAACAGAAGATGCGACAGACGCAATCGATGGCTCTCCAACGTCGAGAATTGAGCGGTTGAGCGTTAGCCAAGCATAGGTAGCCAAAGAAAAGCAGATTCAGATTCGGTCAGGAGAACTGAGGGCTCTGGGCACAGAGAGCGAGAAGAAGAGAAAAGAAACGTTTCTGATGATCGGAATAAGTACAGACGAAGACGAGCATTCTCTGCTCGGACTATGAGATAGACATCATTATGGCAGTAGTCGGGTTACTATTGTAGATACATGGTAGAGTGTAGATGAAGATTTGAACGACTACTCCGTCTGTCAAAAATGTTGCCATTCATTGGTGCCTATCCTAAACCCAGCGTTCTCTTTTGCTATCGAATACCGAAATACGTGCATAGACTCGGGTGAACACCTACTTAGGGTCACCTTCCGCTGCCAGTGTTTCCACACCCGCCGTTTCCATACCTGTAAGCCAGCCTGCAATTTAGCTCAGGCGGACTCCCTCTGGCGACGCCTGCTGTCTATACTTTACTTCCTCTTGGCTCGTTCAGCCCTTGCGTGCAGCAACTCTTGACGCCTGCTCTCCATACCTTGTTTCTCTTGGGGTGTGAAGTCCTTTCGTCCATCTCCGACTACTGGATCGTCTGCGAATGGGCCATAGTACCAGATTTTGCGAATGTGCGCGCGGATTGATTGGCGAAGCTGAGACTTGTGCTGTACCGGCCTTCGAGGTGGATCAAATGCTTGCAGTGGTTGAGCCGGTTGAGGCGTTGGTTGTGGGTTGCTTGCTTTGATGGGGGCTTCGTCATGGCTGACACTGCGCGTCTCTCCGGTCTTGCCCTGCGGCGGCTCCGTGGAAGGGGAAAGGGCGGAGGAATTGGGAATCGTCTGAGGCTTTCGTTGGTCAACTGCTGACTGGGCACGCCACTGGGCTGCTGCTGTGCTTGTCGTCCGTCCTGCAGCGGCTGCGTGGAAGGGAGAGAGACATAACGTGGCAGAAGTGCTCCAGGACCTCCGTAGATCCATATGCCGTTGGGATGTTGCAGCATCTGGAGTTCGCAGCGAGCAAGTCGTTGCTCGTGCTCGGCTGCGTTGGTTCGCATTGTAGATCGATCATCAGATTGTTGCTGTTGCTCGGGTGAATTCGCACAGGCTGCACGTTGACAATCAGGTTGCTGCCTCATGTCCGAGGCGAGGGTACACTTGGATTTAGTATCGGTTGATGGGCCCATGTCGACGAGAATGAAAGCGGCTGGCCAAAATTGATATCGAGATTGCTGTCGAAATTGATGTCGAAGTTGATGTTGAAACTGATGTCGAAATTGGTGTCGATGTGAGTTGTAGAACAGGACGATATGTGGTCGAGTACTAAGAACGATCAAGGGCTTCATATACAGATGTGTAAGGTACTCAACCTAAAGGTACTCAACTTGAGTCGTCCACACATGGTCTCAGCTTCAACCATGGACGGACAAACCTTAAGTGCTGTCCTGTAGTAATTGCTTGACCACAGCAAACCAAAATCCACGGACACCATTGCTCATTGCAACAACTTCGTCGACTCGTACATCTTTGCGCATGATTACGTCCTCAACGCACCACGCCTGCTCAAGCGCCAGCATACGGCTCGCGCCGTGATTGCCTCCGCAGGAGCTTGCTGGTGTGACCCATTGTGCGTTCCGCCAGAAGTATACAGTTGATAGAGACGCTTCAGTGACTTGGTCCTTCTCATTGTATAGCAGCACTTCCTCTGACGTTGGAGGAGCCGCCGCGATGCCAGTGACCATGCGAACAGCGTTGTACATAGGGCGATGTATCGTCTTGTGAATTGTGAAGGGCGATGCACATGTGGTGTGAGGGGCCACATAGATCATGGCCTCGACAGCGGACGGTGGTGGTGGTGGCCCAGCGGAGAGCAAAAAGGAATAGAGAGGCGGCAATGCTGGACTGGATACGATGTCAATGGTGCCGTCTGCACGACAATTTAGTGTAAGCTTGTGGGGAGTAGCTTGCAGCTGGCTTGTGTGTTTTGTTACGTGCAGCTGCAGATGCTCGATTCCAGCTTCGCCAGACAGAACACTCCTCAGAGGGTCCAGCTTGAAGGTTCTGGCCGATGCAAGCAATCGTGCTTGGTGGTATCGAAGCGGAAGAGCATGTGGGTGGGAGTCGAGCAGCGATCGATCAGGCTGCCACCTCAAAGACGTAGTGATGGCGAAGGATTCATGGCTTGCGATCGTCTGAGCGTCATCGAGTAATGTGAGAGTCATTCTGAGGTAGTATGTGGGACATGGACTGTGACATTAGATACAAGCAGCAAGGAGAAGCTCACACCGAGATGTATTAGAGTCAACATAAGGCAAGCATTGGAACGCTGGCAGGCGAGAACCTGATGTTCTTACCATGAGAGTACTTAGGTATCACCCATTGCGCCAGTCTACTCCTGCCTGGTCGTTGACTTGCGGAGGTTGGAAAAATGAAGCATAAGAACGCGCTGCAGCTTAGTAGAAATTCGAGGCACGCTGATGCTAGAACGACGATGGCCAACATTGCAGCCAATCAGCTTGGCTGCTCAAAAAGTTGATCTTGAGGATGAGATCAATGCTCTCTCCGATCTGCCGCATGTGAAGAAGTCACCTTTCCATCCACTTCATCTCCGCCAGCAACGGCTCGACTCCTTCTTCTTCGCGGTTGCGTCTGTTTTGTTTTCATCGTTCTTTTGCAGGCCTAATTTCATCTTCCACTTCCAACGTTGCCATACCCGTCACCATGTCTGAGTTCACGTCGGCCACGGCTGCGCAATTGCAGCCACCAATTTCAGTATGGGATCGCATAACAACATGGGCTTCGGACAACAAGGTCGCGGCATACACAATTGCAGGCACAGTAGTCGTAGTCTCCGGCGCCGGAGCCATCTACTATTTCTCAGACTCCAAGAAGGCAGCACCTACAGAAAAGCGGAAGAGCAAGAAGGAGCGCCGGAAAGAAAAGAAGGACGCCGAGGAAGCTGCCCGTCGCAGCGGTGGCATTGATCTGAAGGATGTCGAAGCAGGTGCGTCAGCATGGATCGTGTGATAGTGCAACGACTAATGTGGACAGGCACAGCACCAAAAGCGCCAACGGTGGAGGCAGCACCCGAGGACGAGCTGCCTGAGATCAACGACATCACCGTCGAGACCTTCTCCGCCGAGGATCGAGCAACATACGCGAACAAGTTGAAGGTCAAGGGCAACAAGGCATATGGCTCCAAGGACTACAACAAAGCCATCGAGCTCTACAGCCAGGCCATCCTGTGCAAACCAGATCCGGTCTTCTACTCCAACCGTGCCGCGTGCTACAATGCGCTGTCTGAGTGGGACAAAGTCGTCGAAGATACCACCGCCGCCGTCTCCATGGATCCAGAGTACGTCAAGGCTTTGAACCGAAGAGCACACGCATATGAGCACCTAGCATGTTCTCAGAGGCTCTACTCGACTACACTGCCAGCTGCATCATCGATGGCTTCAAGAACGAGAATAGTGCCGCTAAGGTCGAGCAGCTACTCAAGAAAGTGGCCGAGAAGAAAGGCAAAGCCATTCTGGAGACCAAGAAGAACAAGCTACCGAGCGCAACATTCGTCACAAATTACCTACAGAGCTTTCGGCCACGAGATCCTCCCGCCGGCCTCGAAGAATCTGCCGACCTCGATGAGAGTACTGGCAAGGGTCAATTGCGGAAAGGCTTGGTAGCGATGAAGAATAAGACCGGTGATGCATATGACGAGGCAGCGGCTGCATTCAAGAAAGCTCTTGAGCTCGGAGATCTGGGTGAGCACGAAGCGTTTGCACTGAACATGAGAGCGACGTTTGGCTACCTTGAAGGAAGCGTGGAAAGCGCCATGGACGATCTGACAAAGGCGATCGAGCTGCAGCCAACGCTCACCCAGGCATACATCAAGCGTGCAAGTATGCAGCTTGAGCTCGGTGACAAGGATAAGGCCGCAGAGGACTTTGAGAAGGCGATGGAGCAGAGCCAGGACGACCCCGATATCTTCTACCATCGCGCTCAACTCCATTTCATCCTCGGCGAGTTCGCTGATGCAGCCAAGGACTACCAGAAATCCATCGACCTGGACCGGGACTTCATCTATTCACACATCCAGCTTGGTGTGACGCAGTACAAAATGGGATCGATTGCCTCGTCGATGGCCACATTCCGAAGATGTATCAAGAATTTCGACAAAGTGCCAGACGTGTACAACTACTACGGGGAGTTGTTACTCGATCAGCAGAAGTACGAGGAGGCTATCCAGAGGTTCGAGACGGCGATTGAGATGGAGAGAACGACCAAGCCAGCAGGCGCTATCAACGTACTGCCCCTGATCAACAAGGCTTTGGCACTGTTCCAATGGAAGCAAGATTTCCAGGCGGCTGAAGATCTCTGCAACAAGGCCCTCATCAGTAAGTATCACACCAAAGGTCGGGTGTAACACCATGCTAATCATCCTCTTAGTTGATCCCGACTGCGACATCGCCGTAGCCACCATGGCGCAACTGCTGCTCCAGCAAGGCAAGGTTGTCGACGCCCTCAAATACTTCGAACGAGCCGCCGAATTGTCCAGGACCGAAGGCGAGATCATTAACGCATTATCTTACGCTGAGGCTACCAGGACGCAGCTCGAGGTATCCGAGAAGTATCCACAGCTGGCAGCTCGACTAGCACACATGGGCGGAGGCATGCCTGGAGCTGGAGGGCCTGGCATGCGGTAATACCGTCTGAGCAGTGGGTGGTGTCTTCTGTACTAATGCCTCTACTTCCTGGTCATCAATCTGCATTGGCGCAAGAGCGAGCTATTCTCTCCACTTCTGGAACGATGTGCACATAGGAGACAAAGCGGTCGCCGTTTAGTTCTAATACCAAAAGCAACGAGGATTCTCGCAGCGTGGCTGGGCTTCTGGGATGCTTGGAATACATCATGACGATGAGTACCAAACTAGGAATTGTTTGAGCTGAGTATCCAGAGCCTGAGAATGTACAACATCTTGAACCTACCTGACCTGTTGTCGAAGTGTCGTTTTTCGGAGACTGGGTGTTACCACCGACTGCCCCATGCCTCCCTTTCCGACGACCTCCGAAGGCATCCCGCTGCATTCGTCTAGGCACCTAGTGGTTGAATGAATGTTCTTAATGCAGGCGTCGTTATCGTTATCGCAATGGAGTCGGACAAATCTAACACTGATCAGGCGTAGTACGACGCCTAGGCTGGCCGAGCGCCGGGCGCGGACCCCGCACCTGCTGCCTGCAGTGGGGTGGAGGGGGCAGTCGCGACTTTATGAGACAGACGTGACTTGATAGACTCATACTCTTGACTTGACGACCTCCATTCCCTTCAAGCACGACTACTCACTGTTTCAACTGATCTTTCTTCTTCCAACTTCTTCTCGGGCAATTGTATCCTCTCACTTTGTAGTCGCCATTTCACCTTCCTCTGTTTCACCCTATCAAACGCCCGGAGTCCGCCTGAGGCAGATCCCGTCAACTGCCTGGGCGAGCGGGGCAGAGACACTTCAGCCTGGCCGCGAGTTGCTACTTGAACCAGAGAACTTCTACCGTAATCTGCTCAAGCCTTGTCTGCCCTCAAACCCTACTGCCTCGCACAAGGGCGGCCTCCTACGTTATCAAACTACCGCAAGGGCCACCTGTCCATCATGCCTTTCATACCCTCACCACCCATGGCCTCAGGTTCGATAACCAATTCCGAAGACGCATCTGAACTCTTGCTGACGTCGCCAGGAGTCGAAGTTCTGCTCAGAGATCTCCAGTATTCCTCGCGAGAGGTCGAACCCAACACAGGTCCCGAACGTCGAACGATCTTACTCAACGACTCAAACAACTGGTCTGTTGAGGTAGGCAGAGCCTCCTCAACCTTACGCACCGTCGACAGTGCACCGATGGCCACCAACGCCCGCTTCGGCTCGAAAGTAGTCTCGAAGGTGCACGCCACCATCTCGGCCGAGCCAGAAAGGAAGAAGGTCTACATCACCGATGAGGGATCCATGCACGGCACATATCTCAACGGGAAACGTCTGCCGGAGCAGGTCGACCACTCCGTTGAGAACGGCGATGTCATAAAGCTTGGAGCACCCGTCGATCGTGAAGGTCGTAAGATTGCCCTCTCCTCTGTCACAAGGACAACGAGCTTACAAGATGTAGTCACATTCCTACCTGTCCAAGTACAGATGAGTGCGAATTGGCAAGACTCTCCACGCACGGACTGGGTGCCGCCTCCCAACACCCCATCGACCGCTGCTACAAACCATCAGGCTGGCACTGTCTCCTCAGAGCAGCAGATTAATCCCGCTGAATACGAGCAATACTTCGACTCCGATGAAGGCTCTGACGACGAGCAAGATCACTATGAGCCAGAGAGCGATAGCGATGCAGGTCGATATCCCGAAGATGATCCTCCTCGTCGCTTCACCGTACCAGAATCTGATCTTTCCGACGAAGCTGAGTCTGCCTTCAACGATGACGGCTACAGTCCTGCATACCCCAGTGAATCTCCTCAGTCAAGCCCCATATCACCAATCGAGACAAAAGACAAGGAGATCAGCAAGCCGATGGATAAGTATGCCCCTGCCGATGTCCTCACTGGGAGTCACGACCCACCCAGCAAGTTCATTGGGTCTTATTCCCCTCTCCCTGCCCTTCCTCCTGGACGCTGGAACTTCGCCACAGGGCTAGCTGCAGAAGACCTTGTCGAAAAGGCTGAAGAGGCTCGTCGCCAGTATGATCCGGAGAACAAAGATGATGAGATCGAGGACAGTGACGACCGCTCCAGCGCCGCGGGATCTCTGGACTATTCTGATGAAGCTGAAGAGGATGACGATGTCGATCAAGCAGAGAACGACCGCTTCCACCAAGAATATCCTCATAAGACATATGATGACCAGTTGCCCTCAGGCTTCTCAACGACCGTGGCTAAGCCACATATCACATTCACGACGAACAAAGTCCGAGAACCGAGTCCATCCGATGCTGCCATGGCCAAACCACCACCTCAGCTGCAAACATATCCTCCTCCTACACCGTATACTCAAGGCTTCGCACCTGCGGCAGTGCCCGATCCGAGATCCATCTGGCCAGGACCACAACAACTCATGTCAATGACTTACGGTCCCCCTCCTCCACCGCCTCCGCCATTCATGTACGAGCTGCCGACCGTTCAACCATTGCAGATGGCGTGGCATCCACCGAATCGCGTGCTCCATCCACCGCTCAACATTTCTGACCCTGCTCACAAGCGATTCGACACTCCAGAGGGCGACGTGGACGCTGCAGAATATTCTTTTCCGGAGGACAGCGAAGTTGAGTCTGAATTTCCAGCCTCTGGTCAAGTCTGCCTCAACGACGATGCACCTCTGAATTCCCGCAAACGTAAGGCTGAGGCTTTGAGCGACGATCACTACGACGCCAACAACGAGGTCGAGTTTGGTGCGGTGCCAGCACCTACTAGCGATCCGTTCAACGGCTTCTCGGACAACAATGTTGCACAGAGCCATGTTGCGAATGGTGGCGTTGCGAATCAGGTTGTTGAAGAGGACACTACTGCTGAAGTCCAGCTTGCAGAACACAGTGATTTACCAAATCAGTCTACTGAGTCAAACGACACCCCAGTCGGAGATTCAGACAACGACTACCGGCTCTACCTCGAGCTGAGCAAGAAATTCGGTCCGATCTCAGAAAACGAGCGCGAACCACCCAGCAAGCGACAGAAGGTAGCGGAGGATACTGCTCTTGCATCTCTTGCATCTCTAGCAGAAGGTACTCCTCCGATACCTCGCGCGACCGTCGGAAGCACCATCTTAAGGACCATTGGAACCACCGCCAAGTGGGGAGCTGTCTTGACCGCCGGCGCTACTGGTGCTGTGCTCGGCCTGGCCGCACTGCCTCCGAACTACTTTGCTTAGTTCGTGCCAACAACGTGAACGCACGTGGCCAACAATCTTTTCCCACCGACCTATGACACCGATACTGCTCATCGGCTGTGGGCTGAAGATGGGTGAGAGACGAGAGACGAGTGGATGGCTCGGCACTACTTCGCCATATGACTTATGTGACATCGACACGGGCCATCGGGCCAGACCTACATCGGAATACCGAGAATGGGCAGATGAATGGGTTGGGGTGAAGGAGTTCTCCAGGGTACTTACAGGCAAGGACTATGCATCGTATCACGAGGAGTTTCATGCACGAATGTGCCGGAATAGGGGAGACGGATAGGGTATGATCTTCTCATGGGAAGGATGGCTGAGTACCGGAGTACATGCAGGTTCATCCCTCCTCAGGTCATCCACTATGATCAACAATTCAGCTTTTATACCCTATCTAATGACATGCATGCATCAAGACATCGTCTCTCGCACTTTGGTCGTCGATTGGTTGGTTAATCCTTCCTACTTCTTCTTCGCCTCTTGTGTAACGTAGCCTAAGGATGGTGTAAGATCGTCCCCGTCGTCAGAATATTCAACGCTGATAGTAAAGTAATGATAGACGACTCATCCGCATCCTCCTCCGCCGCCCACTCCTCCGATACCACTCCCGGGCTCGCCGCCACTCCACCGCCGCTCGCGATTGGCGGGCGTGCCGTCCGGCCAGAAACCTGTGTGCCATCCGTTCTGGGCGGTTTCTGTCAACTCCTTGACGAGGGGACCTGGGATCATGACACAGCCATCGTAGGGGCGTGATTGTCTATTGAGAGCGAGCTGTTGGGCGATCGGGTTTGGGAGGTCGGGGTTCTTGAGGATGAAGTGGTCGATGTTGAAGGACTCGTCGCGTAGTACTATTGGCAGCGGAGCAGTAGACGATTCTACGGAGACGGCTAGAGCAATCGATGAATTGGTGGTCGTTGTAGTCGTCGGCAGCTCATCACCACCGACGCTTTTCTGCTCGCTGGCTATGTGCTTCTGGATCGGCCTCTGCTCGTCGTCCGCCGGTAGTTCGAACTCACTACTAGATCCATAATCGATGACTTTGCTCTTATCGGAAGCTGGGCTTGGCTGGCTATCAGCGGTGAAAACACCGAGACGACGTAGGGTGCGTATGAAGAAGCTGTTTTTGGGATCCTTTGGCATGTTGCCACGGAGCGCGTATATTGTCGGTGGGAAATACAGTGACTTAAATAAAGCGCTTGCGATAATATTCTATAGATCTAGGCGGTACGAATACGTCGAATCGAAGACATGATCGGACAACGCGAGGAGGTCGTTCGTGGCAGAGCAGCCCTGAGGGAACACGAGATCACGACATTTGGGCACCCTGAGTTCCATGTTCTCGGACGGTCATGCTGCGAGGCTCTTCTAAAGATTTTTCTGTACTGTTGCCATCGATGAAGCGCTGCATTCACTCGACCAGCACCAGGCAATAAACGTTCTGAGTCATGCAACCAACCGTCAATGAACCTAGGTCGAGCCAGTGAAGTGATAGTTTCGGTTTGCGCCGGCTCTGCATTTCGATGAGAAGGTATAAGTATCTGCTCTGCCCTGGACTGCTTTCTTTCTTTCTTGCAATCATACATCATATGGTCAACGAAGGCAAATTTGCCATGCCATGGGAGCATCCGTTGCTACCTGGTGAGGCGAGCTTCTTCGTTAACGTGAACCATACTCGGAATGAGTATGACTCGGACTTGATTTTGAGATTTGAGGTGGAAAACCAGACCATGTGTCGTCCACCAAATTGCAGTAGATTGAGACTTGTTCGTAAATGGCATATCTTCATGCTGTGAAGAGACACGTCGGAGGACGTTGGCTTGTTCCGGATATTTTCGTGAGAGAATAGGAGAGTTTAGGGAAAAGTAGATCACTCGCATGAGGAAGAAGATATTTGATGAACAGGGGGACTTAAATGCGAGACAGAACCCAGTGTCGTGCAAGGTCTCAAGAAGTCATCTCGATTGGGTGTACATGAGGTTGGTCGTTGAAGCGGGGCGAGATCATCGATGCTAGCAGTTTGACTTGAAGAGTGGATGGATGGGAGGGTTTTTGGTGAACTTACTAGATTACTTTTCGGGTTCCTGCCTTGTAGTGTGCTGGACTGGCAGTGTGTTCAGCAGTGATTGAACAGAGACGAGTGTGCTCCGGCTCGAAAGTGGTCTCGCATGGCGTGTTCAATAGTCCGATAGTGAGACTGGTGCTGGGCTGTTGCACCACTTCGAGCCGTTCGTACCTTTCCTCGTCGTAGTCAAATCCCCTTCGACTTCCGTCGTCTTCATAAGACCAGCAGCCGAAGTGCCGTCTTCTATACCATCCGAAGCTTACGGGCGTCCATCCTTCCTCGCTGGCATCTTGAACCAGACGTCGCGGTCATCACCCTCGAGAACTTGCGTTTCCAACAGCTGACGACCAGCATAACGTTCTGCATCCCACCCGTTATGACACGAAAAGCGACCATCAATCAAGTCTTTGCGCTTCCACTTCTCGCTTCCGAAGACAGAGTCCGCCACAGCTCGAGCTGGTGGCAGGACTTTGCGCCTCCAGTACCTGTTGTGCGCCGGCTCCCACAGATACTTTCTGCCTTGTGTAGATTCCTTCACTGCAGAGGGCAGTCTCGCGCCAAGATCGGTCCAATGCCACACTGGGCCCTCCAGGAGCTCCTCGACATGTCCCAGGGTGCCGACTATGTCGTGGCCAAAGTATCGGAGGAAAGTCTGTTGGTTAAGGCGGTCATTAGGGTCGACGAATGGGGCGATCGGAACTGCCGTGGTCGTGTGCAGGAGCAGGTCCCTAACGAATATTGCACCGAGCTCGAGACAGTCGTTGGCTTCGGGCAGTACGGTGTTCGAGTCCAGGACCAGGAATGTTCTCAGAGCTGGCCACTGGTCGGCAATCATAGGCGCCCAGTCGAGAAGTCTTCTCGCGCTGGTCTGGTGTCCGAACTCTTGTCTCGTTTCATCGGTCTCATTGTAATATGGCATGCTGAAATCGCATTCTTGAGCTTCCGTCAGGCCCGTGGCGCTCATCAGGTTGATCACTAATGTGTGGATGGTGCTTGAAGGCTTCTTGAAGAGGTCGCTGCAGATGTTGCCAACGTGCAATCGTAAGCTCTCGAGTCTGTCCAGCCTGTCGGCGATCGTCGAGCATAGGTGCCGCTGTCGGTTGTGTTCAATATCATCATCGTCGACCGAATCGCTGCCTCTGGTGTCTATCTCTAGGTGACGTACAGTATCTGGCAGCGCCGCTACGATTTCGGAAAGAAGATGATTGTCGATGTCATAGCCTTGTGGGAGGCTTGATACTGCGGTGATATGGAAGGAGAAGCTTTCGAGTCGAGTGAAGGCAGGTAACACGGTCGCTAATGCTTTCAGCAGGGATGCATGAAATCCATGCGTACCGAAATTGGACCAGTGAAGGTCAAAGTCGACGATGCTGTCACTCTCGGCGAGATCCGTGTTCATGGGTGGAATGGCGATCGTGAGGCTTCTGGTCGACTGAAATCTGGTCAGGTCGGGTGCTTTCGCCAGCCCAATAATTTGTGCAGAGGTTCTAAGCACGACATCCTCGCAGAGGATTGGCAAGCCTAGATCGTGCCATGCTGGAGAGACGCGTAGCGCCGTTGTGAAAGTGGTCTGGTCAGCGATATACAGATGGCGTAGGATGGGCGCAGCCAGCTCGTTTGGGAGTGAGAGTTCTGCCATGAGTTCGCTGTCGGGTATGCTGCGCATCTCGAGCAGCTAGTATGAGCGCTGGAGATACCTGAGTGCTATAGTTATAGGTACGTGTTCCGTGGCGGGCTTTGTCCAGAGGCCTGCAGTACAAAGGGGTTTCATGGTGACGAGACGAGCACAAGGGCGTCCTTTGAAAGCGCTGAGGTCCCGTCAAAGAGTCGTGTCGGATCAGTAACTCAGGTTCAAATCGAACGAGTCCGATGAGCATCTGTAGACAGACAGATGTCTGTTCATTGATTTTCGGGCAGTCTCTGACTCCCACAGCGCTCAAGCCTGCTAGGATGGTTCTGGGGGTACTTTGGAAGCATAACGTACCTTCTTTGCGATCAGTACTGGAGGCATCCATTGTTAGTGACACGGCACGAATTCATTATCGAGCATAGTCGGCTTTGATCGCGGGAAATCTTCGCACGAGGCCCCTAAAGACCATGCAGACGAGTTGTGCATTGACTGCACCAACAGATGTTCGACGCCATCTGAGCCCGATGAGCACAGTGTAGCAATACAGATACCGGCGTTCACTTGTGGCCTAACTTTCTGGACGTTTGACCGAGGCTGGCTTGGTGTTTGGTAACAGGTACATGAACTTGAGAGGAGAGCAGTGAGGCGATGAGTAGAATATTTGAAGCTCGTCGTGTTGATCCACAAGAATTGCCCAAGTCGTTCCTGCCACACCTCATACACTCTCGACTTGTACAGTCATGTAGTCGGAGCAGTCACGAAGTCAAATGATCGCCAACCTGCTGTGGAAAGCATGAACGAGAGGCGGGAGCAGGCAGTCGCACCTGACCAATCACGTCGAAGATAGTCAGCGGCGCACATTGGCTTTGCGGACTTTAGATCCGGCCATGGGGCTCTGCGGAAGTTTCTGCTTACTGCCCTACAGGTCCTTGGTTCCAGGTACAGTACATGTATCTACCAGAACACGATTGCATGAATCAGCTCCTTCTACTTTTGTAGCAGTAGGAGCGATTGGTTCGATTGTAATCTAGTGTGAACATTTGCCGGTGTCGGGAATGGCATATCTGAAGACCATGGTGGGCGCATTAACCGGGGACATGTGCCGGAATCTGAATCCCGCGATCGCTATCAATCGCTCGTCATCCGTGGTGAGGTCATGATCATTCGGTAAAATGTCAGATACAGTACGATCCTCGCTTGCAGCAGCGATGGAAGACAGAACTGGAGAAAGGCGCTGAGACGGTGAGTGCTGGAGTGGTCACCTTACCGTAACAAAGCAGACCGATTATGTCACCGTTCTGATAGCCGCTTACGACCGCCGTCCTATCACATCATTTTCAATGTCTACCATTTCTTTGCCACATGATTCGAGCCTCGTGTCTGCCGCCTGTCCACCAGGAATATATTTCCTCTCCGCCGGTACTTCATCTTGGAACTGACATCCAGGCCTATGGAAACACTTCAGAACATTGTACAAGCACCCATTCAGTCTCTCAGATCGACCGTGATGGCTCCCTCAAACGATACCTCGTTCGCTGGCCATGTCGCCAGCCAATTCACTAGCTACGAAAAAGACCGACAGATGAAGTCCACAGAGACCACATATGCCTCATCGAATGGCGCCCCACAGCCGTTCTCGTAAGTGGAATCGCATTCCGTGCAAGGACACGACTGACATTTGCCAGGTATGAAGCTCAACGAGCAGGCGAGAACGGACCCCTCCTGCTTCAGGATTTCCACCTGATCGACCTGATCTCACACTTCGACCGCGAACGTATCCCAGAGCGTGTCGTCCATGCCAAGGGGAGCGGCGCTCATGGCTTCTTCGAATGCACGGATGCCGCTGAAGACATCTGCATGGCGGACATCTTTAGCGCCAAGGGCAAGAAATGCCCGGTCACCGTCCGCTTCAGCACCGTTGGTGGTGAATCTGGCTCCCACGATCTGGCTCGCGACCCACGTGGCTTTTCGGTCAAGTTCAGGACCGAAGAAGGCAACTGGGACCATGTCGCCAATAACACCCCCGTCTTCTTCCTACGCGACCCTGCCAAGTTCCCCCACTTCATCCACACGCAGAAGCGCGACCCACAAACGCATCTGACCCATGCCGACGACTCCACAATGTTCTGGGACTACCTGAGCCAGAATCCCGAATCTATTCACCAAGTCATGATTCTCATGGGAGACCGCGGTATCCCCGATGGCTACCGCCACATGCACGGCTACAGTGGCCACACCATGAAGCTCGTCAACAAGTCTGGAACCTGGGTCTACGCTCAGATCCACATGAAGTCCCAGCAGGGTGTCAAATGGATCTCACAAGAGGACTCAGCCAACTACTCGCCCGATTACTCTCAGAAGGACTTGTTTGAGGCGATCGACCGGGGCGAGTTCCCCAAATGGTCAGTCGAGGTCCAGACAATGACGCCTCAAGAGGCCGAGAAGCTTTGGGAGGAGCAGAAGATCAACGTCCTTGACTTGACCCACGTGTGGCCCCAGAAGCAGTTCCCTCTACGCAAGATTGGCGAGTTCACCTTGAATGAGAACGCGATCAACTACTTCGCCGAGATTGAGCAGGTAGCCTTCGCCCCATCACACTTGATTCCCGGCATCGAGCCCTCCGCCGATCCCGTCCTCCAGAGCCGTCTCTTCTCTTACGCAGACACTCACCGCCATCGCCTGGGCGCAAACTACCAGCAACTCCCAGTCAACGCACCCCGCACAGCATACAAGTTCGGTAACTTCCAGCGTGACGGTCCCATGGCATTCTACAACCAAGGTAGCCGTCCCAACTACCTTAGCAGCATCGACCCCATCAGCTTCAAGGAGCGCAAGGTTGATGTCGACAAGACGCATGGCAATTTTGTTGGCACTGCTGTCAACTGGCTTTCTGAGATCCGTCCTGAAGACTTCATTGCACCGCGAAAGCTGTGGCAAGATGTATTTGACGATGGTGCTAAGGAGCGCTTCATTGTAAGTCGAACTCCTCTCGTTCCCTTTACATTCCTTGTAAGTATGACAACTGACCCACAATTCCTCCCAGAACAATGTAGCAGGCAAAATGGAAGTCTGCCCTGCGAAAGAGCCGCTGAAGCGACAGATCGCCATCTTCCGTGAGGTCGACCCAGACATCGCTGCTCGGCTAGAGAAAGCCACTGGTATCAAAGGATACGCAGGAATCGCCGATATGCACTTCAACGGAACGCATAATGCTATGAAGAAGGGTAAGACTGACTTCGCGAACCATTTGACTGCACATACTGCTGGCGTCAACGAGGCAAACGTCAATGGGGGACCGATCTTTGGATCACATCAGGGTGCGGTGAAGGCGCACTAAGCGTGTCAGCGTCAATGATGACTGGGATTGGAGGTGGGCGCACGAATTGTTCGTACTTGAGCAGCAAGCGCACCAGAATCAAATCGGCCGGCGTTGTGATGGGACGTATTCATCGTAAGTTAGCACATAAGACAACGAAACAAGTTGGCTTACCAACCTGCCTTCAGCGCGATCCTGGACTTTTATGCCATCAAATGCTACTGTCAGCGTCGCTGACATCCTGTGGACAAATACATGTCATAAGTGGGCCCGAGCTGAGCATTTCGCAGTGCTTCGCAGACTTCGGCATAGCTGCGTTGCTCGTGCCGGCAGGGCAATCAACCTGACAGTTACCGTTGCTCTGTGAGTGGATCGCGGAGCTGATTTACGCAAATTCAGACTTCACTTGACACACCTGTTGCCTGAGATACTACCTGCTTAACAATCCACGTGACAGTCTGCTCTGAGGGCTTTTTCAGGGTCACTTCATTCGACATTCGACTCTCATTCCTTCCATGTTGCACACATCATCTTCCAGCTGACCACACAATTCCACTCGCTAACAGCCAGAAAATGAGGTCGATACCAAACGAAGTGGTAGCCATCGTCCTACGCTACATATACCGAGATGACTCACGCAGTCTCATAAGCGCTCTCTGTGTCTGTCGAGCGTGGCGCGATCTGGGCTTGCCAAACATATATCGAGATGTCGTACTAAGTTCCTGTACGCAGATCCTCACCCTCGCGAACGCACCTGGCCTATCCAACTTCCAGATAACGCAAAGTCTTACGATCTGTATCACGCCACGAGAAAAATATGTCCGCACCGAACTCACACCCGTTGCGTGGCCTCCGCAGGCAGACCCGACCCCAGCAGAACTACAAATATCCTTGAAAGCGTTGACTACCCTGCTACCAGCTTTTACGGCGCTCGAGAGTTTCTCATTCTATGTCACGGCTAATTCGTTACGTGGACACTGGCAAGACTTCTACATCGAATGTGGATGGCTTTCCGAGATCATACTGGCTCTGCCGCGGACGCTCCGACATCTCGAGATCGACACCAAGGCTAGAGACCGAGTGAGCAAGGGTGAGCGGCAGTTCTGCTCAGCACTCGCTGGTCGATTGCAGGGACTAGAAACCTTGCGGCTGCACGTTGGAAATCTTTGCACCGACCTCTTCAAACCTTCCACGACATTGCGCACCCTGTTCATCAACCTCTTGAGCACCAAACTCATCACGGAAGTTCAGATTTGTGCCCATAGCCAGCCATGGAAGCCCGAAGATCTTTGGTGCACCAGACAAGACACAGGCCATGCCACGCGACGAGGTCTTGTTACAGCTGCTTCAACAATCATCCAACAGCTTCCTGCCCTCAAAGTCTTCACCGTACTCGACTCCAACTACATACGTACGTCCGCGGATGCTCGCGAGGTCAGCGCCATCTTCGTCAGGAATCAAGTTCGCAACCAGACCACGGCTATCCCTGTGGCTGCGGTCTACGATCGTGTCGAGGGCTCCACCAATACCATGCTTTTCAGATGCCCTGATGCAATCATGCAATCTCAAGATATCGTTGGCACGGTCGGAAACGTCGAGGAGCTCCTGGAGGGTCAGATTTGGCACTCAACAGATATGAGTGCGAGACTGCCCGATGCAGTCAAGAACTCTGCTCAAGGCCAGACGCGTGCATGGAGACCTCTTGGCAAGTACTGGAAGTGCGAAGCACTATTCGGTCCTTCGACTCGCTTTGATTGTCGCCATATCTGGGCCGAAGAATAAAAAGCTGGACGACGACTTGTAGATTTCATGATCAAGGATGGTTTGGATTTTGATCAGAGGTTCAAAATACCACAGTGGAAGTCACAAGCGCAGCTTGATGCAGAACCCCTGTCACCCGAGACTGATGCCGCCCTGCTGGACGCGGAAATCACGTCACTCGAGACTGATACCCTGCTGGAGGAGCTGCGAGAGCGGTTCGGGCATCCTTATGAAGAGGAAGACGGCGAAGCCACGTTCAACGAGGACGATGATCTGACGTCCGACAACGATTGATGGCCTCATGGATTGATCGAAGACGCTATCGCCGGTGACGTTCGAGCCTCGGACGAGTTTGATCAGAGACACCAGAGAGACTAGATGTTGGTTGCGCGAGATCCTATCATGTAGCACTAGTCAACGAACCCAGCGGTGCGTCTGGAATTTCGAGGGTCGGGGCAGCAAAGGGACCGCACAGATATGACGGCAGTCAGCTGCCCTCCTCGCAGCAGATCTCGGGCTGAGAGCAAGCGATGTACTCAGCAAGACGTTCAAGCCCCGACGCTATGGCAACAAGCGCGCTGATACCCCCAGGGACAGCTGACAAAGGCCTTGGGGAACAGGTGTACCTAGATTTCCACATGCTCAGGAGATAGCAGAGGCTTAAGCAATCCTTCATTGAACACAACATATTCATTCCAACACACTGGCAGATGCGATTATCGTTATATATGTTTCGTCTGGTCTCGCTTTCGCAGTCATGTTTGCACAATCGTCACGTTGATATTTCAAGTACAAGTACGTGACCTTACATACTGATTCTGGCGTCTTTGTCGTAGATCATGGTAGGCTCAGCCATCAGCCCATCTTTCCGCAGGCCATAAGCCTGCGTCTGGACTGTTGTCTTTTGTCGCATCTCAGCTCTGATCAAAGCAGACACCAGCAACTTCCTGTTTAGGCGGTCCGAAGGAGCGAATCAGCGTAGTCCGTCGCCAAGCACGACGGGGTGCAGTCAGTGACTCATTCCAACGTACATCCAGAGGAATACGAGTCCATCTTCTTGTGCGGAGAAAATTCATCGCACAAAGGAGTAGTGGTTTGCTTCAATGGCGATCTCGATTGATCAGCAAGACGGCAACAAGGTTCTTGTCGCCGTTGTCGCCGATCGTGGCTTGACAAGCCCGCCGGTGGGTGCGGCCGCACAGAGATGTATATAAATGTGGGTTGTCAAATGAGTAGGTGCTAAGTTTCTTCCTCAAACCTTCCCACAACTTCTGCTGTTCAGTACCTCAATTTCGAACATCGTCACCATCAAGATGGCGCACAAGCAAGCTCTTCAAAAATCCTTAGAGGAGACTAAAGTCCAGTACAAGAACCTGGGCAACTCCGGTCTCAGGATCTCTGTGCCCATCCTAGGAGCAATGTCCTTCGGCGACCCCAACTGGAACTCCTGGGTCATTGATGAGTCCAAAGCCCTTCCACTACTAAAAGCAGCCTACGACCGTGGCCTCAACACATGGGACACCGCAGACATCTACTCCAACGGCAAGTCAGAAGAGATCATCGGCAACTTCATGAAACAGTATGACATCCCTCGCCACAAGCTCGTCATCATGACCAAGTGCTTTGCGCATATCGGCGAGGAGTACTCGTATCAGAACGAGCCCGAGATGCAGAGGTCGAAGGACTATGTCAATCATGGTGGCTTGTCTCGTCAAGCTATCTTTCGGGCGATCGATGCGAGCTTGAAGCGGTTGCAGACCGACTATGTGGATGTGTATCAGATTCACCGGTTCGATCCGACCGTGCCGATTGAGGAGACGATGACTGCGCTTCACGATCTGGTTCGTGCTGGGAAGGTGCGGTACATTGGAGCTTCGTCTATGAGGGGCACTGAATTTGCTCGGATGCAGCATGTTGCCGAGTTGAAGGGGCTCACCAAGTTCGTCTCAATGCAGAATCACTACAGCTTGCTGTACAGGGAGGAAGAGCTGGAGATGAACAACTTCTGCAACGCGACTGGTGTCGCTTTAGGTGAGTTGCACACACGCACTGCTGATCTCGTTTCTTGCAAACATGCTGACACGCAACACTACAGTCCCATGGGCACCTCTCTGCCGCGGACATTTGGCCAGACCATTAGACACCTCAACCGAACGCTCCACCAAAGAGGGTCCCGGCAAGACTGGCTACGGTGAGCTCGGCTTCACTGAGGTCGACAAGAAGATCATCGGGCGGGTCCAAGAGCTCGCCGAGAAGAAGGGGTGGACCATGAGCCAGGTATCATTGGCGTGGATCAACAAGAGATGTGCTTCACCGATTATTGGGTTCTCGAGTGTGGACAGACTAGAGGATGCTCTTGGTGCGAAAGACAAGGTCTTGACAGACGAGGAGGAGAAGTACCTGGAGGAGCTGTATCAGCCGCGGCCTATCGTCGGATTCTCCTAGTCGATCTGGTCCTACACAGCGATAGTGGCGGTGTTGCGGCAGAGCGAGTGAGGTCGCAATCTCCACCGTACCTTACCGTGTATTTGGTGCTCAGCAGTGAACGGCTAGTGGTATCAGCAGATCTTCGACTACTGATATACTGCGGAGGAAATACCAAGCTCTACAGGCCGTTGCTCTCGCATGCAGCGCAACGAGATACGACGGACGTGTTATCGCTACCTCCTCGCATGAAGATGGAGACAAAGACATTGATGATCTTGCTGGGTACTCGACTTCCCTTCTGCCAATATTTGAAGAGATTAACGACCTAAATCAGGCTCGAGAAACACCAAACACTGGCTTCATCTGCAATGCCGAGCCTGGTCCACCACACTTCGACTGCACTTCACTACTCGAGCATCGCTCACATCTGCTGTTCGATCGGATCACGGCCCTGTTGGCGGAGCGCAGCAGATCAGGCTTGCAGAAGAGTGGGAAGTACCCTAGTGCTGTGTCCCAGGACTTCTATCACTTGGACGAGGCATATCACCACATGGCTATCCTGCAAGTCTTTCGGCGAGGGTCCTTGTCGGTTCCCTTCGCAGTCATCGACAACAGTAGGCAGACTATATTGAAGTGCCTGGAGGCAATAGAGTATCGAGCAAATCCGTGTCCAGGCGTGGCTGCTCTGCCTCCACTCTTCGTGGCTGGGAGCTTGTGCAGCGATGCTGTTGACAGGATGAGGGTTCGGAAGTTGCTGAAAACAATGTGGATGAGGAATAGTATGGGCAACGTCAGGCAGTGTCGAGTTGTCCTCGAGCAATGGTGGAAAGAGCGTGATGAGGGACGATCTGCAGAAAGCTTTGGTAGCGATGCGAGGGCCGGCGGCGAGTATGATGAGGTAACGACTCTCTGGACAGTGGATGTGCTTCCATATTGAATGATAGAGCTATTTGATGATCGAACATCAAGATAGGTTGTAACATCGGTGAAGTCGTAGACGATCACGCGGGATGATCAGGTGAACAACGCGGGGGGTGAGTAGGCAGATTGATCAAGGGTAGGTGCTTCGTTCTGGCTGAAGTCCACACCTACTTCTGTTATCTGGCACTACCCCAATGCTATGCCATCGCTGAAGACTATGTACTGTAATCAAGACCAATATGCCCGTAATCCTTCGCTGATGCCAATCATATACGCTGTGTCGTGGTCCAGAAGAGTTATTGCTCAAACATAAGAAACAGCATAGCATTTATGCTTAGATTCTTCCTCAGGTAGCGACAGGTGTTGTCTCAAAGTTCACAACATCAAATCCTTCCCCGTACCACTGATCCCAGTCCCAAGTCGAGCTCCGGTGATTCTCCTGTCCAAATGCTTTAATCATCTTCTCGCCTTGGATCTCCGCTTCGGTGCCTTCCAGCAGTGTGCCGCTCTGAGTAGAGTCGTCGGCTACTCGTTTTCCCTTCTGCTTAGAAACGTTCTCCTCATCTTCATATCCGTTGCTGTGCCCTTGTGTTGGTGGTTCTTTACATCGAGCGCCTTGGCCCCAGATCGTGCCGCGTTCCCGGTTGACGTACGTGGCGATGCTTCTGAACGTCAGACTGATACGCTCGCCAGCATATGCTAGTTCCTCCTCGACCTTTTCGTGGTCTGGTCGTTTGTCGGGCCGCACGCTATGCAGCCAGTATTGGTTTGTGCGGGGCCCAAGGATGAAGATAGAGTCGTGCATCAATGGAATGCGCTGTGTCGTTCTCTCGGGAGACAAGGGCTCGTCCAGCGTTTTCAAGTTTCCAGACGAGTGTACGTGCGTGTCGGTCAGCGGCTCTTTGCCCTTACTCGTTGACAATGTCGGCGACGGTGGGCCGGGTGTTTCGGGTTTCTTCGTCCGTAGAGTCATGACTCGCTGTGCGCCAAAGCTGAAGTTCACAATACTCGAACCTCGAGTGATATCCAAGGTCTTGTCGCTGTGTTCAGATATGTTGTCCTCGCCATTTCGGTAATACTGAATTAGTACATGGTTGAGACTGTGACCGACATGTTTCTCTGCGACACGTCGTAAGGTGTTGACAGTGTCGTCGAACGACGCCATTTCGGGGGATTCATCTGCTGGGTGCCTGTAGACTGGTTCGGTGCCTGTGGTCTCGTCCACTGCACCCTGAACAGCAACAAGGCGCGGCACTTCTCCGGTTCGATGGAACATCTTCTGCCATCTCACCGTGCGCTTGAGTTTGTGGAAAGCACTGTCGGCTTCAGCATAGCCCACGATGTTGCCGATGATGTAACAATCGCCTTCGCCAGCTCGCTCTGCAGGTCCTATGAGCACTGCACTGTTCTTCACTTTCCGCTTTCGTGAAGGCGGCGGGCGCTGAATCGCTTTGACTAAGGTATCAAGGTCAACATGGATCCTGCGCCTGGGTCTAGAAGTGCTGTCCATACCGTCGGGTTCAACGCCTTTGGATGTGGAAGATGCGTCGATTGTCTTTACGCCAAGCCCTTCGGATGCGGCAATGGCAGCCATAATCTGTTCTCGTATAGCGTTTGGCGTCTTTGGTGTTTCTGTGGAGGATGACGCCACTGATATGCCAGACAGTGGCCGCGTTCCCCGTATTCGAGGTCGACTGACTTTGTAGCGGGCGCTTTCCGACGAGGTATGCGTACTTGATGACCGACGTGCCGGGATCCGAGAAGACTCACCGCCGTTAGCAGTAGTGTTAGACCGTGCCGAAGATCGTATTTGTGGCGATGAAGATCCTGCCAGCGTCCCATAGTCCTGGGTCATGTTCGAGTGTTCACAGGCGTATGACTCATAGTCGACAGTCGGATCGACTTCGAGTGTCTCCGATATTCCATGGCTTTCCGGGACAATCTCCGCGCTCTTGCTTTGACATGCATCGCGATCAGTGAGCCACTCTTCAACTTGCTGTTGCTTCCGCTCCGGTGTCAATGGGGTCCTCGAGATAGGTTGCGCGAGACCCGATGGCTTTGGCGGAGCAACATTGATCTGGAACTTAGGACCCAAGTCTTCTTCTCGGATCACATCACCCAGTAGACCTGCTAGGTCATCCATCAATTCTTGCTGATCAACACCAGAAGCACCCATCATATCAACCATTTGCTTAACTGCTTCAACATGGCATCGCTCATTCCTATAGCCCAGACAGTCTTCAATGAGGGTGACTTGAAGTCCGTGCCGTACGGCATCCGTGACCGTTGCGTAGACGCCGATGTTAGACAGACTGCCGGCAACGTATAGGTGCTGCACCATTCGCATGCGGAGCTGGAGAAGCAATGGGGTGTCCTTGAAGGCAGAATACTGTGACTTTGTGATGCAGAGGTCGCATTTTGGGTCGTAGACGTCAGCCAATGGTTGAGAGAGTGCTACTCCAGAGGTGCCAGGTCGACATGCTCGTTGACTCTCGGGGACACTTGCTTGGAGGAATGCCTCCGGGTCTATGGGGATCGATGATCTGCCGCGACGATGCGTTCCTCCATGCTCCGGGGAGCTTGGGTCTTGCGGCAGATGTTGTTGCTGCAGTATGTTGTATGTGCCCCATTCTGGAGAGAAAGAAGTACGAGCGCCTCGGAACTCTGTTTGTGCAAAGACAACGAGCCCTTTTGACCGGAAACTGGTAGCAAGATCGGACAGTCGCTCGACAAAGGTAGACGCCCCGGGCACTGGGAGTTTGCCTTGTACCTGATCGATGAAGTCGTTTTGGCAGTCAATCAGGATCAGAGCTTTCCGTGGCTCTGGTCGGAGCGCTGCTGGGGGTGTATTTCGTGCAAAGGTCATAACGAAGGTGCAGATGTACAGGCCATTGGTCTCAACATGGCCGGTATGGCAGGTGCACTCGACCTCGACCGTACTTGCACCCCAAGACTGCCCCTCGAATGAAAGCGATCAAGGTCTCCTCAAGTTCAGGGAAGTCGCCAGCGACCGCGCAAGATGTCGAGTGAGGGTGCAGCTGGTGATCGCCGTTGACTGTTGATGCAAGAAAGGCACAATGGCTGCGTGGTTCCAGTGTTGGCAGCTCTTCGGTCGAGGAAAACGGAATTCCTGGAGGGTCGTATACTTGCTATATTTCCGCGCAGTAGTGTCCTTGAGCGATAGTGGCGGTGTAGTAATGGTTCTGCAGCTTGCTTCGGCACCCCACTTCTGACTCTGCAGCTTCACGTCGAGTTCGTCGTAGTGCTAGCGAGTGAACATGCGTGTACATGTTCTTATGAGTATGTGTTGCAATTGCAGATAACAATGCTGGCAAAGGGTGGGCATGATCTTCGACTAGCTCATTGATCGACAAAGAGTGAGTTGGCGTTTCTGATACTTTGTGCCTGAGCCTAGAACTTAAACATGTCGGAGAAGCTGCGTAAGAGATGACATTCGGCGTTCCGGAACTCTGGAGAAATTTCGCATAACGGAGCGTACTGAGGTCAAAAACGAGCAGTGCTCCGTGCAAAAGGACGCGGAGGCCTTCGTAGAGCGGGGCGTGAGCAGCACAAGGGTGATGAACATTTGATCGGGAGATGTTGAAGAAAATAAGCTACAGCATGGCTTCTGCCCAAATGCTGAGTTTGATGCGCTGTAGACTGCGTTCGGGCATGCAGGCCAAGGGCCAGTTGGGGGCGGTTTAGGCGAGCATCACACACCCGTTGGCTGATGAAGCCGTTCTTAAGCGCTACCAGCAGGCCTCCCTTGTACGGCAAATGTACACGGTCGCTATTGAAGCTCCTGTGAATTGTGTTTGACACCCTTCATTGTGTCTTTCCCCACGACACACGACGATCTTATATTGGGGAACTTTCTACCGCACCTTTTCTGGTCAGAAGAAAATGCTCGCGTCCTTGTTCTGCCCCATGCTCGTCTCGGACGTTTTTCATTTAGGATGACTACCCTGGCTGGTTGGTGAACAGTTGGGAAGGTCTCCCCGACCATGCTTGCTTTTGTCCAGGGTCTCGACAGGCATTGAACCCGCCCGTGAAACCCAACCAAGACTAGCTTAGCAGAAGCGGATGAACACGTGGGAAGGCGAGGTGAGATGACGATGGAGCCGTAGCTCTTCCCCAGAACATACGAGTCTTATCACGAACTTGCTGTGATGTTCTCAAAGCTGCCGAGTACCTCGGTGAATGCGGGCTGTTGAGGCTGCGTCACGAGATGTTAGAGCTGCAGTATCGCACGCGTTGTGATTTTGTCCTGTTGCTTTGCATATGGACAAGCTATTAGAAGTCGTTGGTTGTTGGCTGGGCTGCATACACTTATGCAAGTGATTGCGTGTAGATCAAGCGGCTCTCCACAAGTACACCTAGTTTGCGACGGGACCGACCGCCGCGCAGGAGTAGGGCTGCCGCGCGATCATTGCCATTGAGACGCTGGCGATGGTGTGAAAGTGGACAGGTGGGCACACACACTGACTTAAAAGACAATTGCAAATAATGTATATGTTTGGGCGATGTTACCACAGCCTGCTGGTGGCAGTACTTTGTAGTGGCTGAGGCCTTCTCCATTGCCCATAAGATCAGTGCCCGAAAGGGACGTGGGCAATGGGCATTCTCCAAGCACCTCCGCGAGTCCGCGTCGATCACACCTCGATTCTCTCCGGAGTCTGATCTTTGTTTGATCGTCTGCGTAGTCATATGGGCCAGTGATGTAGTGATCAATGAGGAAGCTTACTTCGTGTCTTCCTGCTGGTGGCGTGCATTTCCAGTGCCGCTACCCAGTTCAAGCGCCTGAGCCGTGTGACTCAGCACATCGCGAGTGCCGTGTTCTTTGCAGATCCCTTGGCGACCACGTTACGGCCACACTCGCCACAAAATATGGGTGGGAGGTCGACATTGCGGTCACTTCACCAAGGAAGGTGTTTCGCTGAAACAGCGATCATGCGGAGGCTTCCCCAGAGTAGAAGTCGGTGATTCTGTAAGTCGTCACTGAGTCCAAGTCGATCGCCACAGCACTCGCTACCTAGTAGATTCATCGTGCCGTGCACGAGCTCGTTGACTCGTGCGAAGGCTCTGCGAAGAAGACTTCACAAATCGGAATTGACAATCCGCCAGAAGTTCAATCCAAGTCACTGTCCTTGTCGGAGTCAATCTCCATGGCGTTCGTGGGCTTCATCGCATCGTCCATCAGCGCCTTGACCTTGGCCTTGATCTCATCGACCTTGTTCTCTTTCACCAAACACGTCTCATCGTCTATCTCCTCGATGATGTACGCGTTGTTGCTTTCCTTGTCGATCTTCCGCACCATGGCCATCTGTGGAGGGTCACATTGGAGAAGCGCACCCTTAACAGCGCGGGGCATGGTGGGCGGAGTGCTTGACACGATCTGTGCTGGCGAGGTTTGTTGTTGGTAGATCGACAGCCAATGCCCCAGAATTTGATGCCTACAGGAGATTTCAGATGGGTTGAATGACGTTCGTCGATGAATACGAGATGGGTAAAATCCGTGGGTAGATTGATTGCCGTTGAGAGATGTTCACCTGATCCTCCCGCAGATTACCTGGCGTGAGACCGGTTGACACGCAGACAAGTACGAAGTAACGAGGCTGAGAGTCAGCCTTGCTGTAGCATCAACTGCAATCCGAACGTGGAAGATCAATGATCAGAGCCACTCCCGTACAATTTGGCGTTCTCACCTCATAAATGCATGTGGCGGGATGGTGTGCTGAGGGCATGGCTGTTCTTAACGCGTCGCTGATGGTCCATCGCCGAGCAATGACGTAGCACGTGAGCCAGTCTGATGCTCGATGCAGCACTCAACCCAAGGCAAGTGAGGGAAGAACAGTACACAGCCTACACGGTGGTCCCAAAAAGATGGCGACTCCTACACAAGCTCGCGCGGTTTCGACACCGAAGCCGCACCTCCCAAACACTCCTAGCGGGATGCTAGCCTCCCCACGACCTGGAACTTCAGGCAAGAAGCTGGCATACAAGTCACCCGCCGCAGCGATGAAGACGCCAGCCTCTATGCACCTTCATGGCCTCAGCGTGTCTTCGCAGCCGTCGTCGACTCCCCTCGGCGCCGCTGCAATCCACGACGAGTTGCTCAACCTCAACTCTCCTGCTGCGGCACTGATCAACTCGATTGCGCAGAATAATCTCACACCCGTCCCGATGGGGCCACAGGATGGGCTTGGGATGACGGGACATACGCCACTGACTGTCAGAGATGAGCCACGCAGCCCAGAGACCGAGCGCCTGCATCGACTACAGCAAGCGCTCGACAAGCTCAAATGCAAGGTGATCGGGCGGAATGTCACACGAGATGGGATCAAGAGAGTCGCGCAACTGAACGGTCTCGAGGCCGTGGACATCGACGACGATAATCTCGTGGTCGCTGGAGAGAACGTAGTCGAAATGGAGATCACTTTCGATCCGGTGCAGCGAAACGATGTTAAAGATCTATGCCTGAAGCTGAACTACGATGACCAGACTCATGTGCAGACCGAGAGTACAGCGATGCTAAAAGCACAGGTCGCTGCAGATGCTTCAGTGGATGCTCTGACTAATTTTGCGCACAACGTGGAGTATTTGGCTCAGCTGGAGAAGATCGATGTCAAGCCAAACTGCTTCCAGCTGGTCAACAATCTGTCGGCATGTCTGCAGGATGTTTGGAAGGAGGAGAAGAAGCGCATGCATTGGCGTGACGAATTACACCATTTGCGAAGAGGAGCTGTTGGCATGCCGATCATGGACCGCTCACCAAGACTGGGCCTGGGCATAACGTATTGGCAGAAGGAGCAGGCATCCAGAGCTGAGCAGTTGGAAGTGTCCGAGAGTGATCAGTATCGCGCAACGGTAAGCTGCGAGTCTGGCCTCCCCACGATGATCGCCTTCGAGAAGTGGCTAAAAGACGACATCTTGGCGGAAGCGCAACCGGGCCAAAATGTATTGGATGCTAAAGACCACGTCTTCTACCCAATTGGCGCGATTCCTTGGCCGGCCTGGCCATCACAGCTGAGGAAGCAAAAGACGAGGCATCCATGGAAGTGGACCAAAAAGGCTCCAACATACCGAAGCCGCTAAATGTACATTTCACCTGCAACCTGGAACCTGAAGTTCTGTTGCCCGTCTCAGCGCTGTCGAGGCTCAACAACGAGATTCAGATGCTCGAAGTCGACCCTCAGAAGGCTATCACTTACCAGCAGACCCTGCAGGAGAAGCGCAATTTGGCCGCATCGAGAGCCATGGACACTGCAAATGAGGACCGCTGGAAGCGCCGCGTAACGTATGTCGACTCCGCGGGGAAGTTCAGCTGGCACAATCATGCGTACAAGCTATATTCAAGCACGCAAGACCACGACTTATGGTGCTATCCAATATCCAAGCTGCGTTTCAATCACCCACGCCAGATAGCCGACGTACTGCCGCTTCTCCGTATGCATGTTGTCGTGTGGACACTGCTCGACAGTGTTGCACTGCATCCGCCACCAACAGACGCCACGGGTCACGATCGCAAGATTCGAGCCAAGGGGCAGATTGTGAAGCGCAGCAACCGCCCAACAGGTGCCCAGAGTGATACAGAAGTGACGATAAATGTTGACATCACCATGGACTTCATGTCGAATCCCAACAAGACCACTATGGAGATTGTTGCACCACTCAGGGCGAGCAAGATTGGTTCAAGGACGCTTAATCCATCAATGTTCAGTCTTACCGTGCAGATCAAGCTGAATGGTGTTATCGAGGTCACTGATATCAGCGGCGCTCAACAGACTGTCAAGGATGGCAATGGTGACTTGTCGACTGAGCTGCATACGAAGCTTGGGAAGATACTCACTGCTACCGAGGATTTGGGAGTTGCGGTGCAGTGGCTGATTTACTCTCGTACTTGACTACGATGAATGCAGCTTGCAGCAATGATATCGAATCCTTTCACCGTCTTTGTCTCATTCATGGAAGCTTCCATAGTCCGAAGAAGCGTAATCAGCAGTCACATGCCAGATTTATACGAACTCTCTCTCAGCTCCAACCATATCCCAAACATGTAAAGCCCAGCGTGGCATCCTCCGCACTTTCCCTCCTCCAGCCGTCGCCCGAAGTTCGTGAGACGTAGTAATAAATCTGTTCAGACATGCGGTCACGGGCGCAACGGTCATTGTCTGACGGATCGACTACAACTGAGATCAAGCTACTTCATCTCGGCAACAAAGCGTGTGCTTTTTCGCTTCGCAGAGAGGGAAGGCCGTGCTTTCGTAGCCATTTGATGAAGCTTTGATCCCTAGGTGACAAGCAAACCCTACCATATTGGGACCATGATGATAAGATATCTCGTCTCTCAACCTGATACGACTGCGACCTCCGGCGGCCACAGGGACGCGTTGGCCTAAATGCTGGAGGAATGCTGTGTCACGTGGTGGGAGGCTGAGGATGTGATTTTTTCTGAGTCCTGCACAATGGGGCAGACATGGAGTAGGAGTGTTCCTATGGTCAGTCTGTCGAAGGCGTTGTTCGAGGTTCGATGGGATGCTTGACGTCGAGGCAACGTGTCATCAACCGTGTGGGAGGTGTTCATGACGCGAAGGGCGGTCAATCTTCTGAAGGACGGTTATACTATATCAGACCAAGCTTTTGCCCTACTATATTTCGTTATCAGCAATTACAGCTCTTCCCATACCCGCTACTTGAAGCGTCTTGGTTAGCTTAGTCTCGAGATATGAGCGTCAAATCAAGGACGAAGGAAGAATACAAGCAGTCATACACGGAAGGCCTTTTGTGGCCCCACTTAAAGCGAACGCTCGCATAATCGCTAAAGTACCAACGCGCGCAGATCAAGGCCACTTACTTCTTGTCCCCGTTCACCTTCTCCTTCTCTGCCTCCGGCGGCTTCGCCCCCTGAACCCCCCTGATCTCCTTCAAACTCGCCTTCGGCATACCCACCCGCTCAATCTCAACCCCATCAACCCACGTCCGCACCTTGTCCGGGTAGAAGCAATACATTCCCCTCACGCCCGCTGACTCCAGCGTTGGGTTTTCGTAGTACCACACCACATCCTCTATGTCCTTTTCCCCTTCCACGACAGCAGAGTAGTAGCTCGCCTCTCCCTTGTAAGGACACCCCGTCTTCGTCTTGCTTGCCCTCAACAACTCCCACCGTAGTGCTGTGGCGGGGAGGTACCACCGACCCGGGAAGTTCGTCTCCCACAAACTCACGACGCCGCCTTCGGACCCCGTGTCAGCCAGGAGGGTGCCGGAGGGTGTCTCAACGCGGATGTGACGGCCAGACGGGAGGAGGTCGACGCGGTGGAAGGGGTCTTTGGGGTGGTAGAGGACCGGAGTGAGTTCTTCGAACCAGGTGTCGAGGGACTTGAAGTCGATCTTTACGTAACCTGCCAACTCGGAGTTGAAAGACTCGGGCACGTGGAGTGCTGGGGCGGTTTTGTTGTCGGAGCCGGGTCGGGTGCTGAGGGTGTACGTTGAGCTTTCGATGCCGCTGATGGGCTTGTCTTTGGTGAAGGTGACGGTGTCGAGGAAGGAGGACTTGGGGATCCAGTATTGGGGAAAGTATTTGTGTTCCCAGACTAGAAGGGCGGAGGTAGTGTCGAAGACGGTGTTGCCGTTTAGGACGCCGCGGACGCGCTTTTCGGTGGGGACGGTCTTGACGGGAGAGAAGCCGTCGGTTGAAAAGAGCTTGGAGGCGAGTTGGGTGATTTGGGACATGGTCGTTGAATGTGGTGGTGGTGGAAAGCGATGCGGCTTGGGTGTTTGTATGCTACGTGCTGAGTTGGCGATGGACCTGTGCGGCTGGCAGGCGATTCGGACGATGCGTGCTTTGGACAAAGCCCTTTGCGCGGCCTTCAGAGCAGCCAGCGAGATCAGCACAATGATGCTGGTGGCTCGATATAGATCGAGGTGAGATCAGGCAGTGAAAATGGCGCGGGGTTGCGGGCGAATTCGATCACAGTTGTCGGCTACTGTACAGACGAAATGGGAGTGATGTGTACAGGGCAAGATGCTTGAGAATGTTGTTATAGACTGTAAGTTGTAGGCATATAAATATGTTGGTGACAGCAGCGGTACATATGGCGCCAGATATGCCCAGGTCGATTTGTCATGAGCGTTCATTGTCGGAGACACGGAAGCATGCCCACCTCCGCAGCTTAGGCATGCAGTATGCATGATCTTGGGACCTACAGAATTGCCCGAAGCAGATGTTGGAGAGGTCTGAATAGGCAAGCTATCCGTACTATGTAGCCTCAAAGAGCATCGCATGAGGTACCTAGTAGATGGCGACAGATCTCCAGACTGGTTTGTTGCATATACGCGCAGATCATGCTCTAATGTCCTTGTGGTCGCGGCGTTGTGAGCGTGCTCTGAGACTCAATTATCTCTCGTTCGTCATCGTCGACATGCCCACTCACTCGAAGTCTCAGTCACGTACAGTAGCATACAGTGAATGCCTCCTGGCTGAATCAGTGAAGTGTTTGCTCCACCCTGACCCCGAACTTCACCTGATCGAGGAAGTATAAGTAGCTTCTTGCCCTCGACTTGCTTCTTTCTTCCATGTCGATTACCGACGAGAAACTGGTCCCAAGGTTGCCATGCCAAGACAGTATCTGCTACTGCTTGACAGGGCGAGTTTCTTCAAGGATTCCAGTTACGGTCGGAAGCGGATGAGCCATAGAACGGATGGCGTATGCATGACGGCATATACTGAATCTAAGACATGTCGGTGTTCTGAGGCTTGTTCGCCGTTTCCAACATGGCTCGTGATACGATCTGCGTGCGGATCAATTGCGGAAATGGAAGAGCCAAATGCCGTACCATGCGATAGGATGAGCTAGATGACCGACACAAGATGCTCTCTGGCACGTATAGCTCGGAGCCACCATGAATTGATGTTTACCATGATTCGCACAGCTCTTCAGACTCAGCGCCCTCAGGTCGTCCTTGCCGTCATATCAATGGATGGACTGAGGCCGGTAAGATGACGCGGGCATTCGTGGCCGGGGCAAAGGCTTGCAGTCAGCAGAGATCGGAGACCGTCAATGCGAGCTCAGCGTATGGTTGGTCCTCCGCATTGCACAAAAGCTTTCCTGAGGCAACGCTCACTGATGCAGATTGCCGCACAGCGCGACCGCTTTGACCTCTGTCTTGAGCTCATCACTCAATCGCACCATAGTCGATGCCGTGTTGACCAAATTTAGTCAGTCTGCTCTCACCTGGGAGGCATAGCCTTTCTTGTGGCACGCGGGGGATCCAGCCTGTCCATACATCGTGATTCATTTGACCTCTTGACGTAAAGTCGCATTTCCCTCGTCAGCCTCACCGCCCCTTCGCCTCCTCCGCCCTCAAAGCCTCAACCAACCTCTCCCTCAGAAACCCACTCAACACACAAATCCCATCCCTGGTACACAATCTATACGTCCCACTCTCCTGATACCCACCATCACCACCCGTAAACCCCCCATCCGGATCAACCTCCAAACTCCCAAAAATATCTTCAGGATCCGGTATCCTCCCATAATCAGGCGGATGCCGCAGATCATAAACATGCATCCCGTCTGGTAGAAGGCTGGTCGCTTCTCCGAGTTGTGGACATCAAAGCTC